GGACAAGATTCCCGTATGTCCGCATCCTAAATTCCTACGTAAGATGTCATCTGAGTTTCATTTTAATCAGTCCATTCATTTACCACGTTCTTCCTCAAAAATCACATAATTCCAAACAGGAGGCTTCCTTCCATACCTTAAATGTCAGAAGAGTGTTGGCCTTCTATCTAGATAGAACCAAACCACTTTGGAGGTCTCCTGTTTGTTTCCATTGCAGAAAGATCTAAAGGATCCCCAGTCTCCACCCAGAGGCTATGAAGGTGGATAGCTGAGTGTGTTATTGCATGTTATGATGTGGCGAGCATTCAAACTCCTTCTAGGATATTAGTGCACTCTACAAGGTTGCAATCAACATCTATGGCATTACTTAAAGATGTTTCAGTATCTGAGATCTGCAGAGCCACTACACCATCTTCAGTACATACCTTCTCCAAGCACTATGCCTTGGTCCATGCCTCTAGATCCAATACATCAGCTGGCCATGCACTACTGTCTTCAGTTCTGGACCCGATTATGAAGATCCCTCTTCCCTGCAGAGATACTGCTTGGGAGTCATCTGATGTGGAGCACCCATAGGGACACTCCTCGAAGAGGAAGAAGTTACTCACCCTGTGCAGTAACGTAGTTCTTCAAAATGTGTGTCCCCAGGGGTGCTCCATTAACTGCCCTCCTTCCCCTCTGCTTCAGAGTTTCCTCTGTGGGACTTTGCAGTAGAGAAGGGCTGAGAACAGTTCACTCACAAAGCCCTATGTAGCATTGGTGCGGGGCATGAGGACATGAAGGATGTATACACAGTCCGAACAGATATTGCTAACGAAAATCTCTGATTGAAAGCACCTGGGGCACACGGGCACTTGAAATGAAGCACCCATAGGGAGACACATCTCAAAGAACTGCACAGGGTGAGTAACCGCTCCTTTTCTTGCAGTGCATACAATATCTGAGAAAATCTAAACCCTCGTTTATTAAAAAGTAAATGAAAAAAATGTACTGAATTATTCTTGTCTTCTTATACATCAGGCAGTAAAGTGGCTCTGAAAATGCCCATCAATGGAAGCTCCATGAGGTCTCTGTGTGATTGACGAGCACAAATTTAAAAAGGTGTGGCTTCTGTAAAAGGCTGCATTAGTTTTCCTCATCTGCCACGACTTCTCCATGCTGCATGCACATCAAAATCTGGTAGCTCTTATCCTGATAGCCTCAGACACTAATTTGGCAATGGTGAATGATGTAAAAAAGACTGGCAAGAACATACATAAGAGTCCCCAACTTTTGAGTAGGCAAGCTGTTTACTACTTTTTATTTGGCAGCTATGTCGGTCATCCCAGCAGACATTTAACAATATGTGCTGCTCATATGATCTAATACTAGAAAGTAATAATTATTAAACAACCATATACCATATGCCATATATAGCTCTCCAATGTAGGGTGGATAATTTCCAGACAGACACCATATGTAGTACACTGGGTAATATTAAACATACATATGTAATGGGAGAGAGCTCTCAATCACTTTTAAAAACTAAAGCTAAATTCCTCAAGAAATTTTCTGTAGTCTACACCATAACAGAGTTGAGCCAACAGCTTCAAATAAGATCAGCCTCACTCCTGAACCTTCACCAAAACTTGAAACAAAATTGACTCAACCATTTTAGGAGGTTTTCTTAAACGTGGTTGTCTTTTTCCATGTTTGCATTCCTCTGGGCTTCCATATTTTGGCTGGGATTAGGAGCGGACGTGCTTCACCCCCTTCACATAACACAAGAATTTGGGATCACCCTGTGAAATTAATAGGCAGTAAGCTTAAACAAAAGGAAGTACTTCTTTACACAATGCATAGTTAATATGTGGAACCCATGGGATGCTGTGAAGGTCAAAAGTATAACTGGGTTAAAAAATGTAGATAAGTTCACAGAGGATAGGTCCATCAATAGTTACTAGCCAAGATGGCCAGGGATGCAGCTTCATGCTCTGGATGTTCCTAAACTTCCAACTGCCAGAAGCTGGGACTGGATGACAGGGGTATGGATCATTCAAAACTGCCCTGTTCTGTTCATTCCCTCTGAAGCATCTGGCACTAGCCGCTGTCAGAAGACAAGATACTGGATGAGTTGGACCATTGGTTTGACGCAGTATGGTCATTCTTATGTTCTTACCCTGAAATCTGCGAGAGTTCTCATGAGATTTCCAGCCTGATGCTGCAGAACCAATAGGTCTAGATAACTCAGGTTAGGTACCAAAACTTTTGAATTTGTATTTGAATGGAACTTTTTGAGGCTTTCCCATTGCTTGTCATGAACTTTAAGTAACTTCTGGTGGTGAACCTTTTGTTCATACTTGAAGTGAATAATATAAATCTGTTGAATCAGAGTTAGTAGTAAATGGGAGAAAGAAACTTCATTTGGAAGAGTATTTTGCCTTTTAGGGTTTAGCTTGGTTCTGCGGGGAATCATAAATAAAGAGCTCTGCAACTGATACTTCTTGATTCAGTTGGCAGAGTAGCTTTGGGTGCTCATTTATGTGGCATTATGACCTGGTGCCAACTTGAGCAGTACAGAAATCTATGAAAAAGTATGTAGTGAAAATATGTACTTGTTTTTTTAAAGTAGCTTTTCACTAAAAATACAAAAAAAGAGCAAGACATCAGCAGTACTACTAATCTATCTCATGATTTTGTATTTGTAACTGTCTCACTTCCCATTGCACCGAGAATTTCCTTATCTTCCAGATCCCTCATAAAAAGTCACCTCTTCCACAAAGCTTTTGTGTGATGCTCATTAATGCTCATTAATGACATGTCTGCCCTTTTTCATTTTTGGCCTCTTTCTGTGTATTGTATTTGGATGGATGATGTGTAAACTCTTTGAGGCAGGAACCTTGTCTTTTTACAGGTTCTTTAAAGGGTCATGTACATTTATAGTGCTATATTAATTAATAATAAACATTAATGGCAGCTATACTAGAAAAGAACGTGTTATAAACAACTGGGGTGAAAAATAGGTTTCTCTCTGGAGTGCATAGAAAACATAATTTAAATTTGCTTGCTGCTTTTCTGCTATATACATTTCCCAGTCTGGGTACTTTATTGTTATGAAGCATCACATCTTGTTACAGTATTTTTGATATGACAATTGATAGCCATTGAAATTATTAATTCAATGCAAAGTTGAATATGTTTGTGCAAGTTCTTATTTTTAAATTGAGAACAACATTTCCATGTTCCTACACCTTCCCTTCAAAAAAACTGAATCAAAAGGTATAATGGGTGCTCTGAAAATGGGATCTCTGCATGAGTTTTATACTCTGGCCCAACCAGTGTTATTTTAATTATTATTTATGAGTAACAAAAATTGGTGTGACACTCTGCAGAAATAACTTTTTCAAGCTTTAGAAAGTAAGATAAAATTGTCTAAGCTGTAATTTGATAGCATCCTGAATTGATAGTGATTAGCATTTTGAGCTGACAACATTGTTTATATCCTTTACGTGCTTATCTGAATGCTTATGCTTCAGGACTTTAGTATAATTTAATGCGAACTACTGTAATATTTTATCATTGAAGGCCCCTGACACAACACCAAATTACAATGTCTTCATACCAACTTCCAGTTATTGGTATCATATATCAAATAATAAAATGTGTTGAAACAGCTGGACTGAAATATATATGCTTTTCTAGAAAGAATAATACATTTGTAGAAATGTACTATTTTTACACAGGCAATAGGTATAATTTTTTTGTTTAACATGATTAAATTCTAGCCCATAAGTTCTAGTCCATGATGTCTGAATACAATTGCAAATAGTAATAATATTTAGCACTTTTCATCCTGAAAACATTTCACAAACGTTAAGCCTCGTAAGATGACTGTGAAGTAGGTTAGTTCTGCATCTAATCAAAAATCTGCAATTCTATAATGAAATAAATCAGAATTTAGGTTAAATTGCATTTCTGAATGAGTTGTGTCATTCCATAAAGGCTGTTATAAATTATTTTACTACAGTTTGGGAACAATGTTGTTAGGTTAGGTGTTAGAATAGGAAATTTGACCTCCTTTGGTCTATTCCTGGCTTAGACACTGACACTCAATAGGCTTGAGCTTGCAAGACTTTCAGCTGTCAGGACTTGATCTAGCAAAGCACTTAACTAGATGCTTAACTTAAGCATGTGGGTATCCTAACGGAGTTAATGGCACTACTCACACATTTTAAGGTAAGCACATGCGTCACTGCTTTTTTGGGCCAGGGCCAGAGTGCTCATCACTTTGCATGTCCTCTGGCTTCTGGCAAATCACAATGTCTAGGTTCAGCAATTCATCCATCTGTAAAATGGACATATGTCCTTACCTTGGAAGATCTTCAGACACCATGGCGGGGAACATGGTATAAAAACTTAGGCCTAGTCTACACTACAAACTTAGAGTGACACCAGATGCTTTATGTGGACCTAATAATCTATGCATCTGCACTATTAGGTCCCTTCTGCTGACCTAACTCGCCTGTTACGTCAACTTAATTACTCCACCTCCACAAGAGGCATATCGCTTAATTCAATGTTGATGGGTCAACAGAGAGGCAGTGTAGACGCAGCGTGTGTAAGTCACCTGAATTGGCCTCCACGAGGTGTCCCGCAATGGTCTGCTGTGACTGCTCTGGTGATCATTTTCAACTCCACAGCACAGCAGCCAGGTATACAGGAAACAGCCCCTTCCCTCTTAAAGATTCTTCCCAAGGTGTTGCAAGATGTAATTAATGTTTTTAATGCACTTTGATATTAGATGAAAGGCACTATAAAAGTGCAAACCATTTTACAGTTCTGTTTGTATGTGTGTGTGGATAAAGAACATTAAGGCGCATTGCTGGTGGCAAAAATAAAAAATTCAAACGGAGATAAAAACAAGAAAGAGCAAGTTTAACCTTTAAGTATGAACTTACAGCCCTGTTTGAAGGAGAAGATAAAGCACGAATACTATCTGAATTATTATGTTTTTCCCATAGGTAATAAGCTCAATGAGCTCTCTTTCAGAGTATTGCCTACCCTCTATTCTGCGCACTCTTTTTGATTGGTATAAAAGGCAAAATGGCATAGAAGATGAATCTCATGAATACAGACCAAGAACAAGCACTAAATCCAAAAGGTACACTCTTGAATAAGCATAATTTAGATTCTAAGATGTAGTGTATTACATTTAAGCATTCAGCTTCTGTTATACTCTTTATTTAAGTGGCTTTTCAGGCACAGAAATTTTGGAAAACAGGAATTTCAGGAAAATTCTGGTATTGGGTGACATTTCTGAATCAAGTTTTTGTATATCAATTTGAATAATCACTTTTTAGCTGAATAATCAAAACAAATGTCTAAATATTTAAAGGGCACTGTCAAGATTCTTGGGCTCTAAATACTACCTACCTGTATTATAACATACAACCATTTTATTCTTCACATCAAGTTTATAGGAGTCCACCCCCAGGCCACCTGAAGAAGGAGTCCAATATTCTTACAATTAAAATTATGCTCCTGGATGATCCCATATCAACCAGAGTATTGGTCCTTCCCACCATTTTGAATGTTGTGAATGCCATTTAAATAGTGCTTTTCATCTATTGTGTCCGTCTGCTTTACTCTTGTGAGAAGGTACTGTACTGACAATAATCTCCAAGCACATCAGAGAGCAGGATTGTTATAGAGTTAGTATGCTGCTTGTTCACAGGAATAGAACAGATGTGTTAAGTAACCGTAAAAAACACTCCGGGTTGCATACTTGCTTTCTCATATACATATACCAAAACACTGCAAAGAGCTCACTTGGAAAGCTCTAGCACAGTGGTCTTCAACCTTTCCAGACTACTGTACCCCTCTCAGGAGTCTGATTTGTCTTGCATACCCCAAGTTTCACCTCACTTAAAAACTACTTGCTTACAAAATCAGATATAAAAATACAAAAGTGTCACAGCACACTATTACTGAAAAATTACTTATAAAATATATCAATTGAAATATAAGAATGGTACCTATATTTCAGTGTATAGTGTATAGAGCGGTAAAAACAAGTCATTGTATGAAATTTTACTTTGTACAGACTTCACTAGTGCTTTTTATGTAGCCTGTTGTAAAACTAAGCAAATACCTAGATGAATTGATGTACCCCCTGGAAGACCTCTGTGTACCTCCAGGGGTACACATACACCTGGTTGAGAACCATTGCTCTAGCAAATATTAACCTGATCCCAAATAAGTAATATATGATATTGTATGTTAATGTTTTATTGTAACTTTGCCTCAATGAAGTTTCAAAACAAAACAAAAAAAAAAACCCAACAGTGCTACCTAAACCTCATATGATGTAATTGATTCTTGTGTTTTAGGGAACTAGATAATAGCCTGTATCTGAGGTCTGCTCTTAGCAGAGATTTTTTTAGAGAGTTTTTAGTACAATTTTATTCTTTGAAAACTACAACTGCTTGAAAAGTGGCCAATAATTACTGAAGTCAATTGGAGCTGTGTGGGGCCTACTAGAACTTTAGTTCATCAATGAGGGTATAAGATTAGCATTTCATTTCATAGATTTTTATGAAAAATACACTTGATTTTCTCAGATTATTGTAGACTAGCAGACAAGATCGCACATCCCTTATACTCATCCTAATCAAGGAAAGCACTAAGCACATGGTTAATTTTAAGCACAAGTAGCCTACTAGAAGTCAGTGAGATTATTCATGTACATGAGAACTGTACTGATCTTTACTGTTTTCTCAGAAAAATATCCTACTTAAATTAGTGGGAGTTTTGACTGAGAAAGGATACAGGATTAGACCTCTGGGGATTAATAGCCATACACTTAAAAGTTCAATTTTTCTCATGACAACTTTAAAACTGAGCAAACAATCAACGTTCACCTGAAGATTATTTAGATTGGAACATTTCTTGTACATGTTTTATATAGCATCCAGCATACAGTTAGCATTAATAAATAATGAAAGTAGAAAGCTAAGGAAGATATAGAAAGAGGATGCTGGCTGCTTGTGGATTCTCAACCAGCTGAAGGCATAAAAAAGACAGATAATGTCTGGTTTATTATCCAATCAGATGTTGGAACAGTCAACCTCAAATAAGCATGCTAACTTGGATTTTTTACTCACTTCCTAGGTGTCCAAAAATTCAGTTTCATGTTATTTTAAACCTGCTGTTTAAACCTACTTTCATGTTATATTAAACCTACTTTTTACCCTATTGTGCGAACAATTAACTGCACATGGGGGAATGAACTGGTATACAATAGCTGTCACATAAATGAAAGTTGAAAGAGACCCATTAATCCTCCCATATGTTCTAAATACCTCTTCACCCCACATCATACTACATCAAACCACTCAAAAACAAATGTGTTGTTTTTAATTATGTTTTATTTTTAATTATACTTTACAATATCCTTTAAATCCTTTTAATTATCCTTTAAAAAGTGGAGGTTAAATCCTATTAAGGAAAACAGAAAGGAGCATAAACTTTGGCAAGTGAACTGTAAAAATATAATTAGGAAGGCCAAAAAATAATTTGAAGAACAGCTAGCCAAAGACTCAAAAGTAATAACAAAAATTAAAGTATATCAGAAGCAGGAAACCTGCTAAAGAACCAGTGGGGCCACTGCACGATCAAGATGCTAACGGAGCACTCAAGGACGATAAGGCCATTGCAGAGAAACTAAATGAATTATTTTTGCATCGGTCTTCATGGTTGAGGATGTGAGGGAGATTCCCAAACCTGAGCTATGCTTTTTAGGTGACAAATCTGAGGAACTGTCCCAGACTGAGGTGTCATTAGAGGAGATTTTCTAACAAACTGAAAAATTAAACAGTAATAAGTCACCAGGACCAGATGGTATTCACCCAAGAGTTCTGAAGGAACTCAAATATGAAATTGCAGAACTACTAACTGTGGTATATAACCTACCATTTAAATCAGCTTCTGTACCAAATGATTGGAGGATAGCTAATGTGATGTCAATTTTTTAAAAAGGCTCCAGAGATGATCCCGGCAATTACAGGCCAATAAGCCTCGCTTCAGTACCAGGCAAATTGGTTGAAACTACAGTAAAGAACAGAATTATCAGACACATAGATGAACACGATTTGTTGGGAAGAGTCAACATGGTTTTTGTAAAGGAAAATCGTGCCTCACCAATCTACTAGGATTCTTTGAGGGTGCCAACAAGCATGTGGACAAGGGTGATCCAGTGGATATAGTATATTTAGATTTTCAGAAAGCCTTTGACAAGGTCCTTCACCAAACACTCTTAAGCAAAGTAAGCTGTCATGGCCCCCAGCCAACCTGCCCCTCACCCGAGGTCTCGTCCCCTTTCCCCCACCCTAGACCCCGGGGCCAAGCTGGGAAGGGCAAGCAGGGCTTCAGGGAGGAGCATGGGTGGGGCCAGGCCAGGCTGTTTGGGTAGGCATAGCCTCTCCCAGCCTATGCAATGCACCACCCATGCGTGAATCAGTAACTGGTTGAAAGACAGGAAACAAAGGGTAGGACTAAATGGTCAGTTTTCAGAATGGAGAGAGGATTACTGGTTCGGTTCATTCCCTCTGAAGCATCTGGCATTGGCCATTGTCGGAAGACAGGATACCAGGCTAGATGGACCATTGATCCATTGACCCGGTATGGACATTCTTATGTTCTTTTGTATTTATTTATAAAAAATCCTGCAAGGTCACCTCTGTAACTAGAGGGCATTTAGATATTCATGTCTGGTTACTAGGCCAGCTTGAAGATTTTCTGTTTTGGGGAACTTGATTACAATTGAAGCAAAAATCAGTAGTGATTATAAAATATAATCTGTTGCTGTTGATGCTACTAGGCTTTTTTTTTTTAGTTCTAATGCTATCTGACCGGAATATGAAAAAGATACTGAATTTCACCAGGCCAAACAAATCTTTTCTGAAAATAATCTTTAAAACATTGTCTGAGGCTCTTTCAAGTCTCATTTTCTTGTCACTGACTAAAAATTATTCATCAACATTATGAATATATACTTTTGGTGCCCAAATTTTAGTACAGAACTTTAGTCAGTATGACACAGTAAACTATAATTCAACCCTAGTTAAATGTAGAGGCCAAAATTTTCAAAATTGAGTGTAAAGTTAGCCAATTAAATACATATTTGGTCAACGGTCTTTGACCTCAGCAGGATTTATTAGTACTCAGACCTCTGAAACCCAGGCCTATGATTTAGGTGTCTAACTATGGATTTAGATGCCTGACTTTAGGTACCCATGTTTAAAAAATGTATCTCAATGGGAGCTGCTGGGTGTTCAGCACTCTAAACAGTGAAGCAAGCACCTTCATCTGGATTTGGGAATCTAACTTCAGGCTCCTATTTTTGAAAATCTTGACCTAAAATAATTTCTGACTAGTACAACACTCTAATACTGTTTCCACCTTTAAAACCATTGATTATTTAATAAACAGTGACATCGAGAGTGAGATCGAAATGCAAAATCCACTCTCTAGATTTCAGTTCAGCATCACTCAATTAGAGCATAAAAAGAGAAAATGGAGTACCTGAGTGTTGAGGGAGAAGGAGCCAACATGGGTCTCTGGAGCTGGAAACAGAGAGAGAGGAAGTGAAGGGAGGGCATGTCGACTTCTGAAAATAGATGAATGTGACAGGTCTGTTGTTCTATTTATCCTAGATTTTAAGAGACTGTCATTGTACGGCCTTTCATTTTTTAATTCAGAATTACAGTTTGAAAAACTGGAACTAAAACCCAATTTATGATTATTTGAATACTTATAATTTATGCAGACTTATTATATAAAATATGACACATGTCTCACTACTGTTTTATTTCTTGTTTTGATTTTGCAGTGATGAACAGCAGCGAGACTATCTAATGGAAAGAAGAGATTTAGCCATTGATTTTATTTTTTCTTTAGTATTAATAGAAGTTTTGAAACAGGTATGGGATCCTTAAAATAAATGATTCTTTAAGAAGTAAATGATTGTGAAGTACAGTATTTCATCTCTCAGGCTAATTTTCAAATTATTATTAATTTATATTTATAACATAAATAGTCTAACACAAAAATGGTTTCTAAACCAACTGTTTGTTTATTCTGTCCTCTCTTCCCACATATGGGAAACATCTTATTGAACTTAGTATTAATATAGACTTCATTTTGCCATATTTTTCAGAGATGAAATATTTCTTTTCAGTACTAAGCCGTCTTTATATTTTTAGCCCTTTTTCAGCTCGTATAATATTTATTCAGGGACGATATACAAAAATAATATTGGCACTGAAGTATGAAGCATAAACTTTAATATTCACATGCCAGTTATGTTTTATTTGTACTTTCAGATTCCACTTCATCCTGTCATAGACAGTTTGGTACATGATGTTATTAACTTGGCTTTCAAGCACTTTAAATATAAAGAAGGGTAAGGCTCTTTCCCACAAAAAACACAAAAAGAATTGCTTGCTGAATTGTTTATTAAAATTGTACTAGTTAAAGCAGGGTGCTTTCTCAACCATCTAATTATTTCTTGCTAGGTACCTTGGTCCTAACACTGGAAATATGCACATTGTTGCAGACCTGTATGCAGAAGTAATAGGTGTGCTAGCACAAGCTAAGTAAGTATACATAAATACATTGCCTACTGGAAATCTGAGAGATTTTCATTTTATCATTCTGGAAACATGGGTATTTTGATATTCTTTATCTTACAGTTTAAAGAAACTGTAAATCATTTCACCTGAGCACTCTGTTCTCCAAAATGTTTCATCGCACGGGAGCCTATGGAATCACAGAAGGTGCAGACTGGGCTTCTGCATCCAGTCAAGCAATTCTAGCTACATTCAACCAGACTACAACAGCTTTAGTTTTCATCACAGATGCTATCTGTGGAAAGCCTAAAGGGATGGAGAGATCTAATTTGAATGAATCTTTCTACTATGTGCCATTCTTTTCCTAACTTGGCAAAGCTAAAAATGACCCATACCCAGTCACGGAAACATTTTTTAAAATGTTTTAAATGTTCACTTTTAAATGTTCACAGCCTAAAGGGATGGAGAGACCTAATTTGAATGAGTCTTTTTACTATGTGCCATTCTTTCCCTAACTTGGCAAAGCTAAAAATGACCCATACCCAGTCATGGAAACATTTTTTAAATGTTCACAATTATTGCAGTTTAGAACTAAATTTAAGTGGTGCATTTTTTGGAGATTATACTAACGTCATAAAGATAATTTTGGGACCTGCTGCTATTTTGTCAAAAAATGGTCAAAGTTATTTTTAGGTTGAAATGAACATGAATGAAGCAAAATATTGGTTAGTTTAATAACCTTAAAGTTGCAAGTTGTTTTTTTCTCTTTTTCCATTCCCTTTTTTAACATATTATTTTTTTATATCGCTAGTTCTTTTATTTATCTTTTGTTTCTGTCCATTTTTTTATATTGTTCTTTGTTAATATACATTGTTATTAATTATATTAGAGTCAGGGAACTGTTTGTGGAAGCAGGCCCCACACTTAGTGTTTGCAGGACTGGGCTCCGATCCGATGAAGTGAGCTGTAGCTCACAAAAGCTTATGCTCAAATACATTTCTTAGTCTCTAAGGTGCCACAAGTACTCCTTTTCTTTTTGCGGATACAGACTAACACGGCTGCTACTCTGAAACCTGTAAAGTTGCAGTTTCCCAGTGTATGTCAAATAATACCACCACCTTCTAAAACATATTGGTATAGTGGATGCCATTAAAAAATCAGCATTTACCATCAGTTACTTACTACCCTGTAATATCTGAGAAACCACAGTATTTTCTTACACTTGGAATAGAAATTATCTCTGGTACCTAAGATACTGTGGTGTTGTAACAACTATCAGGAAAACCTGAAGGCTAGCACAACCTATCTGAACATTTTTATGATTATCATTTGAACATTTTCCTTTGAAAACTTGGCACATGCTTGCAATAAAAATATCTTTCATCCTGGATTTTCAAAAAAGTATGAGGATTTATTTTATGGTAGAGTTATCTTATGTATAAAAAGAAGCACAGTGAATTAAAATTTGGAAAGCACATTAGATGCAGTAATGTGAGAGGTCTAAGATCAGGCAACAAGATTTTTTCTCATTCTCCAAGCTTATGGGGACTGGGAATGTTGTGGAAACAGTACACTCAGCCTTTGGGAGGAAGGGGAGCATTTTGCATTGCTCTTGATCTGCCCATCCTGTCAATCTAGCTTTAATGTTTACAGGCACTAAGGGAGTTATGTTCAGCCATCTTTGACCATAAAGATGTGGCAACTTAATGAAGAGGTTTTGAAGAGGGAACTACTGGGAAAATGTTGGGGATGAGAGAGGGAGGCATCTCAGAGGACAGTGCACACACACAGATACCCTAAGTAAAAAAAACACACCTAGTAAGACATATTAAAACTCAAATAATGATTAATTATAGAATAAAAGAGATATAATATATCTGTTTTATTGTTTCTCTTCTAGGTACCTTACAATACATGTCAAATCGTACTACCAGTCTATTGTTTTGTAACTAACCAGTATGATTTCATAGATTTCCTGCTGTGAAGAAGAAATTCATGGCAGAATTAAAAGAGCTGCGGCATAAAGAGCAAAGCCCATACGTGGTTCAAAGCATTATCAGTCTAATAATGGGGATGAAATTCTTTCGCATTAAGATGTATCCCGTGGAGGACTTTGAAGCCTCTCTTCAGTTTATGCAGGTAACATTCTTTGATGTAGACCCCACTTGGGCTGTCTTAAACAGTTTAACTTGCCAAATTATATCATGCTCTAAAAGGTGGGGGAAATCATATTAGAATATGAAAAAAAATCCTCATTTGTTGGTCCTTAATGCGCAAAGGACATGATTCCTAAAAGATTAGCTTACATGTGGGTATCTTTATTCTTTTTCCCTGTGGGCATTTTTTGTGACAGATGGACACATTGGCAGTCGCCATTCATTTTTGTTAAAATCCTATTAAAAATACATGCTTTTTTACTGGCCTGTGTATGGAGACTAGCTGAGTGAAGATTTCTCATAGATAAAAATCAATATACCCTATGGTCATGTTAGGTGTCCTAAAGTAAGTATTTGAAATATTAATACAAATATATTTTTTGTTTTCTATAAAACCTAAATAGCAACTGCATAAGTCTTATTTTGGCAAAATGCTTTATATCATATTTAGCAACATAGAAACAATCTCTTTTTCCTCTTCTCTTTGGAGCAGCACACCCAAAGTCCATATTGGTTATGTTTCCATGTGTGCAGCCACATTCATGAATGCTGACATATTGTCATATAAGTTTTACGGAGGTGTCATGTTGCATGATTTTGTGTGTGTGAAATGTACATTGGTGGCATGAATAAATGGTAGTGTTTTCTGATAGTACAGTGCTATTGGGGCCCATTCTTGCTCCCTTTGAACGCAATGGCAAAATTCCCATTTAATGGAAGCAGGACTCGAATCTATCTAGATTTTTGAACTGTAGTCATCACCATACTATCTGTGTGCCAAACTCACCATCACACACAGAATATAAATGTATTATAATAGGTGCTAAAAGTATGTATTAAAATCAGACATACTTGATGTGTTTTATAATACAGCTTGCACTTTACACATATATTTACAGTATAATAATTATAAACTATGGGCTATATTGTAAATTGGTTTACACACCCATGCAAGGGAGGAAAAGATAGTAAGAACCGTCCTTGTATACTATATAGGCTGTGTGCTAACTAAAGCAGGGAGACGCACTGTCCCTGATACCCTTTTATGTGGCTATGGAAAAAGTGGTCTGATAATTGCAGAATTCTCAGGATGGGGTGAATTTATAAAGGGCCTTCACCAACTCATTGGATGTGCTGATGACCTGGCTATTGTAGAAGATAGAAGGAAAACCCTTATAAAGCCTATATTTTATGTGGATGAGAGACCTGGCTTCTTGCTAAAAAGGAAGAAAGGCAGCTAACTACCTTCAAAAATAAAGTCTTGATATGAGTTTTGGGGGTAGTAAGGGAGAATGATATATAGAACAGATTCTAATAGGGAACTGTTGGAAGTCTATGAAGAACCAAAACTATAGTAAATATAGTGAAATCTCAACAACTCCAGTGAGCAGAGCATGTATTTAGGACAGAAGACAGACCAGCTAAACTGTTCTTGGAGGGACATCCATGTGGTGTCGAACCATTGAAGAAGAAGATGGAAGGATAATGTTGATCAAGACCTGAGAGCTCTTAATGTGAATTATCATCAATGGGGAAAAAATGATCGTCACAGGAAGGGATGGAGGCAAATCACGAGGGTGGCTAGGGACCTGTGTGGTCTCTAGAGCCAGGGAGGAGGAGGAGTATCTGTCTAGGCCTTGGGCCAAGATATGCAGGAGTACCTGGAGCTAGGTGCCTGTTTACTCCATTTCCAGAGCAGTTGAGAAGAGAGGAGTGTGGAATGGGCACATCCTTGGCTCCTTCCCCTCTAACTCACTGCCAATACAGCTTTGGGGATGGGAGTATTAATTTATTGCAGGTATAGCCCCATTATAAATTACCACCCTCCACAGTGAATCGCTCCATTCTGAACCACAATTCATGCTCTCAGAATTACTGTAGGTGTGTCCTTGAAACATAATCTAACCCAAAATATTTAGGGCAGGATTGTCCCTTGGTCCATCCGCCCACTTAGTGGAGTAAAGAGGCAAAAGGTGATTCCATATTCCCCTCTGTGGGCTATGTGCCAGATGGATCCGAATGCAGGGCTGTTACTACTGCTCCCACACAGATGGCTAGGCAGGGATGGGGATTGTGGGAAGCCTTGCATTTGGCCCCCCAGTTAACTAGCCTGCACAAGCTAAAGCAAATGGAGAGTCATGGACAGAGCCACAATTCCCGCCTGATCTGTTCCTGGGGCTATGCACTGCCTCATGCTCAGGGCAGATTGTGAATACGGAACCTAAACCTTAATTGACGTATAAAACGTTCTTTGCAGTATAAGAAACAAAAGCTATCACGTGCTTTTAGCAAACACTGAGATGTCTTTATTCCACCTGATGTGTAATTTTTTTTCTTCTCTTTAATTGTCTACCAGGAATGTGCACATTATTTCCTTGAAGTGAAGGACAAAGATATCAAACATGCATTAGCAGGACTGTTTGTTGAAATTCTTGTCCCTGTAGCTGCTGTGAGTTTTATTTATTTGTTTATTTATTTGCATGACTTTTTTCATGTTAGATTCGAAAGTCAATGTACGAAAAACAGTGTTAACATGAAATCTCTTTTCAGGCTGTTAAAAATGAAGTGAATGTCCCCTGTCTGAGGAACTTTGTTGAAAGCCTGTATGACACAACACTCGAGCTTTCTTCTCGAAAGAAGCACTCACTGGTAAGTAATCCTGAGAAGCTGAAGCTAAAATTCTTTGTCAGAAGTCTCTCTTGGCAAGATTCTCAAAGGGTTTGCAGAATTGTTGCAAAACCATTCATCTGCATCTGGCTCAACGTACAATTAATTGCTATTTCAAAAGTATATGCTATATCCAATCTATTTTAGTCTGAATCCTCTAGGTGTTTTCAGATCCTGCAAATTATTATTATAAAATGGTCAACACCTGTTGTGTCTGACCATTAGCACAGAGGAAAAACTTAACAGAGAGTGCATTGCCTGTCAAGTGAGAACTAATGGGACAAGTGGGAACAGCTCTTTCAAAGTGGTTAAGTAATGTTTTGCAGGAACAAACCAATATATGACAGCCTTTTAAAATGGCAGTGCCTTTTTAAACAGCATGTCGGCTAAGAAGCTCTCTATGTCATATTTTCTTGAGAGATTTACAGTGGCATAAAAGTGTATTGTTGGGAGCGATAGCTGAAGTGGATTAAATGGAGCACTGAGTCAGGTTGACACTGGCTGCCTTAAGCATTCTATCTTTCCAACTGGGTCAGTGCACCTCAGCACTGAGGCGTCTATTAATCCATTTTGAAGTCTTTGGGCTTTTAAGAAAAGAAAGTTATTTTCATTGGTCCTTTCTTATTTTATGTAAAATTCAAAAGGACCTCCCTGTCCCCCACTATCTCTCTGAGGGTTGGGAAGTGATGCTATCAGATTTCATTGATGGACTCGTACAGGCACACTTGTGACTGCTGCTGTCATTACTCCAGCCAGTTCCAGAAGGGAGTCAAAATACTTCTTTCTGGGTGAAATTCTGCCTCCATTGAAGTCAGTGGTAGTTTTGCCATTGGCTACAATGGAGCCAGGATTTCTCCCTTTAGGCACATATGTAGCCAACCCTGTTGGCGGATGCAGACACACTGATAACACTTTGTTGAAACTACAGCAAACTAAGGATCCAATTCTTCAATCATAGAATCATAAAATATCAGGGTTGGAAGGGACTTCAGGAGGTCATCTAGTCCAACCCCCTGCTCAAAGCAGGACCAATCCACAACTAAATCATCTCAGCCAGGGCTTTGTCAAGCCTGACCTTAAAAACCTCAAAGGAAGGAGATTCCACCACCTCCCTAGGTAACTCATTCCAATGCTTCATCACCCACCTACTGAAAAAGTTTTTCCTAATATCCAATCTAAACCTCCCCCACTGCAACTTGAGACCATTACTCCTTGTTCTGCTTCTGCTACCACTGAGAACAGTCTAGATCCATCCTCTTTGGAACCCCCTTTCAGGTGGTTGAAAGCAGCTATCAAATCCCATCTCATTCTTCTCTTCTGCAGACTAAACAATCCCAGTTCTCTCAGCCTCTCCTCATAAGTCATGTGTTCCAGTCCCCTAATCATTTTTGTTTCCCTCTGCTGGACGCTTTCCAATTTTTCCACATCCTTCTTGTAGTGTGGGGCCCCAAACTGGACACAGTACTCCAGATGAGGCCTCACCAATGTCGAATAGAGGGGAACGATCACGTCCCTCAATCTGCTGGCAATGCCCCTACTTATACATCCCAAAATGCCATTGGCCTTCTTGGCAACAAGGGCACACTGTTGACTCATATCCAGCTTCTCGTCCACTGTCACTCCTAGGTCCTTTTCTGCAGAACTGCTGCCGAGCCATTCGGTCTCTAGTCTCTAGTGGTGCATGGGATTCTTCCGTCCTAAGTGCGGGACTCTGCACTTGTCCTTGTTGAACCTCATCAGATTTCTCTTGGCCCAATCCTCTAATTTGTCTAGGTCCCTCTGTATCCTATCCCTACCCTCCAGTGTATCTACCACTCCTCCCAGTTTAGTGTCATCTGCAAACTTGCTGAGGGTGCAATCCACATCATCCTCCAGATCGTTAATGAAGATATTGAACAAAACTGGCCCCAGGACTGACCTTTGGGGCACTCCGCTTGATACCGGCTGCCACCTAGACAGGGAGCCATTGAGCCCGATGATCTAGCCAGCTTTCTATCCACCTTATAGTCCATTCATCCAGTCCATACTTCTTTAACTTGCTGGCAAGAATATTGTGGGAGACTGTATCAAAAGCTTTGCTAAAGTCAAGGAATAACATGTCCACTGCTTTCCCCTCATCCACAGAGCCAGTTATCTTGTCATAGAAGGCAATTAGATTAGTCAGGTATGACTTACCCTTGGTGAATCCATGCTGACTGTTCCTGATCACTTTCCTCTCCTCTAAGTGCTTCAGAATTGATTCCTTGAGGACCTGCTCCATGATTTTTCCAGGGACTGAGGTGAGGCTGACTGGCCTGTAGTTCCCTGGATCCTCCTTCCCTTTTTTAAAGATGGGCACTACATTAGCCTTTTTCCAGTCATCCGAGAGCTCCCCCGATCGCCATGAGTTTTCAAAGATAATGGCCAATGGCTCTGCAATCACATCCGCCAACTCCTTCAGCACTCTCGGATGCGGCGCATCTGGCCCCATGGACTTGTGCTCATCCAGCTTTTCTAAATAGTCCTGAACCACTTCTTTCTCCACAGAGGGCTGGTCACCTCCTCCCCATGCTGTGCTGCCCAGTGCAATAGTCTGGGAGCTGACCTTGTTCGTGAAGACAGAAGCAAAAAAAATCATTGCGTACATTAGCTTTTTCCACATCCTCTGTCACTAGGTTGCCTCCCTCATTCAGTAAGGGGCCCACACTTTCCTTGACTTTCTTCTTGTTGCTAACATACCTGAAGAAACCCTTCTTGTTACTCTTAACATCTCTTGCTAGCTGCAACTCCAAGTGTGATTTGGCCTTCCTGATTTCACTCCTGCATGTGTGCCCAGTATTTTTATGCTCCTCCCTGGTCATTTGTCCAATCTTCCACTTATTGTAAGCTTCTTTTTTGTGTTTAAGATGAGCAAGGATTTCACTAAAAGAAAAGGAGTACTTGTGGCACCTTAGAGACTAACCAATTTATTTGAGCATGAGCTTTCGTGAGCCACAGCTCACTTCATCAGATGTGTACCGTGGAAACTGCAGCAGACTTTATATACACACAGAGAATATGAAACAATACCTCCTCCCACCCCACTGTCCTGCTGGTAATAGCTTATCTAAAGTGATCAACAGGTGGGCCATTTCCAGCACAAATCCAGGTTTTCTCACCCTCCACCCCCCCACACAAATTCACTCTCCTGCTGGTGCTAGCCCATCCAAAGTGACAACTCTTTACATAATCAAGTCGGGCTATTTCCTGCATAGATCCAGGTTTTCTCACTTCCCCCCCACCCCCATACACACACAAACTCACTCTCCTGCTGGTAATAGCTCATCTAAACTGACCACTCTCCAAGTTTAAATCCAAGTTAAACCAGAATATCTGGGGGGGGGGGTAGGAAAAAACAAGAGGAAACAGGCTACCTTGCATAATGACTTAGCCACTCCCAGTCTCTATTTAAGCCTAAATTAATAGTATCCAATTTGCAAATGAATTCCAATTCAGCAGTTTCTCGCTGGAGTCTGGATTTGAAGTTTTTTTGTTTTAAGATAGCGACCTTCATGTCTGTGATTGCGTGACCAGAGAGATTGAAGTGTTCTCCGACTGGTTTATGAATGTTATAATTCTTGACATCTGATTTGTGTCCATTTATTCTTTTACGTAGAGACTGTCCAGTTTGACCAATGTACATGGCAGAGGGGCATTGCTGGCACATGATGGCATATATCACATTGGTGGATGTGCAGGTGAACAAGCCTCTGATAGTGTGGCTGATGTTATTAGGCCCTGTGATGGTGTCCCCTGAATAGATATGTGGGCACAATTGGCAACGGGCTTTGTTGCAAGGATAAGTTCCTGGGTTAGTGGTTCTGTTGTGTGGTATGTGGTTGTTGGTGAGTATTTGCTTCAGGTTGCGGGGCTGTCTGTAGGCAAGGACTGGCCTGTCTTCCAAGACTTGTGAGAGTGTTGGGTCATCCTTTAGGATAGGTTGTAGATCCTTAATAATGCGTTGGAGGGGTTTTAGTTGGGGGCTGAAGGTGACCGCTAGTGGCGTTCTGTTATTTTCTTTGTTAGGCCTGTCCTGTAGTAGGTAACTTCTGGGAACTCTTCTGGCTCTATCAATCTGTTTCTTTACTTCTGCAGGTGGGTATTGTAGTTGTAAGAAAGCTTGACAGAGATCTTGTAGGTGTTTGTCTCTGTCTGAGGGGTTGGAGCAAATGCGGTTGTATCGCAGAGCTTGGCTGTAGACGATGGATCGTGTGGTGTGGTCAGGGTGAAAGCTGGAGGCATGCAGGTAGGAATAGCGGTCAGTAGGTTTCCGGTATAGGGTGGTGTTTATGTGGCCATTGTTTATTAGCACTGTAGTGTCCAGGAAGTGGATCTCTTGTGTGGACTGGACCAGGCTGAGGTTGGTGGTGGGATGGAAGTTGTTGAAATCATGGTGAAATTCCTCAAGGGCTTAGAAGATGGGCTAGCACCAGCAGGAGAGTGAATTTGTGTGGGGGGGTGGAGGGTGAGAAAACCTGGATTTGTGCTGGAAATGGCCCACCTGTTGATCACTTTAGATAAGCTATTACCAGCAGGACAGTGGGGTGGGAGGAGGTATTGTTTCATATTCTCTGTGTGTATATAAAGTCTGCTGCAGTTTCCACGGTACACATCTGATGAAGTGAGCTGTGGCTCACGAAAGCTCATGCTCAAATAAATTGGTTAGTCTCTAAGGTGCCACAAGTACTCCTTTTCTTTTTGCGAATACAGACTAACACGGCTGTTCCTCTGAAACCTGTCAAGGATTTCACTGTTAAGCCTGCCATATTTACTATTCTTTCTACACATCGGGATGGTTTGTTCCTGTAACCTCAATAAGGATTCTTTAAAATACAGCCAGCTCTGCTGGACTCCTTTCCCCCTCATGTTATTTTCCCAGGGGATCCTGCCCATCAGTCCCTGAGGGAGTCAAAGTCTGCTTTTCTGAAGTCCAGTGTCCGTATTCTGCTGCTCTCCTTTCTTCCTTGTGTCAGGATCCTGAACTCGACCATCTCATGATCACTGCCTCCCTCCAATCCTTATGCTGAGTAGAACTTTCCTAAACAAATAACCTCATTGCAGATAATGGAGCTACTCACTAGAGTAAATGCTACTCAATTTGAGTAAGGGATAGAGTTGGGGCCTTTCTGTGTGATTGCTTACATACAGATACCACATAATGAAAAGTAATGAAATAGAATAGACTCCTGGGCACTGTTCCCTCTAAGCTGTGGCTGTGTGCGCGCGCACACAGATCCTAAACCCCGCGCACACGACGAAACACTGTGCTCACAAATTTTTGCACAGAAGCACAACAATTTGCACAGAAGCATTTTTTTGCGTGCACAGCCTGTCAAAAATTAGAGGGAACATTGCTCCAGGGATGATCTATTAGAAAAGCAAACATTGCAAAGAAGAAAAGAATGGTAAGCAGCTAGCAGTGAAAGCAGTAGCTGCAGATATTTCCAAGGGAAGGGCTATTGGCCTTCTTTAAACAAGAATACAAGCTACTTTAAATTTTAGGGGATGAACTTTTGCTATGAGAATTATGTTTTGGGGATTATTAGTCATTGTTCAGTCAATATGTATGTAACCTATCTTGTCCTGTAGGCAGGGCCCTCCCTAGGGGGGTGCGGGGCCCGGGACATAGGCGCCAAGTTTCTAATCTACTGGGGGGTGCTCCCCCCTGGCTCCACCCAGGCCCCACCCCCACTCTGCTTCTTCCCACACCTGCTCCACCCCTCCCTGCCTCTTCCCTGCCCAGTTCCACTGCATCCTATGAGCACACTGCGCCCTCGCTCCCCTCTCCCCCAGCACCTCCTGATGCCGGGAAACATCTGATCCGTGGCAGGTGGTAGGCACTGTGAGGGAGGGGAGGTGCTGATTGGCGGGGCTCGCCAGCAGGCAGGAGGCGCTGGGCGGAGGGGGAGGTTTTGGTATGGGGGCTCCTCCTCACAACCCCCACCTGCCTGCCTGCCTGCTGCTAGCCACTCGCCTCCCCGTTTGCCTCCTCACCCCTCCCACCTCATCTCCCTACTTGCCTCCTCATGATTTTATTGAAGCGCAGGGGCCCCCAGAGCACGGGGCCTGGGGCGGTCGCCCCAATTCGCTGTACCCAAGGGACGGCTCTGCCTGTAGGGGCTGTTCATCTGCCACATACAAAAGTCTGGTGAGGAAGCCTTTTGTGAGGAAGCTTTAATTCTCCTCTGGGTACTACATTTCTGTGTGTTTTGATGTAGAACGCTAAAAAGTTATATGTATTTGGTCTTATGTGTCAGTGAACTTGGAGTTAAACTAGCTCGGGGCAGGCAAACTTTTTGGCCTGAGGGCCGCATCGGGTTTCAGAAATTGTATGGAGGGTCAGTTAGAGGAGGCTGTGCCTCTGCAAACAGCCAGGCACGGCCCAGGCCCCGCCCCCTATCTGACCCCCACTGCTTCTTGCCCCCTGATGGCCCCCCTGGGACTCCTGCCCCATCCAACCCCCCCCCATTCCCTGACAGCCCCCCGGGACCCGTGCCCCTAACTGCCCCCCGTCACCCCATCCAACCCCCCCCCTTCCTGACTGCCCTCCCAGGACCCCTGCCCCATCCAACCACCCCTTCTCCCTGCTCCCTGACCACTCCCAGAACCCCCGCCCCTGACTGCCCCCCACCGCCCCATCCAACCCCCCCTCTCGTTCCTGACTGCCCCCCCGAACCCCTGCCCAATCCAACTACCCCGTCTCCCTGCTCCCTGACCACCCCTGGAACCGCCCCACCTGCCCCCCACCACCCCATCCAACCCCCCTCTCCTTCCTGACTGCCATCCCTCCCGGGACCCCTGCCCCATCCAACCACCCCTTCTCCCTGACCGCACCCGGAACCCCTGCCCCCATTCAACCCCCCTGTTCCCCGCCCTCTGACTGCCCTGACCCCTATCCACACCCCAGGCCCCAACCACCCCCAAACTCCCCTGCCCTCTATCCAACTCCCCCCCCCCCACTCCCTGCCCCCTGACCGCACTGCCTGGAGCACCGGTGGCTGGTGGCACTACAGTCGCGCTGCCCAGAGCACCAGGACAGGCAGCCATGCCGCCCGGCTGGAGCCAGCCACGCCACCGCGCAGCACAGAGCACCGGGTCAGGCCACGGCCCTGCAGCTGCGCTGCCCCAGGTGCTCGCAGCCCCACTGCCTAGAGCGTTGTGCCGGCGGCGCAGTGAGCTGAAGCTGCGGGGGAGGGAGGACAGAGAGGGAGGGGCTGGGGGTAGCTTCCCTGGGCCAGGACCTCAGGGGCCAGGCAGAACAGTCCTGCGGGCTGTAGTTTGCCCACCTTTGAACTAGCTACAGACAATGTGTGCCCTAGGTTGAGAGAAACAGGATTTGGATTTTACAGTGAGGTTTACATTTAGGGGCAAGCCTGAGGCTGAAATTTTAGGGTTAGTATTAAGACTCAGTTGTGTTTATGGTGCAGAAAGCTGCCTCCTCTTTGGTCATTGTTTTTTAAACAATGCATTTAAATAAGAACTGGCTGCATTTAAATGAGAACTGACCCAGAGGAGGAGCTTGGAACAGCAAGGTCACTGTCAAAATCAAGATTTATTCCTGACTTTTAGCCTAATCTTTTAGCTTAACAATAGCAATGCAAATGTCAAACATTGGTCAGAACAGATTTGGGAAAAGAACACCGCACACAGTTTTTGATTTTTCTATCCTTTGTCTTGCATGTTTTTACACTCTGAGTAACTACCCTCCAGAAGGCTTATGTTTTGACCGTAATTTAAACCATGTGCCCCTGGGATCTGACAGGTCTTCAAATAAATGACCATGGATTCTGAGGGGAGTTAGGTCTTCTGTAAACAACAAACAATGGCCTATGGGGATTCTAATGCTGAGTATGGTACGCAAAGCAATTCCTCAGCTACTACATTTTTCAGTTAACTGACACAGAAATTAGCCCTGTGCTGCTGCAAAATTTTGGCTCATTTTTAGGATTTATGAACAGTGATATAGTTAGGCATTTGATTGTTTTTGGTGCAAATGTAATTCTTCATTTGTACAGAGTAAATCATACAAATTCATAACAGCTTTAGAGATACATTCCTTTTAAATTATGTTATTGAACAATGTGTTTATGTTGGCTGGTGTATATAGCATAACACAGGGGCTCTAGGACTCTAAATGTACAATGGTTCTAGTGTTAAATTAGTTTGATGTTTTGTTGACATACAAATAATCCTGTATCATCTTTCTTTCTATTTAGGCTTTGTATCCTTTGGTAACATGCCTGCTTTGTGTCAGTCAGAAGCAATTCTTTTTAAACAGATGGCATATTTTCCTCAACAACTGCCTATCCAATCTCAAAGTTAGTATCTTATTTTCTTATTTAATACTTTGCTAGCTCACTGTACGTAGCCTGGGTCATCTTTAGTTTTACGTGATTTAGCTTTTTGATAATAGCTGAATCTATCAGTAATTTTATTTCTTAGCAATGCTTTTATAATTTAACAATACAGATTTGTCAATGAAAAAAATATTCCTATGCCTAGTTTGAATTTCTCATATCTTTGTTAATGGAGAGTGGCTTGACCAAACAACCCAAATATTGCATATGCATGTGAGGACAGACTAAATTGTTGGTAAAAGTTAGCCAGGAATGGAGTGGAAGAAGAAAATTGCAAAATGTTATTTTTGAACCTTTTATTTCATTCATTCTTAAACTGGAGCACTTGCTGCTAGCCTGAGGATAGCTGGCTGGTCACATGGTACTGATTCTCCTTTTTTCAATCTGAAAGTCTCATTAAAGAAACTAAAACTAAATTAAAATGTTTGTGGTACTCCTGTTTCTGTCCACCTAAACAACTGATGTTCTTTATTTAGTTAGTTAAAGTGTTATTAGTTATTTAGTTTGGTGTGTTTAAATCATTCTGACATATTTGTAAATGTTTTAAATGTCTTTATTTAGTGACTGTGGCTTGAGTAATGTTAAAATTAAATATGTTGTTCATGCTAATACATGAAGCTCTGCATTAGTAAAGCTATCCTTTCATGCTCACTTATACTGTACGTTAACTGGAAAGCTGCTTGGTCAAAGTTCAGACCAATGTCATTCAGGCACATAAATCAGCAGAAGAGGGAGGGAGTTAGGTGGGACAATGAAAGCATTTCTGTGTTCTAAACAGTAAGATAAGGTGGTTTTTAGAAAGTTGTCTGTAGGCTTTACTTTATACCTTATACCACCTTAAACTTATCTCAGCTAATCAATTTTTGGATGGTTAGCAAGCATTCAAGAAACAAAGGTTTTTATGTGGGTTTTTTTGTGGGGCCTTTTAAAAACCTAATACATAGGCATAGTTTGGGAGGACATGGGGGCGGGGAGGGCAGCATTGCTCCCCAAACTGCAAGCCCTGGGCAAGTGTGGAATTTGCTTCCCCCCCCCCAACCCTGCTCAGCCCCGTTGGCCTGGCTGGAGCAACTTCCTGAACTACGCCTGTGACCTCATATGGTGGATATTATTATTTGCTTTGCATAGATATGTACTTTACAGTATTACAGACTTATCCCAACCTGCCAGAATAAAATCCCATCTGCTCCTCAGCAAACTCCCATTGACTTCTATATGGCCAAGACATCACCCTGGCAGAAATAGATAAAGTATGTGATTGTCAGGAAACTTGGGCACTTTCAGACCAGAGGGATAAAAGTTCCGGAGTCAAAGGCCATCACTGAGAATAACATGTTATAAGCTAGGAACTATAAGTAACACTCAGGCATCCCAGATGACCTCATTAGCTAGGGTAGAATGAAGTTAAAGCTGAAAAGAAGAGACGAAGCAATGGAACTGCCCATGAATAAATCCCAGATGACCACTGCAAATATTTGGATGTATTAGGGCAAAATTATAGAGGAATTTCGGAGTAATACAAATTCTGCCCTTATATTAAAAGGGAATCAAGTGGGCCTGCTGTATGTGCCACTGTGATTGCAGGGCAGAATCTCTCAGGGTATACCAAAACCATGCACCAACAGTTATCCTGTGCTGCTGTTTTAAAAGAAGCAACATGTTTCTCTGGTTAGCATGTGCTGCTAGTGGGGGTGGGGCTGGACAGATTCCATAGCTGGCATATCGCGACACCTCTGGAATGTGGTGCACCAACTAATTCAGTTACGGGTCTCCTCATAGCCATCTGGGGAGTGCTAGGTAGAGATACTTCGTCTTATGGCCAGCAGCTCTGCACTGCCCTGTAGCACAAAACAAACAGTAAATTGCTGTAAGGACATAGGTGAGAGATTCCCCTGATGGATCAGAATCTGGAAGTAGAGTATCATAGAATCATAGAATATCAGGGTTGGAAGGGACCCCAGAAGGTCATCTAGTCCAACCCCCTGCTCGAAGCAGGACCAATTCCCAGTTAAATCATCCCAGCCAGGGCTTTGTCAAGCCTGACCTTAAAAACCTCTAAGGAAAGAGATTCTACCACCTCCCTAGGTAACGCATTCCAGTGTTTCACCACCCTCTTAGTGAAAAAGTTTTTCCTAATATCCAATCTAAACCTCCCCCACTGCAACTTGAGACCATTACTCCTCGTTCTGTCATCTGCTACCATTGAGAACAGTCTAGAGCCATCCTCTTTGGAACCCCCTTTCAGGTAGTTGAAAGCAGCTATCAAATCCCCCCTCATTCTTCTCTTCTGCAGGCTAAACAATCCCAGCTCCCTCAGCCTCTCCTCATAAGTCATGTGTTCCAGACCTCTAGTCATTTTTGTTGCCCTTCGCTGGACTCTCTCCAATTTATCCACATCCTTCTTGAAGTGTGGGGCCCAAAACTGGACACAGTACTCCAGATGAGGCCTCACCAATGTCGAATAGAGGGGAACGATCACGTCCCTCGATCTGCTCGCTATGCCCCTACTTATACATCCCAAAATGCCATTGGCCTTCTTGGCAACAAGGGCACACTGTTGACTCATATCCAGCTTCTCGTCCACTGTCACCCCTAGGTCCTTTTCCGCAGAACTGCTGCCTAGCCATTCGGTCCCTAGTCTGTAGCTGTGCATTGGGTTCTTCCGTCCTAAGTGCAGGACCCTGCACTTATCCTTATTGAACCTCATCAGATTTCTTTTGGCCCAATCCTCCAATTTGTCTAGGTCCTTCTGTATCCTATCCCTCCCCTCCAGCGTATCTACCACTCCTCCCAGTTTAGTATCATCCGCAAATTTGCTGAGAGTGCAATCCACACCATCCTCCAGATCATTTATGAAGATATTGAACAAAACCGGCCCCAGGACCGACCCTTGGGGCACTCCACTTGATACCGGCTGCCAACTAGACATGGAGCCATTGATCACTACCCGTTGAGCCCGACAATCTAGCCAGCTTTCTACCCACCTTATAGTGCATTCATCCAGCCCATACTTCCTTAACTTGCTGTAAATCCAGTGTAGCCAGCTGCATGCTTTTACTTGCTCCTCCTCCCCTCTGGCACAGGGGGAACTGTAGGACAAACTGTGGTTATTAAGGGTCTACTTGCTTAACTTTGAGAATGGTGAGCAGTACAACAGAGGTCAATAAAGCTTACTCATTTGACTGAATGTTTTCCTGGATCAAGGCCAAAATTATGCTAGATGCTGAAAAGTGACTTAGGCCTTGTCTACACTGTGAAATTAGGTCTATTTTATAGAAGTCGATTTTTAGAAACCGATTTTATACAGTCGATTGCATATGTCCACATTAAGCACATTAAGTCGGCGGAGTGCATCCTCACTACCGTGGTTAGCATCGATTACAGAGTGGTGCACTGTGGGTAGCTATCGCACAGTTCCCGCAGTCTCCACTGCCCACTGGAATTCTGGGTTAAGCTCCCAATGCCTGATGGGACAAAAACATTGTCGCAGATGGTTTTGGGTACATGTCGTCAGGCCCCACTTCATCCCTTCCTCCATGAAAGCAACGGCAGACAATCGTTTCACGCCTTTTTCTGGGTTACCCATGCAGACACCATAACACGGCAAGCATGGAGCCCGCTCAGCTCACAGTCACCGTACGTCTCCTGGGTGCTGCTGGCAGATGCGGTACTACATTGCTACACAGCAGCAGCTCCTTGCCTTCGCAGCTGACGGTGCAGTAGGACTGATAGCCGTTGTACGTCTCCTGGGTGCTCCTGGCAGACCTCAGTGAGGTCGACCAGGGGCGCCTCGACAGACATGGCTATTCTCCTCTTAGAGCACCGAATGGGAGCCAGAGACTCCAGGTCATTCTCTTCTTTAAGTTTCATCTCATGGAGATTCAGTCCTGCCTGGAATATCATGCGAGCTGGAGGCTTCTGTCTCAGGTTGCTCTCCCAGCCAGCAGCACCACGTGGTCGCACCTACCCCAGCCTACCCTTGCTCCCATGGCTCATGAAGCCTAGACAGTAGTAAGGAGCAGTTCAACTATAGGGTGAGCAAGTGCAGAATGGTGGTAGAATGTGCCTTTGGACGATTAAAAGCTTGCTGGTGCTGTTTGCTGACTAGGTCAGACCTCAGCGCAACCAACATTCCCATCGTTATTGCTGCTTGCTGTGTGCTCCATAATATCTGTGAGAGTAAGGGGGGGACATTTATGGCAGGGTGGGAGGTTGAGGCAAATCGCCTGGCATCCGATTTTGAACAGCCAGACACGAGGGTGATTAGAAGAGCACAACAAGGCGTGCTGCGCATCAGAGACGCTTTGAAAACCAGTTTCATGACTGGCCAGGCTTCAGTGTGACAGCTGTGTGTGTTTCTCCTTGGTGCAAACCCGCCCCCTTTGTTGATTTTAATTCCCTGTAAGCCAGCCACCCTCCCCCCTTCGAAATAAAGTAACTATTGTTTTGAAACCATGCATTCTTTCTTTATTAATTAAAAAAAAAAAGAGATAACGGACAAGGTAGCCTGGATGGGGTCGGGGAGGAGGGAAGGACAAGGCCACATATCTTATTGTAGCCACACTAAAAATCAAACTGTTTGAATGACAGCCTTCTGTTGCTTGGGCCATCCTCTGAAGTGGAATGGCTGGGTGCCCGGAGCCTCCCCCCCCCCCCCCCGCGTTCTTGGACCTCTGGATGAGGGGGCTATGGAACATGGGGAGGAGGGTAGGCGGTTATACAGTGGATGCAGCGGGGGGTCTGTGCTCTTGTTGGCTTTTCTGCAGCTCCAACAGACGCTTCATCATCTCCATTTGCTCCCCCATTAGCCTCACCATCGCGTCCTGCCTCCGCTATTCGCACTCACTTAATTCTTTCCTGGCCTCTGCCACTGAATGCCTCCATGCATTGCCCTATCAGTGCGGGAGGACTCTGTAGTTTCCGCATTGGAGTGTTGCTCTTTTAAGACTTCTGAAAGCATGCTTCACACCTCATCCCTCTCAGATTTTGGAAGGCACTTCAGATTCTTAAACCTTGGGTCGAGTGCTGTAGCTATTTTTAGAAATCTCACATTGGTGCCTTCTTTGCATTTTGTCAGATCTGCAGTGACAGTGTTCTTAAGTCAAACAACATGTGCTGGGTCATCATGCGAGACTGCTATAACATGAAATATATGGCAGAATGCGGGTAAAACAGAGCAGGGGACATACAGTTCTCCCCCAAGGAGTTCAGTCACAAATTTTATTAATGCACTATTTTTTTTTACAAACATCATCAGCATGGAAGCATGTCCTCTGGAATGGTGGCTGAAGCATGAAGGGGCATATGAATGTTTAGCATATCTTGCATGTAAATACCTTGCAAAGCCTGCTACAAAAGTGCCATGCGAATGCCTGTTCTCATTTTCAGGTGACATTATAAATAAGAAGCAGGCAGCAGCATCTCCCATAAATGTAAACAAACTTGTTTGTCTTAGCGATTGGCTGAACAAGAAGTAGGACTGAGTGGACTTGTAGGCTCTAAAGTTTTATATTGTTTTGTTTTTGAGTGCAGTTATGGAACAAAAAAAATCTACATTTGTAAGTTACACTTTCACAATAGAGATTGCACTACAGTACTTGTATGAGGTGAATTGAAAAATACTATTTATTTTAACTATCATTTTTACAATGCAAATATTTGTAATAAAAAATATAAAGTAAGCACTGTAGCTACCCAAAGGCTAAAACAACTGAGCACCACACCAGATGAAGGGGAAACAGGAGACTTTACTGGTTCAAACTTCCAAAAAAACCCAACACAGATGTTATTCTCAGCCTCAAATGTTACCCAGTCTGACTGGTCATTCTATCTAAGTTTAAATGTTGTCATTTTTAAATGTGTGCAGTATATAATACATTTATTGGATGTATGATTAATATCAGTGCATAAAAATGGAATAAGATTTGTATTATCAAAAGTCTGACAGCTTAATTGAAGATGAAATTTTTGTCTAGATTTGAATAGGATTGGTTTCCATAGTGATTCTTAATTGCACTACATCTCATCTATTTTATGCTAACACAGACACTTAGGATGTCTGAAATCTTTAATAGTATTTTAAAAGATGGGTCATTTAGAAACAAGTTTTAAAAAACTTTTCAGATTAAATTCTGTACAATGATAATGTTATATGTTTTTCTATGTGCCAGTACTATATTTGGGCATCAAGCAGCTGTGTGTTTCCACGTCTTTTTATGATGCTCAGTACCAAAGCTATAAATCTTGGCATGCACTAAGAGTGGATATGCAGCCCAAACTTCCTTTATAGGTTGTGCTCCTAGAAAGAATTAGAAGGATTTGTAGAGTTAAGACTTAACTGGCTGAAATCTATTGTTTGCTTGTGTTTTTCTTCTAGAACAAGGACCCCAAAATGGCTCGAGTTGCACTGGAGTCTCTCTACAGACTACTATGGGTTTACATGATTAGAATTAAATGTGAAAGCAATACAGCTACCCAGAGGTAAAGTTTTGCAGTTGTAATTGTAACCAGGCCCCTTTGCTGTGGATGTTTCCATTGTAGAAGTCCAGTGGCTCCACTGAGTGTCCTTGATCTAGAAGAGATTCTTCTGTCAAATGTGCACAATAAAGTATTCCCTTTTGTGACATTTAACAATTTTTCTCCTGCTTTTTGCAATTACTATACCAAAAGCTTTTGCTTTTGGAAGAGCCAGAATATAAACAGACTCACTCTTTTCTTCTGGAAATAGTGGAAATTGAAAGAGAAGTGTGTTATTGGCAGGATTGTGGATGCTTGCAGCACAATAACAAAATAGCAATAACTCCAAACTTAGAAACAAAGAAATAGAGCAAGCTACTACTGCACCTTTTAATTTGGAAACGCCTCTCCATACCTGAGGCTTTCTAAATGAGACCAAGATTTCCAGACAGAATTTGGGATGATTAAACAAGAAGATACACCTGCCACTCATCTGCAAGGAATGGAACTGTGCTAATACTTGCTTTTTTCTTTTCTTAGTCGACTTATAACCATTGTCACAACGCTATTCCCAAAAGGGTCCCGTGGTGTGGTACCAAGGGATATGCCTCTAAACATCTTTGTGAAAATTATACAGTTCATTGCACAGGTATGGAAAAGAACTGTGTCCAAGTAATGAATAATTTATTTTCCTAATAAATTATTAATAGCAGAATAAACTCGGTATTGTGTCACTTTATTCATCCCCCACTAATGATAGCCTTCTCTTAGGCAATGGTAAATTGTGGGTGTGGATTAGGCTAGAAATGATAGTGGAGTTGCACTGGTGTAAAACAAGGGAAAGTGGCAGGATCGGTTCCAGTAATGCAATTTTAATGCACCAGGGACTGACACACATAATGTTATTCGGTATTAATGGGAGTTTACCACATAAATTCTGCACTCACAGTAGAATTCTAGTCTCCTTTGTGGCTTCAGTTCAGCAAACCATCCCCATTTAGCAAAGCACTTACATGTATGCTTAAAATTAAGCCCTTGCTTAAGTGCTTTGCTAAATGGGCTTGCACTTAAGCATATACTTAAATGCTTTGCTGAATTTTAGACGCATTGCATCTGTGAATAGACTTTTGTTTTATAAAATAGCACATTAATACTACAATTGCTCAAGTGAAATTCAAATAATTTAAAAAAGAGACGTTCAAAGTTACTCATTTAGGTACCTAAATTAAGTGGCCAGATTTTCAAAAGTGCTCAGTACTCAGCAACTTCCATTTAGATAGTAGCTGGAATAGGAGTTGAGTTGTACTGAAAGTCTGGAACACATTGTGGGTGCTGTGCACTTTTGAAAATATGATCCTAAATAAATTTAAATAAATCCTGGTGACATCCTGCTTCAATATTTCTATTGCATTTAACAAAAGAAGCAACTTAATATGATTTGTAACAATTCCTTTTTCCATTTTAGGAACGTTTAGATTTTGCAATGAAAGAAATTATCTTTGACTTTCTTTGTGTTGGAAAACCAGCAAAAGCTTTCAGTCTGAATCCAGAGGTATGACATATATGCACACTCTTTACTGAAATATGTATTTATTGCATTATGTTCAGCTTTAATTTTGATTGCTCAGAATAATTTATATTCTTCTTCAAGTGCTTGTTCATCTCAATTCCAATCAGGTGTGTATGCGCTGCATGAATGACAGCCGGAAGATTTTTCCCCTGGCAGTATCCGTAGAGTTGGCCTGGGTGCCCCCTGGAGTTGCACCTACATGGCGCCCAATATAGGGCCCTGCCAACCTGACCCTCCCTCCATTCCTTCTTACTGCCAGTGACGGCTAGCTGGAACTTCTCTTGCTCTTGCTTCTGCAAGCACCTCTAGTAGTGTCCCACTATCATTTGTATATAGTTAGATTCTTAGTTAGTAGTATTAGCAGTGTTAGCAGTTTCTCTAAGTTTCTGTTTTGAGGGTTCCAGCTAGGTTCCAGGGTTCCCCGTTTCGTCCCCCAACACCAGGGTATGCCTCGGTCACCGGGGTTCAAACCGTGTGAAGTCTATGGTAAATTGATGCCAAGGAGCGACCCGCACATTTCTTGTTTGAAGTGCCTTGGCAAGAGTCACCAAAAGGACAAGTGCTGCATTTGCAAAGGGTTTCGGCTAGGAACCCTTAAGGATCGCAAGCAGAGACTTAGAATTGTCCTCCTGGAGGCAGCCCTCTGCCCACAGTCAGACCTCAGGTCATTGGATCCTGTGCCAAGTGCGTCCTCCTCTGTGTGTGGCGCCAATGGTGAACAAGCCGGCACTAAGGAAGGAGGCTAAGGACTCCCAGCACTGAAACGGTGCTGAGCATAAGACTTCTGGTAGCCGCCAGTCTTCATCCACGTGCTCCAAAAGAAAAAGAGGCAGGAGAGACGGTGCTCTCCCCCTCTTAAGCCTTAGGAGCCAGCGACAGGGAGGCCTCAGCCCATCCAGCCTAAGTTGGGCCCAGCACCTCCCAGGAGCTCGTCAACTCCTGCGCTGCCAGGGGTCCAGTCGAGTCCGACCCACTACCGTTCTCCAGACCGTCAGACCGAGATATTCAACTCCCCTCCTCTCCAAAGACTTTTGAGGTGGCACAGGACCATATTCGCCTCACAGCACTGCCTTCTCCAAGGAGGGACGAGGCACTGGTCATAACCCAGGCACCTATCCCATCTAGGGGCAAGCCGACGATGATGTCACACTGCTCCCCATCTCCGCGATGCCACTCCCTGGTGCTGGCTGCCCATGTGGGGGGACCACACCAATCCCCAGAGGCCCGGCACTGCTCATCAGCACCACCCAGTACCGCTCCTCTGTGGTCTTCCTTTTTCGAGACCTCGGAGTCTGAGGCAGAGTCCTATCAGTTAGATAGGTCCAGCAGCAGGAAGTCTAGATCTTGGCGACACTGCCAGCCTCCTCCAGCACTGTGGCCACCTCAATGGCAACCACCACTCAGTGGCCCTTTTGGACTCCCTGGGCCTATCATCAAGCCCAGGGTCAGAGCCAGGCATCGAGATGCAGGTCAGTGTTGGTCACCCCCACGCAGCAGCTGGCACCAGAAACGACGCCGGTACCTCTGCTTGCTGCTCAGGCCTCCGTGCCAATGACCATCTCGGCACCGACCTCCTTGGCACCGGCGACTGCAGCACCAGCGTTTATAGCACCCCAATGGACAAAGTGACCCTCTTGGGGCCAAGGGCACTGACTAAGGCCATGTGCTGTGCTCTCGGCCTCCTCCTCCCCAGATGAGGCCATTGTGGGCACATCAACGGGCCCCACCTTGGAAGATAGGGTCCAGCAACAGTCGTCGTGCAGGGTGGCCCAGAACTTGGGGATCCAGGCAGAGGAGCTGGTAGAGGATACTGATCTAGAGGATACAGGGTGGACATCCTTGCCCCCTCTGGGCCCTCACGCATTGCTCTGCCACTCATCAAAACTATAACTGAAACCACAAAACCACAAAAACTTTGTGGCAGACGTCAGCCTATTTGCCCCCTAAAGAGAAGAGAAAAGAGAGACGCTATTTCATCCCCTCAAGGAGATATGAGCATCTCTATTCCCACCCTACACCCGACTCCTTGGTGGTGGATGCTGCAAACCAAAGGGAGTGTCTGGGGTTTCAGGGACCCTCCCCTAAAAATTGGGAGGTGAAAAAGTGGACTTGTTCGGGAGAAAAGTCTACTCCACTGGTGGTTTGCAGCTCTTCATTTCAAACCAGCAGGCCATCATTAGTAGGTATGCCTTTAATACCTGCGAGTGATGGCCAAGTTTGCCAAGCTATTGCCACCAGACACCCACTCCTAAATTAATGCCTTGGTGGAGGAAGGCAAACTCATTTCTAGGGCCTCCTTGCAGGCGGTTCTTGATGGTGCTGACGCAGCAGCCCGAACCATGGCTACGGGGATGGCCATGAGAAGGTCCTCTTGGCTCAATGTCTGTGGGCTTCCTTACCAAGTCCAAGAGACCATCCGAGACCTACCCTTTGAAGGTCAGGCCCTTTTCTCTGAAAAAACAGCCAGGAGACTGCACAGTTTAAAAAACTTGAGGGCCACCCTCAACTCCCTGGGCATACACATCCCCACTACACAGCGCAGACACTTCAGGCTGCAGCCTCTTCAGCAGTTTTACCAACAAAACCGGACAGGACGGTTCCTGGAGGAGGAATGGGGTGGCAGGAAAAGGCCACACCCGTCCTCAGGCCACAGCTCTAGCCAACCCGAGCCACCTTCGGGCCCCAAACCAGCCTTTTGAAGGTGTGGTTGAGGATGGCACACCTGGACAAGAACTGGACCTACCCCGCAGGCGGCAGGTACAGATGTTCCCATACCTTGATGACTGGCTCATCAAGGGCCACTCCAGATCTCAAGTGGAGGCACAAGTCGACTTCATAAGAACAACGTTTGACGAACTGGGCCTCCTTCTGAACGAGGGGAAATCAGTGCTGTCCAGGGTTCATAGGGGAAGTACCTGAGTCGACACAAGCCAGGGCATACCTCCCGTAAGCAAGGTTTCGGTCCCTCAGCAACATCATATGAGGTCTAAGGCAGTTCCCTACCACAACAGCAAGGAATTGTCTGAAACTTCTAGGACACATGGCTGCTTGTACCTTTGTGGTGCAACACACCATCCTCAGACTCTGGCCTCTCCAATCGTGGCTAGCCTCGGTGTATTGGCCAGCTCGGGACAGTTTGGACAGGGTTGTGACTCTGCCTTGCTCAGTCCTCAACGCCCTCCAGTGGTGGCTTGACCCACAGGTAGTATGTGTGGGAGCCCATACTATCAGCCCTAAGCCTTCTCTCTCCCGAGTGACAGATGCGTCAGTTATGGGCTGGGGAGCATATTTGGGAGACCTCAGGACACAAGGCCTCTGGTCTCAGGCGGAACTTGCTTCCACGTCAACGTCAGAGAGCTGAAAGTGGTACACCTGGCATGCCAGACTTTCTGAGCCCACTTAACAGGGAGATGTGTATCAGTTATGACAGACAACACAACGGGGATGTTTTATATCAACAAACGGCAGGGTGCACACTCCTCTCTCCTGTGCCAGGAAGCCCTCATGCTGTGGGACTTCTACGTAGAACATTTGATATATCTGCAAGCATCGTACCTCCCTGGAGTACAAAACAAGTTGGCAGACTATCTCAGAAGGTCATTCCAAGGCCACGAGTGGTCCCTTCGTCCGGACATTGCGAACTTGGGGGCTTTCCCCAGATAAACCTCTTCACCACGCGACGCAACAGGAAGTGCCAGAAGTTTTGTTCCTTCCTGAATCACAGTCCAGGTTCCATCACGGGCGTGTTTCTGCTCCTATGGGAAGGCCATCTCCTATACGCATTTCCGCCTATCCCTCTCGTTCACAAGCTGCTCCTCAAGATTTGGAGGGCACGAGCTTTGGTGATATTGATAGCTCCAGCCTGGCCCCACCAGCACTGGTACACATCGCTCTTGGAAATGCTCCAGTCACCTTGCCGCTCTTCCCGGACTTACTAACTCATGACCATGGCCACCTCCAACACCCGAACCTTGAGTTGCTGCACCTCACAGCGTGGAAGCTCCATGGCTGAACCTGACGGAGCTCTCTTGCTCGGACCAGGTTAGACAAGTCCTCCTTGGGAGAAGGAAGCCTTCCACAAGGGCTACCTACCTTGCCAAGTGGAAGAGATTTTCTGGTTGGCACAGCACCATTCGTTTCTGACGCTTGTCTCCATGCCACTTATATTAGACTCTCCTCCATCTCAAGCAGCAGGGGCTGTCCATGTCATCAATAAAGGTTCACTTGGCCGCCATCTCTGCCTTCCACCCAGGCGCAGAGGGCCGGTCAATCTTCGTCAACCCTATGGTCAGCTGTTTCCTGAAAGGTCTCAACAAGCTATACCCGCAAGTCAGGCAGCTGGTCCCGGCCTGGGACCTCAATCTGGTCCTTTCCAAATTGATGGGGCCACCCTTCAAACCACTGGTGACTTGTTCCCTGCTTTACCTGTTGTACAAGGTGGCTTTTCTGGTAACGATAATCTCAGCCAGAAGCATGTCCAAGCTCAAGGCCCTAACATCAGAGCCCCCTTACATGATGTTCTGTAAGGACAAGGTTCAGCTGAGGCCACATCCTGTGTTCCTCCCAGAGGTTGTCTCCCAGTTTCATATCAGCCAGGACATCTTCCTCCCAGTGCTCTCTCCTAAGCCGCACTCGAGCGGCAGGGAGCAGAGGCTTCACTCATTGGACATCTGCAGAGCACTAGCCTTTGAAAGAACAAAACTGTTCCAGAAGTCCATTCAACTGTTTGTGGCTGTGGTAGACAGTATGAAAGGTCTACCAGTCTCCTCTCAATGAATTTTGTCGTGGATCATGTCCTGCATCTGAGAGTGCTACAACCTGGCAGTGGTGCCTGCCCCTCCGATCACCGCACACTCCACCAGGGCGCAGGCCTCTTCAGCCACTTTCCTGGCTCAGGTTCCTACTCAGGAAATATGCAGGGCAGCGATGTGGTCCTCCATACACACTTTCACCACACATTATGCAATCACCCAGCAGACCAGAGATGACACGGCCTTTGGCAGAGCGGTACTACAATTGGTGGACAACTCCAACCCCGCCTCCTGAACTTGGGCTTGTGAGTCACCTGATTGGAATTGACATGAACAAGCACTCGAAGAAGAAAAAACGGTTATTCACCTTCTCGTAACTGTTGTTCTTCGAGATGTGTTGTTCATGTCCATTCCAATCAGGTGTGTGCACGCTGCATGCATGATAGCCAGAAGATTTTTCCCCTAGCAGTATCCATAGGGTTGGCCTGTGCACCCCCTGGAGTCGCGCTTACATGGCACCCAATATAGAGCCCTGCCAACCCGACCCCCACTCAGTTCCTTCTTGCTGGAGACTCCGACAGAAGGGTAGGAGGGAAGGTATTGGAATGGACATGAACAACACATCTCGAAGAACAACAGTTACGAGAAGGTGAGTAACCGTTTTTTATTTTAGCCTTATTTAATACAAGATATGATGCATTGTAGGAAATATTGTTGAATGTTTATACCATGGATATTTTGTAATTGCCACAACTGTATGGAGTTTGCATTATAGACATAGATATATGTACTAACATTTAATGTGGTTGAGTAGAAACATTTTATTCTGTTCAAATTTTGGCAGAGGGAAATATCTCTGTAATTTAATTTATTCAGATTTGGTATAGCAAAATTTTATTTCTGAAATGTGAGCAGAGTGGTAATTATTTGACTATTCATTCATATTTTGAACTTTACAGAGAATGAATATTGGTCTGAGAGCTTTCTTGGTGATTGCTGATAGCTTGCAGCAAAAAGATGGTGAACCTCCAATGCCAGTTACTGGAGCTGTCCTTCCCTCTGGAAACACTCTAAGAGTGAAGAAAACTTACTTAAGCAAAACTCTCACAGAGGAGGAAGCTAAAATGATAGGTCAGTAAAAGGCATGTAATAATGTGCAAACTTATAATGACCAGTGAAACCATGTACAAGACTTCTAAGTGAATATGTAGAAAATTTTAATATAGTTATGTATTTAATTGTATTTTTATTTATCATGTATTTTTAGTTAAATATATCCTTTAGACTGATTAATTCTATTTTCTTAAATTTAAGCTTATTGGGATATATTTCATGATTCATTGAGTATGTAAGTAAATAGATAAATCTTCTGAATGCTGAATATTTGTTTGTTTGTTCAGTTTCCCTGCTAGTAATTGAAATACAGTGTTTGTACTCCACATGTATTCACTAGTTTGAGAAACACCATCAGTTGTAGAGGAACAGCCGTGTTAGTCTGTATTCGCAAAAAGAAAAGGAGTACTTGTGGCACCTTAGAGACTAACCAATTTATTTGAGCATGAGATTTCGTGAGCTACAGCTCACTTCATCAGATGTATACCGTGGAAACTGCAGCAGACTTTATATACACACAGAGAATATGAAACAATACCTCCTCCCACCCCACTGTCCTGCTGGTAATAGCTTATCTAAAGTGATCAACAGGTGGGCCATTTCCAGCACAAATCCAGGTTTTGTGCTGGAAATGGCCCACCTGTTGATCACTTTAGATAAGCTATTACCAGCAGGACAGTGGGGTGGGAGGAGGTATTGTTTCATATTCTCTGTGTGTATATAAAGTCTGCTGCAGTTTCCACGGTATACATCTGATGAAGTGAGCTGTAGCTCACGAAAGCTCATGCTCAAATAAATTGGTTAGTCTCTAAGGTGCCACAAGTACTCCTTTTCTTTTTACCATCAGTTGTAGAGTATCTATATTTTGAGTACTGGAAGAAACTGGAAGCAAGTACTGGAAGCAAGTGCAGTATAATTCCCCACCAATGAAAAATATTTTGTGTACTATAGTATATAATCATGATAATAAAAAACTATAAAAATTTAAGGCCCAATCCTATAAACACTTACTACTAGGTATTAGTGCTAATCATATTTACTTCAATTACTATTCACATTAGTAAGCTCTGCAGCTAGTATGAAAAGTCTGCAGGATTGAATTCTTGTTATTAATTTATTTCTTGTTACTGTAGTTTTGCAGCAAAATATTTAGCACCTGCTTTAAACAGTCTGGTTTCCACTTCGTGAGGCTGCATTCGTTGTTTTTTTTATAAACAGAATTTTAATTCTGAAATGAAATGGAGAGTCAATTATTCATGTTCAATGTAATATAAAATCATGGTAGATTACTTATTCATATGTTTCCCACACTACCATGGGATTTAGAGCATATGAAGAAGTTGAATGTTGAGGTCATTTCAGAGTTCTGAACCTATGCTGGCTTTATCTGCTAAAAAGTGAAATAGTTAGAGAAAAGCAGATTAAGAAATACCTCTTGATTGGTGGTGATTTATCTAAAGTTTCCTTGGGATTCTTTGAAAAGCTCAGCCTAATAGGATAAAAGTAAAAAGTGTTATGTTTTGGGGTTTACATTTTTAATTGTGTAAATTATATCTACCTTTAAATTATCTGATTTCCATTTGCGAGTGTATCACAGTATGAAGCTAATATTGTATTTAATACAAAACAGCATGACCTAATTTTTCATACCAAAAGAGTATTTTGAGAGCTAGTTCAAATCCAATTTTTGTGTTAATTTTAAGACTAGCTGCTGGCTCAGAACCTTTATTTTTGTCAGGTTTCTTTAAAGCTCTCAAAGTCTAAGAGGGTGGCTAAATATATAATAAAGCTTTTCAGGACGTGGACTAGAATTATATAAAATTCAGTTTTCATTTAAACACTTACAGTCAGATTTCAGTTACTAAGCTACTAAGGCTGTGTTAGTATCTTTTCCCATAAGTAGTCCAAATCATTGGGACTACTCTCAGAGTAAGGTACTACTCACCATGAGAAAGGATAGCTGATCTGGCTCTGAATCAGGGTGTAGTAAATTGAGGCATTAGGTTACATTATAGTTAAAACTTTGTGTTTTTTTACTTCTTGTAACATTGCTAGAATAAGGCTCTTCCTTCTTCAAAATGCCTGAATCTCTATTAATATTATGTTCTTCTTTAAAAATTTAAATATATATTTTTACAGGTATGTCATTGTATTATTCTCAAGTAAGAAAAGCTGTGGACAACATACTAAGACATCTTGATAAAGAAGTCGGACGATGCATGATGCTAACTAACATACAGATGTTAAACAAGGAACCTGAAGACATGATCACGTGAGTGTTAAATGAAAGTAAAGAAAAATCCCGTATGATTGAAAAAATAACTCAAAAGGACCTTTTGCTTTATTTTTTCCAACCAGTCTCAAGTTCTGTCTTAGCTGTCATAGGGACAGAGAGTGACAAGTACAATTTGCTAATGTATACAATTAGTGCCTTTTGTGAAATCCACCATTTGTGGGTACAGCAGGACTGGTCAGTGATGTCACCCCCTCTCTTAATGAGAAAATATAGCTTTGTTTTTCTGGATTTTAGTGTTTATTTGCATGCATGTGGTAAAGCGGCCAAATGACCTCAGAATTTTAGGAATGGGAAGGTAGTGTAAAAAGCACCAGTGTCCACAATGCAGGCCTATCAGCAGAGTATGTAAAGGAATGACTCAGACCACTGTTGCTAAATATTTCTGCCATCACTGAACTTCAAAATGGTGTCAGTAAATTTTGAGAACTACAGTTAATAGTAAAGAAGTTTTGAAATTTCTCCTCAATGTCCATGACTACAGTCAAAATCAAACCTTCATTACAATCCCAAGTCATCTTGTGGTGATGGCCTCGAATTTAAGAGGATTAAAAGGAGCATTTCTTCACTGGTGCATTCATAAATACATTCAGTATGAATCACTGAACAAGTTCTCTGTTGAGTGTTCCAGGAGAAAGGGATTTTTACTAGATACAGAGCAATCTGAGGTGTCATGTGATGAAGGAAGCCGGGCAGCTGCTTGCAGAAAACTGCCTTGATGGAAAGAGGAGCCAGATCATTGGACAGACATTGCCCATCCTTGTTGTGGGAGGGACAGAGCGAGTTGTTGTACAATCAGAGAGCCAGCCCTTTAAAGGAGGCTTGCCCCTTGTAGAGAATGAGACCATTGGAGAGATATGGTAGCAGAGAGGCAGCTGGACTGTTGTGGATTTTTGATAGGTTTGTCAGACAAAATGGCCAACTTACCAGCAGTACAGCAAATACCCAGTCAACTCCACTAATTGGCTGAAATCCAGCCGTTGTTACGGCTGTGAATAACCTTTGTGTTGTAACTGCCTTTCCTCTGTTCTCCTTTGTTGGTTCCCATTGCTCTGTTAGTCTAAATTAGATTGTAAGCTCTTTGGCTCAGGAACTCTGTCATCTTTTATTTCTATTAAACATCATGCACACCAATGTTACTATGTAAATAATAATAATGCTATTTCAGCATCAAAGTGTTATGCTTGGTGCTCATACCCATAATGCTCATCAGTGCTCACAGCTATTTCAGAGCATTTTGGGTGTCCAAGCTTTTTAGGAAAAATTAATGGTCATGACACACCCCTTTTTTTCAGCTCAGGCAGACATACCATGTCTCTTGTTAAGAGGGAAAAAAGGGGGAAGATGGTTTGAGTCCCTGCCATGCTAGTCATGGGAGCCCCAAATCCTCTTTCTCCGCTCTTTTAAAGAATGCCTCCTTTAAATCCTTAACTAATCCATTTTATCTGATCACCATATCCATTCCCTATGAAGTACCTGCACTGGACATCTGCCGCAAGGAGGTACCAGTAATTTGCTTGGCTGCCTCCCCCCCATACTTAGCCAGCTATTTACTGACGCCTTCTTTAATGTCAGCCAAAAATAGATCAGCTCCCCAATCAGATAGGTGGACCCCATCCTCCCTGAATAACTCTGGTACCCCTGTTCACAGGTCTCCTAGCCTTGTCAATCTGCAGGGGCTTCATTGCTCCACACCCTGCATCAGACCAAATAATTTTTACTCCTTGGAAAATGTATAGGATCTGTACCAAGTCCCTCTTGTTTCTGAACATCAAGTCTACCCCTTTACACTTTCCCAAATCATTTTCCCCAAGGTGAATTACAGTCACACTTGGTGACTGCTATTGGGTCACCAGAGTATACAAGGGGCATCCACTGGTGCCGTATCATGCCTCTCCTGCCATGCTATCTCTGGATTGGTTCACTACTGAGGCCGAGCTGTGAACCTCCTGTCAACCTGGAAGCCAGCCTGGGCACTGTATACACAATATATTGTGCCCACAGATCCATACCTGTTGTGTTCATTCCCTCTGGGGCACCTGGCATTGGCCACTGTCAGAAGACAAGATAATGGGCTAGATGGACCTTTAGTCTGACCCAGTATGACTGCTCTTATGTTCGCCACTGGCTGCTGACTTGTCTGCAATTGTCTGAAATGGAAACATAAGCAACATTATTTCTAATTCCCAACCTAGGGTTTCACCTGCATCCTGTATGCATTAGAATGCCAACGCCCAATTGCCTGAATTGCCTTGGCCCCCAGACCCAGCTGCGCCATCGCTGTAGCCACCCTGACCTGAAATGAATAGGAAACAAATTTATGAGCTAGAAGCCCCATGTCATCAGCCCGCATCTTAAAATGGTAACAAACCAGTATGTTGTGAGGGGGCTTCCATCACTATGAATAAAGAGGGTCCCATCTTTAATTGGTCTTATTGCAATATATGCCCTCATGGCCCCCACAGGGCAGATTCTCACCTCGTCACCTTCCTACAGTATAATGGGTTGACCCCGGCCTCCCAAATCTATCTTTGACATCCTCAGTGTTAAGATAACTAATCATCCTCACAATGTAAATGCCTCGATTCCAAAGCCCTTCCCAAAGTGTCCCTCCATGGCCCAGGCACTAATTTGCTGATTCTAAAAGCCCCCCAGAATTATACCAGGAACGCCACCCGGACCAAGGTTGCCTCTCGTCCACAATGACATATGAGATCAGGAATTTGCACCAAATCCTTAAGTGTATTAACAGTGATGGGGTGATGTGGGTCATCTTTGGGGCCAGTGCTTCATGACCACCCCACTATAAACCTCCCAACTGAAATCCTGCCACAAGCATCTTGGTAACCATTCAGCCTACTGACAAATGAAAGTCCCAATAGGAAAGTGGAGATGGCTGACACCAGCCCCTGGCTTGCCAGCTACACCATGTACTCCAAGTACCCAGTCCTCCAGGATTGTCCAAAGTGTGGACAGGCCCACCTCCTCCCGAAACTGAACAAAATCATTAAAACATCTCTCACAGTTCCTAAATGTTTGCAGAGCTGCTGATTGCTCGAGCCCTGCAAATCTGTGGGTATCCGCTTTATATTTGCAGATCGCTGATGGATGCAGATCCAAATTTTATATCTAGATCCCTGCAAATATGCGGATATCCACTTATATCCTTGGATATCCACATCCACGGACCATCTTTGTAGATCGCTTCAGATGCAGACACAAATTTTGCATCTGCGCAGGGGTCTACCAATCTCTGCACTACACTCAAAGCCATCATATGCCAAAGTTGCATATACACATTCTTTTACAATTACTGTAATAATTTTTGTAGACTTAAAAAAAATCCTTTCTAGTCTGCTTTAATTTCCCACCCTCAACATGTAAACACTGTCCTTCCAGCTGAAAACAGGTGGAAGCAACTTCGTCCAGAATTCATCATATGAGTTCCTGAATCAATCAAAGAGATCACTGCAGAGCCATGTCAGCCATTCCTTAGTAAAATATTGCATGCTATGTCCACAGAACCCTCACTAGCCCAGATAATGTCTGAACATGAAGGCTTGTCAGATTAGGATCCTCCCATAGGAGTGCTCTGAACAGTTGCTAAACTGCTGGAACAACCTAGAGACATAATATTTATAAATATTTTCACATCTACCATTATAAAGGTTTCTTCCTGAACTGTTAGCTCACAAGCTTCCACTCAACGCACAAACTATTAGCCCTAGCGACTGCTAGCAAAGAATTCTTTACTAATTAAATGTCTAATACTGAACCTGCTTTGTCTACCTAGAAGCCCTGCAAATTTTATCTTGTAGTGGTATCAGTATTAATGAAGTACTAGGACAGATCACCAGCTTGTTAAGTTCTCAGATGAAAAGTTATAATTTAGAGATAATAACAATGCCTAGCTCTTACATCATGCTTTTCATTAGTGGATCTTAACGCACTTCACAAGTAAATGCAGAACTTCATAATGGGAGTCAATTCAAATAAGATACGCTTTAAGATACAGATACTATTAAGTTTCAGAGTAGCAGCCGTGTTAGTCTGTATTCGTAAAAAGAAAAGGAGTACTTGTGGCACCTTAGAGACCAACCAATTTATTTGAGCATGAGCTTTCATGAGCTACAGCAAGTAATTCATCAGGAAAAATAATATTCATGCATTATACAGTGGAAGCAGAGTACATTGAACATTCATTTGGACTTGTTATATTTTTGACAGTCCAAATTCAAGCTGATGAATGTATGAAAGTGTGCTGAGCAATCATGGCTGCCAAGTAGGGCCACAAAACTACCATTAAATTCACATCTTCATATTATAATAAGTATAGGCTCTGTTTGTACCTGTAACATTAATAATTTCAAGAATGCATTAAAATGGTGATGTTCTCTAGTCTCGTTTCAGTGTTTCTAAATGAATGCCATCTGTGTTATTTATCATGAGAATAAGATATCCAAATTTAATACCCTATGTAGTCTAGAGAGGGTAGTGGACTGGGACTTAGGAGAGCTGGGTTCTATGACTTTGGGAAAGTCTCATCAATTCTCTGTGCCTTGGTTTCCCCTCCCATCCTTTGTCTATTTAGACTGTAAGATTTTCAAGACAGAGTCTCTCCCTTACTATACATTTTTATAGAGTACCTACCACAGTGGGGTACTGATCTTGGCTGGGGCCTCCAGGTCCTACTGCAATACAAATAATTAATTGTGTGAAAGACTATGTCTGTTAAAATATTGTACTTTGGTTAGCTTATTTATATGGGTAACTAATGCCAGATAGCCAAATAGCAGAAGATTTGGTAAAAATAGTCAAATTAATGATCATTTTTTGGAGACTATAGGAAGGATTTCCACTCTACTTCTACATTCTCCAGAAATATTTGTAATGATCATAGGAAGTGGCACAACTAGAACCCATACTTGTTGCAATATCTGTCATTAAGATAATCATTGGTTGAAAGCCTGCTTTTAAGAAATTTCAAGATTTTGGCCCTGGCCTCGGTTCTGACAGAGCTTTATGCTCACACAATCCTCAGGGCTGCCAGGAAGCGGTTTGGCCATTGCACAATTTAGAGCAGACTTAGGGTTGCTATAAATTGTGCCAGCCCGTAACAGCCTTCAAGAGGTTGCTACATCATCTGGGGATCAACACAGGTGCTCTGGCCGCTGGCTGGGCCGCCCCTTCTCTCCCCACTTCCAAATTCCTTAGTGCTCTGCGGGTGGTGTGAGATGTCCTCCTTGCCAGTGCCATAGAGAGGGCCAGAATCTGGTGCTTTAATCTGTGTATTATGTTGGTCTTCTTAAATACTGTACTGTGAATCGGTAAATGATACGTTTTACAGTAAGTCCACAAAAATAAGCAAATGTTTTGGTAGTCATGTCTCCAAGAACAGCTAAAGCCAGTCATTTATTTCAGAGAAGTTTCCTTGTTGTTATATTGTTAGTGCTTAGACTTTTTGCCAAGATCCTTACCAGTGGTCTGGCACTCAAGCAGATACATTTTTTTTAGATGTTTTATATCTCTTCCAAAACATTTTAGCAAAACTATAGATCCTTGAATACGTTTATTTCTCAAGTTTGGTCAGCTTCCGATGATCCATACTTTCTGTTTCAAATTTTCAGTGGTGAGAGAAAACCGAAAATCGATCTTTTCAGAACATGTGTTGCTGCTATTCCTCGATTGCTTCCTGATGGAATGTCAAAACTTGAGCTGATTGACTTGCTGGCAAGGTAAGTGTGTAAACACTGAAAAGATTGATCAGCAGGAATAGAATGAAACTGAGCACCAGTCTGTGTAATTATTTCTTAGAGGCACATATATGTGCAAACTAATGTGTTATTAAAGTTTAAGATTCAACTGACCTGAGCAGCATTATGACCGAGGAGACATTATACCTAAGACCCCAAATGTGATACAGAAACAAATGTGCTTTCTTAAGATGTTTTTCACGCTGTGATTCAGCACATAGATTCACCCCCTTGGTAGCACTTTGAAAACAAACTGTTCTTTTGTAATATGAAGAATATATAATTCTCACTATTTTTACCATAATCATATGTTAAACAAGAGAAGAGAGGATTCATTTTTACAGTAATGGGAAAACCAACTTTTAAAATTCAGTTTTGGATTATGAATCCTACACATCAACTTGGCAAAACATAATGTACTAGAGATGGTGTGTTTTCACATTCTTCTTACTAGTACATCATAACTAGACTTAGCAGAATTTGATTTTTATTTTTTTATCATTTTGACAGATAATATCAATGTTTATTTTCTAAGCATTTTCTTCAATTTTTATTTGTTTCAATTTTCACAGTTATGTAGGGGTTTCAAACAATGAGGTGTCAGACAATAATTGTCTAATGACAGTAGAAGTTAAAATTCAAAAAGTTAAAGCTTTATAACTGGTAAAACCCAAATTGTCGACATCACGACATACACAAAATATACAAAATAAATATCCTTAAATCAAACTCTAATAAGTTCTCAAGCAGCGTTTTTCTTACTTTGCCTATCTATAAATTTCTATTATTATTGTTGGAAATATTTTACATCATTTTTGAGTGTACAGTGAAATTGACATTTACCAATAAAAATCTAATCTTTCCAAGCCTAATCATAATTATTTTTAATTAAAAGAGAAAAAATAGAGAGGTAGGAGTGCTTGGGTCTCTCTATCTCCCAGAGCTGGGGTCCTTACCTCTGATTTGTCTGGATACAGTATCACTATCATGAAGGAGAGGGATTAAGGCACGGCATCTATACAATGGAGGTGGGCTCGTAGATGTCATAGCAGTGGCACAGTCCAAGTCTGAGAAGATTCAGTTGTACGACAGTTATGATAAGAGATGATGGTAGCAAAGAACTTTCAGCACAGAACTTTCACCTTTGCCATTATATCTCAATTCTGGTGTCAGGGTGCCTTTGCTAAATGATTTCAACATATTCCTCTTAAAATTGAATTATTATTGGATTACAGTGACAAAGCAAGTCATTGTGGCCACCATTATTATCAGATAAGTGTCCAACCAATTTGGGCCACATCCTAGGTTGTGTCTAAACTGTACAGGGTGGAATCTCGGGGTTAGAGGTTTAAAGAGGTTGAAACTGTGCTGTGGTACCAGCTTCCATGTGGGATAATGGATGTGGGGCCCATGCTTAATATTTTAGTAGCTTAGTAATGACTTGTCAGCACATGCACTCAATCACCATTCTTTGATGGGCCTATGGCAGTTGTTGCTTCCTTGAAAGGCAACTAGGGAGTAACATGAGAGTCTTATCTTGATGGAAGTTTATGAACTACTTCAGTGACCTTTAACCTAGAGACACAAAATTGTTTTTACATCTTTATCAGAATAAAGTGCATTCACTATAAAACAATGAAAGTTTTCCCAGTCTCAACTCAAATATGGGCTATTTCCCTCACACCAGTCTTCTCTTGCCACCCATGCTGCATCACAAGGGCTCCGACTTTACTGGTCTGGAGATGCTGCATAATATGTTACAATATTTTCTCACTTCAGGTTCAGGACTCATCACATTTTGTGACTAAAATCCATACCGGAATCTAAAGTTTTGGGGATTCAACCTTTCCTAACTATAATCCTTTTGAAAAAAGCAATCCAGAGTCCTGGGCCACCTTTCAGTAGTGGTCTGTGTGAGCTCTGATGTTTAGACAAAAAGCTATTAATGTGTTTTTCTTTCTCAAGATTAAACAACATCTCTGGTTTAACAGATTCTTTTAGTTTGAATTTTCATCCTTAGAACAGATGTGTCTTTTGGCAAATCCCAGAAAGAATCTGTAACTCAAAAACTAGATTTTCTTCCAAGACAGCTGTATTCAAATTACGAGCAGCAAAGCAGATGTCAAGCTCATATTCTGCCTTTTGCTGCCCACTGGATCCATTCATTACAAATCCCCAAGGTAGGTTTTAGATTTAAGAGTCTGAAGTGAAAACAAGTGGCTTTATTGGCTTTGGTGATCTTTCTTGCTCAGTAAGAATTGTGAGAAACTAAAGTACTTACTACCACCAATATACTACAGGATGACTTGTCTTTATATTTTCTTGACATCGCCTGGTCTGCTTCATCCTAAAAACGACTTTGCCAAGCCAAATTATTTACTAGAAAGAGTTCTTCTCATAAAGTCCTATATCTGAGTAATAAGGAGAAATTCTTAATGCAGCCATCGTAACTCTTCAAATTCATGTCCTTTCTACTGACTCCACTGCCGTAGTATTACAGAGCTATGGTTTTATACTAGGTTTATTTCTAATCTCTCTTGATAATGTTGTCCAATGCATTTATACAGTAACTTGAGCTTGGAGGCAGTTTTAGTCTGTGTTTTGTTTTCCACTACCTCCATGTGTCAGTTAGGCCTGGTCTACACTGGGGAGGGGGGGATCGACCTAAGATACATAACTTCAGCTACGAGAATAGTGTAGCTGAAGTCTATGTATCTTAGGTCGACTTACCTCGCATCCTCATGGCACAGCGTCGACTGCCGCCGCTCCCCCGTCGACTCTGCTTCCACCTCTTGCCACGGTGGAGTACAGGAGTGGACAGCAGAGCGATCGGGGATCGATTTATCACGTCTACACTAGATGCAATAAATCGATCCCTGCTAGATCGATCACTACTCGCTGATCCAGCAGGTAGCGTAGACGTACCCTTAGAAAGAGTCATTTCATGAATGAAGTCATAATCTGAGTTTATTGCTTGGTTTTGTGATCTTTAGTGTCCAGAGGCAAAGGTGATAAATTGCCTTCCTTTAGTGTCAGAGAAATACAGTAATTCCCAATTTGTTAAGAATTTCATATGGATATGTCACAAGTTATACCTATAGTGGTGAGGGTGAGCACCTCTCTCATCCCAGATGTTCTTTTCCTGACTGTAAACCTTTCTGTAGCTCTGGTTTGGAATGTGGGGTGCGGTCCTCTGACTAGAAGTCTGAGGGAGGCAGCTCTCTCCCTTCTGGGCATAACAGCCGTTCAAAATATAAAAGGGAAACAAAATAATCCTGCAGTCTGCAAAACAATCTGGCAGAAGGCACAAGGCAGAAGGTCAATAGTCTCTGTGAAAGGGTTCCTAATCCCCTGTATGTTTACGGTTGCCCAGGCTGAGTGCCCTGGGCCCTAATGAAAGAAAAATGAATTAAAGATGGTCCCTCTGTGTCTCCAGAGGGTCCATGCAGCAAAGGCTCTTAAGCAGTTCTCCTGGGTAAGCAGCCCCTGCTCTGCACTCTAGTTCTGCTTCCCTCTGAGTGCCCACCCTGCACTGGGCTTGGATACTTACTTTTAAGAAGCTGCCCATCTCAGGTTTGACAGGCCTCAAAGGTACCCACAGGAGCTGTTTTGCCCTTTGCTGACTGGGGTAGAACCTGTTGGTGAAGTTTCATGGCAATTAGACTTTCATTGCATAGAATAAAACAGTCTTTGACCTGCCTATGAAGAATTTTCAGACTGGTTGGAGTCAATTAACTTCACTTTAACACACACTGAGCCAAATTCTTCTCTCAAGTATACCACATCGTACAATTTTAATGGAAAAGAATTTGGTCCACTGCATATTATTAGGGCCTCTAGATTTTTCTCTATTTATTCACAAATATATCCTCATTTCTAATTATTCAGGGACAACTAAATTTAAATACTTGGAAAGTGGATGCTAACCCATCCATTAATATTACAACCTTTTGGTTAATGAAGACTTAGTACACTGTGGAAGTGACAAACTTAAAAATGTGATGAGCATACTGATCTTTAAGTGTTTCATTCTGCCCAGCTACAAGCTATGAAGTGACTTTCTCATTTTGTTTTAAAGAGGAAACATGGATTGTGGTCCATCAGAAAAGGACACAAATTAGGTGCAAATATAGAAATAGAGAAAATGGGATCTAAGATGCCAGTTCCTTAGAAAATGCTTTGGGGGGGATAGACTTCTAGTTCTTAAAAAATGGAGAGTATGATGGAGCTGTGGTTTCTATTTCTATATCCCAGAAGAAATGAAAGTTTGAGGCAATGTTTGTGTTCTAGTTAGGAATTTTTAATTTCATTTAAAGATTCTCTCTCAGTAATTATAATTTGCTTCTTCTTAGTTGAAGGTTAATTTTAATTGTTCTACTGGCACATGGGAGTTTTTTGTTTGTTTTTGTTTGTTTGTTTGTTTGATTTTATCTTGGAAGTAAAAAATAAAAAATCTGAAGTGCACACATTATCCTGAAAGACTTTTGCTCTCATAAGTGATTAAGTCAACAGTTTTCTTTGTTCTGAGAAACTGCAAAGTTGCCATATTTCAACTATCTTGAAACATGCTCTTGTAAGTGAAAAAAAATAAGTTGCTCACAAAGCTGCTCTATAGTATCTTTTTGGACTGGAGCAAACATATCTTTTGGATCTATGTATGTATTCAAGTACTGGTGTAGCAAGAATTTCTATAAAGTGTCGACAATGGTGACTGTGGTCAATAACAATAAAAGCTTGAATAGTTTTATGAAATTTTATATTAACTTCGGGGAATTTCTGTCAGTGTTAATTTCTACTTTACTCACTTACACCATTTAATGGTGTTTACATTTTTAGTGTCACTTTTATTTTAACATGCAGACTCTCTATCCACATGGATGATGAACTTCGGCACATTGCACAAAATTCTCTTCAGGGTCTACTTGTTGACTTTGTTGACTGGAGAGAGGATGTGCTCTTTGGTTTTACTAACTTCCTACTACGCGAAGTGAATGATATGCATCACACTCTTCTTGATACTTCTCTGAAGTTGCTGCTACAGTTGCTTACACAATGGAAACTTGTAATACACACTCCAGGAAAAGCCAGTGAACAGACAAAAAGCAGATCATCAGAGGTATGAATAAAAGTGAACTGCATTCCAATAGTTATACTCATTTATGACCTTATTTAACTTTTCCTGGATATTGTTCTGTTTTATGTATGCCTTATTTACTCAAGTTGTGCTCCAGCAGAATTCACTGCTGTTAGACTTTTTTCCATAAAACAGTTAGTTCAGCTGTCTCATAGAAGCATAGAAATGTAGGGCTGGAAGGGACCTGAACAGGTTATCTACTAGTCCATCCACCCATGCTGAGGCAGGATTAAGTGTACCTAGAACAGCTGTTACCCTTTGCAGCATAGTACATGTCATTGTAGTGCAGCAACATAGAAGAAAGTATGTCAAACCAAAATAGGCTTGTTAACAAAACCACATAAAAGTGGTGGGGCTGACAGGAAGACTTTTTCCCAGCACTGTAACTTACAGATAATGCTAAAATGCCATAATGTTTTTCTGTTTAACCCTTCAAACTTTCTAAAATTTGACATATTCATGATCTGTGATCACTGGTTTGTGAGCATCTATATAAACCCTTCCTAAGTGTTACATTGTCTCATGACTACCTATCTATCTATCTATCTGGTAACATCAAAGGGACTAAAATGATTTTTTCCAATTAATTACTTTTATAAGCAACAATAAAGCCCCACTCATCCAAAAAATCATTATGTGATTAAGATTATGTCCCCCAATGGCCATCACTAAGGTGCCACAGGTACTCCTTTTCTTTTTATGAAAAACTTAGTTTATCTGAATTCCCATATGTCCAAATAAATTCCTTATCTTCCATTTTGTTTGGATAAATAAGCATTTATAGCCAGGATTTTCAAAAGTGAATTTAGGTGTCTCAGTATTTTAGGTGCCCAAACTGAGATATTGTAAAAGGGCTTAATTTTCAACAGTAGGTGCATGATCAGCACTTTTTGAAAATCAGCTGAGCAAGAAACTGAACAAACCATTTGCTTTTAATAGAAATTTTCAATAGTTTTTTTGTTTGTATTCCCTAAACAATCTGACAAAGTCTAAAAGATTTGGTCATGCTTTCCAAAATTCATCACTCTATCTTTCTCATGTATTTCACTATACTAGCACCAAATTAACACCTATGTCACGAAATATCATGCTAGATTAGGTTGAATAAATAATACTATATAGACCCAATGTGTTTTTAGAGGAGGTCACTATGCTTCACAATGTTGCCGACTCTCATGATTTTAGTGAGTCTTGCAATATTCATTTTTTCTGAAAGCCCCCAGCTTTTGGAGTCCTGTGATCACATGAGAATCTCAGCTTTCATTTAAAAATGAAATTAAGTTTCCAGACTGTATAGTCGGGGAAGAAAACTTGAAAACATGACCTGAGTGCACCTTAAAGGCTCAAAAACCAGAAGACAACTAAAAAGACATCCTCCTCCCTTTATTTTGGTTTTAATTTTTATCAGTATTATCATTTGCAGGAGGCTGACTCATGATATTTGAATGCTTGACATCATCAGCACTGAGATTAACACAATTATTTAATGATCTGCTGTAAGGCCTTGATCATGCATGTAGAAATGCTCATTGCTTATTTTGAGCCAGCATCTGAAAAACAGTTGGCCCCCTTCCTATCTTCTGTTCCTGCCCAGAATGCAAATGGGGATCTTGCAGTTATAAAGGTGGCTGGGGCTCTGGACAATGGAGTGGAGCTTCACCTCCCTCAGCTGCCACATTGGTCAGTTCAAGGGATGGTGAGGGAGCTGATTGGTTCCAGCAAAACCCCCTCTCCAGGCATGTTTAAGCATTCCTGGGCACACTGCAGCTTTCTTCTTGCTGAAAGCTGTCCCATCTGCCCAGTAGGTACTTTCGTTGTCAGAGCTGGGTTTCCAGCAGTGACGGATTAGGCACTGGGCCTACGGGGCCCATGCCCAGGGGCCCCGGACAACTCAGGGGCCCCAGAGCCCTGGCTGCCGGGTGAGCAGGGAAGACAGGGAAAGCCCCCGTGCCTGACCCTGCTCCCCAGTAGCAGCACCAGGCAGGCACAGCAGGAGAAGCCCCTGTGCCCTCACACCCCCGCTCCCCAGCAAAAGCCCAGGGTGGCAGGGGAATCCCCCAGCGCCCTGACCCTGGTCCCCCGCAGAAGCGTGGGAGTGGTGGGGGAAGCCCCAGCAGTGGGACCCCCGCTGCAGCCCTGGGACTGAAGGAGCTCTCACTACCTGCCGCAGCCTCAGGGCTGGGGTAGCTTTCACTCCCTGCTACAGCCTGGGGCTGTGGCGGGGGAACAGAGCTTCTCCGGTCTTGGGGCCGCAGTGGGGGTAGGGGGGCCAGAAACTAGCAAAATGATTGCGGGGCTGCAGTGGGGCGCAGAATGGGGGGACCGTGGGCGGAATGGGGGCAGGGCCCTGGAGAAGAGGCAGAAAGGGGTGTGGCTATGGGCGGGGCTGCAGGTGGAGGGGCTGCCATAGGAGCAGGACAGCAGGTGGAAGGGATGGGGTGGGGCCCACCACTTGTTCTGGCCCAGGGTTCCCGGAAACCTTAATTCTCCTCTGCTTTCCAGGCCTGCTGTGGGTCTAATACAGTTGTTTTTTGGGATCAGGGAGGAATTTTTCCCTCTGGGCAAGAATGATAAGATATCTAGTGGGTATCCTGGAGGCCTGGCAGGTGGGGATAATAAGGATAAGTAAAGGTACTTATGAAAATACTTAAAAAGGGGGAAGGGTTAAATAAATTTCAATAAATAGTGTTGCGACTTGTGGCTGGTGTCCAGTGCAGGTAATAGGCTTCAGAGGGTCAGCACGTGGGAAAGAGCACAATACCTAGGAGGGCCTAGTGGATCCTGTTAACCTGAAGGATGAGAGGAAGCCTTAAATCCTCATAAACTATGTACTCCCTTGTCCACCATCATGCCACCTTGCAGGAGGAGGATAGTGGCATTTAGCAGTGGGCTTAACCATGAATTAAGTGGAGAGCCACTAAGAGAGCCAATCCTCATTCCTTCAGTGAATGTCATGGAGCCATTTAACCCCACCTGTGGTGACCAGATGTCCCAATTTTATAGGGACAGTCCCGATTTTGGGGGCTTTTTCTTATATAGGCACCTATTACCCGCCACCCCCGTCCCGATTTTTTATACCTGCTATCTGGTCACCCTAACCCCTCCTGGGACCCAGTTAATGCCTGATAGCTTGGGTGGGATCAGTCCTGGCCAAATAGAGCACTTCTCAGTAACCTCATCCTCATCTCCCATTAATATTTCCCTCTTTTGAGTATAGTTTTCTCATTTCTTTACAGCTGATACCAAACGGATCCAGCCATAGGATACAGTCTGAAAGAAGTCCTTATTCCAACGTACTGCATGCTGTGGAAGGATTTGCACTGGTACTACTTTGTAGTTTCCAGGTTGCTACCCGTAAACTAGCAGTTTTGATTCTCAAAGAGATCCGTGCTTTATTTCTCGCCCTGGGGCAGGCAGAGGTATGGATTTTTTTTAGAAGTTTCAAAAGAAAATTTTCCAGAGATAAAGCTCTAAACTAAAATTAACAGTGCTGCTTTACCATAATGCATGTAATGGAAGAGGACATTTATTATATATAAAAACATTTGGCTTATTTGGAATTTGCCATTTTAATGTGTCTGATTATTGCAGACCTTACAGTTCATGGGCTGTTGACTATAAAGCATTAATAACGTTCTTTTTGCAAAACCTGTTCTGTTGTTCACAAAGAACATCCAGTTTTGCACAACATCAAACCCTTTTTCAGTTTTTTTTCAGTTATAAAGTACACACAAAGGTATACTGTAAAAATATTCCTTGAATTGGGCAAATAATTTTTGCATCATCTGCGTTATTAATTTTTAGTGAAGATAAAATTCACTATTACAACATCTCAGTATATTCAACAAAAACAGCACAATAAACATTTAACTTTATTCACATAAAATATTCCTTGTACAGTACAGAAGTCTAACTCTTTTCTTGTGTACAGATACAAAAGTATGTAGAGTCTTGCTGTGTGTGGTGGCCCCAACACACTGAGCCATCTAGCTGCCTGAGAACACAAATATGTGTGTTCATAGAAAAGGAATGCTTTAGTTAAACAGTTAAGCTAGGTTTTCAGTCCTTTGGTACCAGATGTCCCAAGTCATATGGGATTTTCTGATGAGCACTTTTGTTCAGTAAACAGTGAACTAAGGCCAGTAATTAACTTCCTTTCAAACCACAAGCTGGGCTTGACTTCGAGGTTAATACAACAAAAGGTAAAATGTATCCATCAAGACAACCACCTGAATATATTTTTTACCAGTTCTGTATCTTATAATCTTTCATGCAGTTCTGTTTCGTGTATTGAACAAAGATGAAAAGAATCAGTTAGCTAAGGAAAGTAGTTGACTGCTATTACCTTAATTTGTACAGGATGATGACAGGCCTATGATTGATGTCATGGATCAGCTAAGTTCTTCTATTCTTGAAAGTTTTATTCATGTGGCAGTTTCTGATTCAGTAAGTACCTGTTTATTTTCTGATGATAGACATTTGCAATATACCACCAGCTATTACATGTTTATAGGGGCAGATCCTCAGCTGGTGTAAATTGTCATAGTTCCATTGAAATCAGTGGAGTTATGAGAATTTACACCAGCTGAGGATCTACCCCTTAATGTACATAGCACCTTCTTTGTGGTAAGTGTGAGTATTAGTTCTGTGGTTATTTTTACCCTGGCAGTCATAAAATATACACTGTACTACAGTAGCAACCAATTGTGCTAGGTGATTTACAAACATAAAGAAAGACACAGTCCCTGCCCCCAAAGACCTTATCATGCAGAAAGACAGATGGGTGAGGAAGAGGAATGCATGCAAGCATGCAAGCAAAGTTGTAAGAATGATGATTGGTATGTATCTTCTTAGTTCCAGGGGTTTTATGGATGGGTAAAATATGGGTAAAATTTTCAAAGTCAAGTGACTTAGGTACAAAAGTCTGTAACAAAACTGAAAATTTCACTGAAAATTTCTATCTATGTCAGTATATGTATGTATATAAATGTGTACATAAAAACATATGCCCATCTATCCTCCTGCTTAGTCATTGTTCGTTCCTTTGTTTTGTTTTTGTCAATAAAAAAGTTTGGTATATGATATAAAAACAATTTTGTATATACAATTATGACACAATAACATCAGTGTTTTTCAGATTTAATTAATGTAATTAGTTACCAAATTTACACATTTTTAGCCTTCATTCACATAGATATTTTTCTTAAGAAAAGAGTTAAAGAACATACAGTAGAGAAATGGTTTCTTCATCTGATGGGAACAGCTCTTGCCAATAGGAGATGCTATTTATAGCTGATTAATGCCTTGATTGAACAAAACACTTGAGCATCTTTATTTAGGAAGTAGATGCCTAAATGACTTGCTGAACTGTGGCCTAAATAGTTGAGAATAAGTTACTACCACTGTGATATTGATTTTTTTTTCTCTCCACAGACTACATTACCATTAACACATAATGTGGATTTGCAATGGCTGGTAGAATGGAATGCAGTCTTAGTAAATAGTCATTATGATGTAAAAAGCCCTTCCCATGTCTGGATATTTGCACAGTCAGTTAAAGATCCATGGGTTCTCTGCCTCTTCAGTTTTCTTAGACAAGAGAATTTACCAAAACATTGTCCTACAGCTCTTAGCTACGCTTGGCCATATGCTTTTACGAGGTTACAGCTAGTAATGCCTCTTGTGGATCCAAAGTAAGTGATACTCTGTACACGGCTTTCATTTGTTAAGGGTTAGTGACATTATTATGTAAATTCTTTAGTCCTACATATTCAGACCAGTTTGACAGTCCAGCTATGCTAATAGTATCCAAACTTTTGGTATTTGATATGATGATTGCCACTTTAAACTGTAATGATTCCTTTTCTTATTGCCTTCATTGATTTTATTTTTACATCATATAATATTTAATAGTATAGTTGTTGTTACTTAGCTTGTTTGGTTTTTTAAAAAAGCTCTGGAAAATTAAAATTAGGAACTGGAATTAACTATTTTTTTTTTTTAAATTCCAGTATCCCTGTTAATGCAAAGAAAACCAGTACAGCGAGCAGTGGTGACAACTATGTAACTCTGTGGAGAAACTATCTTATTCTCTGCTTTGGAGTAGCGAAACCCAGTATTATGAGCCCTGGACACTTACGTGCTTCAACTCCAGAGATCATGGCTACCACTCCCGATGGAACAGTGAGCTACGATAACAAGGTGACATGGCATGCTTCAGAAGAATTATTCCGTAATTATTTTAAATATGTTTTTAAAAGAATTTACATGTGAAAGTCAAGTAGTAGCGATAAAAGTACATCTGAGGATTATTTCGATATATGTGATTTGGTTCAAGTATTATTATTTATTATTGAAAACATTCATTTGTATAGCACATTACACCATTTGCCATTAAACATATGACAATTCCCGTGGTATTTGCAGCACATTCCTGTGTAATGTGATTAATGCATATTCTAAGTAGTATATATTCAAGGTATGGAAATGTTGCACATAATATGCTAAAGTTAACTTTACCATGTGTCATGCTTTTAATGCAGATCACTCTGTTAAGTACTGTTATAGCACATACATAAACAATAAGGCACAATAGGTGATGTATTTCTGCATCATTATTGCAATTCTGGAGCGTGATATGAAACCAAAGGCCTAGTGGTAACTGCTTGAGAAATGTACTAGTTCCTACAAATTAATTGACTGGAGTCTTTTTTGATATTGTAAACTTAATAAAAAAAGTACAATACTGTCTATGAAAATAAAGTACAATACTGTCTTTGAAAATACAGAAAACGTTTAAACCAGGATGGATAAATATTGATTAAAAAATTAAAATCAGATTTTTAATTTAAATTCAGATTTATTTATAAAAATATGCTATTTAAAATTAAATTTGAAATTGACAACCTATGTTAAGGCCTAAACGTTGTATAATATATTAAAATAATTTAAATTAACCACAAAAAATAATATTGGAGTACTTGTTTGCTGCCAAGATTTAAAGACAGTCAGCCCACTGAATTGGTGGAAGTCACTGGCTAAGCACCTGGATCCAGAGTTGGTGAAGTGCCAGACCAGGTTTTGAGAGCAGTAATCTTTTCTGCAGATGAAGAGACTGTTTTCTTCATTTCTGTTTGTTCACCTAGTTCAGTTCAATGACTCGTTTATGCAAAGTTAAGTAACCAGTTGGACGCTGAAAAATCAGGAAAGCTTGTTTTTTTTTCTTCCAATCTATCAATAAAAACTAGATGTGAAAGGATGAGATCTACTGGTTCTAAAATCTTGAAGGATGTAGTTACCAGAAATAATCTGTTCAACTCACTAACAATAGATTGATATTTAATCAATATTTAACCAAGGCCATTGTGATCATCTAGTCATATAACACAGACCATAGAACTTCCCCAAAACAATTCCTAGAGCATACTTTTTAGAAAAACATCCAATCTTGATTTCAAAATTGTCACAGACAGAGAATCCACCACGACCTTTGGTAAATTGTTCCAATGGTTAATTACCCTTACTGTCAAAAATTTGCATCTCATTTCCAGTCTGAATTTGTCTGCTTCAACTTCCTGCTGATGGATGAAAGGATGGATAAACTGTTTAATAAATCAGTTAGTTTTAAATGCAAAACATGTTTCAATAAACTTTTTTCTTATGCTTTGTAAGGAAGTTTTATTTAATTAAAAATTGCTGTTTTGTGCATTTTTAATTTAATTTCCATCCAAATAGAGCTTAACATCAATCACTAGTAAAATTAATCATCATCTAGTAAATAAGAAATGCAACATTCACCATTTTCTAACATAGAAAAATGTAAAAAATTAAGAGTCTGAATAAATGTAAGCTAAAGCTATCTAATTGCTTAAATAAATGTGTATAGATATAGTGTATCCTCCTGGTTAGCAAAAAGAAGCACCAAATTTAGTGAAAGAGTATATCTGGTTGCAAATCAACATGTTTTAATGGTTACCAACCAATGACAGTAAACCTTTTTTAAGGAATATAAGTAAGTTCAAATGTAAAACAAGATTAAAAATCAGTGATTTAAATCAATGTTTTCTGCATGCTGATTTAAATCATGATTAAAATCAGTGATTTAATTTACTTTGATCCATATATTTACTGGACTTTACTCACATGGATATGATGTAGAAGACAGCCAATTAGAACATATCCACAGTTATAAAGTCATTTCATTATGATTTACAAAAGGCACTTTTTGACTCTTAAATTATTCTTTTTTTGTTGAATACTTATTCATGCTTTGAAATCTGTAATTGTTTATTTGATATAGATAGTGCTAATAATTAAATGTTGGTGATTTCTTAATAAATATATTTTAGGCTATAGGAACCCCATCTGTTGGAGTCCTGTTAAAGCAGCTAGTACCTTTGATGAGACTTGAAAGCATAGAAATCACAGAATCACTTGTATTAGGATTTGGAAGAACAAATTCTCTTGTTTTCAGGTACTGAACAGTTTACAATAATCCCAGGAATTTGCTTTTAATTCAGATATGCTGTTTTTGTTTTAATGTAAAATTATTAATTTTTAAAATTTTAATTCTAAAATGTTAGTGTTTATGTAATAAATAGGATGTTGAATTTTATGGGAGAAGGGAATGACAAGGAGCACTGAATTAGCAGTGTATGCTTGTGATGTGGTATTGGATGGAAGTTCTGGGTGAAAGCCACAGATCGCTTTTCCCAATAACCTAATATTTCATAAGCACTAAAAAGCTTTACCTTTCTATTCATATTAGGTGTAATCTAACCAACCATTATGTTAGTACTTTCTCCACTGCCTTAGTGTAGAAACTGCAGCCCTAGTTGGAACCCTTCCTAAAATTTGTCCTTGCTCGTTGGACCACGAGAATACCAGTGCCCAAATATGTAGCTGGGAGGGAAAATACACTATCCAGATCAATAAATGTGTTATAGAAGCCTTATAGAGAGCAGTGTAATACTCTTTATCTTAAAAGGAGCATTTAATTCATGAAGATGGACTCAATTATGAAGGATTTTGTTTAGAACGTTTTTGTTTTGTTTTAATTTAGGGAATTAGTAGAAGAACTTCATCCATTAATGAAAGAAGCCCTAGAAAGAAGACCAGAGGTTAGTTCAAGAAATTAGATTTGTTTATTTAAATTGCAACATGAAGTTAAAAGTAGTGAATGTGTTTCTTTAATTAAAAAAAAAACAGAAAAACATCCTATTGGTAACTCTAGCTTGATATTTAATAAAGGAACTTTTCAATAATTGTGTAGAAAAAATTACTTAAAGCAATTCCATTTAAAACTGGATTTAAATGGATTATTTAAAATTAAATTATTGTGTAAAAATACAGTTCATACATTTTTATTTATATTTTTTAGGGGAGGAACAAGTTAGTTAAATATAGTGCCGCCTCTTCATGGTGAATTTAGATATAGTGAAATCCCACTTACAATGGTGAGAGAAAAAAATATTGTAACATAACTCAGCCACAACCATGTTTCACAACAGTGTTGGAAATATGGTTTATCTCTGTAGTATAAACAGGTCTTACCAGGGACTTCAGTTTCCGTTAGCCCTTGTCTACACTAGAAAGCTGCCCTGCTTTAATTCTACTGATATAGTTCTAGTTCTATAACCCCGTCACACTAGGGATTGTACTAGTATAACTATATTGATAACAAATCACACCCCTAAACAAAATAATTATGCTGGTACAACTTTCAAGTGTAGACTGGCCTTGTACTCAGGGAAAATATTACTTTTAATGAGGTTGTCCTATATTGACTGAAAAATCCACTACTAGTTGCAGTGACTGGTTTTATCACCTTCCCTTGATTTTTTTCTAATTTAGAGCCATAGGAAGAGGGGAAGGAGAGGGAAGACATACTTTCTGGTGTTCACTGGAAGACAAGACAAGACAAAACAAGTCATCTTTGTCGCTCTCTTCACTCCCAGGAAGCTGCACTTCCAGCTAGGTTAATCAGATGTCCCGATTTTATAGGGACAGTCATGGTATTCAGGGCTTTGTCTTATATAGGCCCCTATTACCACCCACCACCATCACCCTACTTACAGCTGTTCAGGCGAAGAGCAGGCCTTGCTAGCTGACTTCACATTTGTCAGGAGCAAAGCAAGGGCTTTTCTGGAGGTGAAGGAGAGCTTTCTGGAAGTGTTAGGTGAAGAGGAAGCATTGGGGTTCTGAGACACTTTAAACCACACTTTCTCCTAGTGAAAGTATAAAATACAGGAGAGAGTTTGTGAACTAAGGGTATGTCTACACTACGGAATAAGGTCGAATTTATAGAAGTCGGTTTTTTAGAAATCGGTTTTATAAATTCGAGTGTGTGTGTCCCCACAGAAAATGCTCTAAGTGCATTAAGTGCATTAACTCGGCGGAGCGCTTCCACAGTACCGAGGCAAGCGTCGACTTCCGGAGCGTTGCACTGTGGGTAGCTATCCCACAGTTCCCGCAGTCTCCGCTGCCCATTGGAATTCTGGGTTGAGATCCCAATGCCTGATGGGGCTAAAACATTGTCGCGGGTGGTTCTGGGTACATATCGTCAGCCTCCCGTTCCCTCCCTCCCCCCGTGAAAGCAAGGGCAGACAATCATTTCGCGCCTTTTTTCCTGAGTTACCTGTGCAGACGCCATACCATGGCAAGCATGGAGCCCGCTCAGGTAACCGTCACCCTATGTCTCCTGGGTGCTGGCAGACGCGGTACGGCTTTGCTGCCCAGTAGCAGCAACCCCTTGCCTTCTGGCAGCAGACGGTGCAATACGATTGGTAGTCGTCCTCATCGTGTCCGAGGTGCTCCTGGCCGCGTCGGCTGGGAGCGCCTGGGCAGACATGGGCGCAGGGACTAAATTTGGAGTGACTTGACCAGGTCATTCTCTTTAGTCCTGCAGTCAGTCCTATTGAACCGTCTTATGGTGAGCAGGCAGGCGATACGGACTGCTAGCAGTCGTACTGTACCATCTTCTGCCAGGCAGGCAAGAGATGAGGATTGCTAGCAGTCGTATTGCACCATCTTCTGCCAGGCAGGCAAGAGATGGGGATGGCTAGCAGGCGTACTGTACCATCTTCTGCCGAGCAGCCATGAGATGTGGATGGCATGCAGTCCTTCTGCACCGTCTGCTGCCAGCCAAAGATGTAAACATACACTGCAATGCTTTGTTCTACAGTGATTCCCCAGTACGTGTTGCTGGCCTGGAGTGGTAAAGTGTCCTACCATGAAGGACGAAATAAGGCTGCCCTCCCCAGAAACCTTTTGCAAAGGCAGAACCGCAAATGCCAGGGCAAAGTAATCCTTTCACATGCTTGCTTTTAAACCATGTATAGCATTTTAAAAGGTACACTCACCAGAGGTCCCTTCTCCGCCTGCTGAGTCCAGGAGGCAGCCTTGGGTGGGTTCGGGGGGTACTGGCTCCAGGTCTAGGGTGAGAAACAGTTCCTGGCTGTCGGGAAAACCGGTTTCTCCGCTTGCTTGCTGTGAGCTATCTACAACCTCCTCATCATCATCTTCTTCGTCCCCAAAACCTACTTCTGTATTGCCTCCATCTCCATTGAAGGAGTCAAACAACACGGCTGGGGTAGTGGTGGCTGAACCCCCTAAAATGGCATGCAGCTCATCATAGAAGCGGCATGTTTGGGGCTCTGACCCAGAGCGGCTGTTCGCCTCTCTGGTTTTCTGGTAGGCTTGCCTCAGCTCCTTCAGTTTCACGCGGCACTGCTTCGGGTCCCTGTTATGGCCTCTGTCCTTCATGCCCTGGGAGATTTTCAGAAAGGTTTTGGCATTTCGAAAACTGGAACGGAGTTCTGATAGCACGGATTCCTCTCCCCAAACAGCGATCAGATCCCGTACCTCCCGTTCAGTCCATGCTGGAGCTCTTTTGCGATTCTGGGACTCCATCATGGTCACCTCTGCTGATGAGCTCTGCATGGTCACCTGCAGCTTGCCACGCTGGCCAAACAGGAAATGAGATTCAAAAGTTCGCGGTTCTTTTCCTGTCTACCTGGCCAGTGCATCTGAGTTGAGAGCGCTGTCCAGAGCGGTCAGAATGGAGCACTCTGGGATAGCTCCCGGAGGCCAATACCATCGAATTGTGTCCACAGTACCCCAAATTCGAGCCGGCAACGTCGATTTAAGCGCTAATCCACTTGTCAGGGGTGGAGTAAGGAAATCGATTTTAAGAGCCCTTTAAGTCGAAATAAAGGGCTTCATTGTGTGGACGGGTGCAGGTTTAAATCGATTTAACGCTGCTAAATTCGACCTAAAGTCCTAGTGTAGACCAGGGCTAAGACTATCATGGCTGCAGGAAGTACTGCTGATGCTCACTTTCAAAGATCCAAGAAGCACCATTCTTGGATATCATATGATAATATTTCAGCACATGAAGAAAGTGTGTTTTCAGCACCAAAACTTGAATATTAAAAGTTATTTCTGGTCCAGAATTTCAAGAATACCATGTTCACTTTTTCCTTATGGACAAATATGACTATAAACTGTTTTTTCAAGAATTGATTAGAAAGTTAGAAATGTGAACATACCTCTACCTGTGTTGTTATGTAAGCATACCTGTACTATGGTACACGCAAATGTCATAGTACTCCATCATAAGTAAATAAGTCAGTTATACTGCTTTGCTTTAAACACAGCTTCAGTGACCAGGCTTGCATTATTTTAATGTCTGCATCTGCGCATGTATTAAGTATCTCTTTTTTTAACCCCAAGAATAAGAAACGCCGTGAGCGCCGAGATCTGCTGAGACTGCAGCTATTGCGAATTTTTGAATTGCTTGCTGATGCTGCTGTTATAAGTGACAGGTAACACTGTTTTGTATGGAAGAATTTCCATTGGTGATGTCATCATTCTGTTTGTTTTAGTAGCTTCTTTGAACAATTATAAAATATACAAAATATGGGTTTTTTTAAAATATGCGACTATGGAAGCTTAAAATCTGTGTTTAAAGATGATAATGTATTACGTCACAAGTTAAATGCACTGTCACTCATATTGAAATGTTCAACTTTTCTTTATTCTAGTACAAATGGAGCCTTAGAGAGGGATACTTTAGCCCTTGGAGCCTTGTTCTTAGAATATGTTGATCTAACTCGCATGCTGCTAGAGGCTGAAAATGATAAAGAAGTTGAAATTCTTAAGGATATGAGAGCACATTTCAGTGCCATGACTGCCAACTTGATTCAGTGTGTTCCAGGTATGATATATTACCTCATTATATTACACAACTACACTTAACACATGTGTAAGTACATTGATATATTAATTCATTATTTAGTTTTTCTGTTTTTCTCTTTATAAGCCACGCTTCATAAGGTTGTTTTGTAGCAAATATTAGAGGGAATTTGGGCAATCGAGTACAGAATTCTCTCAAGAATCAACATAGCAAAGCTTGCAATGTACATATATAAGACTCTTCTCTTTCTAAGCCCAGCAAATGAACCATACACAGCCTATTGCAGCTCCAGATTTCTTTTACATAGGGCTTTATCCTACAATCTTTGAAGTGTCAAAAAGGCCCATAGAAAAGAAAAAAATCTCTATTGATAGCTGCAGAAAATGTTTTTTCAGTTTTAAACATATAGTGGAAAACTTGCTTCCAATTGTACCCCATTTCAGCAAAGCTCCCTTTGGCCTTTCTTACAGCAACGGATTGCTCATATCTGCTCTTGCTTTGCTATATTATTATAATATGGCCATATTCTCATGCATTGTGTGTATTGCAAGATTGTTTTTAAAATGTAAAGTTTCAGAGTAACAGCCGTGTTAGTCTGTATTCGCAAAAAGAAAAGGAGTACTTGTGGCACCTTAGAGACTAACCAATTTTAAAATGTAAAGTAATTCTTTTAGCAGATAAAGTAAAAAGGTCTGCTTCAAAAGGCTCCACCTAACTAATAGAAACTAAAATGTGGAAGCTAGCTCACGCCCAGTACATTTGCTGTTTACAGAATATTTGGTAGACATCAACAGGCATACCAAGGAGTAGGAAGGAGGGAATGCAGAAGAAAGGGAAAGAGTAATGAGACCACACATTAACATAGGCCAGAAACGTGCACAACTGGATGGTTTCATGATTTGGTTGTTTTCAGGTGTATGATATATATAACATATATAAGAGATGTACAAGATAAGGAAAAGAAGTCTATAGTGAACACCTATATGTTGATACTGCTCCCATTTCAGTCAATGGAAAAATCCCATTCATTTGAATGGTGCCATCTCATTAGCTGTTATCAGTGGACAATTTACTGAATTCCTTTTTTCTGTTCCCATCCATATAGGGTTTGTGTGAGAAATTACTCAGTAGTGAATATTTGCAAAGGTATTCCTCTTTGCATGTATTCTCATTGTGTTTATAATCTAATTTGCATTATCTATAGTAACTATATTTCTATGCACTTTGCACATTGAAACAGCCATTTTATATGTTCTGCAGAAAGCCAACAATAACTGTGTGTTTTAATTAATTCAGAATTTCTTTCTGAAGAGACTATTATCTTTCTGTTAACAAGCAGATGTTAAAACATGTCCAAAACTACAAAGCCATAATACGTAATTCCTTGACAAACACATTTTCATTGTCAGCTTCCGTTATCTTTAGATAATTGTAAATATTGGACTTGAAATTTTTATTAGTTAGCTAGACTAGACTTTGGGGTTTTATCTTATTCTTTGGATGTGGGGTCACCAGTAGCAGTGTGCCCTGCCTCTTTCTAGTAAACCAGAAATGCCTTTTTAATAGTGTAATCAATAGGTTCAGTGTGTCCCCTCTTAACCAGCTGGGAGGCCTGTGCATTAATTTCTGTGGTTAACAGGCCCTGTAACTCAGCAGAGATAGTTCTAGTATATGCAGTTCCATGTTTTTATTGGTCTTGTACCACTCCCCTTCCTGCCTTATAGCCAAAGGCAAAATGAGTCCAGCAACCTGTCAGTGCACTGGCGCTGCTTCAGGAGAAGTAGCAGCAGGAATGGGCTAGGCCCTCTCAAGGGAACTATTTTTTATCTGGATAATGCAGCACTTAAACCTTTTTGTCATTTCCTTCTCTTATGGATTTTCACTTTTCACTGAGTTAGGAAAATTTTCTCTTGTTCATTTCAGCCCCACAGGGTGAATTTCTACTCTGTTTAATTTTGTATTGGACATTGCTATCTGAAATTCCTATTTTTGGGCTGGCATACAAGGATGTTGAAGAATGGTAATTTCTTCCCTGTTAAATTGGTTTCTCCCTAGTCTCTGTCTGCCATCTGAGAGATCCTATCCCCCATCCTGTTTTGAGTTGGAAGAATTTTGAAAACTTCTGAATTTTTTTCTCACATTTTTTTTTAGCATTAATAGATACTTTTCTTTTGCTCAGGAACTGTCTTAGCATTTGAGTTAGCCTACCAAACCTCTTTATAAAGGAATGATATGATAAAAGCTTTGATCTATTTCCTATCTCCACCTGTTACTATAGTAGGACAGCATTTATCCACTCTTAGGGCTTGTGTTGAAAGACCTGGAAATATCAAGTAGGTAGGAGTTTACCATGAAAGGAGTACATGAGGCAGTGAACTCCAAAACCCTGATTCTAAAGTTAGTGTACACAGACATGATTATAAAATATAAACACATGTTCATTCAAAGCATTAAGGCTCTTGAAAATAAAATGTCTCTTATTAACTATATTAGGTTGACAAAAGATGTTTAGCTACTTTGAACTAAGTGTATCCTCAAATATAAGGAAAGACTTTCTATTCATGGAAGTATGAAATTCATATACCATCACTACTGCCATTGGGAGAGGGCACTGACTGACTATTTCTATTGTGTTTATTTTACTTTAGCAAACCATGACAAATTTTATTTTTATTCCCTTAGTTCACCATCGGAGATTTCTCTTCCCTCAGCAAAGCTTGAGGCACCACCTTTTCATCTTATTTAGTCAATGGGCTGGACCTTTCAGCATTATGTTTACACCACTGGATCGTTATAGTGACAGAAATCACCAGATTACAAGATACCAGTATTGTGCATTAAAGGTATAGCATATTTTCCTTCCACTATGCAAAGTGATCTATTCGGTAAAACAGATTACAACAACAAAGCCTAAGTTTAGAAATGTAAAAGAGGCAGATATTGTGGTTATTTGTTTCCTTTTATTTAAAGTAATTGATTATTTTGAGAGAGAGAAAGAGAGAGAGAGAGAGATCTAGGAAGTTAAAAATTCCTATTTTTCTTTCCAAAATTGTAATCTAAAGTTATTTCTCATAGTATACTTCTTTGTTGCCCGCATAGAGTGAAATTTTGTTTTATTATTTAGATTTTCAGTAAGAAAAGGCTCGCACTGACTTCAGTGGAAGCAGGATATCAGGCCCTAAGATCAAGTGCAATATCAGTTCAGTATCTGATACATCCTATTTCCAAAGGACTATATCTTGCACTTATATGGGGATGTACTCAATAGTTTTAAAAGTCTTGTCCAGCTCTAATAGCTGCAACTCAAGCTCCTAAATAAACTGGGGAAATAATGTTCTGTGTACCAGTATATGCTGCATCAAATGATATAAAACAATTTTAATTTAGACAGAGAACATGAAGCTAATTAAATGTTTAATAGGTTTTATAATCTCATTAAGAACAGATTGGCTGAAATGACAAAACACATTTTGAAGCATTTGCGAAGTGTTCCTATTGCAGTGTTCCTTTAATGTGCTTAATTTTTTAATTCAGCATTTGAATTAATTAATGCAGTTTTTAATTATAATTAACCTATTTTAATTAATGCAGTTACCTTCTAGATCAATGTAAATGTTGAAATCTAGCAAAAAAGCACTATTTCACTAAAAACAGGTAGCAATTGGAAATGTCTTGCAAGCACAGTCTGTTAAACACATTCACAAACGTTAAATTAAACAGATTTCTCTGTATTACTAGGCAATGTCAGCTGTACTCTGCTGTGGCCCTGTTTTTGACAATGTGGGTCTTTCCCCTGATGGCTATCTTTACAAATGGCTTGATAACATTCTAGCTTGTCAAGATTTACGAGTAAGTACCTCATCAATAATGTATGGTTTTAAAATGATTTTAAACTCTGTACTTGTTGAATACAGGTTTCAGAGTAACAGCCGTGTTAGTCTGTATTCGCAAAAAGAAAAGGAGTACTTGTGGCACCTTAGAGACTAACCAATTTATTTGAGCATGAGCTTTCGTGAGCTACAGCTCACTTCATCGGATGCATACCGTGGAAACTGCAGCAGACTTTATATATACACAGAGAATATGAAACAATACCTCCTCCCACCCCACTGTCCTGCTGGTAATAGCTTATCTAAAGTGATCATCAGGTGGGCCATTTCCAGCACAAATCCAGGTTTTCTCACCCTCCACCCCCCCACACAAATTCACAAATCCACCAATGTGATATATGCCATCATGTGCCAGCAATGCCCCTCTGCCATGTACATTGGTCAAACTGGACAGTCTCTACGTAAAAGAATAAATGGACACAAATCAGATGTCAAGAATTATAACATTCATAAACCAGTCGGAGAACACTTCAATCTCTCTGGTCACGCAATCACAGACATGAAGGTCGCTATCTTAAAACAAAAAAACTTCAAATCCAGACTCCAGCGAGAAACTGCTGAATTGGAATTCATTTGCAAATTGGATACTATTAATTTAGGCTTAAATAGAGACTGGGAGTGGCTAAGTCATTATGCAAGGTAGCCTGTTTCCTCTTGTTTTTCTCTACCCCCCCCCCCCCCCCCGATGTTCTGGTTTAACTTGGATTTAAACTTGGAGAGTGGTCAGTTTAGATGAGCTATTACCAGCAGGAGAGTGACTTTGTGTGTGTATGGGGGTGGGGGGGATGTGAGAAAACCTGGATTTGTGCAGGAAATAGCCCGACTTGATTATGTAAAGAGTTGTCACTTTGGATGGGCTAGCACCAGCAGGAGAGTGAATTTGTGTGGGGGGGTGGAGGGTGAGAAAACCTGGATTTGTGCTGGAAATGGCCCACCTGATGATCACTTTAGATAAGCTATTACCAGCAGGACAGTGGGGTGGGAGGAGGTATTGTTTCATATTCTCTGTGTATATATAAAGTCTGCTGCAGTTTCCACGGTATGCATCCAATGAAGTGAGCTGTAGCTCACGAAAGCTCATGCTCAAATAAATTGGTTAGTCTCTAAGGTGCCACAAGTACTCCTTTTCTTTTTGTTGAATACAGTCCACTTTGTGACTGTAAAAAGAAAAGGAGTACTTGTGGCACCTTAGAATTTGTTAATCTCTAAGGTGCCACAAGTACTCCTTTTCTTTTTACGGATACAGACTAACACGGCTGCTACTCTGAAACCTGTCTGTATGACTGTAGGCTTTGTGACCTTTGGTTTGAACAGAAAACAATAGATCCATGCAGTATTCAATTACAAATGCATAATGAACCGTATCACAATAACGTTTAAGTAATAAAAGGAATTTTATTATTTCAGGACACACAGTTCGTGTAGCATACTAAACTAAGCAGGGTTCTGTTATGAGGCTCAGACTGGTTTGCAGCAATATTTTAGGTTTTTCATCCATTACTAATACAAAGGTCAAGGACAGTATGATCTCAAAAAGTATTTTTTTTCTGTTTGGAGTATTTCCATCCCACCTGCTTCCAGGTCTTGTGAAGTAAGAATGTAAAATCATTTCCTGCTCAGTGATGTAGCTGCTGGTGAGGCAAATCTGAGTGAGTCAATGTGTGTGGGCAGATCTTCAGAAGGCGGCAAAAAACCTACTAATTTTAGGAAAAATGGAGTCTTTACCTTATAGCCTGGATCTGTAACAACCAAATATTTATTGACTTGTTAGTGTTTGAAAATAACTCCATGAGTACTAATTTGATGGATTATTTTTGCATTTAAAATGATTGTTCCCTAAAGACATTTCTGGTTAGATGATAAAGGGAAGAGAGGTTTCAGAGTAGCAGCTGTGTTAATCTGTATCCGCAAAAAGAAAAGGAGGACTTGTGGCACCTTAGAGACTAACAAATTTATTTGAGCATAAGCTTTCGTGAGCTACAGCTCACTTCATTGGATGCATGCAGTGGAAAATACAGTGGGGAGATTTATATACACAGAGAACATGAAACAATGGGTGTTACCATACACACTGTAAAAAGAGTGATCAGGTAAGGTGACCTATTACCAGCAGGAGAGCGGGCGCGGGGGGGACGGACCTTTTGTAGTGATAATCAAGGTGGGCCATTTCCAGCAGCCACCCCCCCACACACACACACACACACACTGTTCTTCATAGGTTCTTGTCAACTGCTGGAAATGGCCTGATAAATCTGGATAGATATGGATGCTCTCATTCAGAAGTAAAGTGCCCTAAATTCGCAGTAGCTTAATCCTCCTCTATTTAACATGAAGATACTTACATGCTGTAATTAAGTCACCTCTCAGTCTTCTTTTTGATAAACTGACAGATTGAGTTCTTTATGTCTCTCATGATAAGGCATTTTCTCCAGCCCTCGAATAATTGTTGTGGCAGTCTTCTGCATCCTCTCCAATTTTTCGATATCCTTTTTAAAATGTGGAGACCAGAATTGGATGCAGTATTCCAGTATTGGTCTCACCAATGCCATATACAGAGGTAAAAATCACTCACTGCTCCCCTGTTTGTACATCCAATGATCTCAATATTCCGTTTTGCCACAGTATTGAACTGAGATGTGATACTGAGGTGCTTGTCCACTATGACCCCTAGATTCTTTTCAGAGTTACTGCTTTCCACGATATAGTCCCCCATTCCATTCTGTAGGTATCAGCATTTTGCCAGCCCTTAATCCATTTAAGATGTGCTTTATATGTACAGTATTAATTTTTAATCGGAATATTATGCAGTACTAAGACAAACACCTTACAGAAGTCTACAAAGTTACCTTTATCAACCAAACTTGTAATCTCATCCAAAAAAAAAAATAAATCAGATTTGTTTGACAATACTTGTTTTCTGCAAAATACTGTTGACTGACTGGCATTAATTATATTCCTACTGTTTAATCACCAGGCCAGGGATTTCCTCAGCTAACTCTTTTATAACTATTGAGTGCAAGTTATTGGGCCTGCTGATCAAAAAGGGTTTATCCCTTGTAGATGTTGTCTAACATCCTCCTCAGTTGCTAATGAACTCAAAAGTTCTTCATTATCATATGATATCAGGGTTGGAAGGGACCTCAGGAGGTCATCTAGTCCAACCCCTTGTTCAAAGCAGGACCAATCCCCAATTTTACCCCAGATCCCTAAATGGCCCCTGCAAGGATTGAACTCACAACCCTGGGTTTAGAAGGCCAATGCTCAAACCACTGAGCTATCCCTCCCTCTAAATAAGTACTTCCCTCCCTCCCTCTATATAAGTACTTCATCCTGTTTTTTCCAAATACAGAACAGAAATATTTATTGAATGCTGATTGTCACAAACACATCTGCTTTTTGTGCATCATTATTAATAATTTTTCCATCTCAATTAAATAATTGAATGATTGCAAAGTTTTCTGTTGCTCCTAACATTTAAAAATCTCTTTATTGTCCTTAGCCCAGCCAAATATGGATTTTTCTCTGATGTTTTATTATTTTTTCAATTTTTTTGTACTTCATAATGTCTAATTTATATTGATGGATGTCTATTTCCCCCTTTTTCCAATTGATACATATTGATTTTTTATTTCTAATTGCTGCTTTCACTTTACCGCTGAACAAAGATTGGCTTTTAGCCAAGTTTGTTCTGTTTCTTGATACATATTGATTGTGTAACCATGGCTTTTTGCCATCTAATAAATTCTTCTTAAAGAATTCCCAGTTTTCATTCACATTTTTCTGTCTAAATTTTTCTTCACAGTCATTTTCATTGATAATTTTCCTCAGCTTTGAAATGTTAGCCCTTTTGAAGCTCCAAATATATATATTACGGGTGGGACTATCCTCTGTTTGCCCCTATTGAATGTAATCACATCATAACCACTCATCCCTAGATAACCACTAACCTCCAGTCCAATGATTAATTTCATCTTTGTCCATCATAGTGAGATCCAAAATAGTGTTACCTCATGTTTGGCACAACACCTTTTGCTTCTACATTATCTGCAATCCAAGAAACAGAAAGATGTACTCCCAAGCTTTACTTAAAGGATTAATGAACATGAATGAGTTTAGCCTCACAGCACTCCTCTGAGGTAGAAAATTAGCAGTATCTATGTTTTACAGGTTGTATAGCAAAGACACATGGATGTTACGGTCAGCCAGCAAGTGTGTGTTAAAGCTGGGAATACAACCCAGATCTCCTGACACAGGATATTAATCATAATATTATGCTTTGACCCTTATTTTGAAGGTCTATTTTAAAAAATATATTTAACATATATGGGGTTTGTGCAAGACATATTTTTATGAAGTGTGGACTATTCACAACTGAGTTAAATCCCATCTGTGGTATACATAAAATGTATTTATGATAAACGCTCCACTTTATTTTTCTCCATAGTGCCCAATAAACATGGTCCTTTTTTTTTTTTCATGTAAAAGGCAGGTTAGTTTTGTGACTTTGTGTCTATCTCCCTGAATAATTTTAAGAAACCTTGGGAGGATCTTTTTTATTTTTTACAGAAAATAATAATTGGCATTCTGTGTGTATTCAGGTTCATCAGCTTGGATGTGAAGTTGTAGTCTTATTGCTGGAACTAAATCCGGACCAAGTAAATCTTTTCAACTGGGCTATAGATCGGTGTTATACTGGATCATACCAGCTTGCTTCTGGGTGCTTCAAAGCCATTGCGACTGTGTGCGGAAGCAGGTATTAATAAACCTAGAAGTAGACTGTCCCTGAGGCAGTTAGTGTGAAACAAGATCAGGGCTGCTATTTCTAAGATGTTTACTCACCAGATATTTTGTGTAATCCTACTTGTTTCTGTTGGAAACAGATTCTAAATGTTCTTTTCCATTAAATTTAAAAATAATGGTTGAAACTGTAAGTGTGTTTGCTGTTGGTTGCTATATTGCCCTGGGTTGCATGCTATGAAAGACACAGAAAAAAACTCATGTATGTGAATGGGAATGGTGAAGCATCTGCACAGCCAAGTGTTATACTGCCTTAGACCATCCACTGAATAACAGTCACCTCTGTGACTTTGCAGCAAACAGGAGAAAAGGCACCAGATCTGGGGCCAGATGCAAAAAGTTTGGAAGAGCATCTCTTATCACATGAAATGCGTCTGCAAACATGCTTATTTATACTGATAAAGTCAGCACAGTATTGGGGAAAGGTTAAAAAAATAATCTCTGCCTTATCTGTGTATGTGATCAAGTCTGCAAGGGAGTGGCCAGGGTGTTGAGCAAGTTCTGTATGGAATTGCAGCTAGCATTCCCATGTCATGTCTTTTTACGCAATGTTTTGAGGCTACACATCCCTGTCACTCTCTTACAGGCCTGCCTGAGGCACATTTTTTGAGCATGTGATAAATTGCCCCTTGTAGTCTCCTGTTGCTGCGTAGGCGTTTGAACTTCTGATCCTTCCATGCGCAGAAAGGTAAACTAGGGCCTAAACCTTTTTATTTGTAACACCATTTTTAAACCTAGTGCCAAAACAATTTTTGATGGATTTTTCCAATGCCTTCAGACTAAATAATATGAAAATAAAAGTTTTCTGTGTTGTCATTTGCCAAACAATTATTTTGTCCTTTTTCTAACTGCCCTTGGATTTGACCTGAGTTTCCTTACCTTTTGTGTTCGGATTAACATTATCAATGATGTTAACAGAGTGGGAGCACAAAACATTGTTTTTTTGTATATGTCCTGCATAAACATTTTTTTTTCTTAGTATCTTTTCAGGATTAAAGTGGAAAAAAGGTTTAACAGTTATTTTGAAATAAAGGATAGTTTTCATCTGACTAGGCATTTGAAGTGCTGATATATTTTAGACTGAGAGTTCTTGACAAAAACAGTTTGGCAAGATGTCTGATCAGTATGTTTTGAGAGAGTAATGTGTGGGACAGTGCAAAGTTTCAAAACATGTTAAGTATTTTAGAATTTGGTATATCTCTAAAAAACACTATTTTGTTCTTATAGAAACAGCTGCAAGTACAAGCTGCATTGCCCTGAGATTTAAAAAGTATGATTGGAATTTTATGCTTGTGGATTTAGTAGCTTCTGAGATTCAGTTTTGCTATCTTAAAAGAAAACACAATAATACTAGCCCTTCACCTACAGTCTTTTCTCCTCAGATTTTTATTAGATAGGACTAAGTGCCCTGGGAAACGGTTTCATTGATGTGCCATTAGCAATAGTTAAAAATGCATGATCATTTTCAAGAAGAAACTCATATTTCAGCCTATTTGGGGAGCTATGTTGAGAGTTTAGCTAATACTAAAAACTGGTTGGCAATTTCCCATATTCCATCCTTTCGTCAGTAGCAATAAGTGTAGGGGGACCTCCGCTTAATCCAGCTGTAAATTAGCAATGTAGTATTGCATAACTTATGCCTCTCTTTCCACAAAGAATCCTCTCCATTAAAAAACTCAGTTTGTCCCAGCCCATGGTTTCCCATGCTACATTTCTATTGTGATACTGTAAATAATGTGTTCTGGAGTTTCACTAATCATGTCCCTACAGACTGGAATATTGGAGTAATTGAAAACATACACTTTATTTACACTTTTCTTCCATTTCTTTTCAACTAGTAATTACAGGGATTTTACTTGAGTTCAAATTTCTGGATGGCATATCCTTTGGCAACAGTGTGGCCAGTGGCATTTTGATGATGAAGTGGGAAGGGCAAATGATATCTTAGTCAGTTGATATCTTAGTCAGTTAAGACTTTTTCCTTGAGGCAAAACTATAAAGTCTCCATCATACTGTATAAGAGAGGCTAAAGGTTAGGTATCCGAATCTTTATTTATATACATTAAAAAAATCAGAACATTTATTTAAATAGTAGGAAACTGCTGGATGCTCACCATTTTGAAAATCAGACCACTTATTTAGGTGTCTAAATATGGACATCATTGACTAATGGTAGGACCACAGGTTTGCAAATATTGACCAGACCGATTCATATGATTGTCAAATTCATTTGAAGGAGGCCTATACCAGATAGCCAGTGTTCTTTATTTTTAACTACATATTTATTGGCCATTTCACTGCTATTTTTCATGTAGCTTAGTTTTTTCTATTTTGTATCAACGTACTCTACAGTATAATTATTCTGTTAATGTAATCTTGTTTTATCCTCATCTTTAGATTTTTGTGTTGGATTCTCTTAGGCATGCTTTTGTAACCCTTGATAGTTTCCTCTTTCAAGATGCTCCCTCAGGTGGGGATTATTTGAACTTTGTGAACTGTGGGAGGGACCAGGTTGGGGAAGGACCAGATAGACTGAGATGGAGCAGTAGAGCTGGGGTACACTAGTATGTGGAGTTAGTAAAGATGTCCCAGAAATCACTCTGTGTCCATCCATCAACCCAGCAGCCTTTGTCTACGCTAGGTAATTTAGAACTTCCATTTCACTGCCACAGCAGCTCAACTGATAACAGTGGTGGAGACTCTAATGTAGACAGGATTCAGGTATTTTTTACCATCATGTTGTCTGCCCTAATCTCAGTGGTAAAAACCTCCTGAGTCCTGTCTATATTATAGCTTCCATTGCTTCCACTGGTGGAGCTGCAGTGGTGGTGAATTATGGATCCTAAATCTGCATGTGAAGACTCAGCCTAATAGACAAGATAATGAAGAAGGTTGTAGGTCAGTTACTGAACATGGTTAAGATCATGTCTACAATTTGGAACAATCTCGTAAGTAAGTCTGGAGGGAAGTGTCTTGTAATCAGATCCCCTGACTCATTTGTAATTGTAGTGTAAACAGGCTCTTAGTTCTGTATTCGTTATGGTCGAAGTGGTAGATATACAAATTCCACAATTTTATGTTGGCTAAAACTAAGGTAGTGTATTTACATATCTACATGGAAAAAGGGTAGAAATCTCCAATCTAGATTTGTGCAAGACCAAATAACATTACATGGAAAATTGCCTTTCTAGCAATGGTGCCTTCAGGACCCTGCTCTTATTTATCCACTCTACACTAAATTTTGAATACGTAGGATGGTGGAATTTCTTCAGCAAGAGCGTGTCATTTGTTGAGCCAATGCATTCCCATTCTTCATGTTTATCCTTCACTAACTGTTCAATCTGATAGAGAGTTCTCTTTGACTTTAATGTCTGGGAATGTGCAATTTGAGGAATATATCCTTTTCCAGAAGAGGCTATTTTAACTGTCAGTGGAATTGCTTGAAGAATATTTTATTCCTGGAAACTGTCTGCCCAACCATCTTTGCTCTTGGGAATTAGTTTATAAAAAATTAGATACTATATTTTAAAAGAATTTAGGTTTATGGAATAGGCAATTGCAGTGCATTGCTAAGCATTGTCTCAAGGTAATTGTCCATCCCTCCCTCACCAGATGGCCACTTGACTCCGGAGTATGTATCCATAAGTAAATAACTCCCTTTCCTATAGTCTGGTGTAGGAGTGGAAAAAACAGAGGTGATATTTTTCTTTATATCATTTTTACGCATAGGAAATCAGAGTGAATTTAAACTGAGATTCGAATGTTGACAAAAATGTATTATTTATTCTTCCAGGAACTATCCTTTTGATATAGTGACACTTTTAAACCTAGTGCTATTCAAGGCGTCTGACACCAACAGAGAGATTTATGAAATTTCCATGCAACTTATGCAGGCATGTATCAGCTACTTAAAAAAAAATCTCCTTTAAAACAGTAACCAAATGCAAGTGGCCCTATCGTTTTCACCATTAACTTCTTACCATGTATTACAGTTTGGTTGGGGTTTTTTACTTTTTGTTTTGAAACCACGACTAGGTGCTACAGTAATAAATATAGTATATAATAATAATCATAAATGCTGCCGTGATTACTTGTATACAAATTTAAAGCAAATGATTATTTATAATATTTCTGCAACTTGGAAATTTTACTGTGAAACATGTAGACCTTTATGTGATTTCTTAATCTGTTTAAAGTTGAAATTTGAAAGTTTTGTGCATTAATGAAATCCTTTCACTTCATTGTCCACTTTCTTCTCTTTTGTAGATTCTTGAGGCAAAGCTTTTTGTTTATTCAAAGAAAGTTGCTGAGCAAAGACCTGGCAGTATCCTGTATGGTACACATGGCCCATTACCACCTCTTTACAGTGTTTCATTGGCACTTCTTTCATATGAGCTAGCAAGGATGTATCCTGAGCTCACCCTTCCACTTTTTTCAGGTACCTGTCTATTGATATTTTTAAAAAATGTTTTCAATATTTGTTTTTTATGTAGTGTACAAATGGTGGCCTGTTAGTGTATTTCAAGTTGTGAATAACAATTAGATTGATATTTCTGGTCAGTTTGGTTATATTCCAATTCTATTGTACTAAAATTAAGCAAAATGCTTTCTAATTAGATACACAATTTCCTGCAGACATATGCAAAGTACAGTAGTTGATATTTAAAACTCAAGGTGTGCAGTCTTTGGGGGTGGACTGGGAAGGGGCTATGGTCAGGGGTGCTGGAACTAGGAGTGCCCCTGGCTTGAAGTGGTTTCCATCATATACAGGGTTTGCAGTTTTGTTCAATGGCTTTCAGCATCCCCACTATAAAAATTGTTCCAATGCCACTGACTGTGGTGGTTTTAAGGCAGCTTTGTGCCCTCACAATCCTGGGCTGTTCCTTCACTGGTTAATTCCCTCACTTAGAAATTTGCACCTTATTTCTAGTCTACACCAGTCCAGCTTTAACTTTCAGACACACACACGCACACATCCTGGTGGAGAGGCTGATTTAAGCAATGGATTACATACCATAATTAGTAATTCTACAGTTTCATATGTGCAATTTCTTAAGAATTCTTGGCTAAATACCATCTGGTCCTGCTGAGACCTCAGTCTCGGACAGTTCCTCAGATTTTTCACCTAGAAAGAATGGCTCAGGTGTGGGAATCTCCCTCACATCCTCTGCAACAAAGACTGATGCAAAGAATTCACTGAGCTTCTCCACAATGGCCTGGTCTTCCTTGAGTGCTCTTTTAACACCTCAATCATCCAGTTACCCCACTCATTGTTTGGCAGGCTTCCTGCTTCTCATATACTTTAAAAAATGTTGCTCTTAGTTTTTGTGTCTTTTGCTAGTTGCTCTTCTGATTCTCTTTTGGCTTGCCTAATTGACTTGATTTGCCAGAGATTATGTTTCTTCTTGATTTTCCTCAGTAGGATTTGACTTTCAATTTCTAAAGGATGTCTTTTTGTCTCTAGCTGCCTCTTTTACTCTGTTGTTTAACCATGGTGGCATTTTTTTGGTCCTCTTACTCATTTGGTTTTTTTTATTTGGGGTATAAATATAGTTTGAGCCTTGTTATGGTGTTCTTAAAAAGTTTCCATGCAGCTTGCAGGCATTTCACTCTTGTGACTGTTCCTTTTAATTTTCATTTAACTAGCCTCTTCATTTTTGTTTAGTTCCTCTTTTTGAACTGAAATGCTACTGTGATGGGTATTTTTGGTATTTCCCCCCCTACAAGGATGTTAAATTTAATTACATTATGGTCGCTATGAGCAAGCAGTTCAGCTATTTTCACTTCTTGGACCAAATCCTGTACGCCACTTAGGACTAAATCAAGAGCTGCCTCTCCCCTTGTGAGTTCCAGGGCTAACTGCTTCAAGAAGCAGTCATTAATGGAGTCATTCTTGTGATGCCTAGAGTCCCCAGTTGAGGTCAGGGCCACTTTGTTCACACCTACACCCTGTACAGACACATTGCAAGAGGCAATCCCTTCTCATAAGAGTTTACAAGACAAGATGGACTGTGCTGGGAGAAACAAGTATTATTTTCTCATTTTTTAGGTAGAGAATTGTGGCACAGAGAAAGTAAGTGGCTTACCTGAGGTCACATAGGAAATCTATGGCATGACTCCTGAAACCCTCCAGTCCAGTGCCTTAACCACAGGGTCATATTTCCTTATCAATAAATTATGACTTTTTAATGGCATACATTTTATGTTTACACATATTGTTTATTTGTCTATAATATGCTTTCACACCTACTTTTTATGAAATAGTGTTAGTGTTCTATAAAGTATGTTCACAGTACTCAGAGTCATTTGTGAATTAAATAGGTCTTCACAGATAAGGAATTAAAACTTTATATTTAGGGCCCTACCAAATTCACGGCCATGAAAAACACATCACAGACAGTGAAATCTGGTCTTTTGTGTGCTTTTACCCTATACTATACAGATTTCACAGGGGAGACCAGCGTTTCTCAAAAGTTGGGGGTCACAAGGCTATTTTAGGGGTTGCAGTATTGCCACCCTTACTTCTGCGCTGCCTTCAGAGCTGGGCGTCCAGAGAACAGCGGCTGTTGGCCGGGCGTCCAGCTCTGAAGGCAGCACTTCGCCAGCAGCACCACAGATGTAAGGGTGGCAACACCATACCAGGCCATCCTTACTTCTGTGCTGCTGCTGGCGGCAGCTCTGCCTTCAGAGCTGGGCTCCTGGCCAGCAGCCGCCGCTCTCCATCTGCCCAGCTCTGAAGGCAGCGCCACTCCCAGCAGCAGTGCAGAAGTAAGGATAACTGTACCGCAACCCTCACTACAATAACCTTGCAACCCCCCCACACTCCTTTTTTGGGTCAGGACCCCTACAATTACAACACCGTGACATTTCAGATTTAAGTAGCTGAAATCATGAAATTTATTATTTTAAAAATCCTATGACCATGAAATTGACCAAAATGGACTGTGAATTTGGTAGGACCCTATTTACATTGTATTCTGAAGACATGTATTTTTTTCTATTATGTATTTTGTTTCGGCCTTATCTTTATTGTTGTTGTCTTCTAATTTTCTTTTTGAAATACACTAGTTACTATAGAAATAATATCATTGATATGAATAATGCTTAGTGATACCCACAAGTGTTTTTATTCAGTCAATGTATGTAAATGCCTTGAGATTTAGGCCACAGTTAGGAAATATAGAAGCTTATGTGACAATTATAACCAGATATCAGAATACTATAATTATTTACAGAACACTACTGACAATTTTCCATAATTCTCCAAAAGCTTTTAAAATTCTAGAATAATTTGTCAAATCTGCCCTATTTTTTTTGTGTTAGCAAAAATTTAGCTGTGTGTGTCGGTACACAGCAATCTATAATAGGGCATGTCTTGAACATGCTTCTTAATTTATATTTCTAAATTCAAAATTCTTACCTCAGTTATTTTGCACTTAAGACCTCTGACACATTGCTTACTAGTAGCTTACATCAATGTAATGTATGTTCCTCCTGCTAATACCTAAATATTTGCTTTTGTGCTTTGATAATATTCTCTTTCCTTGCAAGATTAAGGTCATCAGGTGGCAAAACAGAAACAACCAGACTTGCTAAGCATGTAATTTTTTCAGTGTACTTGTACTTATCTTTATAGACTAATGATTGATGCTTTTTAATGCTTACTATTTTAGAGGTAAGTCAACGATTCCCAACAACCCATCCAAATGGGAGACAGATCATGCTTACCTATCTGCTACCATGGCTTCATAACATCGAACTTGTAGACAGCAGACTTCTTCTCCCAGGTTCAAGCCCTAGCACCCCAGAAGATGAAATAAAGGCTAAGGAAGGGGAAATAGCTGTCACATATGGACTGAAAGGAAATGGATGGGGCTCTCCTGAGGCCACATCGTTGGTGCTTAATAATCTCATGTATATGACAGCTAAGGTAAAGCAAAACTGTTTTCTGAAATATTCAAGCTATGATATTTTTAAAAATTCAAAAATACTCAAAAACTAAAGGGTGTCTAGAATTCCTTCTATTGATATAATCTTGCATGAGCACAAATACTCACGTCTCTCTAAATGTGGATTTCATTCTGAGTAAAAAATTGTACACGTTTCTAAGTGACTTAGGAGCCCAAATCCCACTGAAATGCCATTTCACTTCTGACTGGTATGTAGGCTCCTGAATCACTTAGTTGCTTTTGAAAATTGTACTCTACATCTTGTTACTGTGTTTTGCTATTGATTTTGCATGAGCTGATGTTGTACAATAACATACCTTTAGTTTCTCTTCTAAATGTCTGCGTATATTAATGATATGTTTCGTGCACCTTTTCAAAAGTTCCATCTCTGTGCCTCTTTACAGTATGGAGATGAAGTTCCTGGGCTAGAGATGGAAAATGTCTGGAATGCCTTGGCCAACAATGAGAAATGGAGCAACAACCTTAGAATAACACTGCAATTTCTAATTAGCTTGTGTGGGGTTAGCAGTGATACCATCCTTTTACCTTATGTAAGTGTTTGTGTTTTGTTTTATTTGCTGTTGGTTGCACTGTATTTTTAAGGAAGAAAACAGCATTTGTTTTCTGCCAAATTTGTTTTCTGCCAAAATACCCCATTATGCTTATCCATTCACGAGCATCCAGTGTTATATTAGGTCAGTTGGGAAGAGTAAACGAGCCCAGACGCTGAAGGCAAACAGAGAAAATGTGCCATGAGAGCCTCTCTTTGCATCAGTGGAGCTTACTTGGTTCCAAGCAGGGGTAAGCTCCACCAGTGAAAATAGCAGCTTTGTCAAAGTTCAGCTTTGTCAGCACTGGGGAATAGTGCAGCAGTAACAGTGGCTGGCCACTAATGGCTGAAAGCATTGTGAACAAACATCAGAACCATTTTTCAATATCAAACTTACACAACAGATATTCATTTTGTACATACAAAATGTTATGAACACGACAGAAAGGAACTCTTACAAGTTTAAATAACTTGCATGAAAAATTAACTAAGTTAAAAATATTAAATGCCTTGAACTTTCCCCAGCAGGCAGCTAGTTTAGACGACAACCAGTATGCTAAATTTTGCAAGGGCTTAAAACAATGAAAAGTTATACAAGGAAAAGGATAATAAATTCATGCTATCTCCAGTATTAGTGTTTGTGCATTTTAAGGATTTAACTCCAATTCAGGAAAGCACCAAGCATGTGCTTATCTTTAAACATGTTCTGAAGTCCATCCTTCTTTAGCAAGGCTATGATTTTGAAAGGTGTGTGTCAATGGGAGTTGGGTGCCTAACTCCTTTTAAGCACTTGCAAAAATCCCATTGCATAGCACTTAAGAAAGTGTTTAAGACCCCTTTTAGTCAACTGAACTTAAGCGTGTGCTTTAGGGCTTTGCTGAGGCAGAACCTTATATCAGTTATTTATGGTGCAATGCAGGATGTCAATTTAAACACTAGTGGAAATTGTAAAGTTTAGCATGTCAGCTTATTCCTTTTTGTTCCCTGCATAGCTGTCATTGATTACATAACTGTTCCTTCTTGTATGTGAGTCAGGTTGTACAATATATTGCTTCTGTTGCTGCTGTTAGAATAAAACAGGTTTTTTTTCTGAGTGAAGTAATATAGCTCCACTTCTGTCTGGCTCTTCAGTGGTTGGGAGAAACTGAATCAAAATTTAGTGCTTTTTACTTTTTTCAGCAGAATTACAGTTTCTTATTTGACTGTCCCTATTAGTTCCCATACTAAGAAAATGAGAATCCATAATTACAATGATTACGTTAGTTAATTAGCATCACAGGTGTGCATAGTTCTTTATAAACAGTTTAAAATGACAGGCGTGCCCTGTGGAGTTTACCACCCATAATAGAATAAGGGAAATAAAGGGTGAGGGAGAGTTTGTGGGAAGACAATGGAGGATCACAAGATGTCCTCATTATTACATACACATCTTTTTGGTTCCCTTTTATTTTTTAATTTAATATATTAAAATTGTGAACTCTGTCTTTGTGCAACGAAAGCTGGAATGGTTGTTATTGCAAGAAAGCTAAAAAGCTAAAAAGGCCCAAAAGGAGCATCAAGGTCAGTTGACTTGACAGGAGTTGTGGAATCTCCTTCACTGGAGGTTTTCAAAAGGAGTCTGGGTAGCCATCTGTCTTGGGTGATTTAGACATGACACATCCTGCATCTTGGCAGGGACTTAGACTAGATGACCTCTGCAACCCTTTCTAACCCTATGATTCTATGAGAGAAAATGCTGGGAACTGAGGGTAGACTAGAGAGGCAGGACTGTTACAGGACTCGGATTGATTTTAGGAAGGCAATACTAGCCATTTCAAAACACATCCTTTGCCACCTGAGCTATTGAAATGCTTTTTGTGCTTCTCCAGTCTGTGTCTACATAATGCTGCTAAAGATGGTCAAAAGCACAGGTGTGTTTTAGGTTTTGTCAGCCCAAGAAAATGTATGCTTTCGTCTGAATTTGTATCCAAAGTCCATTGGATACCTGTTGCTTTACATACAGCTTCAAGAGAAAGGTTACTAGAAGGGGGCTTTAATTACTCTGTCATGCTTTGTTTTCTGGAACTGACTTTTTCCTTTAGCTCAAATAGCTTATTTACAGAGGTCAGTGATGGCAAATTATTACCATTAAGTAATTCACTGTTTTTGTGTAAGCTTTATTTGTATCTCATGTAGCCAAGAGGAGGCATATATCCACACACACTCTCACAGAGATTATAGTCTCATAGAGAAATATACATATACTACTCCTGGGGAAATTTTGCACCGCAAAATTAAAAATTGTATGCCAAAAAATGAAAAATTGTGCGCACAATATTTCATAATTCTTCATATTTAGTTTGTCAAAATAACATAGTATAACCACTCCAGTTTCAGTTATTTTGGTAATTTATTTCAAAATACCTGTCAGCAAGCAGGTCTGTAACAATACAGACAACAAAAAAGATTCCCCCAGGAGTAGAGAGTTAAAAAAACCTCTGTGACAACCCAGTTCCTTTTTCTCTGTTATGCTTTTGTTGGGCGCCTCAGTCTGGGTGTGTCACACATGCCGGCTGAGCATATCTTCGGGGAAAACTCTGCGCCTGTGGTCTTTTGGTCGATTCTCATTTTTTTGCCCTGCCCCCTGTAGGGTTACCATATAGAGGTTCCCAAACAAAGGATACTGCTGAGAGAAGGGGAAGGCATGGAGGGAGCTGGAGTGGGGAATACAGTGGGAGGGTGCTGGAGCAGTGTGTGTACACTGTGAGGGTTACTTGGGGGAGCTGGAGGGGGCTGTGCGGGGCCCCCCGGCCCAGACACCCACATTCCCTCCCCTCCAGAGCCCAGGAATCCAGAGGAAGAAACAGCCTGATGCTGGTCAGACGGGGCTTGTATGGAGTTTCCTTCACACAGCCTCCTTCCTTCAGGACATGCTGGGAACCGCAGCTGTCAGGAACCCTCCAGCACCCTCTCACCCTCCCCTTCCAATCAGTAGTGTCCTCTATTTTTGAGCTGGGGAGCCTCACTCTGCTGGTTCCAGCAGTCCCTCGTGGCGGCCAGCAGCTCTGCAGCACCAAATCTGCAGGGAAAAAGTGAAATTCTGTGCAGAACATTAATTCTGTGCAAATTCTGCATCACGCAGTTGTGCAGAATTCCCCCAGGAGTAATAGACATAAATCTATACATTCAGAGATGGTATTAAAACAGCAATGCCTGTATGCAATGTAATGTAGGTATTGTTTGTTCATACATAACAATGGGAGAAACATGGAAGGCCTGTTTAAGAGAAATCTGATAGAAAAATGGAGTCATAAATTTTAAAAATGATGATAAAAATAGGAGATTTAGAGAATATACTCTTATGTGGAGATGCAAAACAATCCTGCCACCCCCCCCCAAAACTTCAGCAGTAGCCATGAACATTTAGAAAAAGGAATTAATGTAATATATTCAAACACTAGTTATTGCTTCTTCACAAAAAACTAGAATATAGTTCTTCCACTAATGCTGCTCTTTGCAACATAAAGTTAAAAGAACAAAGGCATCTTTTTGTCTGTTCCTCAACTTTGACATGATAGGAGTTTGATTTTCCATTATGATTAAGGCTGCGAGTCTATCATGGAAGTCACGGATTCCGGGACCTGTGGGACTTCTGCAGCAGCTGGTGTGGCTGGCCCTGGGGCCTCCTGAGCAGCTCGGGCAGCCCCTGGGTCAGTTGCACTGGGCGCTGCTGGGGCGGTCTCAGGCCACCATGCCCCCTCCTTCTAGCAGCAGCAGGATTTTGGGTGTGTGAGGGGGCTCAGGGCTGGGGCAGGTGTTTGGGGCATGGGAGGGGGTGAGGACTTGGGTGGCACTTTCCTCGGAGGGCTCCCCGGAAGCGGCGACATGTCCCTCAGCTCCTAGGTGGAGGCGTGGCCAGGCATCTCTGCATGCTGCCTCCACCTGCAGGTGCAGAGTCAGCGCTTGGGGCAGGGGCAGCGCGCGGAGCCCTCCTGGCTGCGCCTCCACCTAGGAGCCGAGGGACATGTCACCACTTCCAGGGAGTCATGCGGAGCCAAGTAGGGAGCCTGCCAGCCCCGCCAAACCCCCTCCCTTCCCAGCAACCGCAAGGATTCCAGGCCACATGCTGTCTCCCGCCTTCCCAAGCACCAGCAGAGATCCTTGGATGCCCCTCCCCTGAGCACCCGTAGCGCCCCTAGGTGCCCCCTCCCCCAAGCACTCCTGGCGCCCCAGGGCCACTCCCTGCCACAAAGCACACAAGATTTAGTCAAGGGTATATAGTACAAGTCATGGACAGGTCAGAGGCTGTGAATTTTTATTTACTGCCCATGACCTGTCCATGACTTTTACTAAAAATACCTGTGACTAAAATGTAGCCTTAATTATAATTCATATCTTGATTTTGATAATCAGTAGCACTTTCATCTACATCTTCATTTAGGCTATCAAAATATGTCAGCTTATCACATGAATCTGTGCAATGCTTTGATAGTGCCCCAGTGTACCAAGATAAGAAATCATAGTTTACTGTGATAACTATAAAAGGTTTTTCATGCCATAAACACATGTTCCTTTAATCATTTATCTTACAGATAACTTATATACATTAATAACAAAGTAAAATAGATATGTAGATCTTATCCTAACAACTGTAGCAAAGGGAAAGAAACCACTTTCAGCATGGTGGTGGGTGTGTTAAAGACAGATGATAGGACATACTCCAAGTCAGTTTTGCATCAGAAATGTAAAAGAAACAATAAGACAGTTTTAGAGTAGCAGGCAGCTAAAAAGGCACCACATGCCATTAAACATTTACATTGTTCACAGCAAAAAGCAACATATGACTTTTGATATTAAAATGGAATTTCATAATCTAGCATTAGGAAGGACTAGCATATGTGGTACAGGTCCTAGAAATAGGGATATCAGCATTCCTCCTGTTCTTCTACATGTGGTCTGAGAGCTGGGACATTTTTAATGTTAAAAAAAAAAAAGTTAAATGCTCTTAAAGCAGCAAGCTAGATTTGGGTGAGTGAGTTTGCTCCTAAAGAGAGAGGCAGTGAGGATGGTGGCAGCTAAAGAAGAGAAGTAAACCCCGGGAGGACAATTGCTTGTTAAAACCTGTAGCTACTCAGATTTGTTGTGTCCAAATTAGACCTGAAATGGCAATAGTATACCACTCACCCCTATCCTCGTTAGAAACAAGGAGAACACAATATGTTTACTGCAGAGAGCATAGATGAGTCATGCCTCCCCATACTGGGGGGGGCAGGGGGGGGCACAATCTAAAGGAAAAGACACGTGACCACCCCATGTGTCTCCTCTGCCCAGTGACTCTCCCCGCCATGTGTCCTGCCTTGTGCCCAGCACTCTCCCTGCCACACCAGAGTTAACTGCAGGAGGTTGGGGTGCTCTGTCCTTCTCCTGCTGCGCTTCTCCCCCGCCCCCCACAGCACACTGAGCTCTGCTCTCCCTGGCAGCCTGGCAAGGAGCGGTACGGAGCCGCTTCTCACGCAGCTGAAGCTGGCCACTCTAGGTCGCTGCTCTGTGCAGCACAGCAGCTGCCTGAGAGAGCCTGGCTGGGGAGATGGTGGCAGTGGGCTGCACCCCCCCCCAGGCCCGGCTGCCAGGGACAGGAGCCACGCGAGCTGTAAATGTGCCAGGGGAAAGAGGGGACTGCGGTTCACTCAGCCCCTGTCCCCAGTCGCCGGGCTCAAGCGGGAGGTGACCTGCCACCGCCGCCACCTCCACAGCCAGGCTGTCTCTCAGGCAGCCACCATACTGCACAGAGCAGCAACCCAGAGTGGCTGGCATGAGAAGTGTCTAGTCCCCCCCTTCCGCTCCCTGCCTGGGCCTGGCTGCCAGGGGCAGAGGCCAAACATGCCAGGGGGAGGCTCAGAGGGAGAAGGACACAGCCCCTCTCCCCCCTCTCTCCCACCCCGGAAGGCCAAGCAGAAATCCCGGGGGGGGGGGGGGGGAGAGGCACTCGACCCTACATGCTCCTTCTATGCATCGTCTATGGCAGAGAGCAAAATAATTAGCAACTAAAAATAATACCAACAAATTATCCACAGCATTCAGGCTTGCAGAATCCAAAAGGCCACACTGCTGCAAGATTAACTATTTGTCTTTACCTTTCTCTGTTTTGGAATCAGTGTGCCTCTGGCCCTCACCAGCTGCTTCCTGCCTTCAGCCATATGTTCTGGCTCAATGGGCACAAGGCAATGCCTTTAATGCTTTACTGGCTGGCTTTTTAAAAGAGGCAAAGATTGCTTTAAGAGGGCTGGCTGGTCTTTTTTTATTTCTTTGTCTTTTAAGTGTTGTTTTCTTAGTGCATCCACATGAACTGCTCTGCTCCCCTGGTTTTAGAGGGTGCTGTGCAAGGTTTGTTAGGTAAGGTGTTGCCCATCTTTAATTGCAGTACAAATGATGATTGAAGAGCATTTGCTTTTTAGAAATTCCTACAATATCACTCACAGTGAAATACAACAAGCACATTTTTTCCAGTTACTTCAGCATAGTCTTTAAATGTGTACATTTTCTCTAAAGTTAAAAAAGAGAGTAAAATAAATAGAAAATAATAAATGTGAGAATTTTGCCATTCACTTCAATAGGAGTAGGATCAGTATGGTATGCATTATTGACTTTACTGTGATTGCTGGTTTACCTATGTAAATATGTATTTTCAAGACTTCTGAAAATACCTTTGACTCTCATGACACATGTAAATGGCTAGCTGGATCCTTGCCTACTGTTTGTGTGTACAATTACCTGACTTTCACACACAATTGCATGCATAAATGTATGCATGAACTTATGCGTGGACCCCTGCTTTTCTTTTTGGAACTTTGGCCCTATGAAGTATGGCAAGCTTCAGCTTGGAAGGTATTAATGTATTCAAAAGATAAACCCTGAATATGATTCACTAGTAATGCTAGTTACAGAGTTTTTAATTACATTCTGTATATTATGGCTTATGGGGGATAATAACCGAATAATTTTGAGCAACCAGATCAGAGATTTGTTTTTAAGAGAAAGTATGTTGAAATCAAAAGGGAGTTGTATTCATATTAATATGAGCAGGGTTAATTCAGTTACATTGTTCTGGTGTCTTTTTCAACAGTAATATATGCATTTTAGCCTTTTAGTTATTGCAAAGTAATATGTTTTTATTGTGTGAACTATTCTAGTTTTTTATCTATTTTGTGTGGATACTAATAAATGTCTTTTTTCTCCTTTAGATCAAAAAGGTTGCCATATATTTGTGTCGGAATAACACTATTCAAACAATGGAAGAGCTTCTTTTTGAACTGCAGCAGACCGATCCAGTAAACCCTATTGTCCAGCATTGTGATAATCCACCTTTTTACCGCTTTACTGCCAGCAACAAGCCCTCAGCTGTTGCTTCTGGTATAAGCTAAATATTATTATTTCAGCTATGACTTTATACCTGTTTTTTAGTCTCAGTCTCTTTGTTCAGTTCAGTTCTGGAATACAAATAAATAATAATGACACGTATAAGTCACAGCACCTACTAGCGTGGCTGCATGCTCTGCAAACCACATGCACTGAATGACGGATTCATTTAGTTGTTCTCTCTCGTGCAGCCTACTATAGTGCTTCTCTAGAACTCAGCAGGATCTTGGTGAGACTGAGCTTGAGATCTGGTGTATGTCATAGGGTCATGTTCTCTTTGACCACCTTGTTCTGAAAGTTGCAGTAGACTTTCAAAACTAGGACTGCAACACAGTTAAGGTGCTAGCTTGTCAATAAATCGGTGCTGGGGAATGCCTGCTGTGATCATGGGATTGCTGGTCGCACACTGTTCTGTAATATTAATGATAGAAGAACCAATTCAAATAAATGATGAACTGCACCAAACCCTGACAGCATCTTTTTAAACTGGTAACGAACAGGGAACACAAATTTACAGGACATGCAAGATTCTGGGAACTCACTTTTTTTAGGATGTGAAACAAGACCCTAAAACACATGTACATGTTGCATGGATATGAATGTGTGTGTAGTATATGCATAATGACCAATTTTACTGTGGCCTTTGACATAAATCTAAAGTTAAAGTTTTTTATTGTTATTTTAGTATGAAAGAAAAGCAGCTCATGAAAAGACTATGTATATTTGTATGCGTATGTAATTTAATGGGTGTGCTTGTTGTCATCTCACATACAGGAACTACCTCTAGCAGTAATACTGTTGTAGCTGGCCAAGACAGTTTTCCTGATATAGAGGAGAGCAGGATGGTGAAGGAAACTGATGAAAGGTTTGTAATCTGTTTCTCCAAAATGTGCGCATTTAAAAAAAAGATTTTAAGGGCCAGATTGACATCAGCTCATGTCAATCAACCAAGCTCCATTGACTTCAATGGAGCCACACTGATGTAGACTGGCTGATGATCTGTCTGACCAGGAGCATTGTTTTTATCCCAGGAGGAATGTTTTTAAATAGTCATTCAGGAAAGCAGTAAAAGCAGGCTGCAGAATCTCCTGTTTCAAAAAGTTGATTAGTAACATAAGCCTAATATTGTAGGTACAGCCTAAGTATGTGTGACACCTAAATTGAGCAATTTGTGCTACCTAGCTCATGTTGTAGGAACCAACTGGACAAGAGAAAGAGAAGTGGGGGAATCTACTGAAAAAAAGAATTTTAAAATATTTTAAAAATATTGGGTTTGATCCCATACTCTTTTAGTCCATGAAGAGAGGATAAAAATCTGTGTGCAGATCAGTGTTCCTGACTGTGCAAAGAAGCTCAGTATCACTCTTCCTTTTTAGGATGAGGTGGCAGATATTGGAAGGACCATTTTCTACATCTGAAAAATATTCTGCCCAGCAATCCTGAGTCACTTAATATATTTCCAGCCTTCTGTATCTTTCATTTCTTACTGTATGTATATAATCTTGATAAATTGGAAGACTGGGCTATAGACAACAAAATGAAATTCAGCAAAGACAAATGTAAGGTGCTACACTTAGAGAAGAAAAGCCAACTTCACAAATACAGAATGGGGGATAACTGGCTTGATAACAGCACTGCTGAGAAGGATCTGTGAGTTGTTGTAGAACACAGCATTGTGAAGCTGTTGTAAAAAAAGCAAATGCAATTTTAGGTTGCATTAACAGAGGCATAGAACGCAAGTCACAGGAGGTGATAGTACTGCTCAACTCGGCACTAGTTAGGCCTCAGCTGGAGTACTGTGTTCAATTTTGGTCATCAGTGTATAGAAAGGATGTAGAGAAACTGGAAAGGACTCAGAGGTGAGCAACAAAGATGATCATAGGGATGGAATGCAAGCCATACAAGCAAAGGCTGAAGGAACTGGGTATGTTTAGTTTGGAAAAGAGGAGATTGAGGGGGAATATGATAGCTGCCATAAAAAAGATGGAGAAAAGTTGTTGTCTCTTGCCACAAAGGGCAGGACAAGAGGCAATAGGTTCAAACTACAGCATAGTAGATTTAGATTAAATCTCAGAAAAAACTTCCTAACAGTAAGAACAGTAGGACAATGAAACAGACTGCCTAGGGAGGTTGTAGAAGCTCCTTTGCTGGAGGTTTTCAAAAGGAGACTGGATAGCCATCTGTCTTGGATGGTTTACACACAACAAATCTTGCATCTTGGCAGGGGGCAAGACTAGATGCCCTTTGTAGTCCCTACTAACCCTATGATTAAAGCACCCATTAAAGCAGATTACAAAACAGTAGAGTCACAAGTTAAAGGGGCACACCATTTCCAGTACCACAGAAAAGTCTATTTTCTTTTTCTTACTAAATCCCTTTTCTCTTTAGACGGGAAATACGAATGAGCTGCAATAACGTCAGTGAAGGTCCCCATTGATGTTGAATTAGTTTATGGTTCTTGATGTCCACTAGCATCATTTCAAAGTCCCATTTTCCACTGGATCAGGGCTCAAATGAGCAAGAACAACCAGCTCAGAGATCTTCTCCTGTAGTTCCCCTCTTTATAACCACTTTGAACTATTTCTTTGTTAGGTCTTGTAAATATAAGAGGTTGCCATTTTCTCAGCTCAATCTCTTAGTTTCTCTATAGAGTAAGCTTGGTTAGGCATTCAGATGTCATGCTGTGGAGCATGGTATAAAAACTTCATATAACAGAGAGTGTGCCAAAAACTGATAGAGGTCTCAGAGTAGGGAGCAAAAAGATGCTGTGTGTGAGCAAAAAGAAAATAAACCTCTTTGCCTTTGGGTGTCCTTCTTATTTTTCCCTACAAAAATGTTTATAGGTGTATTGTATTAAATTGGTTTTTTTTTAAATGGCGAAGCAAACAACTGATACAACATTTTTCATTATGTGCCCCAGTTGTAACCTGCCAGCAATTTCACAGTGTCCTGTCTCTCACAAAATGTAGATATGGCCAAACCAATTTTTCAGTAGTAGTGTGCTGTGATACTTTTGTATTCTTATGTCTGATTTTGTAAGCAAGTAGTTTTTAAGTGAGGTAGAACTTGGGGGTATGCAAGACAAATCAGACTCCTGAAAGGGATACAGTAGTCAGGAAAGGTTGAGAGCCACTGCTATATTTAAATGCACAGATGTAGAATTGTTCTTAGTGTTCTCTTTGTCATTTGTCTCTTTGTCTCTTGTAGTCATTTTTTTTAAATAATAAGGTGACCTGAGCAGATGTTGTGGATAACTTCGTCTCCAACAATCATTGTTCTTTAAATATGTTTATGATAAAAAAATTCTACAGTAAGTAATAGAAGTTTTGCCACCTGCTCTCATAATCACAGGCCTGTTTTGGAATAACTAAGTAGAAAATATTCTATAATGAAACTAAGTAGAAAATATTCTAGTTTTTGTGTTGAAGACACAATATCACATAAAAGGAAACCCTGAGTAATGTGTAAAATGCCATTTACTTGTCTAGAAATTTTTTTGATCTGGCACAATGTCATCATGCTGCACCATAGCTTTTCAAGGTGATGTTGCATTGTGTCTTGTCTTGTGATGTGATTTCTTTCTCTGACATCATAATACTGTATTGTTTTGATATCAATGTGTTTGGATGTTATATTGTGACAGTTATGTGTTTTTATTGTCAGCATCTGTTACATGGTTTTCAAAGTGACCGCTTTCTCTTATTTGCAGTCTGTCTAGCTATATTCTTACGGAGTTCAGATGAGGATAGAATTTGACATTGTGCATTTCTTCATATGTGTTTTCCTCCCAAAATATATCTTTTAGTACACTTTTCAGGGTTTTTTTAAAGACTGCCACAATAATATGCTAAAACAACGAGGAGTCCTTGTGGCACCTTAGAGACTAACAAATTTATTTGGGCATAAGCTTTCTTGGGCTAAAACCCACTTCATCAGCTGCATGGAGTGAAAAATACAGTGAGCAGAATATATATTCTAGCACATGAAAAAATGGAAGTTGCCTTACTAAGTGGGGGGTCAGAGCTAATGAGCCAATTTTCCCTCCCTTGGTATTCACCCCTTCTTGTCAACTATTGAGAATAGGCCACTTCTACCTTAATTGAATTGGCTCATTAGCACTGACCCCCACTTGGTAAGGCAACTCCCATCTTTTCAGAATTTTATTTAGGTTGCAAAGTCAAGTACTTAAAAGTAGGAAATACCATGCTTAAGGTGTTCCTTGAAAATTTGGTCGGAGTGAGCATTTACTACAGTCGTTTGCTTTGTCTAAATAAAGCATTTAATGAAGATTTTTCTTGTATTTCAAGGTTCAGTAATGTAATCAGAGCACACAGTCGACTAGAATCAAGGTACAGTAATAGCTCTGGCGGATCTTACGATGATGATAAAAGTAAGTGCTGACATTCCATTTTATGCAATTTCTTGGGTGTATTGGTGGGAAAGGAAATGTTTCTTGTGACTTGAAGAGAACACCTGATAAAGCTGTCTGTATAGTCTAGTCACAGCATAGGAAGCTATCATTCCAGTGGCTTTCTGTCACCTTATTACCTTTAAACTGATCTTATAGATAATTCCTTTTGCTAGCTCAGGACTCAGTAGGCAGAGGCAGAGCTTCATTGGAATGGGGAAAGTGAGATACCATGCAAGCAGCAGCACTTGGGTGGGGGCATTTTCGCTTCGAAAATTATAACACTTCTAGGGGCACTATTGGGAACACACACAAGCATCAGGATTTACCACATCAGTGTAACAGAAGTAACCAGCACTCTCCCTTAGTACCTGGAGATGGGGAGCAGGTCCAGGGATCCACCAAGACATCTCATGTCAGCAAATCATACCCCATCCCTTCCATTCCCCACTACCTGCAACTTAATTCTGGCTCCACACTTGTGTTGGGGGAAAAGTAAAAAGGGCTCGTTGTGTCTGTCACCCCCGCATACCTACTCTAAACTGACCATAAATTGGCCCTTGGTATTTATCTAGTAAAGAATATCAAGAAACACCTGGTATTTCAGTTATTTACTAAATTATGTTTGGCATTTGGGAAGTCTGGTAGTATGAATTCATTTTTGCAATGGTCTGTAAACAGGCTGATACACTGATTTAATTTAAACCCTAAACTGCATCTTAGAAAGGCCAGTCCTTTATACAGTCCCTTATTCCTGACTGATAAAAAAACCACCAAGGTGAATCAATGATATGGCTCTGGTCATACAGTACTGTCTGGTTCAACATGAATAATAAATGTAATAATGTTTTATATCTTCTGTTTGTCCAAATGAAATTCTTTTGACTATATTTTTCATAATAAAAAATAGGAAACTTATCAAATGTAATGTAATAACCTATTTTGATTATTTTAAAATATACAAATAGTTCCTTTTGCATGATTGTGAACAAATAGAAAACCAGTAAATATTTATACAACATTAATTAATAAAATAAATATTCTGCAACATACTCAACCTACATTTTGCTGCAATTTTCCTTCCCTTGTGTGGCTTGCTAGTGCTGAATTCTTCAGCAAATTGACAGTTCTGCTGCAAAGGTTAATTAATGCAGCAGTGTTCATGTGATTTTAATGAACTATGTTCCAATACAGAACAACGTTAATATGTTGAAATGCTTTCTCTACAACACGGGCTTTGGGCAAAGTAGGTTCAGAGGAATAGCAGCTTGCCTGGGATTACATGATGAGTGAGTTGCAGAACCAGTAATCAAATCTAGGAGTCCTGACTCCCAGTCACTGATGTAACTCCCTCTCTTCCTAGTACTGTTCTGCTGGAGGTTGGGTGGCTCCGAGCAGTATGTCTTTGATTTACAGGCCATCACGAACCTCTCCCAAAGACTACACTGAATACAAACGTAGGGGCTGGAGATGGGTTTGATTGTAGAGGTGGGTGGGTGAGCAAGAGAAGCACTGGGTGTGTGTGTATGTGATTGCAGGTTTTGAACCTGGGTCTGTAAGTCTCCAGGCAGCGTGCAGACTACTGCCGTCATCCAGCAGCTCACTGGCACTCATGACAAAGGAGGCTATCAGAGCTCTAGCTCACGAAGCGCTCTGCCCATTAAGTTCCTGATAAGGGGAGACGTGTGGCCCAACTGATTGTCTTGGCCACACTACTTAAACCAGAATGAGACACAGGAAGTTGTCTGAGTCACTAGGTGGATCCCTGGCTGGTTGCCTGCCACTTTGGACCTTGAGTCCTGAGCCCTTCCTACCTGCCTATTCCTGCCCTCCTTATCCCAGATTCTCCTCTGCTCCTGGTTTCTGCTTTCCTGTCTTGCTCCAGATCCCTGATCCTCTGCCCTATTCTTGACTCCAACTCTGGCTTGACTTTTGACTTTGACTCCAAATTGACCATTGGCTTGACTCTTGAATCCACCCACATGCCACTCCTTACAGCATGGGCCTGAGAGAAAGTCAAGAGATCTTTGTGGGCTGAGTGCTGATTGGAAAGAGGCTTGGAATTGTGAGCAAGAAACTACAAACTATTTTCTGAGTCCAACTTTACTGAGGAAAACAGGACTTTGTAGACAGTCTTCATAAATAAGTAGGATTTTATCAAAGATATACCTGATTCTAACATCAATTTGTCCCGCTAATGGAAATAATCCTCAAGGGGGTGGATGTTGGCTAAACCCTCAAACCAAAAAGGGGTATCCATACTGAGTTAAACATTTCTGTAACAATTGCTTCAAAAGGAACAGTTTAGGGAGACTTCAGGAAAGAGAGAAATACACCACCACTCCACAAACCCAAGATGGAATATAGTCACACTTCCATCCAACCCTCTGTTTGTCTTGTTAACAAAATAAAAAACCTTAGTTCAGATTCTTCATTCTCTTTTCCCTCCAGTTTTAGTGTCTGTCAACTTGAATTTTACCTAAGTAACTCATGAATTTAATCACACACCATCAGATACCAAAAACTTCATGTTGCTTTCCATGATTAGAAGGATGGATCAGAGATACAGTTACAGTAAACTAAGATGATAGTTATAGCATCATATAAAATCCCCAAAACATCTTGCTAGTTTTAAGTGGGGGAGAGGCAAATCAAAGTCTTAATTAAGAAAAGTGAGAGTCTCCATAGGTCTGTCTCCTCAAGTCATGTCTGTGACTGAAGATCCCTGTTTTTATCTGCAAGCTTTAAAACTACATAATTATTGGGACAAGGTTTCCTTCTGACAAATATCAAGATGTAAAGTATATGCTTTAAACCAGGGGTGGGCAAACTCCGGTCCATGTCAGGCCCATCAGACATTTTAATTTGGTCCTTGAGCTCCCATCAGGGAGCGGGGTCAGGGGCTTGCCCCACGCCACATGGCTCCTGAAAGCAGTGTCATGTCCCCCTCTGGCTCCTACACATAAGGGCAACCAGGGGGTTCCGTACGCTGCCCCCACCCCAAGTGCTGGCTCTGCAGCTCCCATTGGCTAGGAGCAGGGGCAGCACCTCCAGACGGGGCAGCGTGCAGAGCTGCCTGGCCACATCTCTGTGTAGGAGCTGGAGGGAGGACATGCCGCTGCTTCCGGGAGCTGCTTGAAGTAAGCGCTGCACAGAGTCTGCACCCCGACACTCTCCTGTGCCCCAGCCCCAGCCCTGATCCCCCTCCGAACCCCTCGGTCCCAGCCCGGAGCACCCTCCTGCACCCCAAACCCCTCATCCCCAGCCTGACCCCAGAGACCACACCCCTAGCCAGATCCCTCACCCCCATGAACCCCAACCCCCTGCCCCAGCCCAGAGCCCCCTTGCCCACATCCCTACCTGCTGCCCCAGCATGGAGCCCCCTCCTGCACCCTGAACCCTTCATTTCTGACCTCACCCTGGAACCTGCACCCCCAGGCCAGATCCCGTACCCCCTCCCACACCCCAACCCCCTGCCTCAGTCTGGAGACCCTTCCCATACTCTGAGCCCCTCTGCTCTACCCCCAGCCCGCAGCTCCCTCCTGCATCCCAAACCCCTCATCCCTGGCCCCACCCCAGAGCCCGCAGCTCTAGCCGGAGCCCTCACCCCCTCCCTCATCCCAAACCTCTGCCCCAGCCTGGGGCCGCCTCCCACACCCTGAACTCCTCATTTCTGGCCCCATCCCAGAGCCCACACCCCCAGCCGGAGTCCTCACCCCCTCCCACACCCCAGTCCCCAATTTTGTGAGCATTCATGGCCCACCATACAATTTCCATACCCAGATGTAACCCTCAGGCCAAAAAGTTTGCCCACCCCTGCTTTAAACGGAGGTGCCTAGATACTCATTTAGAGTTCGAGTGTGACATTTAGCCACATCTCTAAGTAGATGGGCCAATCCTTCTTTCTGCTCTCCATCATGCAGGCCAAGTGGCACAAGTTCCTTTATGATGATGCAGCCTGCTCCCTTTAGCATGCCTCGCCAGCTGTGCAAGCTTATGTAGAGGGGTTCTTTGTCATGGTCTGCTCTCCTCCCCTTCCTGCCCCAGGTTGTATGCTTAAGGGCACATGCAGGGAGTAGTCTCTGTACCCCTCTGGGCACAGAGGCTGTGGGTTTTCTGGACCTTTGTGCAGGGATCTTAGGTGAGGGGGTGGAAGGCTTCTTGTGCTTCTTACATAAATATTCACCCAGGGGTCCCACACGCACTCTCCCAAGAACCAGGGACAATCTTGACTTTAATATAGATTTAATAGAATAGTTATTGTACTGTATATTAAATAGATTATTGAATAATAAAAAATCATAGCTATATAGTGCTTTTCATGTGCAAAGCACTTGGCAAACATTAATAAATTATCACAAGTTCTTATAAGGCAAATAAGTGATATTTCTGTATATTTATAGATAAATATCTTGTTTTTTAATGTAACAACAGCTTCTCACTAAACCTAAACTAAATAGATATTTGAGAAGCTTAATAAATATTTAATCCCTATTGTAAAAATTGTATCACACTGAAGATATTTTTCACATTCCTTATTTCCTCCTCTTAATTCAGCAGATTTAATTTTTGGCTTCTTCATAGCATCACTCAGCAGGGCACCTGCTGATAGTTACAAGAATGTGTCACTGGTAGAGGGCCCTGTACAACAGATGCCTTGCCATGGCAGTTATGTTGGCTGAACTTTACTCTCATTTTTTAGGAGAGAGTCCATTGCTTGGTGATTTGTGATCTGGATCCTAAGCTACTAAAAAATGACACAAGGAATTCAGCTGCAGCCTATAAAATTCAGTGCTGCCTGCTTGGACTCTATGTTACATTTTCAGCATAGTGAAGGAGGAATTAAGCATCCTTCACTTGTTATTGCAAACTCATGTCCTCTCGCCAAATATTCTGAACTGAATTTAGCATGCACATTGTTTTAGATACTAGATAATAAAACTATTTGGTTTTTAAGTAATTACAGACTAAAGCATGTTTTAATATTTTACCATGCAGATGATCCTGTTTCTCCATATACTAGCTGGCTGTTGAATATTGTGGAGACCAAACAGCCACAACCCTTGCCAATGCCTTACAATGGAGGATGCTGGGCACCACTTGTTGACTACCTCCCAGAAACTGTCACGCCACGGGGACCCCTTCATAGGTGAGCAGTACTGAAATAAGTCTCCGCTAATTAGATAATTGGTCAAGCACTTAGGAAAAATCACTAATACATTTTACTGCTTCCCAACATTTCAGTGTTAAATCAAAAGGCCTTGCAATTCTAGTGCCTTGTTAAAATTGTACCTTGTTTACTTTGCATGTGATCATATATACTGGTAGGAATTTGATTAAAGCAACCATACCTGATTGACAGAAGCTGAACATTGTCATTCCCGAACCTAACGGACTGTTATTTGTAGCACTTTTTTGTGCTATTCTAATTTTGCTATACATATGCTAGAACTCCTCTTTTACATAATCTACATTGACATTAATAATATTATTTTCAATAATAATACTTAACAGCTAAGTACAGTGACTTTAAGTATTGTGATATCTTTTTGACATTAATAACATTCAAAAGGAAGCTTAATTTTGGAAAATGCTGAGGATTTTGTGACTTCTCCAGTATAGCTTTGTATCAATTCATTTTTCTTGCTATATGTTCCATGTACTATGATAATTTATGGCAAAAGCTGGTCAATAGCACTTCTGTGACTGTCTTCATAATTTATCATTTTTTTTATCATTATTAATGTTGTTTTTAGTATTGCTACTTCTTTAAATAATGGTTTGGGTGTAGAAACTCGGGACCTAGTAAACGTTAGCAGTGACTATCAGAGCCAGCCAGTGTGCAGGCTGCCTGCCTCTGCCAGTGGGCCTCAGTTCACCTGTATCAAACCTGCTACATTCTAGTCCAGGGCTTCTTTTGAGTGCTGAATGGCGATCATGCTGAACTGTACCAAACTGTATGTTGGATTAGTAATGAAAACAAGACGGGAAACTAGGATAAGACTATCAAACTAGTTTCACTTGGGATCCAGGTCAGGGTTTGAATTTCATTCCCCAGAGCTGAAAGGCTAGTGCATTAACACATGTCTTACCAATTCTCATGTGATTGCATAGCATATTACTGTTGTCCAGCTCCCAGAATAAGTTTTTCAACTGATTTTGTGATTTCATTTATTAGGTGCAATATTGCTGTTATTTTCATGACTGAGATGGTAGTGGATCACAGTGTGAGAGAAGATTGGGCCCTTCACCTCCCTTTATTACTTCATGCTCTTTTCTTAGGTAAGACCAATACAACAGGAATTAAAACATGGGTATACTCCAATACCATTAGTCAAACTGAAGCTGTGGAGTTAGCTAATGTATTTTTTCTTTGCCTTCCCCTCCATAGCTATGTTTACAGCCGTCATTCGTATTTTGTTACATCAGTTCTTGAAACTAAAATTGATCAGCTGGAATGCTGGAATGTTGTGGCTGCAGCATTCTTTATCACACCTCACAATACGCTGAATTTTTGGTGGCCTTTTTTCCCCCACTTTACTTTATTAGTTGATCATTTTGGGGTTCTCATAAGCAGAAATGTTTAGCATACTAGAGTAATTAGGAAGTGTATAGGCATTATCCAATTCATGTGGTTGATACATACTTTCTGTATGTCATTAGAATAGCAAGACATATGGAATGAACTCATAATAAGTAGTGGTCTCAGTCCAATTCTCAGTGGATCAATGTCCACATTCCAAAACCCATGACCATAATTGCAACTAATTTCCACCCTTATTGTCAGCACAGACAGCAAGGATTGAATGGCCATGGAGGCTGAGCTAGAGATTATAGCACATTTATAGAACAATGGGGGAAGTATATGGATCAAGAAAAGTACTTCTAGCTCCATTGTGGTCACTCTGGTACTTTTCACAAGCACTAACAGGCAGAAAAAATCCAGAAAGAGAAATCAGAGTTTCATTAGAGGTCTATCCAGATTTAAAAGGATATAATTCCTCTTTATAAAATGGATGTCATGGTAAAATTACCATTCATGCCACTTTCCTCTTCTCTCTCTCTCTGACTTTCATAGAATATTATATAAAATATCTATCTTTTGTATTATTCCCAAGCAATTTACAAAGACAGACTTAAAATATTTTATAGGCAGCATCAAAATGTAGGCTTAAAAACAAAAATGGATTCAGCTTTTCAGACTCAGTTGGGAGCTGACTCCCCAAATATAGTGAAAAGTGGCTGAAAGGAAAAAGACTCTGTAACATCAGTCTTGTGTGGACAAAACAAATAGCCAGCAACTGGTGAACTGATTGAACGGCTGACGAATTATAGTTGTAGCAGTTCTGAAAAACAGGTGGGCCTTTGTAGTTAGAAATGTATTAGTAATAAAACTCAATTTGAGTCAATGAGTCAATGAAGGGACTTGAGAATAAAAACAATATGCAGCAAGATGAAAGACTCTAGCCTTTTCATTTTGGTTGAGAGACAGTCAGTGTATACTAGTCATCACTGACCAATGCAAGTAGATATTTGCAGAAATAGATTTCTGATATTACAAATGCATTTATCAAAATTTCTTTACCTTTTTTGTCAGGTAATATCTTAACATTACAGTATTTCATAATGACTCACATTTAAATTAACATTAAAGCTTCCATTTTATTATGGTTTCCTTTCATTACATTTCTATAGATCCCCCTTGTGAGGGTGTAGGGAAGTAGTATTAAATGTGTTAGCCAGAGGTGTGAATGTGACTTGCACATGAAGAAGTCATGTCATGCTGAAATGTGAGAATGCACATGGGAAGGAGTATATGAGGGATATGATTGAGAAAGAAACTAGAGATATTTTGGCAGTTAAACTGAGCATGCGCCTTTTCACATATTGGAAGAAATAGGAAAATAAAATTTAAGTGAAGGGACTCTACAGTAGAAACATAGGTAAAGGATAGGATGGTCTGTAATATTGATAATGAAGGGGTTAAAAAAATTTCTGTTAATTGAGTCCTTGAATAAGACGTTGGATTGACAGCACCAGTTACGGAAATCCTCTGTTTTTAACCGCACAGCGGCACTGTAAAACAGTCCAGTATTGATCTAGATGTTCTACCTCTGGGGTGAGAGGAAAGCTCCATTTCCATGCTCATTCAGTCCTTGGCTTCTCTCCTTAACTCTGAAGGTTACCAAGTGGTGCAAATTGTGGTGGTGGAGTAGGACTGTGCCCACCAATTCATTTCACATAGCTACCAAAGAGCTGTCAAATGGCAGTGGCTTTCAGGCACTACTAAACCAAGCAAGTTCACAGCAGCAACTTGCATCTATATCTCATTCCTGAATATTTTGAAGGGTGGATGGAGAAATTAATTCTTGGCAGCTGGAAAGAAAGGGAGGAAGGGAAGGAGCAAGGAAGAAAACAAAAGTAGTGGAGTAGAGAATAGAAGCAAGGATGGAGAGGCTGGCGGAGGGTCCTAGCATATTGGTAGGTGGATGAACCAGAGGATCACAAGGTTCTAAAAGGATGGTCCACAGGAGTCAAAAGAACTGCTGACTAACTGGCATACTAATAGCAGCTACAGTTTTGCAGTCCAGTCAAGAGCAGAGTGACAAGTGTGCACCAGAGGCACATAACACGAAGGAGCAGTGTGGAGGGACTAAAGAAGCAGGCTCCCAGGGAAGAGGAGATTCAGACAAGGAAGGAGCTGAGGAGACAGCCAGCTCTATTATTCTGAGTTTGATCTCTCATGCCACCATCTCAGGTGTTGAACCAGAACTAAGATGATAAATGAAAAAAATGCTTTGTCACAGTGAAGCAATACATTTTATGCAAACTTGAATCATTTATGTTTATAGCTCATGATCCTTTCATCTCGATACCCTTAGTTCAAATCCAGCTCAGGCTGCTAGTGACCAAAAGCTACTGCACCCCTTCACAACATCTCAACACCCACTACAGTTAGGACTAGTTGTCCACCTGGCAGTCTTACTAGGGAGTCTAAGTACTGAATGTACATGGACACTGGATTACCCTCTCATCTCTGGAGGTGGTCCCCCCATCTCAAGGTCTGGGCACTGCTACAGCTCATGATGTACTGTCTCAGTAGATACAGAGAGGACTTTGTTCTGGTGCCTTTTTCAAGTACTAAATTCACACAAATATTTAAAGAAAAAACTGTGGGAACTGTGTCCTAAAGTACTGTATCTTCTGTTTGTTCTGTACTGTTGCCATGAAGTGCCTTGGAATCTTTGCTATTTCTGGAATTTAAACTTGTTTATAATCACTTCATACTCAGTGATTGCTGGAACTCTTTCCTCCAGGTCTTGACCATTACCGCCCTGAGGTCTTTGAACACAGTAAAAAGCTACTGCTTCATCTTTTGATTGCATTGTCTTGCAACAGCCATTTTCAGGCCATTGCCTCTGTGCTTCTTCAGACCAGAGAGATGATTGAAACCAAGACTCTGACAGTCCAACCAGCCTATCTACCTGAATTCCTGTATACAGGTAATCAAGTACACTTGGAAGAGACACTACACTATATTTTAAAAGTTTAAAATATTGGAACATAGGGGTTTCTTTCCTGATATAGTGTTATATTTTTGATGTACTATAGGCTGAATGATCAAAGTGGGAAATCTGTACAGCAACCATTGATCTTAACTCCCTGTGAACTACTTTGGAAATGCACCACAGATTACTAAATGATGACTTACTATGAAAGTAGGAAAAGCCCCTTGCTATAAGGAAAAATTTATAATATAATTTTAGAAATGAATGTGCCAATTTTACATACCTGTAATTTTCTAAGGGCTTGTCTATACGGTTTGGCAATTTGCCCTATGTACATGTGATTTCTAAAGCATATTAACATGCTGTGTATTAATTGGTCTGTGTAGATCCTGCTGGGGTGCATTAAAGGTTCCCCAGTGTGCTTTAACATAGTGCTGTTTGAAACAGTGCGCACAGTGCATTAAAGTGCACTAGGAAACCTTTCGTGTGCACCAGCTGGGTCTGTATGGACCTATTAATGTGCAAAAGGTTAGAAATCACCTCCTCATAATGTGCATTACCCCACTGTGTAGACAAGCCATAACACACTGAGACACAGAACTTGTTAGAAATGGAACTTTAACCTAAATAAATAATATATGGTTGCAGCACAAGAAAAGCAAAGGAATTAACATGGTTAGGAACGATATAGCCACCTCAAAGTTCCAATTAAACCTTTCCTTCAATTCAGTAGAGCTCCAATATGAAGTACTCCCTCCAACACCACCTATCTCTTACTGACCATGAACACACTTCCTCCCTTGGCGGAAATCCATTTCTGGTTTCAGCAGGTCTGTCAATCACTGATAGGCTGGCTGCTCTGCTAACTTTTTGCAAATTCAAGGACTTTTATGGGGTTGGGTGGGGGCAAAGCTTGATGAAAGTAGCTGGACAGATTTTAGACTGTTGTGACATGATACCAAATATAAGGAGCCAGTTGGGAGTTGTGGGAGTCACAGCACCTGTTTAGAATTGTGGAGATAAGATTGGGGTTCAGGAAGAAGGCTGAATACTGTCAAAGAAAAAAGAGAAAATTATGATTGTGGTAGAAGGAGGAAGGGAGAAGGAAAGAGGAATGATCTTGGCATAAGTGTCACTTCTGGCTCAAGTAAAATAGCAGAATGCATGTGAAGAGGGAGAATCTTGAAACTCTTAGATGGTAACAGAACCAAGAGCAATAAAGCAGCGCGAGTTTATAAACAATAAAGAGATGATAAATTGCTTTTTTCCTGGGACTACAGAACTAATGGGTGAAGAGAAGGCAGTAAATACAGTGTATTGAGGGGCGAATTATGCCTATGTGGCACAGCCCTGATTAAGGTCAGTCCAGAAGTGCATCAGTACAGGAGTAGCTTGAATGCAGGGATTGTACCTCATAGATTCCCTGAGCTGTCCTTGAGTTTCTCACTGTACAGGTTTACATCGTCCTTTTGGAGGACAGCCTGATTCCTCCACAGTGTGTTTGGAGAGCAATCCTCTGGCCAGTTGAAGATGGAAATGGGTATTTTTTTGCCTAACTATTTGTACTTGCCAGAAGCATTGAGGAGTCCAAAAGGACCTCAAGGCTGGAAACCAACTTAACATTCTTAGGGCAGAAGTTCTCAATGTTATGGAAAAGGTATGTTCTTTACACGTCCCACTTCCTACCTCAGTGCTGCCTGAGCTCAGCTCTAGCCATCTGCATGTCATCCAGGTGCTGATTTCAACTAGTCATTAAGAAACCTGGGAGATAGTGCCATGTACATTTGATATAAACGAGATAGAGGGTGTTATTTGCATATTGCAAGTGCCTCAGTCTATGTTGTCTCAAAAGGTCTTCCAATGTCTTGATATAGACATTGAATAATGGGGAGGAGAGAACTGATGCCCTTTTGGACTCTGCAAGTGAGGGCTTGGGAAGTGGAGGAGCAGTCATACATATTGGTCCTGCTAATCTTTGACAAGAGATTAGAAGTGAGTTTACAATGAGATGTGGCAGAAGAAAGGCCAGTGCAGTTTTGGGTCATGTACACAAAGGCATCAAGTCACTGACAGGAAGATAAAAGTCTGTCTTCTGTATGGCTCTGGTAAGACCATATCTGGAATATCAAATTTAATTCTGGGCACCTTGTTACCAGAAAGATAGTAACAGATCTGGGGGCTAGTTCAAAGAATATCAGTCAGGAAGATGGAGAGATTGATTTATAATAAAAATATTAAAAGTGATAAATATTTATAACTTGGCCAAACAACAATAAAGCTGGGAGATCAGAATACATGTATTTGAAAGGTAAACAACGAGGATAGAGAAGTATTATTTAGGGTGGTGAAAGAGATAAAATTAAGAAAGAGAATCGTAAAGCTGAATAGCAAAAAACGTATTCAACGTGAGATGCAGTAGGCTGTGTAATAGTCTCCCATGGGAAATGGTAGAAACCTCTTTGTTTGGTACATTTAAAATTAGACTGGGCAGGAAACTAGAAAATTCATTTTGAGGAGCAGTCTTTCTTTGGGAATAGACTGGACTGAATCTTTCTTTGGGTACAGACATTAGCTTCCATAATTCTAGTCAGCAAGGATTGGTGAGAACATAAGAACGGCCATACTGGGTCAGGCCAAAGGTCCATCTAGCCCAGTATCCTGTCTTCCGACAGTGGCCAATGCCAGGTGCCCCAGAGGGAATGAACAGAACAGGTAATCATCAAGTGATCCATCCCCTGTCACCCATTCCCAGCTTCTGGCAAACAGAGGCTAGGGACACCATCCCTGCCCATCCTGGCTAATAGCCATTGATGGACCTATCCTCCATGAATTTATCTAGTTCTTTTTTGAACCCTGTTATAGTCTTGGCCTTCACAACATCCTCTGCCAAGGAGTTCCACAGGTTGACTGTGTGTTGTGTGAAAAAATACTTCCTTTTGTTTGTTTTAAACCTGCTGCCTATTAATTTCATTTGGTGACCCCTAGTTCTTGTGTTATGAGAAGGAGTAAATAACACTTCCTTATTTACTTTCTCCACACCAGTCATGATTTTATAGACCTCTATCATATCCCCCCTTAGTGGTCTCTTTTCCAAGCTGAAAAGTCCCAGTCTTATTAATCTCTCCTCATATGGCAGCCGTTCCATACCCCTAATAATTTTTGTTGCCCTTTTCTGAACCTTTTCCAAGTCCAATATATCTTTTTTGAGATGGGGTGACCACATCTGCACGCAGTATTCAAGATGTGGGCATACCATGGATTTATATAGAGGCAATATGATATTTTCTGTCTTATTATCTATCCCTTTCTTAATGATTCCCAACATTCTGTTTGCTTTTTTGTCTGCCACTGCACATTGAGTGGATGATTTCAGAGAACTATCCATAATGATGCCAAGATCTCTTTCTTGAGTGGTAACAGCTAATTTAGACCCCATCATTTTATATGTATAGATGGGATTATGTTTTCCAGTGTGCATTATTTTGCATCTATCAACATTGAATTTCATCTGCAATTTTGTTTCCCAGGTACCCAGTTTTGAGAGATCCTTTTGTAGCTCTTCACAGTCTGCCTGGGACTTAACTATCTTGAGTAGTTTTGTGTCATCTACAAATTTTGCCACCTCACTGTTTACTCCTTTTTCCAGATCATTATGAATATGTTGAATAGGACTGGGCCAGTATAGACCCCAGGGGGACACCACTATCTACCTCTCTCCATTCTGAAAACTGACCATTTATTCCTACCCTTTGTGTCCTATCTTTTAACCAGTTACCAATCCATGAGAGAATCTTCCCTCTTGTCCTATGACTGCTTACTTTGCTTAAGAGCCTTTGGTGAGGGACCTTGTCAAAGGCTTTCTGAACATCTAAATACAATATGTCCACTGGATCCCCTTTGTCCACTTGCTTGTTGACCCCTCTCAAAGAATTCTAGTAGATTGATGAGACATGATTTCTCTTTACAAAAAACATGTTGACTATTCCCCAACAAATTATGTTCATCTACATGTCTGACAATTTTGTAATTGCTGGGGTCACCTCTGCAGCCCTTTTTAAAAATTGGCATTACATTAGCTATCCTCCAGTCATTCGGTACAGAAACTGATTTAAGGTTACAGATGACAGTAGCCCTGCAATTTCACATTTGAGTTCCCTCAGAACTCTTGGGTGAATACCGTCTGGTCCTGGTGACTCATTACTGTTTAGTTTTTCAATTTGTTCCAAAACCTCCTCTAATGACACCTCAATCTGTGACAGTTCCTCAGATTTGTCACCTAAAAAGAATGGCTCAGGTTTGGGAATCTCCCTCACATCCTCAACCATGAAGATCGGTGCAAAGAATTCATTTAGTTTCTTTGCAATGGCCTTATCATCCTTGAGTGCTCCTTTAGCATCTCGATTGTCCAGTGGTTGTTAAGCAGGCTTCTTGCTTCTGATGTACTTAACATTTTTGTCGCTATTACTTTTTGAGTCTTTGGCTAGCTGTTCTTCAAATTCTTTTTTGGCCTTCCTAATTATATTTTTACACTTCATTTGCCAGAGTTTATGCTTCTTTCTATTTTCCTCACTAGGATTTAACTTCCACTTTTCAAAGGATTCCTTTTGTGCCTCTCACTGCTTCTTTTACTTTGTTGTTTAGCCACGGTGGCTCTGTTTTGGTTCTCTTACTGTGTTTTTAATTTTGGGTATACATTTAAGTTGAACCTCTATTATGGTGTCTTAAAAAAGTTTCCAGGCAGCTTGCAGGGATTTTACTTTATGGTGCTGTACCTTTTAATATTTATTTAACTAACCTCCTCATTTTTGAGTAGTTCCCCTTTTTGAAATTAAATGCTATAGTGTTGGGCTGCTGTGGTGTTTTCACCGCCACAGGGATGTTAAATTTAATTATATTATGGTCATTATTACCAAGTGGTCCAGCTATATTCACCTCTTCAACCTGACCCTGTGCTCCACTCAGGACTAAATCAAGAATTGCCTCACCTCTTGTTGATTCCAGGACTAGCTGCTCCAAGAAGCAGTCATGTAAGGTGTCAAGAAACTTTAGCTCTGCATCCCTTTCTGAGGTGATATGTACTCAGTCAATGTGGGGATAGTTGAAATCCCCCATTATTATTGAGTTTTAATTTAATAGCCTCTCTAATCTCCCTGAGGATTTCACAGTCAGTATTCTATGGTACAGTTTGGCTCATTTAAGATTTTTACTTCATTTGATTCTACTGTTTCTTTCACATATAGTGCCACTCCCCCACCAGCACAACCTGTTCTGTCCTTCCAATATATTTTGCACCCTGGTATTACTGTGTCCCATTGATTATCCTCATTCCACCAAGTTTCTCTGATGCCTATTATAACAATATCTTCATTTAATATGAGGCGCTCTAGTTCACCCATCTTACTATTTAGACTTCTAGCATTGGTATATAAGCACTTTAAAAACTTTTCACTTTTTAGCTGTCTGCCATTACATGATGTAACTGAATGGGACTTTTTTTATTTTGACTGTTTCTCATCAGATTCTACCTGTGTTTTATCATCTTCCATCCTCTCTTCCTTATTAGGACACAGGGAATCTCCATTTATAGATCCTCCCCTAAGGGTTGTCTGAACCACATGCTCCCTCCATATCTGTTGGCTTTCCCCCAGCCCTTAGTTTAAAAACTGCTCTGCGACCTTTTTAATTTTAAGTGCCAGCAGTTTGGTTTAGGTGGAACCCATCCTTCCTGTATAGGCTCCCCCTTTCCCAAAAGTTTCCCCAGCTCCTAATAAATCTAAACCCCTCCTCCCTACACCATCGTCTCATCCACGCATTGAGACCCTGTAGTTCTGCCTGTCTAACTGGCCCTGTGCATGGAACTGGAAACATTTCAGAAAATGCTACCATGGAAAAGAGAAACAAAGCTCTGCAAGTTTTTGGACAAGTTTCAGGTACTTTATCTCCATAATTTGGATACTTATCTGAACCTTTTGAAGTTTATGTATCACTAATCACTATAGGATTTTTTGCCTAAAATAAAAATAGACATGATGGGGAAAGGAGGCAGAAAATAATCTATTGAATGTGCAATGCAGCATAACAATCCAAAGGTCATGCTGCCCTCTGCCCTGGGCACACAGTCCATGGATTCTTATTCAGTATTCTGAAGGGAACAATCACACAGTTTAAAAAGGTGACGAACATGATAGTTTTTTTAAAAAGAGCAATAACATAGATTAAAATTCTCACTCAAAAATTTTTCTTATTAAAATTAAGGTTGTTTTTAACCCTACTTATGAAATTTGAATAATGCATAACTTCATGAGCAGTAGAAGCTTAAAGAAAATTACTTTAGAATTTTAATCTTTTGACCTTCAATCAGTTGCTTTGGTGGATGGCCAGAACAAATGAAGATTGATGGCTTTCATTTTTTTATCAGAGACCTTTAGGAGAATGCTGATAGTAATGGTAAACAACATTTTTTGCTTAATTCAGGATTATTTATTCCACTTAAATGTTTCAGATATTTCATTGCAAAACTTTATCGTAATTCAGGACAAAAATATTAAGTCAAATGATTTATATGCCCATTATTTACCTTCAACAGCAGTGAAAAACATATTTCCTTCCCAAACTGTGTGAAAATCCTTCTTTCTGTTGTATGTTCACAAACTGTTAAACCTATACAATAAACTATTAAATGTAAATTACATTTTCATTTTCCCCTAAGACTCACATGGGTTTTCCCACCTTTGATATCCCATGTCAAGGCCTCTTTTGTGGCCAGGGTGAACTGAGTAGAACTCCCTTTTGAGTTAAAATGCTTTTTAATCAGCTAATGTTGAGGAGTTGCTGTTTGTATGAGGAAAGCAATTCAGATACAGCCAGTATGCTATATGGTGCAAAAGCTAGAACATAGAATCTAAAATGAAGACACCTGGCTTCTGGTTTGATCTCTGAAACTGACTCTTTGAGAGACAAGGTGAATGAGGTAATACCTTCATTGGACCAACTTCTGTTAGTGAACGAGACAAGCTTTCGGAGCTTACAGAGAGCTCTTCTTCAGGCCTGGGAAAAGCACTCAGGGCTAGTATAAACTGGCAACACTAAAGCGAGAAAGTTGCAGTGCCGTAAATTGTCAGTGTAGACAAGGCCTCAGAGTGTCAGAGCTAAACACAAGGTGGAGCAAACTGTTTAGCACAAGGAGTTAAGATGCTGTAAGAGACCATTCCAGGTGAAGTAGGCAATTAACCCGCAAAGGAGGGTTAAATGACATTGAATGAGGATAATATCACCTACTTCACTCTTTGTTATGAACTTAAGACCCCATCTTACATTTCTTGCAAACGTTATTCAACATCAGACCAGCCTGGATTAATGAACTAGACTTTTGCCTTGGTTTAGCCTGATTGTAGACATATTCTAATGTTATTTAAATGTAATACAGTTTACAAAAAGATGTTACTTCTGAATGTAACCTGTGAAACATTTATTTTACAGATACAATACCTATAGTGCAGAAATATTTTGACTTTTGTATTAGTCTTTTTTTTATTGCAGTCTGAAGATTTGAAAGTGTAAGATAACCAGTTTTCCACTCTTGCTGTAGGTTTTTGCATTTTGCTTATATTTTCTGCTTCCAAGTGAAAGTTTTCAGCAGCTTACTTTTTAAAAGAGGTGTTTGTCCTATTCGTTCATCTGAAATGCTGACGTAAGTGGTGCATTCCATCTTTATCTTCTCCTTTGCTGCTGCCAGGTGGTTTTGACTTTCTACGGGAGTACCAGTCATCACCAGTGCCAGATTCTGGTTTAAGCTCCAGCTCTACCTCCTCGAGTATCAGTCTAGGAGGCAGCAGTGGAAATCTCCCACAGATTACCCAAGAGGTGGAGGACATGGACACAGCTGCTGAAACAGATGAAAAAGCAAACAAATTAATTGAATTTCTAACTACCAGGTAATCAAGATAAAGGAGAGGTTACTGTGGGTTACACTTGAAAAAGATTTGTCTTCTGTAAAATTATCTATATTAATTTTAAAAGGACACAGATGAAAATGTTTGAGGTGAACATACAGTAATAATAAACTTGTAAATGTGAAGATGTATTTAAAAGCCTTACAGTGTCAGGAACACTGCAAAAAATGCTGCCTGACCAGAATAAATTGTTCAGTATCCTATAATATTATGCTCAAGACAGAACTCATGAAATAGGACAATTTTATTGCTATAAAGGAGACAGCAGTTGTGAGGGGCCACAGTGAGCCTAGCTTTAATTACTGAATAGGGCTGGCACATCCTAGGCTTGTTCTGTTGAAAAATTTAGGGCCTGCTCCTCATTTACATTAAGACCCCTTTACGCTGCCCCGGCAAAGTGTCTGGAAGCCTAAGTCTAGCCAGCTAAAGAGCAGCTACAGAGTGACTCTGCATTTTATTTTTCCATCCAGAAGTGTAGTTCTTAACTGACAGCAAAAGAAGAGCTGGCATTAGGTGCGGAATGGCTGTAAGTGACATGTAATCATTATAAACTGGCAAAATCCAGAGTAATACATGATTTTGTTAGGTCTTAAAACTCATTTTACTTAATTTAGTTAATTTTCTAAACTGATAATATTACTGTCTCCTTGGTGAACTTGTATTTGGAATAATGTTTCTTTCTCACATCTTACCTGATTTTTTTTAAAGGAAATAGTTTTGGAAAGTCTTTCTAATCACAGTTAACCAGAATTTCACCAAGGAAAACATCCCATTCATCACAGCATAATCAAAGGCTTTTTGGGGTATTAGTCCTCTGGTGGGTTTTTTTGATATTTGCACTTAGCATTTTGAATAAGTAACAAATCTAGCACAGATGGGTGTCTTTTCAATATGAGGCAAGTTCTCTTTCAACCTGTTTTTCTTCTCCGTACTTAGTTGTTGACAATTCCACTGACTTTCTTTAATCTTGAGAAGTCAGGAGATAGGCAGGAAAAATAAGAGCAAAAATCCTGTTCAGCCACACACCATGTAGTGTGCATCCAATTAATTCAATTCAGGCCTTGTGCTGCTAAGAAATTTACACCCAAGGGGTTGCAGCCAGGAATAAGTCCTTAGGGACAATGTTGGCAACATCTTTTGAAATCTTTAATGTCCACACTATGCAGATCCGATATGACTGGAGCTACAGAGGGAGCATTGTAGAGCTGGGTCAGAGGCTGTTTATGAATTTTTACTTGGTAGTCCTTCAATTCCCTACATACTCCTCCTCATGGGGATTAATTATGGCCCTGGCACAAGTTTGTAGGAGCAGCTGAGTGGGTTTTGTTCAAACCCTCATGGGCTAACCAGAATACAGCCCAAGTTAACTCTGATCTTGCAGCATTAACACATACCCCTGTTTGCACAGAAGGTGATTGGCCCAGAGTTGGACCCTATAGCTGCCCTAGGCACACTTGAGAAGTCTACTTTTGCAGAACACTCACCGTGCCTAAGGACCTTGTCTACACATAAAATCTGTACCATTATAATTATACCAGTATATTTAAAACAGTACAACTTCCTTAGGGTGGATACAGTTACACTGTTGTTAATGTGTTTATACTGGTGTTTAGAGAGATAAGGTGGGTGATGTAATATCTTCAGAGACCTGAGGAAGAGCTCTGTGTAAGCTTGAAAGCTTGTTTCTCTCCCGACAGAAGTTAGTCCAGTAAAAGATATTACCTCACCCATCTTGTCTCTCTAATAATATCCTGGGACCCACATAGCTACAATAACACTGCATACTTATATTGCTGTAGCTTACTCATGTATACCACACTCAGGGCTGTACCACTTTAACTATTTTGGTAATAAATCATATCCCTAACCAAAATAGCTGTACTAGTGTAAAAACTGTATGAAGGCCAGGCTTAATGGTAAAATCCTGATTCATGCAAAACTCCTATTGAATTTAATGGAAATTTTGCCTGCATCAGGACAAAAGCGGGAAATCCTAGGTTTGCCTTAAAAATTCTTGTAAATTCCCATTACCCACATTATTTGCAATGACTACACTACATTTTTAGTTTTATTTGTGTTTGATACATAGCATTGTTCAACCTGACACAGTAGATGCATTAAGTAATGCTGTGTAATTATGTCATGTAATAAGATTGTCTTCAAGTTGTAATATAAATTGAACTTTACCAATCAAATATCTGATTAAATCCAGTTATGTATTCAATAGTTACTGTGCTTTTAAACTGAAAATTATTCCTTAATTTGATATTTATTTGTATTATGGTAGTGCATAGGGACCCCAGTCATAGACCAGGATGCCAACATATTAGGTACTGGACATAGAACAAAAAGATGGTCCCTTCAACAAGGAAATTACAAGTGAAACATAAAACAAGATAGCGTGTTCGAGCTTTCATCAATCTCTTTGTCTGCGTCTGTCAGTTTCACAACTTGTTTGTTTCATGCTGAGCAGGCCTTCAGCAAGAGTTGTAGCCGTCAAGATTAACATCGCTAAGCCTTCCCTACACTAAGGAATTTACCAAAAAAAATGCCCACTATTTTTATCACCAGTGGGAAACTTAATGTAGACCAAGTTCTTGTGGATAAACCTTTTTTTTTAACCTCTTTTCAGCAGTACTAAAAACACCAGAAGCTACCTGAGCATTGTCTATACTATGATTCCCATAGTGGTAGGTAGCACCAGTGGGGTTTTGTTCATTTTATTTTATTTTTTGTAAAATTCCCCAGTGTAAAAGATGGCCTTACATTTAGAAAATGGAAAGTAGAGCAGTGCCCTGAAATGATCAGTCATTTACAATGTTATGCCAGTAGTTCATTTTAAATTGGAAATCTTTGTAAAGCTGAAGTGTAGTAGTAGTTGTATTGTTCATAGATTTATGTTCAATCATGTTTTCCAGCGCGTAGATCTGTCTGTCTCTTTTTGGATGTACAGTATAATAATTTTTAAAATTACTTACATTTATTTCAACTACTTCAAGGAAATACTTACACATTTTGCTACATTTTTCTTCTCTTTAAGGGCATTTGGTCCACTCTGGTGCCATGAAGATATCACACCCAAGAATCAGAATACAAAGAGTGCTGATCAACTTACTAATTTTCTGAGACATGTTATGTCTGTATTTAAAGATTCCAAGTCAGGTACTGAAACTTTTTTCCATGATTGTACCTTAGTTAAAACCGCCATCTAGTGGACAAGTCCCTATTGTTTGCTTAGAGAACTTACCTTTTAATGCCAGTTTCTTTGCTCCTGAATGGCTGCTACAGGAGCTTGCTTGTGCAACAGTGCCCTCTGTTTTGTGAAAGTAATAATTTCATAATGATTCTTTATTCTTTGTTCAAGACATCTTCTTTCTTGCAGTATTTTATGTGCGAGGATTAAAAGTTTTAAAGCAATTTTGTTTTCGTAATTGGTTTCAAATTATTCTTTTCATATACTCTGATTACACTATGTGACTTTAATTAGATTCAAATATGTTTGGTGCAAATAAACATTTTCAAATTAATTTTAAATAACTTTGTCTCCTTTTGTAGGAAGTTAAAGATCATATTCTTGTAATGCTCTTGTCATTTAATTTTATTGTATTCCTGAAGAGATTACTACAGACTGCTCCATTTGATCAGTGAAAAGTATATATTCTTCTTTAATTTATTTAGCCCACAGTAAACTTTTATCCTGTGATCTTTCTTTCATTAGATCCATATGCTGAAACATTTTGTATCCTATATAGGACATATATCATATTATGTACTTACTAGAAAAATAGCATCATAGATTGTTTTAGCATGCAGCTACAGTACAATCGATTCTTCTAAACCATCCCTGATGGTTGATTTTGGTTGTTCTATTTGATAAAAAAGGGAAAAACTCCACCTCTTATTTGTCAAATAGACTGGCAATATTAAATAATCTTCCCAACAGGCAAAATGTTCTTTGTTCATTTAATTTGACAATTATAGTTTATTTTTAATTATTTATTATGGGATTTCATAGTAAACTAGTAATACTAAACAGTATTTTGAAAAGTAATAAAAACTCACTTGTTATTAGTAGGGCAGAGAGCAACATAGTGTGCAATTAGGACCTAACCAAACCCCATTGAAGTTAATGGAAAGACTCCTGATTTCCAGTGGGCTTTGGATCAGGGCCTAAGGCCTGAATTCAGGAAAGTACTTAGGCATGTGCTTAACTGCTTTCCCTAATCAGGGCTACAGTGCTTGCATTTAGCAAGGTATTTATATAGCATATTTATATGCAATTTTACATCTTCCGAGCACAGTATGAATATTAAGTAGCTAATCCTCAAAACAACCCTATGAAGGAGATAAGAACTGATATTCCCATTTTACAGCTGAAAACACTGAAATTATTATTATTGTTGTTGTTGTTATTTATATTACCGTAGCGCCTTCGAGCCCAAATCATGGACCAGGGCTCCATTGCGCTAGGTGCTATACAAACACAGAACAAACAAACGGTTCCTTTCCCCAGGAGCTTACACGTTAGGTGATTTGCCATGGCCACACAGTGAGTCAGTGGCCACAATTAGAATGTGTTCATTAGTAAAGCTGTTTGGAAATGTTCATTTGTTGAGAGCAAAACGTTTTTGCAGAAACACGTTGCCTTTGAGAAAAATTCATAGAAAAAAAACCCTGGGAAAAAGCATTTCACTGAGGAAAGTTTTGACCTTTTTGGAATGGAATGTTTCAATTTTCTCTTTCAAAACAACTCCCCCCCCCCAAATTTTTATATTATGAAATATAATATAAAATGAAAAAGTAAAAATTGGAATTAATCATTTAGATTTTGTCAAAATGAAACATTTCGATTGATCCCAAATTACTATTTTTCCAGAATTTCAATTCATGGGAAATTTTGAAATCTTTTGGTTTTGTTCTGTTCTGGAATGGAAGAAATTTTGAAATCACACAACTCCAAATTCCCATGCAGCTCTAGTCATTATAACTAGACCATGCTGCCAATGTTATATACTGTATTGTCCAGTAATAGGAATTGTTCACTTATTTGTAAAGAAGGTTCCAGTGGTTCTTTCATAAATTAATATACCTTAAAAAATGGCCAAAACTTTTTGAAATGCTAGGGAATTGGTCTGCTCAGGGTTTCAACTGTAAAGTAACTTTGTCTCCTGCAGTAACATCTGCTTTGTTAGATTTTAAATATCAACATACTATTCTTTTGCTGCTTAGGTTTTCATTTGGAGCAGCATCTGAGTGAAGTTGCTTTACAAACAGCTCTTGCAAGCTCTTCAAGACATTATGCAGGTCGATCTTTCCAGATATTCAGGGCGCTAAAGCAACCTCTTTCTGCACATGCATTGTCTGACCTTCTGTCAAGATTGGTGGAAGTTATAGGAGAACATGGAGATGAGATTCAGGTACACATGTGTGACAGTGCTGTATTCCTGACAATGTTTCACAATGTTGCATATGTTCAGTATTGTTTGTTTCATTTTAATGTAAAGGGTGAAATAAACTTGGAAACTATGATGCAAGTGAGAATGTGACCTTAGAAAACTAAAACTGTGTTCTCATCACAATTTCAGAAATTACAAAAATGCTGTTAAAGTCATGATCTAACTGTTATTGTCTGAGCCCTGAAAAATAAAAGTCTAATTTGTTTCAAAATGTATCACCCCATTGTGAGATTTTAAAAATTGTAAATAGCAAACTGTAGTGGTGTTCACAGAAACAGCACTTTCAGCTTCCGCTGCTGCCTTTCCAAAAGCAGTTAAATTTCAAATTCCATTGTCCTTTACTGAGCAATATTCAACTTCAAAGCAATTAGGAATGTTGCTTAATTAAGGTCTGTGGCTTTTAGCCCACTGGATGGGTTGGTGGGAATATTTATATTTGCCATATGCTAAAAGATGAAATCATTAAGGATTTTTAATATAAATAAAGAGTACTGTGGATGAAGGGAAAGCAGTGGATGTATTGTTTCTTGACTTTAGCAAAGCTTTTGACACGGTCTCCCACAGTATTCTTGTCAGCAAGTTAAGGAAGTATGGGTTGGATGAATGCACTACAAGGTGGGTAGAAAGCTGGCTAGATTGTCGGGCTCAACGGGTAGTTATCAATGGCTCCATGTCTAGTTGGCAGCCGGTATCAAGTGGAGTGCCCCAAGGGTCGGTCCTGGGGCCAGTTTTGTTCAATATCTTCATAAATGATCTGGAGGATGGTGTGGATTGCACTCTCAGCAAATTTGCGGATGATACTAAACTGGGAGGAGTGGTAGATACGCTGGAGGGGAGGGATAGGATACAGAAGGACCTAGACAAATTGGAGGATTGGGCCAAAAGAAATCTGATGAGGTTCAATAAGGATAAGTGCAGGGTCCTGCACTTAGGACGGAAGAACCCAATGCACAGCTACAGACTAGGGACCGAATGGCTAGGCAGCAGTTCTGCGGAAAAGGACCTAGGGGTGACAGTGGACGAGAAGCTGGATATGAGTCAGCAGTGTGCCCTTGTTGCCAAGAAGGCCTATGGCATTTTGGGATGTATAAGTAGGGGCATAGCGAGCAGATCGAGGGACGTGATCGTTCCCCTCTATTCGACATTGGTGAGGCCTCATCTGGAGTACTGTGTCCAGTTTTGGGCCCCACACTTCAAGAAGGATGTAGATAAATTGGAGAGAGTCCAGCGAAGGGCAACAAAAATGATTAGGGGTCTGGAACACATGAGTTATGAGGAGAGGCTGAGGGAGCTGGGATTGTTTAGCCTGCAGAAGAGAAGAATGAGGGGGGATTTGATAGCTGCTTTCAACTACCTGAAAGGGGGTTCCAAAGAGGATGGCTCTAGACTGTTCTCAATGGTATCAGATGACAGAACGAGGAGTAATGGTCTCAAGCTGCAGTGGGGGAGGTTTAGATTGGATATTAGGAAAAACTTTTTCACTAAGAGGGTGGTGAAACACTGGAATGCGTTACCTAGGGAGGTGGTAGAATCTCCTTCCTTAGAGGTTTTTAAGGTCAGGCTTGACAAAGCCCTGGCTGGGATGATTTAACTGGGAATTGGTCCCGCTTCGAGCAGGGGGTTGGACTAGATGACCTTCTGGGGTCCCTTCCAACTCTTATATTCTATGATTCTATGATTCTACTATGAGCAATGGAGAGTAAAAATAAAATTAAAAACAAACTGCTTTGGCCCTCTCTTTTTAAGGAGAATAAATTAACAGTAGAAAGAACATACTGTTTTAAAAAGCTCACACCATTACAATGCAGCTGATCCAGTTTGAAAACAAACCATGGTGTAGTGTTAACCTGAGAGGTGGACTGGACAAGGGACTATAAGTAGTAATAGATATGGGAAAGCTGCATGACCCTGAATCTGACCTGCTCCCTGCTGCAAAAGTCTCTTCTGGCTGCAGATAGGGTTGCCAGGCATCCGGTTTTCAACCAGAGCGTCTGGTCGAAAAGGGACCCTGGCTGCTCTGGTCAGCACCACTGACTGGGCTGCTATAGGTCCAGTCAACGGGGCTAAGGCAGGATCCCTGCCTGTCCTGGCTCCCAGAAGCAGCTGGCATGTCTGGCTCCTAGGCGCAGGGGCAGCCAGGTGGCTCCACACGCTGTCCCTGCCTTGAACGCTGGCTCCGCAGCTCCCATTGGCCGTGAACTATGGCCAGTGGGAGCTGTGGGGGCGGCACATGTAGGCACAGGCAATGTGCAGAGCCCCCAGCCCCTCCACCTAGGAGCTGGACATGCTGACTGCTTCTCGGAGCCACCTGAGGTAAGCACCGCCCAGCCAGAGCGTGCACCCCGAACCCCCTCCTGCACTCCAATCCCCTGTCCCAGCCCTGAGCCCTCACACTCACCCAAACTCCTTCCCAGAGCTCACCCCCCTCACCCCCTCCCACATCCCAACCGCCTGCCCCTGCCTTGGGCCCCCTCTCACCCCCAAACTTCCTCCCAGAGCCAGTACCCCACACCTCCTCCCACACCCCAACCCCCTGCCCCAGCCCTGGGTCCCAGCCTGCACTCCAAACCCCTTAGCCCCAGCCCTAAGACCCCTCCTGCACCCCAAACCCCTCATCCCCAGTCCCACCCCAGAGCCCGCACCCCCAGCCGGAGCCCTTACCCCTCCCACACCCCAAGCCTCTGCCCAACCCAGTGACAGTGAGTGACGATGGGGAGAGCCAGCGACGGAGGGAGGGGGGAATGGAGTCAGTAGGGTTGGGGCTTCAGGGCAGGGGGCAGGGCAAGGGTGCTCAGTTTTGTGTGATTAAAAAGTTGGCAACCTTAGCTGCAGGCAAAGTGGCAGGGGAACATCTTGTTACTCTTCCCCACCAGAAATAAATCTGGCTGCAAGAATACTCATGTACTGGCCTGTAGGCTGCTGGCCAAGAGTCTCTTCTCTGTGCCAGCGAGCCCATCCATGAGAAAACCATGCAGACTGGCACCATGGAACCACTCATGGATATGTGCCACCACCCCTTCAAGCAGCATGCATTCTTCTAGTGAGTGGAAAATAAGAGAGAAAAATGAAAGATGGAGCAAACACCAAGGAAATGTATGAAAAGGAATAAAAATAGATTAATAAATCCATAGATTTTAAGAACAGATGAGACCATGATGATCATCTAGTCTGACCTCCTGCATAAAAAGTCATAGGACTTCCCTGAATTAATAACTGCTTCAAGTCCAATAACAGTGGTTGAACTAGAGCATATCTTTTAGAAACACATCCATTCTTGATGTAAATTTTCCAGTGATGGGGAATCCACCACAGACCTTGGTAAATTATTCCAATAGTTAATTAACCTCCATGTTAAAAATGTCCACCTTATTTCCAGTGTGAATTTGTCTAGCATCAACTTTCAGTCACTGGATCTTGTTATACCTTTGCCTGCTAGATTGAAGAGCCCTCTATTATCAAATTTCTGTTTCCTGTGTAGGTACTTATAGACTATGATCAAGTCACCCCTTAAACTTCTCTTGGCTAAAATAAAAAGATTGACCTCCTTGAGTCTTTCATTGTAGGGCATGTTTTCCAATCTCTGATCATCCTCATGGCTCTTCTCTGAACCTTCTCCAATTTATCAACATCCTTCTTGAATTGTGGACAGCAGAACTGGATACAGTGTTCCAGTGGCAGTCTCACCAGGGCCAAATACAGAACTAATATAACCTCTCTACTTCTACTTGATATTCCTCTGTTTATACAGCCAAGGATCACTTGAGCTCTTTTGGCCACAGCATCATACAGGGTGCTTGTGTTCAGCTGATTATCCACAATGACTCCAAAGTCTTTCTCACAGTCACTGCTTCCCAGAATAGAGTTCCTCCTCCGGTAATCGTAACCTAGATATATGATTTTGCATTTGGGGTATGGAAACACATATTGCTTGCTTGTATCCAGCTTACCACACAGGCAGATCACTTTGTATCAGCGACCTGTGTCACAGTTTCAGAGTAACTGCATCTGTATTGCCCCTCCATGGTCCCTCGAGGGCACCCAGTTAAAGTTTCCAGCTCCCAGACATCATTTCTCTTGGGTGGAGATGTTGTATTAATAAATACAATAGAGAGCTGCATCTCTCTCCCTCCTGCCCAGGGTTTTAAGACTGCACAGCTCACTGTCTTACATTGAGATATGCCCAGCAAGCCAGTCTCTCTAAAGGCCAGTGCCTGTGCTTTTCTTTCTGTCCAAGGAGCACGAACAGTGTATTGCCAGCAGTTACAAGATACCACACAACTCTTTCTAAGCAAGCAAAATCATTACAGAGAAAACATATAAAACAATAAAAGTTACTATGCTAAAAACTTACTAGAGATCACGCCTCAGACTTACGGGGCTCTTGTAGGCCAAATTCTTTCCAATCTTTCCACAAGGGTTGGGGCTTTTGGGCAGAAGATCGTGTCCGTTTGCGGGTTCAGAAAGTAGTCCCTGACTCAGTTTAAACGCAGCCTTTTTAAGCCAAAACCCCATTCTTTGTTTTCCCAGTCTCTGGAAACCAAGTGTGAATCAGTATATGCGAACCTCCCCAGAGTGTGCTACCTTTCTGGAGGTGTTTACAGTGTGAGTGATTCACCTTAATTCCCCTGTTTTAATTCCTGGAGGAGCTGTGGTAACCTTCCCCCATGGAGTAGAACATAATCGTAATCCATGGCCCACAGTGATATTTATATTTAATACAATATGTTCCCCTATAGATGCTGCATGAAGTTGCAATATCCGTCAGAAACAGTCCTCTTCATTATTTAACACTGTCCCAATCTTTGTGTAATCTGCACATTTGATCAGTAATGAGTTTGTTTTCTTCTAGCTCTTTGATAAAAATGTTAAATACTGCAGGGCCATGAACCGATCCTTGTGAGACCCTAATAGAAACACACCAGCTAGACGATTCCCCATTTTCAGTTACATTTGTGAGACCTGGCAGTTAGCCAGTTTTTAATTCATTTAATGTGTGCCATGTTGAATTAGTATTGTTCTAGTTTCTTAATCAAAATGTCGTGCAGTACCAAATGCCTTACAAAAAATGAACACCGTTACCTTTATCAATCAAATTTATAATCTCACCAAAAAAAATCAAATTAGTTTTACAAGATCTATTTTCTATAAACCCATGACAATTGGCATTAATCATACTATCATCTTTTAATTCTTTATAAGAGTCCCATATCAGCCATTCCATTATTTTGCCCGTGATTGATGTCAGCCTATATTTACCCAGGTCAATCCCTTTACTCTTTTTAAATATTAGCGTAACATTAACTTTTTTCCAGTCCTCTGAAACTTCCCCCAGACTTCTTGAAAATCAACATTAACAGTCCACAGAGGTCCTTGGCCAGCTCTCTTAAAATTCTGGGATGAAAATTATCCGTACCTGCTGATTTTAAAATATCTATCTTTATTAGAAAAAAGAACAGGAGTACTTGTGCCACCTTAGTCTCTAAGATGCCACAAGTACTCCTGTTCTTTTTGCGGATACAGACTAACACGGCTGCTACTTTGAAACCTATCTTTATTAGCTGCTGTTTTAATATCCTCCTTACTTACAGTTGGAATGAAAAGTATTTCATCATCATATGATATAACTACATCATCTGGCTTTTTCCCAAACACAGAACAGAAATATTTATTGAATAGTTCTGCCTTATTAACAGTTTTGCATTATTATAGACCATTCCACCGTCTTCATCTAGTAATGGACCAATACCAGTGTTTGGATTCCTTTTGTTCTAATATACGACTTCTTCTAGTCCTTAGCTCTGTTGTCCATTGGTTTCTCCTGTGTCTTTTTGCTTCCCTTATCAATATTCTACCATTCCCACTGTGACGGGTTGGGTCACAGAAACCCCCTTGGGACTGCCATCTGATGTGCTGAGACTACCTCTAAGCCCATTTTCCCTGGCAGCTTGGGACTTCAGTGCCCTGCCTGGTTGTGCCAGACATGCTAGCCTGCTACAGACACAGACCCAGGTCTGAACCACATCCCCCAAAAGCTGCAGGCTTAACTGAAAACAGCTTAAGAAGTGCTCCTGTCTCCAACACCCAGATACCCAGTTTCCAATGGGATCCAAACCCCAAATAAATTTATTTTACTCTGTATAAATCTTATACAGGGTAAACTCATAAATTGTTCACGCTATATAACACTGATAGATATGCACAGCTGTTTGCTCCCCCAGGTATTAATACTTGCTCTGGGTTAATGAATAAGTAAAAAGTGATTTTATTAAATATAAAAAGTAGGATTTAAATGGTTCCAAGTAATAACAGACAGAACAAAGTAAATTACTAAGCAAAATAAAACAAAACCACACAAGTCTAAGCCTAATACAGTAGGAAACTAAATGCAGGTAAATCTCACCTTCAGAGATGTTCCAGTAAACTTCTTTGACAGACTAGACTCCTTCCAAGTCTGGGTCCAGCAATCACTCACACTCCCGTAGTTACTGTCCTTTGTTTCAGTTTCTTTCAGGCATCTCTTTGGGGTGGAGAGGCTGTCTCTTGAGCCATCAGAAGACAAAATGGAGGGGTTCCCAGGGGCTTATATAGTCTTTCTCTTGTGGGTGGAAACCCCTCTCTTCTCCCCTCCACAAGATGAAGTTTTGCAGTCACCTGAGCAAGTCACATGTCTATGAATGATTCAGTTTTTTGTAGGCCGACTCCATTGTTTACATGTTAGTTTGAAAGTTCCCAGGAAAGCTCAGATGTGGATTGGTGTCTCCGAAGGTCTATTGTCAGCTAAGTACTCCTAATTACTTGAATAACCCCTTCACACTATGTTGACCAAATCTGCCTTATGTGCTTCCTACGGCAAACACTTTAAATACAAGCATAGAGCCAATGCTCATAACTTCAGATATAAAAATGATACATGCATATGAATAGGATGAATACATTCAGTAGAACATAACCTTTGCAAAGATATGTTACATGGCATATCTAGCATAAAACATATTCCAGTTATGTCATATTTACACTCATAAGCATATTTCTATAAAGCATTATGGGGTGCAAAATCATACCCACCTTCTAGCTTATATTCACTGATATCAATTTTCTCTTTTTTCCATTTTCCCCCCCCTCTAAGTCAGGCTGGTCCTTTAACAAGTGTAGCCTTCTTTCTCAATTGTGGGATTGTGGCTTTTTGTGCTTCTAGTAAAATGTTCTTAAATAGTTCCCATTTATCATTCACTTATTTTCTGTTGGAATTCTTTCTCACTTCTGATTTGACTCATGATTGTTTTTATCTTTGCTAAATTGTTTCTTTAAAAGTAACAAGAATGTATATTACTGGTTGGGGCTTTATTTTGCTTACCCATGAAAAATTTAAGGGTCAGGATCACTTGAACCTAACCAGCCACTGATTTTTAGTTCTATGATTATTTCATCTGTCATTATCAGTTCTACTATGGAATTCCTCTATGCAGAATGCATTTTTTTTTGAGTTAGCAGATTGTTATGTGTAATTTTTAGAAATACCAATGATGTTTTATTACTGGCGGCTTGAAACCTCCAGCATATGTCACTCAGGCTGAAGTCCTCCATGATTATGCAACATTTTTTCCCTACGCCTGACATAGATGGGTGTTTAAGGAGCCTGTTCTCTACTGTGGTTTGGTTGTTGTAGTAGACACCATTGTTGTACCCCATCTGGTACTTTATCTGCTAGAGCATAGCAACAAAATCAAAACCAACAAACCCATACCCTGACCTAAATGCCCCCCTTTATTGATGGAGCAGTAGTTTGTTCTCTATGGCTATTCAATCTTTGACTTCTCTCCTGAGATTTCTACCACCATAGCATTCTTGTTAATGTTATTTTTATAATCTTGACACTATTAACTTCCATTAGGAAATGGACTGAGATCACCAACACATTCCACACAGATCATCAAATAGCTTCAAGGTGACAATAATATTCTGTCACAACTGCCTCTGCAGAATTTGAACCAGTGACATGGAGGTGAAAGGCTCAGCATCCTATTATCCATCATCCCCTGATAAGATAACTGGTCTCCTTAAGTATACTCTCTCCTTCACAGATCATTCAGGGAGACAGAAAATAAAATGTGCAGTAATGTTTTAATGTGCAATGTAATGGCTCTGGGTTTTTTACTACGATTAGTATTGTGTTGTGTTTTCAATAAGATGCGTCAGTACAGAATGATTCGTTACTGACTTACTCATGATTGTTTTTGCTAAAATCACTGACTGTATGTATTTGACAGGGTTATGTAATGGAAGCACTACTTACCTTGGAGGCTACTGTGGATAATCTGTCTGATTGTTTGAAGAACTGTGATCTCCTGACCGTATTATCTCGGTAAGAGTCTGTCTATTCCCTTAATCACATAATCTTTTCCCATATAAATCTTATGAAGCAATACAATGTTCTGCAATCAGAATTGCATGAAATGGTTTTGGTATAACTGATCTTGCTCAAAATACATTTACAAAACGAGCCTAAGAGTGCATCTGAGCCCAATTTGGCAACTATTGAAATAAATATTGATAAACTCGTGGACCCTCCTAGCCTGTTATAGCTTTTCTTTCTTCCTTTCAGTCATCTACAGCACATTTGATGTCCTCTTTAAACAAATAACATTAGGATTCCACGTTCTGTTTTTGTACCTAACGTAGTCTTGAAAAGATGTATAGGAAACAACATTTACTTTGCTTAGAATATTGCAGATGGGGGTACAGATCACTCCCTGTTGTGAGAAAACTCATGGTTCCACTAATTAAGTATTTCCCAAATCACTGCATGAATGGGCAGGATTTGTCACCTTTGTGGAAAAAATAGGGGATTCTGTCCTCAGAACTCAGATGTCCCAAGGGGTCCTCAGGAGGCCCTATGCCTCTGCACCTGCTTTATGTTTCCCCTTCCTTGACAACCTCCGTAAGCAGATGTCTGTGGAGCCTCCTATGAAGAGGGGTTCCACAATATGAAAAAAGGCCGCACAGATTTCCTTTCAGGTTTGAGGATGTTCAACAGTGTGCACCCCCTGCTCTTGTTCTCACGCACAGTCCTTCTCAGCTGTGCATCCTTGAACTCACTGGGAGCCCTCCAAGGTTGAGAGGATGGCAAACCTTTCTCGTTCTAAAGCACAACCAGTGACAGATCTGTGCACCAAGGGGAGGCTAATGTCTGTCTGTGGTGTCCGTTAGCAGTAGTAGGAGCTGGGTGTGTCCCTGGAGAGATCTCCTTAAATTCTAAAACTTTTCGGCAACATAAAAGTTTGTGGGTAAAATTTCTGGGGTGGTGCTGTTACAATATATTATAGTCTTTTATATTCCAAATCAAGAGTCACATGTTCCTCTTGACTACACAGTTCAGAAGGGAGCAAAATGGAACAGAAATGGCCCCAAACTGTGGAAGGAAGGGGATAACACCATCCTTCCTTCTACCCCTAGTGACTGTGTAAGCCCCTCTGCGAGAATACCACAGAGTAGGGGCTTTGCAGTTTTGTGAGTAGAGCATTTCAGAGGTAAGAATGGAGGCAGCCGGGAAGTAGCTGTTCTGTACAGCAAGCTTCCCTTGGCACTGTAAATTGTTAGGTTATAAGCTTTTTGGAACAGAGACTTTGTCTCACTGTTATCTTTGAACAATACCTAAACACTGAGGGTGCTATTAAAATATAAATAGTTAATAAGGACTGCCTGGAATTCCAAGCAGTAATCCATGTGGCAGTTGTAACTCTTTGAAACGCCAGCTAAGTCTCCAGTGTGCAGTCTACCTCCCTGAAAGGAGGCTAGGGTAGCAGCATGGAGTCTAAGGGACAGTACTTCTAAGGGGAGCCCTGATAGCTCCATGACAGGATAGGGATAACACAACATTTCTAAGTTTCTGCTTACAACCATTGGTTTAGCTGCATACATTCACCCATGGTGGCCAATACTCCTCCCTCCACAGGGTCAATTTGCCAGTAATTCTACAAGTGTGACTTATACCAAATAACTCCTGCAGCGGGTCCAGTGGATAGGATACTGAGATTCAGGAGACCTGAGTGCTAATCCCAGCACTACCACTGACCCAGAGCATGACCTTCAGCAACCACTTCACCCCTTGTTTTCCCTTCCCCCTACTTTCTGCCTTGTCTATTTAGATTGTAAACTCTTCAGGGCAAAGTCTGTTTCTTACTCTGTGTTTGTGCAGTGCCTATTACAATATGGCCCTGTTCTCAGTTGGGGTCTCTAGGTTATATGGAGAAATCTGTGGGAGAGTAAAACAGACAGCGTGGTGTTTGTTTACTTTTTTTTTTACTGTTTATTTATCTTTTGATAAATTCTTGGTTTACTTCCTTTTTATTTGTACTAGTTTATTTTCTACATTGCTGCTTTGTGATATAATAAAATCCTATTTATTTATTTATTTATTTATTTATTTTTTTGCTTAGTTCATCATCACCAGACTTAACTTCAAGCACTAAACTGACTGCAAATCGGAAGAGTACGGGCCAGCTGAACGTGAATCCTGGGGCTGTAAGTGGTAACACAGCCACTGCTGAACGAAGTAGACACCAGAGAAGCTTTTCTGTACCCAAAAAGTTTGGTGTTGTGGACAGATCCTCAGATCCACCACGCAGTGCCACACTAGATAGAATTCAGGCATGCACCCAGCAAGGCCTCTCCTCTAAAACCAGGAGCTCATCATCTCTAAAAGACAGCCTCACTGATCCTTCTAATATTAACAATCCAACCAACCTGTTGGCCACCATCTTCTGGGTTGCTGTAGCTTTGATGGAATCTGATTTTGAATTTGAATATCTAATGGCTTTACGATTGTTGAATAAACTACTGGCTTATTTGCCACTGGATAAAGCTGAAAATAGGGAGAAGTTAGAAAAGTTACAAGGACAGCTAAAGTGGTCAGATTTCTTGGGGCTGCAGCAGCTGTTGCTAAAAGGATTCACTTCCCTTACCACCACTGACCTCACGTTACAGCTCTTCAGTTTGCTGACACCTGTGTCACGAGTATCCATGGTGGATTCCTCTCAAGTTATAGGTAAAGCCAATTTTTTCTGCCTTTCACATTTTGATTATGAAATTGTTTTTATGTTTGATATGAAAACCTCACTATGCTACTTAAAAATACCTATGTCACCTTATGGAATATAAATTTATTTTTGTGTGTACAAATTGTAATGCATTTTTTAATGAATACATATTTATACTCATTGCAGATCTCTCAAAAAAACAACTAAAGGGAAATTCTTTTGTTATTACTATTATTTATTATTTGTAATATCATAGCACCTCAGCACCCCAGTCATGGACCAAGACTCCTGTGTGCTAGGCGCTGTACAAATAAAGAACAAAAAGACAGCCCCTGCACCAAAGAGCTTGCAATTTAAATATAAGACAAGAGACAACAGATGGATACAGACGGGGGAGTACAAGGAAACAATGAGACAGTTTTGGTCAGCATGATAGTCTGAGGTCTCAGCACACCTATTCAATATCAGGGGAGCAGGAAAGATGCCATTTTTGTACAGGGATATTCTTTCACATTTTATTTCTAGTTATAGAACCTAGCAAGGCCTGTGAAGTTTTCTCAGTATTTCTATAATAAAACCTCAAGTTCTTTTTTCTTGGGGTGAGGAGGGGCTGCTATATTCAGAGCCGTGAGAATCCTCACTAGTCAAGGTCTGAAACCAAAATCTTTTTTCCAAACACCGCCATACTTTGGGAAGAACTGTGTGACTTAGATCTAAATTTTGCTTTAGCTTTCTACCAATTCAGAATTCCCCTCACTTGGGGAATTCTCAGTTGGCCAGTTGCAGACATCTTCTTCCTCCCTCTCCCCCCCCCCCCGCCCCTTTTCTCTTTTGGCCACTCAGTATAAAATGTAGGGAAATGGGGCTGAGAATCAGGCCCAACATTTTATTTTATTACCTCCTCCTTCTCTTACCATATATTAGCAGTATATATTATACTAAAAATGCCTCCAGTATTATTGGAATTTTGGATATTGAGGTGTAGGGCCAGATCCTGCAAACGTTTACGATTAGTAGCAGTGCTTACTACTACTAATTCTATGAGATTATACCTGGTAGTAAGCACTTTGTATGTTGGTAAATGTTTGCAGAATCAGTCCCATTCTTTGTAATGACACCATCACACTGTCATATTTAATAGATGTTATGTTTAATTTGATACAACAGTCTTAAGGTGAAATATGGGGTCTGAACAATTTGAAAGAGTCTATATAACATCACTGTAATGTACTTTTGTGATTATAGCTGCTAGCAAAATATTGCTTAAAAGACAGCTAATATTCCTGTCCTCTCATCAAATATCCACTTTGTATTGTATTGTTCTGTACCAGGGTTCCCACTGAATGTCTTGTGTCTCCTGCCTCATTTAATTCAACATTTTGATAGCCCAAACCAGTTCTGTAAGGATATAGCGGAGAGAATTGCTCAGGTAGGAAATTTATTTGGTACATTGTACATCATATTAAGTCTTGTGAATGTCTTTGACTTTTTCTTAGCATAATGTGACATTCATATTTAATTAGGCTTGTTTGGAAGAAAAGAACCCTAAGCTATCAAATCTTGCACATGTGATGGCCCTTTATAAAACTCACAGCTATACAAGAGACTGTGCTACCTGGGTAAATGTGGTTTGCCGTTACCTCCATGAAGCATTCGCCGACATTACCCTGAGTATGGTTACATATTTGGCTGAGGTAAGTTTTTAAAACCAAACCATTTTCCATCTTCTATTGACAGAAAAACTGAAGGGCTATAGCCTCTTGGCTATTCATTAGAGATCTCCTATCCTCTGTTCTTACTCAAAGTGCAGATCTGAGAGCAGAATTTTGCTGTATGCTTTTTTGAAAAAATTAAACACTTAATGCAAAACATATCCAAAGTCAAGTAAAGTCCTCAAGTTGATTACTTCTTAAAGCTGTGCTTGCCCATGAATAAATAGGGTTTTCCACTACATCCAGAACTGGAGTACAAAGAAAGAGTGTGTAACTACCTTATGCATTTGTCAACTTTTTATAGTTTATAATTTTGGGCTAGATTGTCCATCCTTATTCGTGTTGGTGAACACTTACAGGAGTTAGTATTTTCTGTCATTCCTTTCAATGGGACGTAAGTAAGGGCTGCACAATCTGACCTAAACTGCTTGTTACATAACAATCCATTTCTTGTTATAAATATCTATGCCTAATGGATCCAAATGCATTCTTCTAACTCCAGAGAGAATTCGCTGCTTCTCTCCTCATTCATCAGTAATGGGTAATACCACCTGCCTGCAGAATTCAGAGGCCATCTAATGTTGCTGGAGACTCCAAGCTGGAGCCCCATTCTTCTGCTCAGGCCACCAGATTTTCTGCCCCATTTTCTGCCCCATTCGGCAGCAGAACAAGTTGGCAGTTCAGATTTTCTCAACCATTTTCTATAACTTTCATGTTTATTTGTTGTCATGCATGACTTCACTTCCTTCTAGCTCCTCTCTCTCTCCCCTGAGGTGAGGAATCAGTGGAGTATTGAGGCTCTAATCCTCTGGCTTCTCCAATTCAACACTTCTCTAGTGAGCACCCTCTGCCCTCCACTGTGGGAGCAGAGAAGCCCTGCAAACATCCAGCCAAGTCCAGGGGGAGCTATAGGGAGCTTTCCAAGAGCCTCACAGGATAAACTGAGCCCTGCTGCCACAAGCCATCATCCTCAGTCTGCCAAGGGGTAAACGATGCTCTGCTGCCACAAACCATTGACTGTCACTCTGCTGAGGTATGGGCTTGAGAAGGCTATCTATGCCCTGCTGCCACAAGCCGATGACCCTTCTCTCTGCCAGGGCGTGAGCTTGAGAGGGCAAGTTATGTCATGCTGCCACTTTGCTGGGATACAGTCTCAAGAACATGAGCTGTGCCCTGCTGCCACAAGCCATTGACCCTCCCCCTGCCAGGTCACAGGCTAGAGAGGATAACGGTGCCCTATAGCCATAAAGCCTCTGACCCTCGCTCTGCCAAAAAGCATGTGGCTTTGAGTCAGAGAGGTGTGGAGGGCCTCAACCCCCACCCAAAGCTGTAACACCACCATGGGAGGCTCAACCAGGAGCATGACAATTCCCATAGAGAGGGGAACACCTCTCGCCTGCTCAGGGTTTACTTTTGCAAATGCCAGAGACTCTGAGTTCCAAATAGGCAAAAGCAAGCATCCCCTTTGTAAGACAGCAGTTCAGATTGTTAATGAGCAAGTGGGGTAAATGTCAGGGTTTAAACCCTTTCTCCTTTTCCTCCCCACCCTGAGAGGCAAGTGTGTGCTGGGGCATCTCTGCTTACAGGGGTCCTCTGACAGTGCTCTGTAGCAGGTACCCTGCCCCTTCCTTACCCCGCAGCATGTCTGGACCAGCAGAGAAGCCTGTTCCTCCTGCGCAGCCCTGCCTCGGGCTGCAGTGTAATGGGAATTGTGCCTGTCTAGTTTTCAGTCTGCCAAGGAATGGGGCTCAGAATCTGATGGGTAGGAAGAGGTCTCTCTCTTTGCCCTTCCCTTCTCCATATTCTGGCTCCATGCCAATGGACTGTAGGCCTGGCTTGACATCAGTATCTTGCCTCATTTCTTAATGGGCCAATTGGGAAGGTGAACAGAAGGTTAAATTGTAAATTAGGGCTTAATAAGCAGTATGTGGGAGTCAGGATGTCTGTGCTAACTAAGATAAGCAGGAACACCCTGGTGCTATGAACAATGGATAAGCTTGACCTACAAAGTAACCAAGCGAATCTCAAATGTTGCAATGTATATGAATATTGTATCGTGAAATGTAATGTGTAAATATATATAGAGGAAGAGGTTTGCTGTGTAACTTTGGATGTGTGGTATGCTCTATACCAGTGGTTTTCAAACTGTGGATTGGGGGCTCCACGTGCTGCCCCCGCCCCAAACACTGGCTCCGCACTCCCATTGGCCAGTTCCCAGCCAATGGGAGCTGGGAGGGCAGTGCCTGCAGGCAAGAGCCACACGGAGCTGTTTGCGCACCTCTGCTTAGGAACCAGACCTGCTGTTGGCCGCTTCCAGGGAGCAGCATGGTCCACAGTGCCAGGACAGGCGGGAAGCCTTCTTCTGCACCCCAGCTTACGAAGCCACCGGAAGTAAGCCCTTACCCCAACCATGCAACCCACCCCCTACCCCAGACCTGAGCGCCCCCCAAACCTGAGGCCCTTCCTGCACCCCAAATCCCTCATCCCCAGCCCCACCCCAGAGCCTTCACCCCCAACCCAGAGCCCTGACCCCCTCCCATACGCCAACCCTCTGCCCCACCCCTGAGCCACACTCAAGCCCTGAACCCCTCATTCCCAGCCCCGCCCCACAGCCCTCACCCCTGAACCCCAAACCTCTTCCCCAGCCCTGAATCCCTCCCACATCCCAAACCACTCATCCCCAGCTCTGTTGGGTCGCAGGCGTCAACAATTTTCTTCAACTGGGTCGCCAGAAAAAAAGTTTGAAAACCACTGCTCTATCCTCACCTCCTATGCTTGAGTCTGATCAATTCAGCATAGCTTTACTGTATGCCAAATAAAGGAACCCGAGTGAGACGGGGCCTCAACCCTCACTACCAAAGCCAACATAGCAATCCGTTGGTCACTGTCAACACCAAAGGTGTTTATGAAGGGACTGTTCCCCTAAGAGGGAAGAATCTGGAGCAGAAGCTCCTACTGAAACCTGCATGCATTTTCTTCTCAAAGCAACAAAATCCTCAGTATGACAAAGAGAAAATGAGCATTTGTGTGAATTCTCAATTCCTGTACAGGACTCTTCTTTCTGCTCTACCCTTTATACCCAGAGTAATGAAAAAAATGGCTGTTAGTAGTCACAGCAAGGCTCAGGCAGAGACAACATAGCAATCAGTGCCTTGTCCAGAGAAACAGACCCATTCACAGCTTGCCAGCTGCTTGAACAGATTCATACCCAGGCATGAACCTGGTAATAATTTTGCCATCACGGTAAAGGTTTGCAAAGATCCAAAACTTGATTACATCGTCCATTGCTTGGCAGTGGTCATCTGTAGACAGTTATCTCTGGTGGCTCAGATTGCTGGTGCTATGTACTGGGTCAATCCCTGAATGCTTTTTCTCAAAATGTACTTCCAGTTCCTTCTAAATACATGGAACCACTCAGCAGAGACCATGCAAATTAGGTTTCATTCCCAGGTCGTATCCAAATATCCCTTTGTGGGCAGGTAAGTATGAGCAACTTGCGGAAAACCAACCCAATTTTCACTGTAGCCCCTTACATATGCAGTATGGAAGCAAGTCTTGCAGTATGGGGAGCATACTTGGAGACTGATTTCCAAAATCTCAGAGTACACCCTTTTAGTTCTCTTCAACAGCCCTATCAGATGCATGTGTGAACAAAAACATATAAATGTGACCACATGGACTCAGACCAGTGGTCTATTGAGTCCAGTATCATATCTGACAATAGCCAGCACTAGTCACTTCAGAGGAAGGTGCAAGAAACCCTGTAGTGGGCAGTTATGGTGTTCATAGGGGAAGTTTCTTTTTACTTCCCATTAGAGGTTTGCTTAAGACTGAAGCATGCGTGTTTATATCCTTTCCAAAGCCAAGAGATAAGCAGATATCAGAACCTCTCTGTGATAAAGGAAATAATATCCTGGGTAGAGAAGAATGTGCTGTTTTTCAAGACAGTTCACATAAAGCATGCAGAAAAGAGGAAAAAGCAGAACTGAAGTCCCACCTCATCCCACTCCACCACTGGCCCAGAAAGCACTTCAGATTTGATAGACAACTAAGGAACCTCCATTGCACCTGCAGAAAACACCAGTCCTCTCAAATTCTTTGATTTAGACCTGGACAACCTACAGTTAACAGGATGGACATGAGAAGAGAAGTGTAGTTTATCAGAGTTTCTCCATTAGCATCATAGATATTTTTTGGTATCCAGACAGAATTCAACCAGGAAATTGCAATGATTGATCTGGTCAAATTACATTTTTGTGTGAGGAGAAACTGAATGCTCTCTGAGGCAAAGGTTGTCTTGTTTGTACAGTGCCCAGCCCTACGGGTCCAGGGCTCTAGATGCTACCATAATATAAACAATAATAGTAATCACAAAGTTCTGGTGATCTCATTTACACTAGTTTCAGAGTAGCAGCCGTGTTAGTCTGTATCCGCAAAAAGAAAAGGAGGACTTGTGGCACCTTAGAGCCTAACAAATTTATTTGAGCATAAGCTTTCATGAGCTACAACTCACTTCATCGGATGCATCCGATGATGAAGTGAGCTGTAGCTTACGAAAGCTTATGCTCAAATAAATTTGTTAGTCTCTAAGGTGCCACAAGTCCTCCTTTTCATTTACAGTAGAGATTCTCCAGGATGGTTCACTGGAATCCTACAACCAAGCACCATGGAAAAGTGGGTTCTTCAGGCAGGCACATCAGACTCCTTATCTGAGTATCATCAGGTGTCAAAATTAATCAAAATAACAGATTAGACAAGCCTGTGGCTGGCTTTTTTTAGTTGCCATCACCTTCAAAAGATAAGTTTGGAATTAGTTCCTCTGTCAATACAGAACCACACTACTGTTGTCATGAGGAAAAAAGTTACTTGTACTGCTCCAGAAGCCTTTCTCTTCAGATGAGTTTTTATTTCCACAGTTACTGGTAAATAGGGTTTTCCCGTCATTTTGTTCTAACCCTTTGCACCCCTTTGGAAGGTTGTGGCATGTATGGGCATTCTTAGAGCTCTAAAGATATTTTTCAAGCATATGGAGTATACATGCCAATTGTACCCTGTTCATCTCATCCTGTCCAAAATGCCAAGTCCTTAGGACCTCAGTGTTCCTACAGGCACAATGTTAAAATCCTGCACCAGTTGGCATGCTAGGAAGCCATTTACAAAGGAGTCAAGCTCACTCTGTGAGGTCTCTGGTGGCATTGTGGGTAAAAGGATATGAGCCTAATCTGAGGAAGATTTGCAACATGTATTTCTATTCCCCTGCAGAGGCATCCTTTGATAGGAAAGTGTTGCCGGGTCGGTTCCCAAATAATTCCTTAAATTATACAGCTCTTACTTTATATGGGGGGAATTCTTGTTTCTGCTTAATATTCTACTGTAATAATAATTAAAACTCTGCTTCTTTCCCCCCACTTTTGTGATTTATTGTTTACTACTTCCCATTATTGGTGAATGAGGAGAGAAGCTGTGCTACAGAATGAAAAATTTCTTACCTGCATATTTTCTTTCTGCTAGGAGCTTTTCTCCTCATTGAACCCAACCTACTAGTCTGGGAAATGACTGGAATAAAATTTGTAAAATTTGAAATTTTTCTCTAAAAGGAGACTTGGACATATAATGATCTTAAGTTTATTTACATATCATATCAGATTGTTGTCTTAATGCTAATAATTGACTGCTGGAGTATTTCTGCAGCTTTGGGAGATCCCTTCTGGCAGCCAGAGCTGAAAGGTGGGGCTTAGTCCTAGGGCCTCCAACAACATTAGACCACCTTCCACATGCAGGAGGTATTACCTGTTAGCAACGAATGAAGAGAGAAGCCACTAACAGAAAATTATCAGATCAGAAATGTGTTATTCATGTGACACACAAATCCTTAAGGCTGTAATCTTTGAAGCCAGTGGAACTACTCACATACGCCAGGTTAAGCATAATCATGTTTGCAAAATCAAGATCTTGTACTCCTGGATGCAGATCCAAACATTCCAGAATTTGGGAATATTTAAAGCTAGGGTTTTCGTTTAGGCTCATCTTTATATTAATTTCTACCATGAGAGAGACCAGGCATTCCATCTTCCTATCCAGTGAATATGTGTTTCCATGGAAGCTATCGCTGGAGGGCATTGGTAGTGAAATTTATTGGGTAAATATAATTTGCTGTCTGAATAACGGTGGTCTATTTCTTTCGGCCTGTGTCTCCTCAACCTTTTCCTCAGAATTCCAGCCAAGGAAAAAATAAAAAGATATTTGGTTATTCTTTATTGGATGTCTCTCTCAATTAAGTTCTGAATTTCAGCTGCCAGCTTATTCTGTCCTTGTACGGGCTTTCTGGATAGCTTAGAATAGGAGTACTGGGCAGACAAGAAGTTTTATGTTTCATTATCAGAACATAGTTAATTAGCTCCAGACTCCATAATTTACCTTTTGTAGTTTGTCTTGTTAGTAACATCATTACTAATTATTGTAACAAGACATTCTAAAATTATTGTTTTTCAGCTAGGGAAATGCTGTCTGTACCTGACTGATATTGGTGCTGTTTTCTTTGAGAAACAACCTTTCAAAATCCAGTTATTTTCACTTGTTTTTTCATAGCTACTAGAAAAGGGGCTTCCCAGCATGCAACAGTCCCTCTTGCAGATGATCTACAGTCTTCTTAGTTATATGGACTTGTCAGGTATTCCTGTTAAACAGTTTAACATGGAAGTGTTAAAGACAATTGAAAAATATGTGCAGGTAAATATTGTATCTTCCTTGTATTAAAATATGAATTGAACAGTAGTTACTGTGAAATATTAAACTTTCATATATGAACTTAGGAATTACCATACTGACACACAATACCTAGTCCAATATTCTCCCTCTGTCTCTGCTGCAGCCAATACCACGTGTGCCAAAGTAAGATGTAAAACTTTCATAACCCACTATAAAATCTTTAATTAGAATAAAATACTTCAGGTCAAGGAGTTCTCATTTTGTCTTTTGCAGTGCAAGCATCTTGTCTGTGCCTAACCAATGATAAATAATAATGTACCTAATTGCAAGTAAATGCAAAACTGTACCATGATACCATGGCAGAAATCTCTTCCTGACCTAGCTGGTAATTAATTCATACTCTGAAGTATGAGGGTTGATGATAGTCCTTGTAATTTTATCCTTCTCGTTTAACTGCAGTTGTTATTTACAAAAATGTCCAATCCTTTAAAAAAAACACCTTTATTCTACTAGCACTATTTCTATAACTCAATTTTGTACTGAATTCCAAAATCTATGAATGATTTCAGTATTTAACTTACTTTAATTGTGTGTCATCACTTTTAGTAGTTGTTAAGATTCGTGGTTAATAATGTGGCTGTAAAGGTATTGTTAATTGATGTAAATTCTTCTTTCAAATTGTTTTGACAAAAACAATATCTACTTCTAGAGCATTCACTGGAGAGAAGCCTTGAACATCTTGAAGTTGGTAGTTTCTCGCTCTGCCAGCCTGGTTTTACCTTCCTACCAACACAGTGATCTTTCGAAAATGGAAATACATCGAGTATGGAACAGTGCTTCAAAGGAACTGCCAGGGAAAACTTTGGAGTTTCATTTCGATATTTCTGAGGTACTATATATATCACAGGGAAAATCTACTAGTTCAGACCTTAATTTCCATCTTAGTTCTTTATGAAAGTTGAAGAATTGGGAAGCAGGGAAAATTTCAAGACATCATCTTAAAAACATTGTTTTAGATCCAGAGTTAAACTTAATGACCTATATGGGAAGACCATGTTCTTCTTTGAGTAGTGTGCCTCTGGGTGCTTCACTTAAGGTGCATGAACACCTTTGATAGGAGATTTTCATTAGTAGCATCTCTTCAGCCCACATATGCGCCATTGATATTCTTGTGCCTCACACCAAGGCTATATTAGGCTGCATGGACGAACCACCCTCCGTTCCTTTTCAAGCACCTCAGCCTGAGTGACTGATTTCTTGGGACTGAGAGCAACCTGAATATTTTGTGATTGTTTGTGTAAGTGATATGTATCACTAAGTCCAGCTTGCTTGGGTGGCAAGATAGACTGGAGTGCCCAATGGAACTGTCTGTGACTCCAAGGTAAGACTCTTACAGTGATCTAGGAGTTCACATTTGTTCCTGGCTTGGTGAAATCTAATTATAGAATATACCACCAGTTTGGGGTGTCTGCCCTGCTTTTGACAGTCTACCATGAGATTGGCACTCTCGGTCATGAGCCACTCCAGACAGCGTGACAGAAGTGATAACATTGGGCTATACAATCCATTTTACTGCCCTCCCACCTCCTTGTTCCCCTTCCCCATCCATCTATAGAGACCCCCTCTTATGACTCCCTGTTAAGACAGGAATTAAATTCCCTTCTTTGGTTAGGAGCAGTTGAACTGGTTCCTGCTCAGCACAGGGGGAGAGCTTTCTCTCTGAGGTATTTCCTCAGACCATAGAAAAACAGGGGGTGGAGACCAATCTTAGATCTCAGACGCCTAAACAAATTCATAAAGTCTCAGAAGTTCAGAATGGTGACTCTGGCAGCTATAATTCCTTCTCTAAAATCAATGGATTGGTTTTCAGCCCTGGACCTTTAAGACACATACTTCTATATAACAGTACACCTGTCCCTCAGAAGGTTCCTGCATTTTTTCGTAGGCCAGGATAATTTTCAGTGTCGGGTGCTCCTGTTTGGCCTCTCCTCGGATCCAAGAGTGTTTTCAAAGGGTCTGTTGGTGGTTGCTTACTTGCATCATCAGATGATCACAGTATTCCCATACCTCAATGACCGATTGCTCCAAGGATCAGTCATGCCATGAGGTGTCATCTGCCATGCAAAAACACTTTCCCTGTTCTTAGATTTGGGCCTATAGATGAATGTGAAAAAATCCACACTGACCCCCATTCAGATCATACAATTTATAGGGCCATCCCTGGCTCTTTAGTAGCCAAGGCCTTCCTTCCCATGGGCAAGTTTGTAACATTATCAAAGCTTGTCAGAACTATTCAAAAGAGCCCTCAGACTTGAGTCAGAAACTTTCTTCAATTCCTCGATTACGTGGCAGCTTGTACCTTTGTGTCCGAACATATGAGGTTACATCTTTGCTATTTCTAGCAGTAGGGGCAACACGTTGGGGGCATGTGCCCCCCCAGATTGCTCAGTCATATGGTGGGCTGGGCCCCCTCCCTGTGGAGCAGCTGAGCCGATGAACTGTGCCAGGCAGAGAGAGGCAGGAGCAAAGGAACAGCTGGGAGCAGCATGGAGGAGCTGCTCCTTGCCAGGGGGTCGTAACTCAAGCTGTTCTGGGGTTGTGCCCCTCCGCCCCCGCATCAGCAGGCATGGATCATCTGTGCCTAGGGATGGCTCATCAGTTTACTCACCAAACAAACACATCCTAGACAAGCAAGTGTCACTTCTCCAGCAGGTAAAGCATTCCCTAGACTGGTGAAATCACAATGTAGGGGCAGGGGTTCCTTTTCTGCAACCAACACCAACGGTAACCATAACCATGGATGCTCTCACAGTACAGGGGAAATGATCACCCCAGGAAACCTCCCTCAATATCAATCTGCTGGAGCTCACAGCGGTCAGAAATGGGTGGCTTCATTTTCTGCCTCTCATCAGGCACAGATCCATGAGGGTCATGATGGACAACGTGGCCTGTGTGTTCTGTATCAGTCAGCATGGAGGAGGGAGATTCCCCTTCCCTCTGTGCTGAAGCAATAAGGTTATGGAACTGGTACATAAAACATCACATGGGAATTTTGCAATGTATTTTCCGGTCAGACAAAATGTCACGGCTGATGCTCTCAGCAGGTATTTTCCCCAAGACTACAAATGGGAGCTGAATCCCCAAGTTCTGGTCAGCATTTTTCAGATTTGAGGATTACCAGAAGTGGCCCATTTTGCAACAACTAGGAATAAAAAATGTCACATATTTTGTTCAAGGGGAAGGTTAGGTTTCTATTCCCTGGGAACACCTTCCTATTCCCTTGGAATGGGGAAGCTGTTTTATGCTTTTCCCCAGATGCTTTTGATCCTCAGAGTGGTGAACAAAATCATACAGGATGGGATCAGAGCCATTCTAATAGCCACAACATGGTTGAGGCAAGCATGGTTTCCTTATCTGTTCCACCTAGCTCTCTGTCCACCAATACATCTCCCAATCACTCCTCCATTCCTATCCCAGTTGACTGCTGCATCCCAGTCTGAGCCTTCTCTGCCTCAAGGTGTGGCTCCTCGATGGTTCGTGGGGCTAGAGTCATCCTGTTCTGCAGAAGTACAGTATATATTATTAAACAGCAGGAAAGATTCTACTAGAAATACTTCAGAAGTGGAGAAAATTTAGTCACTGGTGTGAACTCCAGGACACTGTCCAGCAATCTGGCCCACTTCTGCTTGTTGTGGAATACCTTTTTCAGTTCAAGAAAACAGGGCTGTCACTTAGTTCTCCCAAAATTCATCGGGCAGCTCTAACAGCTTTTTATACCATTATTGAAAAGTTCTCCCTGTTTTCTCACCCTGCAAATGTAAGGTTCATGAAAGGCCTGGGAAATTTCTTTCCACTGCTGAAAAGCCCTACCCCTGTTTGGGACTTTAATCTGATTCTTAAAAGTCTCAGGAAGCCTTCCTTTGAATGGGTAGTGATCTGCTGCTTATCAAATTTGTCTATGGAAACAGCCTTCCTAGTAACTATTACCTCAGCCCACAGAGTTGAAGAGATTGGGGCTTTAATGGCAGAACCTCCTTTCACAGTTTTCTACAAGGATAAGGTTTCCTTATGGCCACATTCCAGGTTTCTTCCTAAAATGTCTTCTGAATTTCATCTGAATCAGATCACTTACGTGACAGTTTTTTTTCTGAAACTGCACAAGTCCAACGTGGAGACTGTACTCCATACTCTAGATGTCAGAAGGGCATTATCCTTCTATCTATGTAGGACTAAATCATTCCTTAGATTGTACATTTCATTTGCAGACAGGTCAAAAGGCTCTGCAGTTTATACCCAAAGGTTATTAAAATGGATTTTGGAGTGTATTATAGCTTGCTACCAGCACTCTTCTCTCTCCCCCTCCCCCACCCCCCAACGGCTTGTCAGTTACTACACAGTCTTTGGTACGTTTCTTCTCCAGACACTGTGCTTTAGTCAGTGCCTCCAGATCTGAAGCAGCAATTGGCAATGCAGTTCTTTCCTCAGTAATGGACTTGACTCCGAAGCTCCCTGATGGGATACTGCTTGGGAGTCACCTGAAGTGGAGCACCCCTAGGGACACTACTCGAAGAAGAAAGAGAAAGTTACTCACCCTGTGCAGTATCTGTAGTTCTTCAGGATGTGTCCCCCTAGAGGTGGCTCCACTACCAGCCCTCTTTCCCCTATGCTTTGGAGTTTCCATTTGAGACTTGGCAGTGGAGAAGGAACTAAGGGTGGGTTGCCCGCGCAGCCTGATATAGTGTCAATGCAGGGCACAAGGATATCAACAGTGAATGAGCGGGCTGAACAGACACTACTAATGAAAATCTCCCATCAAAGGCTCATGGGCTCGACTCACGCCTGAAGCTGAGCACCCATAGGGACACACTATCTCGAAGAACTACAGTTACTGCACAGGGAGAGCAACCTCTCTTTTTTTTGGTTTTGGTTTCAACGTATTTTTTCCGAACATGGGATTCCAAAGGAAAAACTCTTAAAACCTGGGGAAAATAACGACATATATATATATGTCGTTATTTTCCCCAGGTTTTAAGAGTTTTTCCTTTGGAATCCCATGTTATATATATCCATGTTATATGTGTGTGTATATATATATATATATGTCTGTGTATGTTACATTTCACATCTTTATAACATAGCTGTTGACTTGATTAATTTAAATACAAATTATAATAAACTCTTCTTTTTAAAAATGTACAAAAATATGTTACCTAAGTAAAACCATATTATCTAGTTTCAGATTGGAGTCTTTTGACAGGAGACATTTTGACCATGCAAACACTATGTACATACTTAACTTTATGGGACTACTCACCTGATTAAAGTTAATCACGTGTGTGTATGCAGGATTGGAGACTTATTCTTACAACAGCTACTGAGAAACAGGGTTTATAAAGGAAACACTACCACAAAAGGATGTACTTTTAGTATTTTTCCATAAAGGTTTTCTCACTCTTACTGTCCTTGGCTCTCTGAGCACTCTGGCCTGATCCAGCAAAACATTTCAGTATGTGCATAAGTGTTCTGCTGGATCGGAGCCAGAGTGCTCAGCACCCTGCAGAAAAACCTCTGTAACAACAGCCTGTGAGAAATCTGCAGCTGAAATAAGTTTATTTAACAAAATTTGCTTTTCTCCATTGCCCGTTCGGTAAACTCATTTATTACTGTAAGCTGCTCCTGAATATTGAGGTGCTGGCATTGTTGGGGGTAGAGAAGCTGTGAAGAATATATGGTGGAAAATATACATGTAAAGATTTACATGAGGCTCATAAACAGAAAAACAAAAAATAGGTAAAATTTTGGGCATACCTGTCTTCAGAGTGACATTCATCTACAAGTGAGCTAACAGGTGCCTATATAAGCTCATTAACATTATTCGACATAATACGGCTTTATTCTCTATGTTATTTCAGACTCCAGTTATTGGGAGACGATATGATGAGCTACAGAGTTCTGCTGGCCGAGATGGTAAACCCCGGGCAATGGCTGTCACTCGAAGCACTTCCTCAACCTCCTCAGGTTCTAATTCCAATGTCCTCGTTCCTGTGAGCTGGAAAAGACCTCAGTATTCTCAGGTAGAATTCCCACTAAGTTCCTATAATGGAGCCCCCTATTCATTAAAATATGCCTGTGCATTGCTCCTGAATGTGACATTGTTTTGCACTATTGGATTTTGTTAGCTGCCAGCTAAAGTAAAAACATACAAAATATATTTATTTATTTATTGCTGTTGTTTAGCATATTGGAGATTGGGTGTAATGTAAAAACTTATGCATGTGCTTTATTTCAAGATCTTGAGTAGTCCCAGTGAAGTTATACACGTGTTTTAGTGCTTTACTAGTTTAGGGCCTAATGGCATGAATAGACCAGTTTTTAAATTTTTTTAAGTACGGAAAAAGTATTAGCTACTGCTTTTATCTATTTCCCTGTATGTATACTTGCTCTAAAATAATTCCTTTAACATCAAACCAGTGAGTCTCTGATCATAGTTTTTCCTAATAACATATCCCTCTAGTTTCCAACAGAATGGATAAAGAATGATGCTAAAATTAAAAATGTTTTTTCTAGAAAAGGACAAAGGAAAAGCTGGTACACGTCCTTACTCTGTGTGGCCAAGATGTGGGGCTGAGCAAAAACCCTTCAGTGAGTCTTGCTGCGTTGTCTGTTTCGTCTTTTATTATTTTTGTATCTTTAATTTTAAATATCACGAACTTCATCTCCCTGAATTTCAGAGGTGTTTTAATTTATTCCATGTCACAAAACCATCATAGTCGTTAGCACAATCTGGCACATGTTGCATTTCTCAGCACAAACGGCCCTCTCGCTTTTCGAGGCTGTGCTTCCAGAACAGGCTATGAAGCAGTTCGGTGGAGCGTTGTTGGATTGCTCGCACTATCACTGTCCAAGCTTTACCTGTTTTATGGATAGAACATTTTCGTCTCCAGTGCTGGCAGTCTCGCTCCTTTCTAGATTCAATTACAGAAAAAGCAGTGAAGATTAGCACCCTTATCATCTCATGAGATAATGATCCTAACATTACTCTTTAAGGAAATGAGTATTGTCTCATGCAGTGGAATGTATAGTGGACTATTCCAGTTTTCTTGGTTGATTGAGGGATTTTTTTCAATTTCAAAGATAAAGATTTGTATTTATTTTCTTTAAAATAATGCTTAAACATTTTAAAAGCAATATAAAAATCTTGAGGACTTTGTGATACATTATTACTATGCCACTCTTGCTATAATGTTGTGAACGTGTTCTCAGTTTGAACAAAACAGGAACCCACAGAATGAATTGTTCTGATCTAAACTGCAGACATTGTTCAGTGGGAAAGGAAAAGCTACCGCTGCACAAATTAGTCTGTGTTATGTTTCCTAATCTTGCCACATGCTTAAGCATGTTTAACTAGAGGTTTTCTGGTGAAAGTATTAACTCATCCCCTTGACAGTCCTTTCAGCAGTGAGCTCTTTGAATTTCATTCCCATAAATGTATCTAAACACTTAGGCAACATCAGTCTGCAGCCATTAGGAGGTAGCTGTTACATTCTTGGACATGTTCCTGCAGCATGAAGTTGTGTCTTTGTACAAGATTTAATCTCAAGGCACCTGTCCAACATAAATAGTAAAAGAGCGTGTTCTAAAAATACCAGCTAAAGGAATTAGGTGTGTACTGGAAATACAGTCTTCTGAATAACCAATTGAGCTTTTACTAACAAGCAACCAAAGGGGAAAGTTTCTCAAAAGAGAAATCTTTTGAATTGTAGGTAATTTTTTCTTCATGTGGTGATTTGGATCTGATTGAGCACCAGACAAGCTTGGTGTCTTCAGAAGACGGAACAAGGGAACAAGAGAACATGGACGATTCAAACAGTGAACAACAGTTCAGAGTCTTTAGGGACTTCGATTTCCTAGATGTTGAACTGGAAGATGGGGAGGTACAGTATATTCTCTATGAAATGGCTTTGCTTAAGTTTTATCTCTGGCTAAAACACAGTTTAACACTTCTTATTACTAAGTAATTCACTCTTTATAACATAAAAATGTAACTATATGACTCTAGATTTGATTTTCAATAAACGTATTTATAATGTTCACAGTGTTGTCACAGTAGCTTAACATTGGCAAGCTACCACACCCTTCCTGTCTGAACCCACTTTAATACACACTGCAAAATTACTACTGAAAGGCAAAGCTGCAGTCCTAATGGCAACACAAATATCAGGTTTCTGTAACTTTAAAGTGAAATTAAAAGCTTTGAAACACAAGTTGTTGAAGATCCCAAATTGTTAACAAAATATATCTGCAGCTTTTAAGAAATTACATTACAAAACAAAAAAGTTTAAAATCAGTTCTTTCATCAATAACTTGCCAAAACCTGAATTCAAGCCCTCAGGGTTCTGTTACTCCTGCAACAGTTGATGAAATCACTAACATTTGAGCACTTAAAAGGATGCAGTTTCTGCTCTGCCTTGGGCGTCAATGATTTCATGGCTCTTGCAGGAGCAAAACAGAACCCTGAGGCTTGAGATCAGGACTTGGCAGGTAAAGCCTGTCAGTTCACCTTTAATTACAAATTTAATCATGCTTCGGGGGAACTTCAATCAAATATACATTATACAGTTGAGGGATAAGGTTGTTCTATTCTTTATTTTGTTTTAGTTTTTTTAAACCATTTAACCCTTGAGCAAACTTGTGCCAACTGGGAATAATCCTTTCCACTTGAATGGGAAGGGACAAGAAATTCATACCCAATATTGTACATGTCTAACAATGTTGCTACCATTTAAAAATTCAGAAACTATTGGTCAACTATTTCCAAGTATTTAAAATGAAGATCTTTGGCCAGCCTGACAGTTCAGCTGGTAGCACATCTTGCTACCGCTGTGGAGACCCAGATTCAACATTAATAGCCTCGAGACAAAAGTGTGTGCAGCAGAGCTGACAAGCACCCTTGCTTGCACATTTCAAGCCGTATTACAAGCAGCAGTCATACTTCTCCATTGTGAACTCAGGTGTCATAATGCTTGTGATTACATTTTTTAATTGAGAGATAGAAGAGAGAATGAAGGGATGGAGCAGAAGTAGCGTTAGTGTGGGTTCATGCATTCAGTTGGACTCACAGAAATCATGAAACCAAGGGTGCAAAACCAACATACACTTTCCTTAGCCAGATAAGTAGAGGAGGCCCCAGGGGTGGTTGGACAATGAACACACCCCTCACTCATCCCACCAGTGGTATTTTCCGTCCCACAGTGCTGAGCCTGTCTCCCCACTCTGAATGTTGCGACCTGGTGCACAGGGTCACAGTGCCTCTCAGGGATGGCCAGGCCAAACCTAAATGGCACTGCACCTCCACACAACCCTCCCACACACACACACACACACACAATTTAATGTGATTGGCAGCCTCTGTTCAAAAGTGGCCCATAACTGGAAATGCAAAAGTGGTGGCATGCAAGGATTGAGGTGCATTGGCAGAGTAGTATGAGAAAGCTTTCACAGTGCCAGCCTGTAATATGGCTTCTTAAGCCAATACTGTTAGCCCTCACTTTCGTAAGCACAAAATTCACTTACAGCTTTTTAAAATAAAAATTCCAGGCCCCCAGCCAATTCTGCCATTATCTCTAGTGCTGTCCGTGCAGAAGATATCTTTTCCAATAGCATTTTACGTCTCAGTTCTTGAAATTATAGGGTCACTGTCCCTACCAGGCTTCACTCACCCTTACTGTTGTCATTCATGACAGGCATTTTCCTACATAATCATTTTCTCTAAAATGCGGTTATTTCAATTTCAGACCTCATTAGATAGAATGATAGGGGAAAGAAGCACCCGTATGATATGGCACTTCCCTCTTTGACCTCTTGGAGGAAAGCACTAATGTCTCACTGGCTGTAGCTATCTGACAAATAAAAGCAGCTCTTTCTTAACTATCTGAAATGAAGTCCTAGCATCATTAGTCAAGAATTTAACAATCCATCCATGCTGATCTCTGGAAGATAGAAAGAGTCAAACGTTAATTTAGTTCCCATTGAGTGGGAAAACAAAATCATCTGCAAGGTCCATTCATGGCTAAGCTAAATAGCTTGCACGAAAAATTTTAAATTAGTTCTGACTAGATCTACAAGATTAATTTTTGTCTGTGATTGTTACAATAGAGTTCAAAAGCTGTTAAAGATAATGATAAAGGACAAAATATTTATGTCAAATAACTTTGTGGAAAAAAAAAAAACACTGGCTGCAGTCATTACAAACACGTCTTTAAAAATGTATTCAAAATATTACAATGCAAGATAATTTTATTATAATTTGATCAATTATCAGATGATAAATTGGCATGAGAATCATGAAAGCAGGATTCCACCCACAGACTGAGATTTGAGAATTGCTGCTTCTTTCCCTTCAGCAGTTAAAACCAGATGGAGAAAAAAACTTCAGTATTGAGCCAGAGAGCAAAGATTAGAAATATAGACAAACCAGCAAACCAATTAGAAAATTGTTATTATTGCTATTAGTAGCACTGCTAAAGTAATGCTTACAGATCCAGAACCAGGTTGGCGCCTCATTGTGCAAGGTGCTGTGAAGTCCCTGCCCCAAAGAGTTGATAGTCTTAATCCCCAATCCTGCAAAGATTTAAGTATGTGCCTAACTTTAGGATTGAGGCCTAAATTAGTCAATATATGGATAGAAGGGTGAGGGGGATGGATGTAACATAAACTCAGCAGATTATGCATTGTTAAATTTTGGCAAACATTTTACAGTTCATAATAGTAATAATAATAATAATTAATAATTAATTAATGATAATATAAACATTCCCAACTCTCTACAAGAGATTAGTCCATGTTATTGAATAAATGCCATATCATCCCTGGAATCACATGAGCAGCTTCCCTTGAACCAGTGACCATACCAAACATGTAGCAATTACAAAGTCAGATACAAAAGTAGGAAAACTTAATAGGGTGTTTAGTTCATCCTGGAAAGGATTCTACTGTGGTTTTCCATATGTTTTGACCATCCCAGTATTGAACTACTAATGACAAAACTTGCTCCTAAACCTTAAAAAAAAAAATCAGTCTTATGGTACTTGTGGATCAAGTATCCAACATCTTTATTTTTACATAAAGTAAAATTAAAAATACAGATGTAAAAAAACCCTTCACTATTTGATAAACTGCTCCACATCTGGAACTTGTATATCAAGATTTAAGCAAGACTGGAGTTATTACTTTCAACTTTGAAAGCCTGAAAAGAGGGAATTATAATGGGAAAATATATTTATTTTTAACTATAGCAACATTATTAGGCAACCCAATAATATATTTCCTGTAATTGAACCCTCACATCATTGTGCAATTCAGTGTTTTAAACAAATACAAATAAAGGGCCAAATTCAGGCCTTGCATAAGAGGTGAGAACTATAGTGACTTCATTGGAACTTTACCCATTTACACCTAATCTAAATTTGGTGTTCATAAACATGAATAAAACAGTGTTGGAAAGCTCAGACTAGCACAAATGGAGACAGCTATTTTGGAAAGATTATATTATAAATCGGTCAGTGCTGGGTGCATTATGCACAGATCACAAGATATGATTGTTTGGTATTTAATAAAGATTTAAAAACCAATAACATAGTATTTTATTTGATTTTTATTTTTTACTTAACGGTAGCATTACAGAGCTAAAGTTTTTCTGATAGCGTTATTTATTACTGTAGGGCAAATGTTTAAGTATATGGTATTTTTAATACAGTAATTTTAAATAGATTTTTATTTGTTTTTCTATCTATTATATCTGCTATCCAGGAACTTCAGGTAAGATAATGCTATTTGAATTCAGATGTGCAAGTAGATGGTGTGCATTGTTGCAAATTTGTATTATAGAATAACACTGTAGGTTTTTTTCTCTTTCAGTTTGTGTGTGTGTGTGTGTGTATGTAAGTGGTGTTTCACCTGCTGCTTTGCCCTAGACATATTTTTAGGGCTCTAGAAAAATTGAGTTGAAAGTAATTCAACTATTTGGGGCTTAACTTCAAATATGTGTGGCTTTACATTATCAAAGAATATGTGATTTTAAAAATGGGGATTCTAGATTAAATCCCCTCATTTCTAATTTGAGTTGCAAAGTTGGACTCTTTTTCTTTTTCAATAACTGTGCACACAAGTAGTACACAGACACTAAAAAACAGGAAATATGTTTAGTTAATCTGTCACATTTATCTTGTTAAAATGTAGAAAAGTTTTTTGCTTTTGTAGCATTAAACTACTGATGACTTGACTCTTAACTTCCATGTTGAAATTAATAGGTACATTGGTTCTTCTTAGCATGCTGCGAAAACAGGTACATGTGACCTCTTTATAGAAAAGTTTTCAGTAGTCCACAGTTCCCCAGAGTTTTACTGACTATTTATGGCTCTGATCCTGAAAACATATGTGTGCTTACATTTAATCATGAGTAGTTCCAGTGAAGTCAATGGGACTAATGTGAGTAAAGTTAAGGATGCACATATGTGGTTTGCAGAGTTGGGGCCTAAGTTTTAAACCTTTAACTTTCTGTAGAAAATTGAAATGACACTGAAAGCTATTAAGAGATCATAGAAAATATTATTTGGAGAGCGAGAGAGCCTCATTCATCCTACAGCAGCAGTTCCTGTCTCACAGGATTGGGCCTGGCTCCCCATTCTGGGTGTTGTGACCTAATGTATGGGATCACAGCATCTCTCTGGTTTGGCCTGGCTGGACCCCTATCATGACAGAGAGGCAGCCAGGCCAAATTTGAATGAATGGCACTGTGTCCCCATGTGCCAGGTCAAACATCCAGAGCAGGAGCTGGGTCAAGCCGCCACTACAGAATAAGTATGGCGTAGGCTCGCTTTCCAACCCCCTTATGCCTCCTAGTGTCTCCCCTTTACACTAGATCTGCAACCCACTAGAACCTTCCCCACCATTTGGGAAACAGACACAAGCATATGGACACAAGCATATGGAAATACTGTGTTAACCTTAAATTACTAAAACATATCTAATCTACATGGACAACACTGTATCTATATACATTGCTATTTATGTGCAAAGTTAATGGAATCATGTTTTGCCAACACTGCCAGGGAAGCTCTTGTCTGCAACAAGCTTAGCACAATTCCTTCTGGCTTGATTGAGGATATATTCTGGTCTGCCTGGTAGAATTGCTTTTTATTTTATTTTTTTCCCCTAACCACAGCGGTCCCAGTTTCAGTCTGGTTTGTGGTAGTGTTTAGGATGGACACACAATGTGTTCAACCCCTGTCCCCCTACTGTATGATGCTAAGTGGTAGAGTATGCTGTCCTATCTGGCCATTGTTCAGGAGTCACAATGATCACATGAACTGATCTGTGTTTGTAACAAGTAGCTTTATGGAAAGCAGATGATAATTTCTACGTGCAGCAAAAGAGAAGTTAATAGCCGCTTAAGACCATCTTTCCTCCTCGTTAATTGTGATAACAAAATTATTTTTTGGTGCAAAAATAGTAATCTGTCTACGCGCTCCAGTCTGTCATGGAATTCAGTGTGAAATCTGTATTACCATTGGAAAGATCAGGCCCCACATAGAATCATAGAATCATAGAATATCAGGGTTGGAAGGGACCCCAGAAGGTCATCTAGTCCAACCCCCTGCTCAAAGCAGGACCAATTCCCAGTTAAATCATCCCAGCCAGGGCTTTGTCAAGCCTGACCTTAAAAACCTCTAAGGAAGGAGATTCTACCACCTCCCTAGGTAACGCATTCCAGTGTTTCACCACCCTCTTAGTGAAAAAGTTTTTCCTAATATCCAATCTAAACCTCCCCCACTGCAACTTGAGACCATTGCTCCTCGTTCTGTCATCTGCTACAATTGAGAACAGTCTAGAGCCATCCTCTTTGGAACCCCCTTTCAGGTAGTTGAAAGCAGCTATCAAATCCCCCCTCATTCTTCTCTTCTGCAGGCTAAACAATCCCAGCTCCCTCAGCCTCTCCTCATAACTCATGTGTTCCAGTCCCCTAATCATTTTTGTTGCCCTTCGCTGGACTCTCTCCAATTTATCCACATCCGTCTTGAAGTGTGGGGCCCAAAACTGGACACAGTACTCCAGATGAGGCCTCACCAATGTCGAATAGAGGGGAACGATCACGTCCCTCGATCTGCTCGCTATGCCCCTACTTATACATCCCAAAATGCCATTGGCCTTCTTGGCAACAAGGGCACACTGCTGACTCATATCCAGCTTCTCGTCCACTGTCACCCCTAGGTCCTTTTCCGCAGAACTGCTGCCTAGCCATTCGGTCCCTAGTCTGTAGCTGTGCATTGGGTTCTTCCGTCCTAAGTGCAGGACCCTGCACTTATCCTTATTGAACCTCATCAGATTTCTTTTGGCCCAATCCTCCAATTTGTCTAGGTCTTTCTGTATCCTATCCCTCCCCTCCAGCGTATCTACCACTCCTCCCAGTTTAGTATCATCCGCAAATTTGCTGAGAGTGCAATCCACACCATCCTCCAGATCATTTATGAAGATATTGAACAAAACCGGCCCCAGGACCGACCCTTGGGGTACTCCACTTGATACCGGCTGCCAACTAGATATGGAGCCATTGATCACTACCCGTTGAGCCCAACAATCTAGCCAGCTTTCTACCCACCTTGTAATGCATTCATCCAGCCCATACTTCCTTAACTTGCTGACAAGAATACTGTGGGAGACCGTGTCAAAAGCTTTGCTAAAGTCAAGAAACAATACATCCACTGCTTTCCCTTCATCCACAGAACCAGTAATCTCATCATAAAAGGCGATTAGATTAGTCAGGCATGACCTTCCCTTGGTGAATCCATGCTGGCTGTTCCTGATCACTTTCCTCTCATGCAAGTGCTTCAGGATTGATTCTTTGAGGACCTGCTCCATGATTTTTCCAGGGACTGAAGTGAGGCTGACTGGCCTGTAGTTCCCAGGATCCTCCTTCTTCCCTTTTTTAAAGATTGGCACTACATTAGCCTTTTTCCAGTCATCCGGGACTTCCCCGGTTCGCCACGAGTTTTCAAAGATAATGGCCAATGGCTCTGCAATCACAGCCGCCAGTTCCTTCAGCACTCTCGGATGCAACTCGTCTGGCCCCATGGACTTGTGGACATATTTTTGATGTGTACCTCACATCTCCTGCAAGCCTCCTCTCTTGTACTCTCTCCTCATTTTTAGTGTCTTCATCTTCATAATTTGTTTTCCTTTCTTTGATTTGTCCCATTTTCTCTCACCCTGTTTTTCCTGATTACATTTACTATATATTGCCCTTCTTTTTATCTCTCATTCATTTTGTTTTTCTTTTCTTCTTTTCATCTTTTCTTCTTTGAGAGATTCCAAAGAGGAGCAGCAGTGGAAATAAATTAGTGCCTCGTTTCTGTGGCACCAGCTGCAACGTAAAACTGCTGGATATTTCAGTGGCAGTTGGCATCATAAAGACAAGGGCATGACATTGGTCTATTTCTTGTTACCGGATACCTTGTGGAAGAAGAGCAACTGGTGCAGTTGTCCTGTAGCTTTCATGTTGGGGAAAAAAATAATTTTAACACAAATAAATAGTTTGAAATTATAAAATATTTTTTACAATTCAAGGAGACAAGTTTCCTTAAATGTTGGACATAATTTCTGTTCTTTTCCAACGACCAACCTATTATGTGTTCCCACTTCTATAATATGAAAGACACAATATTCTGCTATGTATGGCTTCATAATGGATTCATTGTCATTTTGCTGTTGATTGTAGTATATCCCTTAAGTCTACCAAATGTTTCAGTGGGCTGGGCTAGACTAGCATATATTTCTAGAGGTATTTTCTCTTTTCTGCATCTGTTTTAAGTTTTGCTCCATCTTTGTTCATGAGAGGTTAGCTTATCATTGTTATCCAGAGCTTTTTCTCTGAATATCTATATGCCAATGTTCTTTACACTAAAAGGCAGTGATTCAAAATGCTTATATATCTTTGCACAAATTCAGTGACTTATTTTAAAATAAACTTATACTTAATTCATTGCTGCTTATGCCTTTGGCCCTGATTTAGCAAGGTATTAAGCAAATGTCTAATTTTAATTATGTGAGAAGTCCTGTGAAAATCAATGGCATTGCTCATATGCCCAAAGTTAGGTGCATGCTGAACTGGGCCTTTTTCACCTATGAAAATTTATTATATTACTCAGGAGTATATTCTGGATGGGTGTGGGACTCTATAAAAATATAATATACTTCATGTGTAATATATATTTTTTCTTCCTGTTTATGATTTTAAGACAAAGATTTTTTTGCCAAATTTAAAAAATATATATTTAATTATTTCATATTTAAAGGATAATTGTTAACTTGAAGCTGATTCATTTTTAAAAATTCTGGTTTCTTGTAGAGCACCATTTTAAAAGTAGGTTTTATACTTACTTTTTCCCCCCTTTAATCCTTTTTCCTGTAATAGCTTTTTTTCTTATGTTGATGTCTTTATAAGAGTCTTTTTAGCAAGAGGGAAAATGATTAAGACCCCGAACCTGAAATTGGATCCAAATTGGATGACGCTTGGCCCTGTGCAGAGCCCCTTTGACCTCAATAGGCCTACTCATATGAGTAAAATTATGCATATGCTTAAATATCTGCAAGGACTTGGCCTTAACTTGCCCATAGAAGGGAATTAGTGAAACAGACTACACACAAAGTACTGTCAAATGCAAAAGTAAAGAAATGGGAAAAATAGTGTGAAATACTTTTTTCAGTAACTTTATTCATTTATAACAATCTTAGGTAGTGTTTGCCACTATTGTCTTAATCCTGCAAATACTTACCCATTGTGCTTTAACTCATATTTGCATAAGCGTGCATAGACTCAGAACCTTAAATAGGAAGAAAATATTCAGATACAAATTTGATTTTTAAGTTGACTTTGTCCCTTTTAAAAAGTGAAATATTGGTCCATACTAGTCAGCTTACTTCTGGGGGAAAAAATGTCCAGTTTATAAAGAAAAATCAATCAGAAGCCTAGAATAAAAGTTAAAAAGCTGTGCTGCTTTCGCCATTGCATTGTGCATGCAAAATTAGAGCTGCATTCAAATCTGCCTTAACTTTGCATTTCATTACTGTGGTTATGTACGTAGTACAGAGAATCTAAAATATTTAACATGTGATTCGCTATTGAAATATTACTATGAACATGTCTTGTATGATTGAGTCTAATGTTTTACAGTAACACTGGGGAGGGTAGAGGGGGGATCTTTTCAAGTTGCTTTAAAAATTTTATTTAACCTGTCACTGTTTCATTGACATTGAGATATGCATATATGTGCTCATGGAATTATAAAAGCAAATTTTTAAGCAGCAAAGCATGAAAAACACTTAGTATTCAAAATAATGAATATTAATGTAACTTTTATTTCCATCTTTATTACTCTTATGTCCAGGTGGAGGCTTAGAAAGTTTCAGTAGTTTCTGGTTACTTTATTGCTTAACAAAATTGTGATCATATAAGATCAGTACTATATTTTTATATCAAAAACATTCTTCTGCTAGATTAGAACAAATTATTAGTAATTTTGAGAATAATTGTATATAATATCATAGGAAACAAGTTGAGCCTGCATATGTTTTCAGGGTGAAAGTATGGACAATTTCAACTGGGGAGTGCGTAGACGTTCTTTAGATAGTCTGGACAAATGCGATATGCAGCTTCTGGAGGAAAGCCAGCTTTCAGGAAGTACACCCAGCCTAAATAAAAGGAACCATGAGGACTCCGATGAGTCATCAGAGGAGGAGGACCTAACAACAAGCCAAATATTGGAACATTCAGACCTAGTAAGTAGTTAATTTACCTTTTGTTAAGAATAGATAGATTTTTTTTAATAAAGTGATCTTTTAATTTCCTGTTGCCTAAATGCAAACTGATCAACTGGGATGCCAAATGTCATGTAACTGAGTGCTTTCTAATGGCTCACTTGTCCTTTAACTGAAAATGGAAAAGAATGTTGATGAAAGTACTAAACACAGGAAGTGTCAGATCTGATAAGTAGCACTTTATTCAGCAAGCTATTAGTTTTGCTTAAATGGCCAATGTTATATCCTTCAGATGTATAATGTTTATAAAATGTAGCAGGCATCCAATTTTGAAAAATTCACCTTTGGGATGTTTAAATATGAATAAAAAATTGAAAGATTATAAAATGAAAAGTATACAAGCTGAAACAAGCTAATCAACAGCCTTGGGAAGGTAGCATTAGCACAGTGTGTGCATTGCATTCATATATGAAATGGCAAAAAACTTTGTTAATGCAGAGATAAAGTTGCCTGGTGTAGCTCATGCCCTTCCAGAATGTCAAGTACAGCAAAACTCAAACTTCTGGAAAACCAGGAAATACAGAGATAATGTAAACACCAAAACAACCTTAACTCTGCCCTCCCCTTCCCCGTCACCACCGCCAGGACCTGGAGCTGGCAATAGTCACTGGGAATGATCTGCATGCATTCCATCTGCATTCACTGTGTTAAGTGTAGCTGTATTGAATGGTGGAGGAGTAAACTGGAGTAGCTTAGAAGATCTCTGACTGTGATATGAGGATATCTAGGTCTGAGTCCTCCCACCCCACCCAAGTGTGTTATCAAAGGAAAGAAGTGCACATGTATCTTGAGGTTCAGTCTGCATCATTTCAGTATAGAGTTGTGTATGTTGTGTCAGCAGCAGGGCACAGGGATCTTCTTGAGATAGGTATTGTCAGTAGTGAGGTCGGATCAGAGAGCAGTCTGTGGATTTAATAATAGGGGTATAGGTTGAGATGGTATCAAGTGCGCAAGTGTAAAGGGTTTGTAAAAGGATATGAAGTTGTTACATTTTACAAGTGTGATATTCTGTTGGGGGAGCCGGCTTAGTGCTTAAATGTAGGGCAAGTGCAAGTAGCGCCTGTCCATTACACTGAAAAGACAGAGTGCGAACGTGTGCATTATGGGTGTATTGGGCATCGCTCAAAGAGGAAGAGTTACAGTTGTGTTGATGTTTACCTGAACCCTGTATTCCTTGGTTTTCAGAAGTATGAGTTTTGCTTAACTCAGGGTTTTGGAAGGGCACAAGCTGTCACCAACAGCCTTAACTTTGGGTGTATCTACATTTCAACACTACGGTGGCACAGCTACAACACTGCAGCTGCATCACTACAGCACTTCAGTGTAGACACTCAGTGCAGCAATGGAAGGGGTTTGTCACAGCCGGGTCTTGGGCTGCCAGACTAGTGATCAGTGCCAGAGTCCACACCCATGAGACAAGAGTCAGCAAGGTCAGGATATAAGGAGATCAGAAGGAGACAAACTGGAGATCAGAACCATGAATCAGATGCTAGGAGTCAAGCGAGGTCAGGATGCCAGGAAATCGAGCTGGGGGAGCAGGAGCAAGAAGCACAAGACTCATAGTCCAGGGCAGAGTGGACCCAGTTGTTCAGATAGCTTTCTTTTCCTGCTTTAAGTAGGACCAGCAGGCTAATCAGCAGCTCTGGGACTCCACCAATGGGCCCTCAGGGATGGAACCTCAAGCTGGAGCTGGGCTTCATGGATCCTAGGGAAGCAGTTGTCAGCAGGCTGCCAGGAGGAGTGTTGGAGCGGGACTGCTCCCATGAACCTGAGTCATGACAGAATTCTTCCATTGCTATAGTTAATATACCTCCCCAAGAAGCAGTAGCTAGATCAACAGAAGAACTCTTCCATCAACCTCATGCTGTATACTCCAGGGGTTAGGTCAGCTTAATTACATCGCTGAAGGGTGTGGATTTTTCATACCCCTGAGAGATGTAGCTATGCTGATGTAAGTTTTCAGTGTAGACCAAGCCTCTGTGTTAACAGTTTTTTGCCATTTAATTTCCTAGTTTTTTAAACAGAAAGAGAAATGTTTGTTGGTAGAAGTTAGTGGTCATTTAGACGGTTGTAGTTCTCACCTAGGTTTGCAGCTGAAAGGCTACTGTGGCTAGGTAATAATCAAAAAAAGTGCTTCTGTATAGAGCTTTTCATCAGTAGATCTGAAAGAACTTTACATCATTGTCCACATTTTACACAGAGGAAACTGAGGCACAGAGTGATGAAGTGACTTGCACAAGGTCACCCAGCAGGCCAGTGGCAGAGCCAGGAATAGGCCCAGCCTAGAGGTCTTTCTACTAGGATATACAGTTGCTGTGTGATTCCTCTGTGCTCCTTCCCTCATCCCCCATATATTTTGTTATAGTGGAGTGGGGATAATGGTCATGCTTTGAAATGCGTAGCTGCTAACAGAGCCAGTGAGGCAAATCTCATCCATGGTCTGTGTCCCAAAACCTTGAGAGTTTTATTACATGGTTGTTACAGTAACTTTAAGCATGTGAGAGAATACTGGTGTGTCTCTCCTTCTCAACCCCTGCCCCCACCAATCCCTGCAACATTTCCAGATGCCCTCTCCTGTTCCCATCTAATTAAGCCAATTTCCTCTGCTACCCCTCATGTTCTCCAACCCTTCCCATCTTCTCCCCTCCCACATCCCCTAATTTTCACCCCTCCCTCTTACCTGAGCCCCCCAACCACTCTTCTCTCCCCTGCCACCAATTCCCATTTATACCTTATGCCTAATATCCTCCCTGACCAAAACAACTCTGCCCTATTCCCACCTACTCTTACACCCCTAATCGTCTTGCCCCTCCCTTTCAGACTTCAAAGTGGCCCATTCATCTCAAGGAGATGTTTTCAGCTGAAAGAGAATACAGCCTGAAACAATAGCTCTGAGACCTGTGAACTGCTCCATTCCAGTCAGTGAGCATTCCCTTCCTTCTTCCCAAGGGTTGGAGCATTTCTGATATGTGTCAGCAAGCATACACGTTCTCAGCTCCTCACCCCGGCCTCAGCACTATGTCCCTACTGCATGCTCCAAGTATGCCTGTTCTAAGCGCCCCACCCAGAGTGGCAGGGCTTCTCCAGATCACAGATCACACGGGGAGGGGACAGAGAGGAAGAGGGACTCAGATACCCCAGATCCTGGCTCATACACAGAAGGGGAGAATGTGGGGTGGACAGACCCCCAGCCCTCTTGCCACTCACCCCAGTGTGTCCCTCTCCCTCACCTGAGCCCCCCAACCCTTCTTCCCCCTTACTACCCATCCCCATTTATCCTCCTCCCCTCAATGCAGTCCTAACCCCTCTCACTCCTATTTCCCCCACCCATTCCTCTACCCCATGAAATGCAAGCAAACATTCACATATCTCCTTTTTATGAAAATATGAATACATATGAAGATGAATACAAAACATATGAATTATATTCCCCTCAAATTAAAAAGAAAAATCTGACAGCACCCATCCATACTTTTCCAAATTTCTGCCCAAGGTGGGACTTGATCTGACAGTGGCTGGCTGGCTTAGAGTCCAAGGACTATTGCTTATCCCCGTGAACTGCCCAGGAACTTTAAAGGTTAACAATCCTGTTAAATCCTCTTTCCCCACATGCTCTGTGTAATTTCTTTAGCATATCAGTGTGCAAGGTTTGCAATGCGCTAAACAGGAGCTAAAAAATCTTTTTGAAATAACCTTTTAATTTGAGTTCACCCCAAAGTGCTACGCATTCTGTTGGGATAACCCTTGAGTATTGGACACCTTTGTGGGATGATCTGAGCCTTGGTTTGATCTCTGTCTGTGAGCAAAAAAAGGTTAGCAGAATCTCTCAACTCTTAGCAATGCTGTTTTTTTTCCAGAAGCTGTATCCTGAAATCCTTTGGTCAAATGGCCCCAAGTTTGGTCCATTAACAAAACCCCATGCTCCCATGAGGCACACCAAATTTCAGTTTGCATTCTGAGTGACCATGTAGATTTTAGAGCACTTAGAGTCAAGCTTTAACCAGAAACCTGGTCTTAACCTTAACTGTAGCAGGGCTGTCACCTTGGTATAATAAAAAGGCATGTGATAGAGGAGCTTCACAACTGGTTCTATTATTATTTATTATTATTCTTTTTAACAGATTATGACTCTTTCCCCTTCTGAGGATACAATTCACACGGACTCTCTTTCTACATCATGTGATACAACCTCAGCTGACCCGCATCATTTTAATACAAGAACATCTAGCTTTGAAGTGTCTTTGCCCAACATGAGTAATCACCAGTTGTCTGAGGGGTCTAAGGTGAAGGAGTTTTGAGAACTTTCTGATTATACTTTTCCGTAAATGAACTTTTTTTTAAAAATAGCTTATTTTTAAAATGAGGGGTTTGAATGCAGGGGCAAATATGTTTTCTCTTCCCCTAGTAGTATAGAGTGTTTGTATGTTTTATATATATCTATATATAGGTATATTTTCACACACTCTTGTGTGAGCCAGACACTTCTTTTTTTTTTTTTTAAACATTTGTCTCTTTCTATTTTGGTCTTTTTAAATTAAGTATTTTGCATAGTATGAATGCCACTAACTAATGGCAAGATAAATATATGAGTCTCTGAAGCTGCAATGCTTGAGAAATACTCCTAATGTTCTTAATGCTGATTTTTATAGGATGATATGCTAACTGGGAGTGTGGGTGTATGCATGTATTTGTGAGATTTTTTTGTATGTGGGAACCTATTGTGCAGTTGTGTGCATTGGATTCAATTCTTGCCTTTTGGCATATTATCAGAATGTTAAATGCCTAATTGCAGTATTATGTTAGATTTGCAAAACACTGTTCCATACAGCTGTCTGAAGTGAACCATGCCTGCAGACACAATTCTGTCATTATGAAAGGTTGGTAAAAGATTATCAATGTGTGTGTGTGGTGAGGGGGTGGTTAATTCTCTTTCTTTTTGGTAATACTTTCATAACAGTATATCAGCTGAACCTTACCCTTTCCTCCCTCCCTCCCACAATACAAAAGAAAAGAAAGAACAGGTGATACACATAATCTCAGATTACTCTAATATGTTTGTTGTATAATTAGGACATAATAGGGTTACCAGTCAGGCTGTTGTGGCTGAGTTGGGTACTTTTCACATAACAGGAAAATAAAAGAATGAGGCAAGGCAAGAAAATAAATGAGAGTGTGTTATTGAGTGGGCAGGGGTTGATAACATTTTATTTCAAGTAGCTCTGGTCAAAGAGATTCTGTTGCAGGCTACAATTACTGCCTGCTTGATACCAGTGTTTAAGGGTCCTTTTAATAGTTATTGATCTGTAAATTAAACTCATAGACCACTATTCATGGATGTTATATGCTACTTATATGCCTAATTTAAAAAACAGTATCATGAAAATTCATGTAATGTCCCTATCCTCATACTGACATGTTTGGTACAAAGTTGAATGCATGCGATCTGTAAAGGAGTAGAGAATGAAAACACATGATGAGCTGTTTGTAAAACTGATACACAGATTAGGTTAGTCCCACAACAGGTTTAACATTTATGAAATGCATAACCCAAGTTGATAGGGACCTTTCCACAGACAAGGTGGGTGAGATAGTATCTTTTATTGGACCAACTTCTGTTGGTGAGAGAAAAAAGCTGTTGAGCCACACAGAGCTCTTCCTCATGTCTGGAAAAGAGCTGTGTGTGACTCAAAAGCTTATCTCATCCAGTCTTTCATTACAAAAGCTTTAAACTTGCAGCTAAATAATTTCACGTAGTCTAGTAAAAGCAAAGCTCTACTCCCCCCTGGTTTCTTTATTCCTATATTTCCTACTAGCAGGTTGGCAATGCAGAGGAGGAATTGTTGCTTTTTATATAGTGCCAAAATTTGTACTAGGCACTTCACAGGCAACCATGTCAGTTTTAGACACAATGCAAGGAGTGACAGCAACAAACAATGAGTGTAGATAGGGGAAAGGGAAACCTTTCCAAACCTATGTCTCTTTTTAAAGGTTCTTCTTAAGCATTCCTGTGCCAAAAAGTATCTGCCAATGTATAGTCAGTTTTTCAACCACAGAAGGTAAAGCAAGTACCAAAGATAAGAACTAGATGGTACCATTTTAAACCTGAAAAGAAATTAAGTGACTTTGTCACGTCTTTAAGGGCAAAGATTGCAACAATTAGTAGATTATTAATAGGAATTAGGACTACTGATGGGAAAACCTAAAAGGGAGTCAGATCTATCTATCTCTGGTATTTTCAGAGTGGCTCCTATTACTGTAATATCTAACCCTCTCATATTCTGAAAGCATATTAAAACATAACTAAACCTTTGGAGGTTACTTCTCTTTTACATCCCAGCTTTTTCTTTATATCACTTCCTTTCTTCCTCCTAACTCAGCTAGAGCTTTATCTCTTCTGATAAGAACACTGACATTGCCATAACCAGAACAAACCGATGATCCATGTATCTGATATTCCATATTTCAAAGAGGCTAATGCAGTTGCTAAAACAAAGGAAGGTATAGCATGAATATAGTACTTCTAATTGTGCAGTACTTGACCCCCCTATTATCTCCTATTCCTGCAGTCTAACCAGATAACCTTCATTTCTCTCTTCAACGCCTACACACACACTCCTGTCCCTTCCAATACAAACTGTTTTTTCTCAGAACTCAGGATATCTGGAATCTTTTGTAGGGCTGAGCAAGTGTGGTAATCTATGAAGGGCCAACTGTTTTAAGGAAATTAGTTAGGGAAGTGGATTGGAATGAAGAACTTATAGATTTAAAGGTGGAGGAGGCCTGGAATTACTTCAAGTCAAGGTTGCAGAAACTATCAGAAGCCTGCATCCGAAGAAAGGGGAACAAACTCATAGGCAGGAGTTGTAGACCACCCTGGATGAGCAAGCATCTCAGAGAGGTGATTAAGAAAAAGCAGAAAGCCTACAAGGAGTGGAAGATGGGAGGGATCAGCAAGGAAAGCTACCTTATTGAGGTCAGAACATGTAGGGATAAAGTGAGACAGGCTAAAAGTCAAGTAGAGTTGGACCTTGCAAAGGGAATTAAAACCAATAGTAAAAGGTTCTATAGCCATATAAATAAGAAAACAAAGAAAGAAGAAGTGGGACCGCTAAACACTGAGGATGGAGTGGAGGTTAAGGATAATTTAGGCATGGCCCAATATCTAAACAAATACTTTGCCTCAGTCTTTAATGAGGTGCTTAGGAACAATGGTAGGACGACAAATGGGAATGAGGATATGGAGGTAGATATTACCACATCCGAGGTAGAAGCCAAACTTGAACACCTTAATGGGACTAAATCGGGGGGCCCAGATAATCTTCATCCAAGAATATTAAAGCAACTGGCACATGAAATTGCAAACCCATTAGCAAGAATTTTTAATGAATCTGTAAACTCAGGAGTTGTACTGTATCACTGGAGAATTGCTAACATAGTTCCTATTTTTAAGAAAGGTTAAAAAAAGCGATCCGGGAAACTACAGGCCTGTTAGTTCGACATCTGTAGTATGCAACGTCTTGGAAAAAATGTTGAAGGAGAAAGTAGTTAAGGATATTGAGGTCAGTGGTAATTGGGACAAAATACAACATGGTTTTACAAAAGGTAAATCCTTCTTTAAGAAGGTAACAGATTTTTTTAGACAAAGGAAACACAGTGGATCTCATTTACCTTGATTTCAGTAAGGCATTTGATACGGTTCCACATGGGGAAATATTAGCTAAATTGGAAAGATAGGGATCAATATGAAAATTGAAAGGTGGATAAGGAACTGGTTAAAGGGGAGACTACAATGGGTCATACTCAAAGGTGAACTGGAAGGAGGTTACTAGTGGAGTTCCTCAGGGATCGGTCTGGGACCAATCTTATTTAATCGTTTTATTACTGACCTTGGAACAAAAAGTGGGAGTGTGCTAATAAAGTTTGTGGATGACACGAAGCTGGGAAGTATTGCCACTACAGAGAGGGACCGGGATATCATACAGGAAGATCTGGATGACCTTGTAAACTGGAGTAATAGTAATAAGATGAAATTTAATAGTGAAAAGTGTAAGGTCATGCATTTAGGGATTAATAATAAGAATTTTTGTTATAAACTGGGGACGCATCACTTGGAAGTAACAGAGGAGGAGGAGAAGGACCTCGGAGTATTGGTTGATCACAGGATGATTATGAGCCGCCAATGTGATATGGCCATGAAAAAAGCTAATGCAGTCTTGGGATGCATCAGGCGAGGTATTTCCAGTAGAGATAAGGAGATGTTAGTACTGTTATACAAGGCACTGGTGAGACCTCATCCAGAATATTGTGTGCAGTTCTAGTCTCCCATGTTTAAGGAGGATGAATTCAAACTGGAACAGGTACAGAGAAGGACTACTAGGATGATCCGAGGAATGGAAAATCTGTCTTATGAAAGGAGACTCCATGAGCTTGGCTTGTTTAGCCTAACCAAAAGAAAGCTGAGGGGAGATATGATTGCTCCCTATAAATATATCAGAGGGATAAATACCAGGGAGAGAGAGGAATTATTTAAGCTCAGTACCAATGTGGACACAAGAACAAATGGATATAAACTGGCCATCAGGAAGTTTAGACTTGAAATTAGACGAAGGTTTCTAACCATCAGAGGAGTGAAGTTCTGGAATAGCCTTCCAAGGGGAGCAGTGGAGGCAAAAGACATATCTGGCAGAATAACAAAAAACTAGAGAGAACTGGGGCTGAGCTGAACTTTGTTCAGGTTTAAGAATTGGACAGGAAAGAAAAGCCTCGGGAATATAAGGAGGTTAGATCTGGGATAGGGATCACTCAGAAAGCCAGTTGTGTTCTGAGAGATGGGAAAGGAACACAGGAGGTTTCAAAGTACAAAAAGAGGCTGTTGCATTTCCAAAATGGTGGGCGCACAATCCCTATATTCACTTTTTAAAGTGCTTTGGAGCCTTTCTGAATGAAAGTCATTCTGTAAACATAGGCACAAGACATGCTGATGAAGTTTCTTTAAAAACATCTTGATTAAGGGAATGGATTGTACAAATATATAGTTTCTGATCAAGAGTAATTTAATTTTAGTCTTTTTCATTTTCACTTTATATTTCTCTTGCTTAACAAATATTGTTAAATATACATTTTTTACATATTGGCTTGTCTGCTTATGAGTCAAAATGATACATTTTAAATTTGCTGTTTCCTCTAAAACGTTATTGCTGTCGTTTTGGTTTCTCAGGCCGAAGCTGCACATGAAGAGGAAGATACAACAGTACATGAAGATGACCTTTCTGGGTCTACAAATGAACTCCCAGCAGCATTTGAATGCAGTGATAGCCTTAGCCTGGATATGACAGAGACTGAAGAAAAAGGGGACAGATTGTTGGAGCAGTTTGCTCTTGCCAGGTACTGGTATACTTGGTAGGGTATAAAGTTCTTCCACAACACATACTAAAGATGTAGCCATGTAATTAATTTCTTAATATGTCCTTATAAAGAATATATCCCCACTTGCTATGTTGGCCACAACTGGAATAAAACTCATTGGAATTGAGGACTGTGGAGAGGACAACTCCGAAAAATATGTGTCTTCTCAACCAAATTTATCAACACTTGAAAAACAGGGCAAGACATTCCTCATAGCAGAAATTGTATAAGATTTGTGCATCCATCTGTACAGTTACATTGATCATGTGCATAGTACATTTCACCAAAAAAAACCCAAAAACATATGGCTTGTATGATTAACATTCAAGAGTCAGATCATCCATGAAATCTCACCCCTTGTGTCTCAGGCGATAGGGGGTGCAAGGATGTCATAACTCTCACCTTTTCATTCCTCCAATCCTGTGAGTGCTGTGCGCAGGGATCGTCCCTCAGCATACATTGGAACAACTTGAGGTTCTGGTACATACACACTGCAGCCTTTCTGAGCCATGTCTCCCACAGTTCTGCTACACTTGGGCTGCTCTTCTCTCTCTGCAGCTTCCAGTGGCAGTTTGAAGCTGCAGTGTGGCTTGTGCTGGCCATGCCCCTTTCTCCCGCTTGCCGCCAGATCCTCTGCCTCCATGGCAGCAGATAGTGATAGTTCACTTCACTCCCATCTCTTTTCTTTCACCTTCATTGTTCTGGCAGTTTTTTGAGCAGTTCGAGCATTTTGTTTTGTTTGCTTCAAGCACGATGGTTACAGCCACCTGAAGCCTCCACTCTGGCGGCTCCCTGCTGAGCTCCTCTACCTGTGTCAGGCATGGCAGAGCAGCCATGCAAGCACAGGGCAAAATCCAAGTGATGCTCTATAAGCAAGGCAGCACTTTCAGGCTCAGCAAAAAAGCGAATTTTGTCCAGCCCGTTCCCAATCAGCTGACCCTACCTCTGCTAGGGCACAGGGTACTGAGTTGGGCAGGCCAGTTGGGTTCCCTAGCACCCAAGAAGCTATGACTTCATCATGAAAGAACCCAGCCAGGAGAGACGGAGCAGAACAGACAGAGGCTCTAAGGAGAAGGAGGACTTTATCCATCCTGCCCAAGGGGTAAGTCCAGGGGTAAACAGGAACGATAAGAACCCTACCCCACAAGTCCTGACCTAGGTCTTAGATTCCTTGGAGAGAGATGCCGGACTCATAAATAGCCTCTCACCCTCCCGGTCCAGATCAGGGAACTCCAGTAATGGGACCCCCATCTCCGACCCAGTGGGAGTGGGACTCTGACCGGGAAGACTCTGATAGAAAACTCTAGAAAGCTTTGGGCTCTGTGTAAGGCAAGCTGCAAGAGACTGCGTTCTGGCCATCCCTGGGTAGCCATGCCCACAAAGTGTGCCAATAAGTCAAAAAGTCAAGAAAAGAACAAAAAGGGAAAGAAAAAGTACAAAAAATCCAGAAGACACTCAGCCTCCTCCTCCTCTGCCAAGGAATGAGCGTTTCCAGGCTCTGAATGTGAGCACGATTTGGAGAAAATGCAACAACAAAAAATTTTCTCCCAAGAGGTCTGAGGCCATATGCAAAAAGATTGTGTCTACCACAGATCCAACCTGAAGAGGCTCCTGAGGACAACCCAAAGTAAATACTTCCCTTCAGAATTCTCCCTCAAGGCTACAATTCCCCTGCACTTCGCCTTTGAGGATGCGATTAAAGAGTGAGGAAAACCCGACACGACAAGCACATTAATAGATATGGTCTTATATTTTACAATAAGGATTTTACAAGCTATAGGAGCCAAAAAATTGTGTAGCTGAGGTTCCAGAGTTGGATGCTGCAGTAGCATCCTTAGCAGGAGATATGTTTATTCTGGCTGAAGGGCAATTCTTTCCTAAGGACCCCACAGATAGGAAAGTGGAGACCACTCTTCAAAAGAGACTTCAAGGCATCCTCAGCCCCTCTCAGATCATCTCTCGTATCCACATGGTTTGCAAGAGCTTCACAGTCCTGAGTGGAAGACCTCAGGGCCCTGAAGGTCAGGGATCATCCCAACTTCTGCTCTCTTCTCAAGAAAATCACCCTGGCAACAGCATTTGTGGCTGATGTTTCAATGGATGCAATGAGGTTTTCAGCCAAGACTGTGGCATCCAGCTCAGTGGCCAGGCAACATGTCTGGCTCCATCCTTGGAGGGTAGACACTCTGAGCAAGTCTTGTGTCCCTCCAAGTTCATAGGATCTCTCCTCTTTGGAGAAAAATTAGATAAGACTGTGACAGAAAATATAAGCAGTCCCTCCCTTCTCCATTGAGTACCTTCAGGAGGGAATACAAACATGCCTTCAGATAGCGGCTCTCCTTTCATTCTTCTCCCTCACTGAAGTACCAGAGGAAGCATAGCAGATACACCAAGGGAAAGTCCTGGTGCCAGAGTTCAAGCAGAAAGCCCAGAGGTTGGCCTGCAACCCTCAAAAGCCCATCCTAACAATAAGCAGATATGCCTCAGCCCGGAACAGAATCTAGGAAGCAGAATTTCCTACTTCTCAGAAGAATGGTTTGTATCAACCACAGATAAGTGGTAAAAGAGACAGTAAGTCAGGGATATTCGCTTGAGCTATGAGCTCCTCCCTCCCACCTCCCCATCTCCACCATTCCCATCAAGCACAAATTGATCCATAACTAAATCTCCCATCTCCTAGATGTAGGAGCTATGGAAGTTGCTCCCTCAAAAGAAAAGTTCTTAGGGTTCTACTCTTCATCGTTCAGAAGCATAGAGTTCATACTCTACAGGCTTCTTCATTGTTCAGAAGCATACTGGAGGAGTCAGAGCCATTCTAAAAAATATCAAAAGGCTCAACAAATGGATGACAAAAACAAAATTCCTGATGGAGACCCTAGTTTCTGTGGTGACATCCCCGTGTCATGGGGATTTCCCAACTTCGTAGATCTGGTGGACAAATGTCTTCGTATCCCCATCCACCTGTGCCACCACAGACTTCTGAGATTTGCTTATGGCACAAAGCAATACCAGTAACTAACCCTCCCATTCAGTCTCTCATCATCCCTAAAGGTCTTTACGAAGATGCTGGTTGTCAGAGCCAGGCTCAGGTCACAAGGGACTCATCTATACCCCTGTCTGGATGATATTCTAATGAGAAATCTGACCCAACCTACAGCATGTGATGCAAACTCTGGACCTCCTGCAAGCCCACAACTTTGTAACAGACATCAAGAAAAGTTCCTTGATCCCATCGGTAAGGATACCCACCTGGGAGTGGACAGAGACAGCTCAGTGGCAAAGATCTACCAATCACTCAGCAGGTTCCAGAAGATCCAGGAACTCATCTCTGTCCTGCACAAGTGCACCAAATGAACCATAGCTCAGTGCTTCCATCTACTGAACCTCCTGGTATCATGCACAGGGGTCACTCAGGTGGCCACAAGGCCTGCTATATGCATTCCCGCCCTTTCCTGGTAGGGAAAGTAATCCAAAAGATAAAATGGTGAATAAGTGAAGGTGATTGTAATAGCTCCGAACTGGCTAAGGAGATTCTGCAATCTGATAGAGCTGAAACTGGAATCAACATGACAGCTGCCACCCAGACTGGACATTCTTTTCCAAGGCCCTTTTCTCCAACCAGACCATCTTCAATTGTCGGCCTGCACTGTTGCTGGAAGGAAAGCATAAACCATACTAGGCCTATCTTCCAAGTTGATCAGGATTTTATTTGCGTCCAGGAGAGTTTCCACAATAAAAGTCTATTCTTCCATCTGGACCAAGTTCAACCTTTGGTGCCAAGAGAGCAATGCTAATTCAAGAGATCCTTGAAATCTTGAAGAAAGTCTAGGATTAGTTAAAAAGTGTGGATAAAGATCGTCAGCCCAGCAGCATAGTACACTAAGTATTAGCCATTAGTAGAGTTCTAACTGCAGGATCCTCTGGCTTTTTGGCACAGAATCCCCAGATAGCTAGATTTCTCAGAGCAGTCAGGCTTTCAGGAGAGCACAGGGACTGTTTTCTCCATGTACATGCACCATTCCCCAGGGGGAATGTCCAGGAGACAGTATTTTAGCACCTCCTAAAGTAGGGGTAGCTCATTCCCCTATTGCACCATGTTGTTCCAGGAAGAATTCTTCCTCCCTGAGATAGAATTCTTCTGAGAGCTCCCCTTGGGACAATGCATCTCCACCCTCCACCTGACACAGCAGGAAAACCCTTTCAAAACTTACTACACATGTACACAGTGCAGTTTTCCATGGGTCATACTCAAGTTATGTCAAAACCAATTTCCCCTGAAAGCAAAAGGTCCTTCTCCTCAATTGGGTCTATTTCTCTGCCAAATTCTCACTTTCTTCCTCCAACCTTATGAACCGTAAAGCTACTCAGAACATATTTGTGGAGGGTGGGGCAAGGGGGAGAACAATGAGGAAAGTATGTTTATTTTTACTCTCTTGCTACTCAAAAACAGCTATACAATATTTGATCAAACTTTCCAAAATGTTAACTTTTGAGCAGAAACCAAGTATGGAAAATATCAGCCCAGTAGGTGATAATTTCAGAAAGTTCTGTGCAACTGAAAATAAGGATTTTGTAACCTTAATTATATAGAGAGACCAGCTTTAATATATTGTAGATAATTGTGCATATGTTACTAAGACAACATTTTCTTATACCAGTAGTGTGTATTGCAGATGCTTAAGCTCAACCTTTTGAATGTATTCAATACACAAAAAGAAAAAGAAAGTTAAAATTAAAGTAAATAAAAATTAATAATTGAAAAATACTTAACTTTTTTCCCTTAAAAATATGTTTTACAATTATGGGTGGGCATTCTGATTTAGAGGTATTGAGTTATACTCTCACATCTCGCCAGTCTCAAGCAGTAATTACCAAGATTCTAGTTACGATAGGAAGATAGTGGTATTTAGTATGTAGTGGTATGCAGTGGTATTTAGATTACATCAGTTTATTGCAGCATGCTAAGACAATAAGCATCTTATCTACAGCATCTTTTGGATGTATTTGCATTATAGAGTGAGATGGTTTATTTTTCTCTTCTCCTCTAGTTTTGGTGAAGGTGACAGAAATGCCTCCCCTCCTCCTTCACCGTTCTTTTCTGCCATCCTTGCTGCATTTCAGCCCACTGCATGTGATGATGCAGAAGAAGCCTGGCGTAGTCATATCAACCAGCTCATGTGCGATTCTGATGGGTCCTGCGCAGTTTATACATTTCATGTGTTCTCCTCTCTGTTTAAGGTAAGAGAATAGATCTGGAACTCTAAAACAATACCTTTAGGTGAGCACATAGACACACACACACCCCTCCATACATTCTTAAATAGTAGTAGTAATGAATTACTTATTATGTTGTCAGGTTTCAGAGTGGTAGCTGTGTTAGTCTGTATCAGCAAAAAGAACAAGGAGTACTTGTGGCACCTTGGAGACTAACAAATTTATTTGAGCATAAGCTTTTGTGGGCTAAAGCCCACTTCATCAGATGCATGCAGTGGAAAATACAGTAGGAAGATATGTATATATACAGAGAATATGAAAAAATGGTGGTTGCCATACCAACTCTAACGAGACTAATCGATTAAGGTGGGCTATTAAGCCCAGCAGGAGAAAAAAAACTTTTGTAGTGATAATCAGGATGGCCCATTTCAAACAGTTGACAAGAAGGTATGAGTAACCATAGGGGGAAAATTAGCATGGAGAAATAGTTTTCAGTTTGTGTAATGACTCATCCACTCCCAGTCTTTATTCAAGCCTAATTTAATGGTGTACAGTTTGCAAATTAATTCCAGTTCTGCAGTTTCTCATTGGAGTCTGTTTTCGAAGTTTTTTTTGTTGAATAATTGTGACTTTTAGGTCTGTAATTGAGTGTCCAGGGAGGTTGAAATGTTCTCCTACTGGTTTTTGAATGTTCTAATTCTTGACATCTGATTTTGTATCCATTTATTATTTTGCTACAAAGATAGCTAGGAGTGCTGGTAGCGTAGAGCCTGTGGAGAGAGTCTACATAGCCAGACAATCCTGCTGTCAGGGTGCCAATGCCTGAGATGGATGGCATTGTGTTCTGCAGAACAGCCTCAGGAACAATTCTGACATCATAATCAAAAAGGCTGACAAAGGAGGTGCTGTCCTCATCATGAATAGGTCGGAATATGAACGAGAGGCTGCTAGGCAGCTCTCTAACACCACATTCTACAGGCCATTATCCTCTGATCCCACTGAGGGTTACCAAAAGAAACTACACCATCTGCTCAAGAAACTCCCTGAAAAAGCACAAGAACAAATCTGCATAGACACACCCCTAGAACCCTGACCAGGGGTATTCTATCTGCTACCCAAGATCCATAAACCTGGAAATCCTGGAAGCCCCATCATCTCAGGCATTTGGCACCCTGACAGCAGCATTGTCTGGCTATGTAGGCTCTCTCCTGAGGCCCTACGCTACCAGCACTCCTAGCTATCTTTGAGACACCACTGACTTCCTGAGGAAACTACAATCCATTGATGATCTTCCAGAAAACACCATCCTGGCCACTATGGATGTAGAAGCCCTCTACACCAACATTCCACACAAAGATGGACTACAAGCTGTCAGGAACAGTATCCCCAATAATGTCACGGCAAACCTGGTGGCTGAACTTGGTGACTTTGTCCTCACCCATAACTATTTCACAATTAGAAAAGGAGTACTTGTGGCACCTTAGAGACTAACCAATTTATTTGTGCATAAGCTTTCGTGAGCTACAGCTCACTTCATCAGATGTATACTGTGGAAAGTGTAGAAGATCTTTTTATACACACAAAGCATGAAAAAATACCTCCCCCCACCCCACTCTCCTGCTGGTAATAGCTTATCTAAAGTGATCACTCTCCTTACAATGTGTATGATGATCAAGTTGGGCCATTTCCAGCACAAATCCAGGTTTTCTCCCCCCGCCCCCTCCACCACAAACCCACTCTCCTGTTGGTAATAGCTTATCTAAACTGATCACTCTCCTTACAATGTGTATGATAATTAAGGTGGGCCATTTCCAGCACAGATCCAGGGTTTAACAAGAACGTCTGGGGGGGTGGGGGGTAGGAAAAAACAAGGGGAAATAGGTTACCTTGCATAATGACTTAGCCACTCCCAGTCTCTATTCAAGCCTAAGTTAATTGTATCCAATTTGCAAATGAATTCCAATTCAACAGTCTCTTGCTGGAGTCTGGTTTTGAAGTTTTTTTCTTGTAATATCGCAACTTTCATGTCTGTAATCGCGTGACCAGAGGGATTGAAGTGTTCTCCGACTGGTTTATGAATGTTATAATTCTTGACATCTGATTTGTGTCCATTTATTCTTTTACGTAGAGACTGTCCAGTTTGACCAATGTACATGGCAGATGGGCATTGCTGGCACATGATGGCATATATCACATTGGTGGATGTGCAGGTGAACGAGCCTCTGACAGATAGGAAACTACAATCCATCGGTGATCTTTCTGATACCACCATCCTGGCCACTATGGATGTAGAAGCCCTCTACAGCAACATTCCACACAAAGATGGACTACAAGCCATCAAGAACACTATCCCCGATAATGTCACGGCTAACCTGGTGGCTGAACTTTGTGACTTTGTCCTTACCCATAACTATTTTACATTTGGGGACAATGTATACCTTCAAATCAGCGGCACTGCTATGGGTACCCGCATGGCCCCACAGTATGCCAACATTTTTATGGCTGACTTAGAACAACGCTTCCTCGGCTCTCGTCCCCTAATGCTCCTACTCTACTTGCGCTACATTGATGACATCTTCATCATCCGGACCCATAGAAAAGAAGTCCTTGAGGAATTCCACCATGATTTCAACAATTTCCATCCCACCATCAACCTCAGCCTGGACCAGTCCACACAAGAGATCCACTTCCTGGACACTACAGTGCTAATAAACGATGGTCACATAAACACCACCCTATACCGGAAACCTACTGACCGCTATTCCTACCTACATGCCTCCAGCTTTCACCCTGACCACACCACACGATCCATTGTCTACAGCCAAGCTTTGCGATACAACCGCATTTGCTCCAACCCCTCAGACAGAGACAAACACCTACAAGATCTCTATCAAGTGGTCTTACAACTACAGTACCCATCTGCTGAAGTGAAGAAACAGATTGACAGAACTAGAAGAGTACCCAGAAGTTACCTAATACAGGACAGGCCCAACAAAGGAAATAACAGAATGCTACTAACCGTCACCTTCAGCCCCCAACTAAAACCTCTCCAGTGCATCATCAAGGATCTACAACCTACCCTGAAGGACGAGCCATCACTCTCACAAGACTTGGGAGACAGCCAGTCCTTGCCTACAGACAGCCCCCCAACCTGAAGCAAATACTCACCAGCAACCACACACCACACAACAAAAACACTAACCCAGGAACTTATCCTTGCAACAAAGCCCGTTGCCAACTGTGTCCACATATCTATTCAGGGGACACCATCATAGGGCCTAATCACATCAGCCACACTATCAGAGGCTCGTTAACCTGCACATCTACCAATGTGATATATACCATCATGTGCCAGCAATGCCCCTCTGCCATGTACATTGGCCAAACCGGACAGTCTCTACATAAAAGAATAAATGGACGCAAATCAGACGTCAAGAATTATAACATTCAAAAACCAGTCGGAGAACACTTCAATCTCTCTGGTCACTCGATTACAGACCTAAAAGTCGCAATTCTTCAACAAAAAAATTTCGAAAACAGACTCCAACGAGAGACTGATGAATCGGAATTAATTTGCAAACTGGACACCATTAACTTAGGCTTGAATAAAGACAGGGAGTGGATGTGTCATAACACAAAGTAAAACTATTTCCCCATGTTTATTTCCCACCCCCCTACTGTTCCTCACACGTTCTTGTCAACTGCTGGAAATGGCCCACCTTGATTATCACTACAAAAGCTTTTTTTTCTCTCCTGCTGGTAATAGGTCACCTTACCTGATCACTCTCGTTATAGTGTGTATGGTAACACCCATTGTTTCATGTTTTCTGTGTATATAAAATCACCCCACTGTATTTTCCACTGCATGCATCCGATGAAGTGAGCTGTAGCTCATGAAAGCTTATGCTCAAATAAATTTGTTAGTTTCTAAGGTGCCACAAGTACTCCTTTTCTTTTTGAGACTGAGAGGTTACTGCAAAACCTTAAACCACATATCAGTAATTCTTACAAAGTGACTTTTGGTTCCATATTTCTTAACATGTTCTTCTAGAGGTGAGAGAGTTGAAATGGACCAGTTGTCCCCATCCGTGCATGAATTCTTGAGCATAGCTGCAGAAACAGTGATAGCTGATATTTGTTACACATGTAGTCAAAGGAAGCCAGTCTATCATTTTGTATGAGGTCTTTTTAATTTTTGTTAGTTCTTTTTTTCTATCCAAATTGTCTTAAACATGGAGTTGGCCTTGATACTGAGAAGTGGGTTATTGCCTAGTGGTATGAGAGGAGAATTAGTAAGATTGGATGCTTTAATCATCTTAACATGTTGCAGGATGCTCCATGTAGATACAAAGAATGGATTTTTCCTTAAGGGTATGGCTAGCCTCTTAAGATATATAAAAGTAAAGCAGGAACTGAACGGTATACCTGAACTTTTTTCTATCTCAGACCAGGCCGATGTGTATACAGAGCCACTAGAGTAGAACCACCTTACAATAAGACACAGTTGGAATGCTGGATAATATCAATACAAATCTGGCAACCCCATGTAACCTCCAGTTGTCCAAGATTTTTCAGGAGTCTGTTGTGACAAGTGAGGCTGTTTTATATCCCATGTAAATTGCACCATAAGCGTATTTATTCGAGCAAAGAGTGAAAGAGAGACTTGAAAGGCAATTGACTAATAATATAAGTCAATCTTGAGCAGATGTTAATTTTGGCTATTTCTGTTCTCCCCAGTAAAGAAAGAAGGAGGAGATGCCACCTCTCTAGATCCTTGGAAATTTCTTTTAATATATAGTCCATATTTATAGAAACAATTTTTGGAAGCTTAGGATATATCTTAACACCTAATTAAGTTATTTCCTTGCATATTTGAAATGGAAAATGCTGAAACTGAGAAGGATCTGGTCTTCTGAATATATCCATTGCTTCTGATTTATTCGAGCTAATGTGAAAACCAGAGATCTCTCCAAAAATGTCAACTACATTCAACAGAAACAGGAATGATGAGGATGGATCCTTCAATAGTACAAAAAATGTCATTAGCATATAAACTGATTTTGTATTCTTTCCTGTTTATAGTCACACCTTCAGTGGCTGAGTTCTGAGATATGTGCATTGCCAGTGATTCAAGAGAGAGATTAAAAAGGAAGGGTGATGGGACAGCCCTGTTATGTGTGTCTTTCTAGTTGAAATGTGGGAGAAGTAATTCCATTAGTTGATAGTGAAGCAAGGGTAGAGTTGTATGATGATGCACTGACCGAGTTCAGGAATATTGGTCCAAATCCAAAAATTTTTAGGTCAGCCATTAGATAAGGCCATTCAACTCTATCCAAGGCCTTCTCTGAATCTAGAGACAAAGCTATGGAGGGAACATCTGACATCTGAGTTTGCTGGATGAAGTGAATGGCTGCTGATAATACAAGAAAAATCCATCTTCCTTTAATGAAACCTACCTGATCTGCGTGTATAATTGATGGGATGATGGTGTCCAGTTGTGTCACTAAAATTTTTGCAATTATTTTGCAGTTTGTGTTTAATAGAGATATGGGGCAGAAGTCGCCACAGTTGCGACCATCTTTGTTCTTTAATATGTAAGTAATTAAAGCAGTTCTAATGTCGTGAGATATGGTTCCTTTTTGGAATGTTTCAGTGAAGACCTTTGAAAGACTAGAAGATAGCTGATTACAAAACGTTTTGTAGAAATCTGCCAGTTAAGCCATCTATCACTGGGGCCTTGCTGGAATTCATATTTTTTTATAGCCTGTTTGATCTCTTGTGTTGTGAAAGCTTTGTCCATAAAGAGCACGTGTTCTGAAGTAAGGTTATTAAAAGGTAGGCCTTCAACAAAATGATTAAATTTATTAGAGCCACACTGGTTTTCTGATTTATATAAAGTTTGATAGAATTGCTTAAATTGTTATTTACATCTATTGCTTCAAGGATGGCACTATCATTTTCTTGTAATAAGGAACAAATATTGTTGATAGTTCCATTGTGAGTTTTCCAACAAGTAGTTATCTGCTTTATCTCCTCATTCATAATATCTTTGTTTGACCCTGTTGAGTGTAAATTTGACGTGGCTAGATAAGCATTCATTATATTTATATTTGGCATTGATTAGAGAATGTAGGAGGTTTTCATTATTTTGGTCAGTCTTGTGCATTCGCTGCAACTCATTTATTTCCTTGGCCAGAGGACCTAGTAACTTGAGTCTATCTGTCTTTTTGTTTTGGGAGGAAACTAGCATCTTCAAGCTAGCACTGCAAGCTAGGAGTATCTTTAACCCCATGAAATGGCAGTATTCTATTCTTTGAGGTGAAAGCACAGGAACACCAACTTCCCCAAGCTTTTATCATCTAGTTCCTGACTTGTCCAGAAATTGATTGTTTTTGCACCACGGAATTTTGCCACGTATCTGCTAACTTCATAATATAAGACTGTTGACCCAGGCCAATGGGAAGTTTCACAAACAACTCCAAAATGTGCTAAGTTTGCAATGTGAAATACTCCCAACATAGTTGATTGTGCAACAAAATCTTGTTTGGAGCAGCCTGTCAATCTAATACTGTGTTTAGCGAAAGACATGCAATTTTCAAGGCATCTAGAATTGGGACTGCCTCAAACTGTTTGTATATTAGGTGTTTGCCCACAACACAACAGACTTGTTTAAGATTTCTGAAATTATTAAAGTACTTCCTCGGTAAACTGATGGGATGTCTCTGGAGCCAGGTAATCTTCATGGGTCCCTGCTCTGCTGTTGCTTCTTTATGTTTAAGTTAATTCCTCCAGTAGGCCATCTAATTCAGTGATGATTGGAATCAAAGGCCAACAGTTAGCTTCTATAATTGAGGCCTTTACTGATTAATAAATATACTGCTGAAAATGCTCTTTCCAGCTGGAGGAGGAGAATATCAGATGAAGGAGTAAAAAATCCTGAGAAAATTGTACTATTTTTATGTTCATATAAAATGTTCATGGATGTTATTGACATGCACTTCTCACTACTCTTTTCATGTACGATTAGTAAACCCAATGCTGATTAACAATACTGTTCCCAAAAGCCTCTGTTTACATGAAACATAGGATCTGATTCAGGTCTGGGCTAAGTTGGTGCAAATCCCAGTGACTGAAGTCAGCAGGAGGGAGCTGAGCCCACTTATTGCATGACTGATGGCCATGTAATTACATACTATTAACTGTGAACTAAAAAGCCAGCCTGTTTGCAGCTGAAATTTCAACATTCTCTGCAATATTACCAAAAATAAATGAAAGAGTAAGTTCATTTTTTGTAGTATAATATTGGCTAATTATGCAAATACTGTATACTAAGTAGCCCCATTATCTCTAACACTTTAACTAAATACTGTTCTAGTAGTAGTAGGCGCGTCATACTTTCCTTCTAATCTGCCCTTATCTTGTAATTAGCCCACGTAGACTGAATTCAGAATTGCCTACTTTTTTTACTCTAAAAACTATTCAAATCAAGTAAGAGGAATGAGAAATTATAGTACATTCAGGGTGTGAATCTGAGCAAGCCAGCAACAGTGATACTTAATTAGCCCAAAAGGATTGTTTCTAAATGTGACATATATAGAGTTTAGTGTTTGACTTCAATGGGACTTCTCCCAGTAGTAAGCACTACGCTTGGTTGTGCTTGCAAGATCAAGTCTTCTATGTTTCAGTCACACTGTCTTTACTTTAAGATTTTTACACACTTTGCTTTGGCCTCCTAAACTCAACAAATTTTAAGAAATGCTGCTTAATATAAAGAATTAATCTGCACTTGCTACTTCACTATTTAGAAAAACTTCTTTAAATGGCCGCCCATTCCCATGTCCACTCATGCAAAATAATTTATTTTTTTATACTGTCTCTACCCTTTACATCCATGTATTACTTTAGAGCCTGGACAACTGCTGTGAACCAAGGGATGGAGACACCAAGATTAGAGCTGAGTGAATAGTGGATTTTTCAAGTTCTCTGGTATTTCCAAAAGATCATGAAAAAAATTATATTGGGTCAAATAAAATGTTTAATTTCTACAAAATCAAAATGTTTCACTTAGTTTTCATCTATTTTTCAACATTTTTTATTTTTTAAATAAAAATAAAAGGAAATCAATCAAAGGTGTTTTAGAGGAACAGTCAGGAATGGACAGTTATGGATTAAATTTGTCCATAGGGTAGATTTCTCCCGGACCATGGTTGATTTGTGCCTCAAGGCATGAGGGTTTATAAATCCCTTTTAAAATTGCTTTTCCTATCTAGTGCAACGTAGGTGGTCTAATTATCTGTACAGCGTCTCTTGGCTTTTTTAAAATGTCAATCCTACTGAGCTTTTGGTCTCAGAGGTATATTGTGGCAGTGATATTTGCATAATTGTTTCAATTCTTGAAAGGCTTAAACTGTCTTTTTATTACTATTATTTATTAAATGGAAGTCATTTAAAAGAAGTTACAGGATCAGTATGCTCCTTGAAGACCAAGACTATGTACTCTTTTAGGTGCTGTACCTACTCAGATATCAAAAATCTGTGTGAACAATAGTTTCCAGATGCAACTTTATATTGTTGGAGCCTTCCCAAGCAGCAGAGGTGTTCAAGCAAGGAGGTTTCTCTGAAGAGTGGAAAACAAAAGGAGAGAAACCTCTTTCATGAGTTTCTGTGCTGCTGTTTGATATTAGGCTTGTTGCTACATTGTTTGATTGGCCTCTTGATATTGGGTACTAACAAAACAGTATCCAGAATGGGCAGAGAATTCGTGTGTTGATCAACACTGATGATCAGCAGGAACAAGAAAAAGCTACATGAGGGTACGTAGTTTATAAAGAATGAATCATCCTCACAAGCAAGAACATGGTACTTCAGCAGCAGTTTGTAATTCCATTGCTAAATGTGAATTCTCTGGCCAGTTCCACAGCTGCCTTTCTGGAAAAACTTCTGAGCACTGTGTCCAGTGTAATAGTAATTGTTATTCAATATCCTTGTGCAAACATTCACTTCCTCCCATGGGGATGGTTTCTTTCGCACTTGCTGTTATTCTATGAAAAAGGAATGTATGCAATTGTGTTTGCAAAGGAAAGATGTTTGTACTTGAGCAATGAATGTGATAAGAACTATTTTGTTTCACAGAATATTCAGAAAAGGTTCTGCTTCCTAACTTGTGATGCTGCCAGTTACCTTGGCGACAACCTACGAGGAATAGGCTCAAAGTTTGTGAGCTCTTCTCAGATGCTAACTTCCTGTTCAGAATGCCCCACTCTTTTCGTAGATGCTGAAACGGTGAGTATATTCCTGTAGAGGATAATAACTAGCATGTCCAGCATGTGTCGTGTAAAGGAGGCTAGGGTGGCAAAAACCTCACTCAGAATATTCTTGGGTTGGCAGGCTTAGATTTCTACCCAAACTATTTGCACAGCCTTATTGGAGAATACTGGAAACATCCAGCTTCTTTTGTTAGAAGTGATTTTGTTTTCTTCAGTCAAAATTGCGCTTATAATAAGGATGCGAGTTTGTAGTTTGAAGACATTGTAGAGCAGAATCTTGCTAGTTCACACTTTGGTGAAACCCAAATCCACATATTCAGTTTGCATTATGTTTTGGATTAGTAATAATAGTAACAACTAGGGGGTCATACACTTCTTTGCTTTTGTGGGTCCAAAGAATTGCACACACCAGAAGGCTACTTGTATTCCTCCATTTTCCCATTCCACCGTCAAGCTCCCTAGGTGCTATTCTCCCATTCCTTCTTTTTCAGGGACTCCTTGCACATGCCCTGTGCCAGGGTCTCTGCATGCTTTCCCATTGCCCCCTTTTTCCCATCTCAGGGTACACCACTCTCCCCCATACACCCCTTTTCCTCCTTCTGCCCATACTAGAATCCCCATTTCTCCCCACATGCCAGGGTCTTTGCATGTGCTCCCTATTCTCCCCACACAAAAGTTCCCCACCCTGCCCATAGTTTTATGTGATTAATAATTAAGCAATCAATCTGCAAACACCTAGAAGATAATAAGGTGATAAATAACAGTCAGCATGGATTTGTCAAGAACAAATCATGTCAAACCAACATAATAGCTTTCTTTGACAGGGTAACAAGCCTTGTGGATAGGGGGAAGTGGTAGATGTGGTATATCTCGACTTTAGTAAGGCTTTTGATACTGTCTTGCATGACCTTCTCATAAACAAACTAGTGAAATACAACCTAGATGGAGCTACTATAAGGTGAGTTCATAACTGGTTGGAAAATCATTCCCAGAGAGTAGTTCTCAGTGGTTCACAGTCATGCTGGAATGGCATAACGAGTGGGGTCCTGCACGGATCGGTTCTGGGTCTGGTTCTGTTCAATATCTTCATCAATGACAGGGGTTCTCAAACTGGGGGTTGGGACCCCTCAGGGGGTCTCGAGGATATTACATGGAGGGTCACGAGCTGCCAGCCTCCACCCCAAACCCCGCTTTGCCTCCAGCATTTATAATGGCGTTAAATATATTAAAAAGTGCTTCTAATTTATAAGCGGGGGTCGCACTCAGAGGCTTGCTATGGGAAAGGGGTCACCAGTACAAAAGTTTGAGAACCACTGATCAATGATTTAGATAATGGCATTGAGAGTACACTTATAAAGGTTGTCACAAGGAGGAGGGAGAAAAATTGTTCTCATTAACCTCTGCGGATAGGTCAAGAAGCAATGGGCTTAAATTGCAGCAAGGGCGGTTTATGTTGGACATTAGGAAGTTTTTCCTAAACTGTCAGGGTGGTTAAGCACTGGAAGAAATTGCCTAGGGAGGTTGTGGAATCTCCATCATTGGGGATTTTTGCCCCTCATTGTCTGTCCTTTGGGGGAAATTGTAGGAAGGTCATTGAATGACTGTCAGCACCTGAGTGATTTAGCCTCCATCCTTACTGCAAAGTGGGTGGGTTCTAGCCCGAATTGAAGTGGAGGCCATTTTCTAACCCCCAGCGTGGTAAGGTAGCATGGACTTAAGACACCTCCAAACTCAAGTCAGAAAATTTTTTTTTATTGTATGGATGGTAGAAAGACTAAGGCTAGGACGCATGTAAGACCCCAGGTTAACTGTGCAATGTAGACATACCCTCAAGTGGAAACTAGCTAGGTTCTACAGATAATTTGGGAAGAGTAGGGAGATTGCTATTTGGAAAGCACCATGTTATACACGTTGACTCCATCAACACACTCTCATGCTGTGAAGCAAGGCTTCTCTCGTGCTGCTGCTCTGGACAGGGCAAAGTAGTTGGAGTACCATGTATTTCTGTTGGAGAGAAAAAAGTGAAGAAGAAGCCAGCAGGTGGCTTTTGAAGAGGCCATCAGATTTTAGTGGGGCAGGCTTTCAGAATGGCCTTCCTTTTGCTGCTTTGTGGTTCAGTATGGAGCTCTTGGGAAAGCCAACAGTGCCTGTGCACTCCCTCAGCTGCCCTACTTGCCTCCGTCATTGAAGTTGACAAGCAGCCAATATTGTGTGCATTGCCAGGTTGGCATGGAACACTTCATGACATTTGAGTCATCTCTTCCTCTTCTAGCTCTATATTTGAAAGACAAGAGGAGGGGGCAGAACTGGCTCTAGCCATGCTGAGTCGTCAGAGAACACAATATGCTCAGCAGCTTCATTTGAGTTTGGTGTAATATGGGTTGTATGATACAGAATGGCTTTACGAAATGAGACAACCTTTCTAATTTCTTGTGACTTGTCCATCTTTTATCAATTAGCCATAGGTAGATGTTCTGTGATGGCAGTGTGATCTTGTGCATTTTATATAAAGCTGCGAGCTAGAAACTTCTGAACTATAATCTGGGCCAGCTCTGACTCACTGCTGTGGCCTTGGAAAAGTTATTAATTTCTGTGCATCTGTTTCTGTATCTGTAAAAATGTGTATACTGTTACTTACCTCACAGGAGAGTTGTGAAGATTAACTGGTTAATATTTGTACGGCACTTTGTGTATTTATTTGGGAAGGTCAGCTTTCTGTCTAGCATTTTGGGCTGAAGCCCAGAGTACAAATGTGTTTCCTGAGATTTTAGTAATAAAAGCTAAGGTGGCTGTTTCAGCTCCAATAGCCCCTGAACATGCCCTGTGGATGGAATCAAGCTCTGAAAGTCAAAAGAAAGTGCTAGTTACTCCGGAAACCCTTACTGGCTGCCAGAAGCATTAGCAAGATGGGTTGTGTTTTCAATTTTAATTCCAGTTGGAGCAGGAACCTGTACATCCAGAAATGTTAGTAGAGTTTTAGCATAGGATTGAGACTGGCAATGGGTAAACTTTAAAGTGCCTTTTTGCAGTGCATACCATAGTTTCTACTTTACTAATATTTTTCTTCTTTAATAGTAAAATTTACTGGCCCATTTTTTGTTTTAATGTTTCCAGCTTCTCTCCTGTGGACTTCTTGAAAAGCTAAAATTCAGTGTTCTAGAACTACAGGAGTATTTGGACACATACAACAACAGGAAAGAAGCAACTCTCTCAGTAAGTGGGATTTCTATGCTTTATTGCCCTGTGTATTCATATATTAAAATGTTTTGATCTGAAATCTGTTTAAATTAATAGTAGTATAACATTTTGTAGGTCAATATTGTATCTAGAATTTGGATCCATAAATGTCTTCTCTCTCTTTTTTTGGGAAGATATGGTAATTGATACAACAAGAATTAAAAGAATGGCTCTTTATATAGCTTAATTTAAAATGTGTGTGAATTCTCTAGTCTTTCAAGCTCCTCCTCTCTATGAATTAGTAATTCATGTATTAATTTGTTTTGTTTATACGATATAAACACTATTAGAAATCAGAATTATAGCTTTTTAACTCAACCCACTCATGCAAAATGTGTTGGGCTGTCTGAATGAAGAGCTTAATTGCAAAACTTGACTTAATATGTTTTCAAGACATGATATTGTGAGACTAAAATACTTATGAAAAGAAAAGGAGTACTTGTGGCACCTTAGAGACTAACAAATTTATTTGAGCATAAGCTTTCGTGAGCTACAGCTCACTTCATCGGATGCAGTGAAAATTTTCATCCAATGAAGTGAGCTGTAGCTCACGAAAGCTTATGCTCAAATAAATTTGTTAGTCTCTAAGGTGCCACAAGTACTCCTTTTCTTTTTGCGGATACAGACTAACACGGCTGCTACTCTGAAGCCTTAAAATACTTATGTTACCCTTCTTTAAATCTAGCCAGAGCTGATACCTCACTTTTTTTTTCTCTGAAAACAGTGGCTTGCAAACTGCAAAGCAACGTTTGCTGGGGGTTCACAAGATGGAGTTATTACTTGTCAGCCAGGGGACTCTGAAGAAAAGGTAATAAGGAGCTATTTTACCTTCCTGTCAAGTGACATTTATGCATTGTTTCTTGATGCCAAAAGAAGCTGGTGCCTTTCCCTCCTTGTGTCCCTTTGCAGAGCTTGGACACAATACCAGTTCTTGCACTTATGAGTCTATTGTCGCTGTTGGCACAGGCCTGCCCAAAGTGGGTGGAGAATGGGTGGGGATATGGTTCTGTCCTCCCACTCTGCACCAGTAGGCAGAGCTGGCCCTGACCAGGGCCAATGTATATTGCTCTGTAACAGCAGTAACTTTCCTACAGCATAATGTCTCTGGGAGTTCCTTCTGGCGCACTTTATTTCCAGAGCACCTTCAATGTGGCCAGTGGCTTTGCAGCCACAATCTGGCCCCATAGTGTGTAGACTTTTTGCATTTGAGCTTTAATACCTGAAATATTAAGCCTTTCACCTTTAAATTATCGGTTGAAATCCAACTGATGTTAGTAGTAACAAAATATTTACCATCAAAGGACTTTTCAGTGCTCTGTGAAGTAATTAATGCTGTGGAAAAACACTTATGTGAAACAATGTTTCATGTATTGCATTTGAAACAAAAGATTCCTGAATATGCTATGCAGTGATTGCCATAAAGCAGTCAACAGTCTTCCTGGTTCTGTGCTATTTTAACTATAGAGAACAATTGGTATCTCAAACACCATTGTGTGGGAAGTGTTGGAAAATGTTATTCTTTTTTAATGGCAAATACTGTATATGTTCATGGCAGAGCAAGTGCTAGACAATTTAGATGTCTTCAAGTCACCAGGGCCTGATGAAAAACATCCTAGTATACTCAAGGAGCTGACTGAGGAGATATCTGAGCCATTAGGGATTATCTTCGAAAAGTCATGGACAACGGGAGAGATTCCAGAGGACTGGAAATGGGCAAATGTATTGCCTATCCATCAAAAGGGGAATAAAAACAGCCCAGGGAATTACAGACCAGTCAGCTTAATTTCAGTACCCAGAAAGATAATGGAGCAAATAATTTAAGCAATCAGTTTGCAAACACCTAGAAGATAATAAGGTGATAAGTAACAGTCAGCATAGATTTGTCAAGAACAAATTGTCAAACCAACATAATAGCTTTTTTTCACAGGGTAACAAGTCTTGTGGCTGGGGGGAAGCAGTAGATGTGGTATATGTTGATTTTAGTAAGGCTTTAAATAATGCCTCACATGACCTTCTCGTAAACAAACTAGGGAAATACAGCCTACATGGAGATACTATAAGGTGGGTGCATAACTGGTTTGAAAGTCATTCCCAGTTAGTAGTAATAAGGGGTTCTCAGTCAAGCTGGAAGGGCATATTGAGTGAGGTCCAACAGGGATCAGTTCTGGGTCTGGTTCTGTTCAATATCTTTATCAATGATTTAGATAACAGCATAGAGAGTACACTTATGAAGTCTGTGGTTGAAGCTGAGAGGGGTTGCAAGTGCTTGGAGGATAGATTACAATTCAAAATGATCTGGACAAACTGGAAAAATGGTTTGAAGTAAATAGGATGAAATTCAATAAGGACATATGCAAAGTACTTCATTTAGGAAGGAACAATCAGTTGCACACATACAAAATGGGAAATGACTGCCTAGGAAGGAGTACTGTTGAGAGGGCGAACACACTTAAGAAGTTACATCTTAAGGCAGAAGAAAGAAAAAACATGACATTCCCTCCTTCTTTGTCTTTTTGTGTGTAAAAAAAGGACAATAACCTTTTCAGAACTACACACCTGAAATTTTAGCCATATTTTCCTCTAACACGTTTTCTCTACTTGTTCATTATCTCTCCTCTCCCATTCTCTCCCTTTTTTTCTGGTTCATTTTCTTTCTTATTCCTTCTCCCCTTTTTTTCGATCATCCTTTGTTCCTCTTCCTCTGTTTGCCAGAAGCTGGGAATAGGCGACAGGGCATGGATCACTTAATGATTACCTGTTCTATTCATTCCCTCTGGGCACCTGGCATTGACCAGTGTTCAAAGACAAGATACTGGGCTCAATGGACCTTTGGTCTGACCCAGTATGGCCATTCTTATGTTCTTATGTTTCTTGCTTCATTTTTTCCCTCCTTTGTACTTCGTTTTCTGTTCCTGCTCTCCCTTACTTTTTGTGCACGTGCATTTGTGAACATATGGGAAGGGAGAGCAAATTCCACAGCTAGTGCTTCCCCTCTTCCCCCTCCCCCCCACCCTGTCCCAGTGTATTTTGGCTGCCTTGACACTTTTAGCATTAAAGCCTGTGGACAAGTGCCAGCATAAGTATATGCACACATTGGGAAAGCTGCTCACATACCTGACAACGCTTGGGTTGCATTTTACAAGCCCTGATGTAATGACACATGGGCATGTTGTGGGTGGGCTGTGTGCAAAACTAAGTAAAAGATGGATATGGGGAAAGATTCCTTATTGCTTTTATAACTACAGTTCAAATATGAGGTAATATTTGTGTGGAGGTTTAACGACTGGAATATGTTTAATCATTGTCTTCCCACTGTACTAGAACTGAAACCAAACAGTAGCTTAAAAAGTTCCTGATGTACTGCTGTTTTTAAAGCTTCCTCGTCCTCACCAGTCCCTGCTTTCATAATTGTAATTCTCAGTCCCATTTTACAACATCTTGTTCATTATTTTAAAAGGAAATAAAGCAGAAGGAATAGAGAGAACACTGAATGATGCACAAAGGGGGATTAAAATGTGAATTGGGTACATAGAATCTGCATAAGATACTAAATGGCCTAAACACATCTAAAAATATGAATGTCATATTACAGTTGTGTTGTGTTTGTCTTTAATAAGGTGTTCTCTATTTCAGAGTTAATGTGTGTGTTTTGTGAAGCAAGGGTTAGTATACAAACTACTTGTTGGTCAGAATGAAAAGAAGTGTTTCTCGCTGCTGCAGGAATCCCTATTCTCTTCCCAACAATGTTCCCTCAACACAAAATGTATTATTCCTGGGAGTTCACAAGATGGTAGGACTTTTGATGGACAGATACATAAGTTTCTCTTCTCCCCTCCCATTCACCTGTCCATATGAAACAGTTCTTCTCACCAAAAGGCCTTTCTTCTCCAACACTTTTCATTCTATTTACTTATCAAAAGTATAATGGGAGGAAGACTCCAGGGAAGCATGTGCTGAGAAAGTGTCATTGGGAAGGGAAAAATAACTCCTACAATGGTGAGTAATTTTTTCCATGCCTTTCTTCTGCTCTTCACCCTGAGCATGAAATGATAGTTCCAGAAAAGCACAGAATGAAGAAGATGGGGATATGCCAAAGAATAAAATAATTGTTGGTAAAAGAAAGGCTCTCTATTTTACAGAGGAAGCAATAGGGGAACCTACCTAAACTCTTTAATGCCATTTAAAGGTTATATATAGGTCCTAGAATGCTGCTTGGCACATGAACTCCCTCTTCTGACCTTCGAACAGCCCCTCAGCCCTGCCAAGCTCATCATCAAAAGCAAGTTCCCCAGGACGCACCAACTCAAAGCAGCACCAGCCCCTGCCAGAACAACAGTTGCAAACCCTGCAGATATATCTCCATGGCTACAATAATCAATACTCCACACAACACACCTTTCAAGATTCACAAGTCCTACACATGCTTATCACAACATGTGATGCACTGCATCCAGTGCATCAAATGCCCCAGTAACAACTATGTCAGCAAAACCAATCATTTTACAAGGTGTGATTCCTACTTGATGCCAATTTGGTTTAACTCCTACTGGGTTAACCACAGAAGGCTCCCTGATAAAGTTGGATTAGGAAGATCTGGAAACAAGTCTCAGTTTCAGTAAAGTTGAGCACTCACAGCAACTCTTGAAGCTAAACTAGGAACTCTGTTAATGATGTAAGTCCTCTGTACTGGCTGACTACAAATGGGCACATGCAGCCTTTAAACATGGAGTTGAATTGGCTCCTGCACCCAGCTCCTGGAAAGGAGGAATACATAGCTATCCAAAATACAGCTACAGGCTGAGCACAGTTTCTACTGCCTTCAAATGCAACAGTTACTTAGGGATATATTAGCACACGTTCTCTCTCTCTCTCTCATACTTTCCAAGGCTCACAGAACAACATCTGAAAACAGTAGAACCAATGCTGAGGACTGGAACACCTGAACATCATCCACTTGCTGCTGAATGCTCCAGCTCCTGTGGGATTCTCCTGTGTCAATGAATGGCGAAGAATTGTATTACCTTTAAAGTGTCTGTCTAGTCTGGAGTCACATTAGCACCTTCAGAATAATGGGGTGACTCCCATCTCTTTTTAGGACCTATAAGTACTTCCTTAAAATCACGAAAAGGCTTACCGGCATCAGACTACTACTTTGCCATCTTTCTACCCTGTTTTAATGGCCCCAGTTCTGATCTTGTCAAAACTGAAAAACTACTTTTTTCCTGAAAAAAAGATAAATCAAAATTTTGGTGGAGCACAGTGACTTTCTTACTTTTTTCTTTCTTAGACCTATTTGAAAAATATGGGTAATATTCATTCCTACAGGGTTTTTACCACACAGGTCTGTCAACTAATCTCTATCCTCTCTCTCACACACATACCAAGAAAATTTAGACTGGCGCCTGAGAAACCTTTGAGTGCTAAAGTCATTCTGCCTGAACAGTTAAATGGCAGGGGAAGGCAAATGAGTTCTCAATCAAAAACTGATTACCCTCTCAACTTCCAAGGTATATTACTTTTCATGCTGAGGGAGCCAGGATGAGGAATTAAAATCATTATCAAATTATAGAGCCAAGTTGTGGCTGGGCATCATTAACCTAGAGGATCTCAAGTATATTTATTTAAAGAGTGGTATGTTTTCCTTCAGTGAGCAGGGAGGGTTTTGTTCTCTTGACTTACTCTGTGCCTTTCCCTTCATCCTCACCTCTCCTCCCCCTCCACTCACCCACACCCACACTCACACACACTTTCTTTTTGGAAGCAGGGGAGAGAAGGCAGCTTTTCTTGAACAACAGACCATGGAATTCACTCTTTTTTTTGCTGCTTTCCCCCACTTTTAAAAAGTAAATTCCATGGTAAATTAGGACACACTTACTTTTTTACTGAATCAGGGATTTTTAAAAGTTCACATAAAAGCTGAAGATGGTGCCAAAATTTGGAAATATATAAGTGAAATGCTTTGACAAATGCAAATCAGTGTAGTTCTGAATTTACTGGCACAGTAATCTGTCTTATCTCTTCCTGTTTGATCTTATATTTAGTTGTACAAGGCTTAATTACATAAACTGCATGGAATTTGACCAATAATGTCAAAGGCTTAATGTTAACCACCACAAAAGCCAGCACATTTAGAGCTTAGTCTGCCATTCAGTCATTAACTCATCCCATTGTATAGAGGTAATGTAGGAAACTGGGCACGCTTAAATTCATACATGCTTTAATATCAAAGCACAATGGGATGAGGACAGGGCTGAATTCCTTTGCTTTGGCAATGCCAGGATAGTCCCTTAGTATTTAACATTTTTGTATTTGCCTTCTTTGTTTTTAAATAATAATATAAAGTATTTTATAACAATTACAAATGTTCATTAACATCATTGCATGTGCACTGACATCACATTGCAGCTGGGCAGATGTCAGTGTAGGTTTATGCAAGAGTTAAACTGATGACATGGTTTTATAGATCTGATATGGCACCTCGACAAAATGGTGAAAGCTGTATTAGAAATGCATAGACAGATATATTAGAGCAAACACTAGCTCCTGGGAAAAGGAAGAGAGAGCATCTCTCCTTTTTCAGGGAGGGGACTTTCTTTAAAGTTCAGACTTTAAAATACTTCACAGCTTAAACATTATACACAAAACTTTTCAGTTTTAAAATGCCCAGTTATAAACCTGGAAGCCACAGGGTTTTTAATGGAAATAATATTTGACCTTATACATCCATATAACACAACATTTTTGCTTCAGTTCTGTTAACGATTTGAAACCACTGCAAAACTTTTGAGAACTTCTGTGCTATGAATTCTTTGTCCATAATGAAAAGACCAAACATAGCCAAATTTATTCATTTAAAAACCATTAAGCAGTGGAAACTTTGATGGTTTAATTTCCTGGTTTTTGGAAATACACGCTGAGAGAAATTGGGAATAATAAATCTCAAAATTTAACTGATTTCAGTTTGTTTATAATTTACCATTAGGAGTAAAGCTTGGTTTTAATGAGAATGCTATGCATGATGTGTGGATGGTACATTTTCAACCACTTAGCAAACTGAGGCAAGCAATGCTAATATTGTTGATAGTTAAGCTATTAAAGAAGGGCTGTGCTTTCTATTGCATGCATTACACTGACACTATACTTTCTTTCCTTTCCTTTTTCCTGTGCCATGCTTGCTGTGTAGCAAATGGAATCTCTTGCAGTAAGTTGAAGTTTTCATATTCTTTGTCCATCTAGAGATGGACTAATACAGCCTGATTTTACTGGGTTTTTTTGTTTGTTTTTTATCTCTTGGCATGTTTTCCCTTTTTCTTTTCATTTTTTCCTTAGCAATTTTGATTCAACATATTATTAAAATGAGTAACTAAGTTGTGTTTTGAGTCACTTTTCTCTTGAAGCAGAAATCTAAGCTGCTATTACAAATTCTGGCATTGTCACATACCATTTAGAACAGCTGTTTAAATTAATTTTGAGTGTGAGTCAGTCTTGTTTAACAATCCAGACTCTAAGTAGCTTTAATAAGCTAGAATGGAGAGCGGAAGTGATTATTTTAAAACTTGTAATGTTTCAATATATCTATATGAAACATTGGAAATACTAATTTTAAATTAGGTTTTAAAATGTTTTCATTATATGCTAATTTGAACAATTTCACCATGTTGTCATTTCAATAAGTTATCCACAAATAAAAAAAAGTAAGCTGCATGATATGATAGTTAACGGCTGAAACTTACATTTAATTCAGATTAGTTTAGTCTTGCACAATTATGTTAGTTTAATTTAGTAGTCAGATGGGGAAAACTGAATGTTAAAACTATAGTATTGCCTATCCTAAAGGTTCAAAAATCACAAGTTAACCCCCCAAAATCATGAGATTTTAAAAAAATGTTATATTGTGTTTTTTTGGTTTGTGTTTGGTTTTTGAATTCTTCCCACCTGCCCCCAGTGCATGTGTGACAATTACTGTGGCCCACTTTTCCAAATTTCTTGGGTAAAATGGTTTTGACCCTGCAGCAAGAATCACCCCATATGTGCTCATTCCCCTGCCCAGGAATTAATTCTGCTCTCCGAATCCCCAAATCAGTTCTGTCCCCTTATGAGATCTGCCTGTCACATTAATTCTGCTCATCCCTAATTTTGACCCCTCAAGTTACCCCTTCAGTTCTGCCCCCACATCTGCCCTTCCTTCACATCAGTTCTGCACCCCATCCCCAAAACTCAGCACTGCTCCTTCTGGTGTGGGGGTGAGGGCAGCTGCAGTAGGTTTCTTCTTCTCCTCTTTGCCAGGCCAGGTGTTGCAAGAAGAGAGCAAGTTGTTCCCAGGAGGGAAGGAGGGAGTGGAGCTGCCCTAAGCTAATGCAATTTTTCTGTTCCTTCCTCCCCACTCTTGTGAGAATGGTTCCTGAGGGCACAGGGCAAAATCTCGGCCTGCTTCCTATAGCAGCCCTGGCTGGCTGCTCTTCCCCAGGAAGTGAGCATGTGGGGAAGGCAGCCAGTCAGAGGGGTTTTCCCTCCATATAGTGCTGAAATTCACCAGAGGGCAGAAGCGTCTCATGTCATTGTGAGACTGGCTCCAACCCTGGCCAAACTCTTGTGACTTGGGGAGATATTGCAAGGGTTGGTAACACTCTGATGAAATCAGAACCTTGTTTCTAACTAATTGCTGGTTACAAATTACAGAAGTATCATACTTAATCTCTCATGTAGGAGATGGGGAAGAAACACTTTGCATTGCTGTCAAGTTATTCCATCATGGAACCCTCAGAATGAGCTGTGTCCAGCCCTCCTTGTTCTAATAAAGAGTTGACACAATACTGGTTTGGGGTAGAGTTGGTGAAATGGACAATGTCTCATAAAGCCTTTTGTGAGGTATTTTTTGTTAACAAGCTTCTAAAGCAACAAAAGCAGCCACTGAGATTTTGTCTAGGCACAAGTCCTTTTGGTCCCTTTTGAAGCTTTAAACATTTTGTTTTTCTTTTAAAAAGTCTGTAAGACAAATCATCCCCTAGACAAGTTAATCCTTCCTGCATGAGAGACAGGAAGCTCCTTGAATTTGGATTCAAAGCATTTCCACCTCAGTTCAGTCAGGGACACAGAATTTGGCCCCTGGTCCACCTGTAGGGTTCAGAACCCCAAAACCCACACTCTGGGAAAGCCACAACTCTAGGTCCATCTGCTCCTTTGAACCTCATAACTGCTGTAGCTATTCCATGATACCTTGGTATCCTCAGTCCCCCCTTGGGGATGGAGTTGCACATCATGTTAGGAGAATCATTTTAAGTTAGTACTCCTGTGGCAATATTAACTTAAGATGGCAGGAATGATACCACAGAGACCAGAACTCCCCTTACCTATGGAACTTGATCCCCACCCTGGAGTACCATGAAGTGATTTCATCAAGGTTGAGGAAAAGGGGTTTTATGTAGCAAACCCAGCACTTCCTACCTCCCCCATGTCCACATGATTGGATTCACTGCTTTTTGTTCCTTTCCATTCATAGAAGCAGAAGGGAGCATTTGGCTCGGTTGGAGCACCGCCTTGTTATTCTTATTATCGCTTGTTACTTGTATTATCATAGCACCTAGGAGTCCAGGTCATGGGACAGGACCCCATTTTGGATTTCCTTTCTCTCAGAAGACATCCACTTTTGAATTTTAAAAGCATTATATATATGCAAGTTACTGCCCCTCTTTGTGCCTCAGTTTTACCATCTGTAAATTGGGGATAATGATACTGAACTCCTTTGTAAAGCACTTTGAGAGCAACTGATGAAAAGTGCTATATAAGAGCTAGGAATTATTATTTTGAACTGTGACCAGCTACAGACAAAACAATATCGTGGGTGTTTTCACTCTGATATGTGATCATAGTTTGGTAAAATCATGCCAACCAGCTTTTTCTTACCAGAGAAACAGTAATAGATATGTCCCCAAATATGTTTTATTGGCTGCACAGAAATGACCCAAAATCCGTTGCTCTTTATTAATGTTTTCTCTTCCTATACATCTTTCCTTAGCAATTGGAACTGTGTCAGAGATTATATAAACTCCACTTCCAGCTGCTGTTGCTTTTTCAGTCGTACTGTAAACTCATTGGACAGGTGCATGAAGTTAGTTCCATGCCAGAGGTATGTCGTAAGCACAACCAAGCCTTTTACTAAAATAATCACTGTATCTTTGTATTTTTATTTCTACATGATTTCACCAAAAATTAATCATTAACCTGAACTATGGGTCTCCAGACTAAATGTTTCTGTAACACTTCTTTGTCTGAATTAAAATGTGTTTAGGAATTATGCACTGTATGTAAGAGACAGTACAGTGATTCAAAGTTTGAGTTCTTTTATGCAGTCAGTCTTCAATGGTAATTTCAGTAAATTGCATGGTAATGAGTGAGAATACTAAATTAGGCCCAGTCCTGCAGAGATTTATTCAAATGCTTAATTTAACATGTTGGGATTACTCACACTATGTAAAATTAAGTACATGCATAAGTCTTTATAGGATCAAAGAAAATTTCAGGGAAATTGACCTTGCTTCCATTGTCTGGAAATGATTCTTATTCTAGGGCATGGTTGATGTTAGTTGGACTTTGTGGCCAGATCTACAGTAGGAGCACTTTGCCACTATAACGATACCAGCAAAGTGCTCTTAGTGGATGCAGTTTATACTGGCAATACTGCACTTTTGCTTATTCCAGATCTCCGAACGAAATAAAAAGCTTCTAGTGTAGATATAGTTATACCAGCAAAAGCACATTTTTTCTGGTGTAACTGAGTCTACACTAGCAGCTTTCCCACTGCAGCTGTGTCAGTCAGGGATCACACCTCTTCATACCCCTGACTTACATAGCTATGCTGGCAGAAGTTTGTAGTCTAGACTTGACCTTAAGCTTGTATTGTAAGTGTTCATGCCGTACCTCTTCTGTGGATTCACAAAGGTCTCCAGTCTCTGCTGCTGTCAATCTGACTCCATCCAAGAGTACTAAGTTCACTTAAAAGAAAAAATATTAAAATTATAGTGTACAAATAATCATATCATCATAGTCATTTAATTTTAATTTGATTCATAAAGATTGTATCGCTTGTTTTAGAAAATATTTCCTAAAATTTCTCACTATATCTTTGAGATACAGTAGTTCTAAAACCATGACACAGAAATGGTCTATTTTGAGCTTGATAGTTGGCCATTTCTCTTCAAATATTTCTACGCAGATTACTTCTTAAAATACTTCACATCAGCAGGCTTTGGAGGCAAATATATTCTCATAAATACTCCAAAACACATAATATATTAAGAAATGGTATTTTTCATGTAACCACTGTATATTCTGTGGTCATCACTGAAGAGAAGATGAGAAAATAAATTACAGCATATGTTTTTTTCCTTGTAAAAATTTATTATATATGAAAGTAGTGGGAAAGAATTAGAGCTTTTAATATGATTGTATTCTTAGAACAACAAGTTTCAAATTGTAAAGTGTATACAGCAAGTAGCTCGCAGATTCTGTAGTAATTGGGGATTGTTTAATTTATATAGTTATTGGTTTAATTCCGGTGTGATTGTGGTGTGGACGCTACACTCAATCTGAATATTACCCTATCTTTATCTTGAGAAGCTGCTGCCAAGTATGTTTTGTCGTTTTGCTAGGCTGTTCTTTTCAACGGTAATGGATCATATTGCAGAGGACAGTTATTAGGACTCTAGTACCATGAATGGTAGACTTTTTTTTTGTTTAAGATCTTAGTAATTTTTTTAGTAGAGAGTTGATTTTGTAAACATATTTTAGCACAATACCTGAAGTTAATGAGTGAATCAATGGGATCATTTGTTACAGTTGATGCAACCTACAGAGTGGAAAAAAACAATACGAGGAATAGTTTTAATCATGAAAGTAGCATGTTTTGCTGGATACATGAACTGTTATTTAAAAGAAATAGCCACTGTCAGTTGCTGTCACAGTCGATAGAACATGATATTCACATATTGTCATGTTCTGTTATATCCTTAGAAGCAAATTAAGGCATTGTGAATTGTCTATCTTTTGCCACGTTAAACTTTCTGTCCAGTAAAAAGGTTACACAACTACTATCTCCTTATTGAACATTTCAGGGGGCTGATCCTGTTAGATGTGATATATTTTGAAAGCTAGATGTGTTCTCATATGTTAAAAGCCAAATGCGAAGCAGAGGATTGAATAAAGAATAAAAATAAGATCTATTCAGTCTGTGTACATTAGATGCATATACTGTACACACCAATGAGAATTTTTTTGCCATTGAGATTGAAAAGTGTTGTTCTTGTATTAAAATGTTTGTTCATAAGCAACAAATAATTCTAATATGATGATAGAGCTTGTCTGAAATGTATTGCTGCTTCTTGATACAAAAGGAAAATATAAACATGTTCATCAATTCTTGTCTTTGAACAGCTCCTAAATATGTCAAGAGAACTGAGTGAATTAAAGAAAAATCTTAAAGATGCTACTGCTGTTATTGCAGCTGATCCTCTAAATATGGAAGCTGCCTTATCTGAGCCCACATTCAGTTCTACAGAAGCAGCCATTCAATCCATGTTGGAGTGTTTAAAAAATAATGAACTTGGTAAAGCATTACTACAAATAAGAGAATGCAGGCAAGTTTTCCCACATGATTTATACTAAACCGTCACATTATTAAAAATGCATGTTTTTATCGGTTTCCTAAGTGGATTGTTTCTCCAGCAAGAACATTTAAGTGATATCTGGAGTAACTTTGGGGATGTTAATACTAGATCAAACAAAACTCACTATCCTAATTTCTTTAATTATCGTACAGATCAAAAGTACTGCAGTGAAATTGTTATTGAAAATTAATTCACTTATAGGACCAGATCCTCAGCAGGTGTAAATCATTAGTTTACACCACCTAAGGATCCAGCCCATTGTCTTTTCCATTTCTTTGTATGTTTTCATTTTCCAGTTTTATATGATGGAGCTTGCATTTTATATGGTATGTGAATTCAGTGTCTAATATTCTGGGTCTGATTGACAAGTAAGTGTTGTGAAATTATTTAGTTCCAGTATGATTATAGATATGTAGAAAGTACAATTGATGTATATAACTAAGTAAAATATCATCCCACCAAACAAGTAATAACATAAATATGCTTTCCATTGGTTGCACTGCAGGAGTTTGTGGCCAAATGACATCTTTGGAAGCAATTCTGATGATGAGGTCCAGACACTACTGAACATTTACTTCCGGCATCAAACACTGGGCCAGACTGGCACTTATGCACTAGTGGGCTCCAACCAGAGCCTGACTGAGATCTGTACCAAACTAATGGAGCTGAATATAGAGATTCGCGACATGATTCGCAGAGCTCAGAGTTACCGGGTCATCAATACTTTTCTTCCAGACTCCAGTGTTTCTGGCACAAGTCTCTGACAGGAGTCTTGTGTCCCCTTTCTCTTTCAAGCTGGGAGTGCTGCCCTGCTGGAGTGAGGTGGTTCGATGTCTTCTCTGCCTTACAAAGGTTTGGTCAAACTGTACTCACTCTTGTTACATTTAGGACTTCTTCTAAAAAGAGGTGGGCAGAACTTCAAATGTGTAGCAATACTGTAAGGGCAAAGGAAGCATAGACTATCCAGAACAGAATCCTTTGTTCTGTGTTGCACAAAAATTGGTTAGCATTTCACTGAGCAACTGCAACTCACTACTGAAGAAGTGACTTCCATTGCATACCAAAGCCTACTACACTGAACAGTACTTCCTTTTTAGAAAATTATTTTAGATTGGCAAAAGTGCAATGTTTCCTTCACTATAGAATATTTTTTCTTATAAAACGTGAACATTTTTTCTCTTTTTTTGTCTTGTTTGATTGAGTGAAAGCTGGGCAAAATGAAGCTGGCCACAGAACATAGCAAAATTGGTCGAAAGCTGAGAGCCTGTGTATATGAATCAAATTGTAAATGGACTACAATTTACTGTACACTGTAATTTGAATATGATTACTGTATCTTAAAACAATGAGCTGCTATGAAGTACATTTCCTAATGTTGCTAGGCTACTGTTTCTGAAGGTACTGGATCATATTGCAGAGGTCTGTTCTTAGGCCCTGAATGCCATGAATGGTCTAGGTAGATTTTTCCCTTTTTTTCTTCTTCTTTTCGTTAAGGACTTTGGCTGCTTTTTACTAGAGGGTTGCTTTTATTAATATATTTATACTATTAAAGGATGGTTGATCTGATTTACCTTACCATTTTGTAGGAAAAAGTCACATCACATATTCAAAATCCTTTTGAACTGTCACGCATGCATATTTTTATTTAATATAAATTTGGACTATAAAAATTTAAAATATTAATGTGAAATGCAAGTTCTCACTTTAAGTTCTTAAAAAGATGTCTTATTTGATTTGTTATATATAAAGTCATTCTTGTATGTTTTTGTTTCCTTACATTTAACTGCTGTTAAATGTGTGCATGTAAATCTGTTGCACATCTGAGACACTCTTATTCAGACATTATATAACTTATTCAGGCTGTAAATACACTTAGTTTTTTGTGAAGTAACTTTGGTTGATATTTTGATCAGTACATTCATTTAACTAAAATATAAAAGTCATATATCACAACTGCGTATGTGCTGATTGGTTTGCTGAAAAACTTGTTCTTGACTGAGTCTACAATTCTGACTCAAGCTGTTAATAACATGCAGACACTGAAATGTTCATAATTATTTCCTTCCGAAAAGGCTAAGCCCATTATACAGAAAGAAAATGTAAGATATCTGTATTCTATTCCTTAGCAATAGCATGTACAGGGAAGAGCAAATTGACTGTAGATTTTTTAAAAAACAAGTTTCTAAAATCTCATGGTTTAAAGTTCAGTTCTGAAAAGTGACTATGAATATAACACTGCGGCCTTCCAGTTTTGTGTCGGAACGATTTCCATCTCATGTGTTCTTGGTTTATAGGTACTAACATCTTCTAACTGGCAACGTTGCCAATTCAGTCTGGCATCTGAGAGTCAAGTAGCATTTCTTCCTTTGAACACACAATGACTTGCCACCCTTCTCTTATTCCTTGCTTGCACAGCCATAATTGATTGACCCTGTAATTGGAACTTGGTAAACAACTGTGTTGCTGCACAAAAAGGTATATAACCCATCTCTCAGATCTGCGTTGACCCTGTAGGGCCACAAGTACTAAAAAAAACCACTTCTAGTTGTATGACTGAATAGACACAGGGAAAAAGTCTGTTCAGGAAGAAATGCTGTTACACATAAAAAGTTTCTACTCTGAAAAAAATTACTAAAGATAATGGAAAACAAGATATCAAATGTCAGCTATATATTTCATTTCTAAATACTGTTTTGACTGACTTTCATTAGTAAAGTACTGTAAGAACTTTGTGTCGGTGCTCAGTAACAGCACCTGTTTCAATATATTTACACCCATCTGGGATTTTTGTGATAAAATAAATAGGGATCCCAATTTGCATCTATGTGGATGCATCCAAGTATTGAAGCTGGTCACTGGGACCTTGTTTTCCTGAGTGAACTTAGTAATAGGAACTTGGTTTTAGCCAATAGAACTATTAGAAGAAATAGACCGTTGAAGCTGGAGAGGTAGAAGATTTAATTAATCACATTCTCCCTTGTCTGCCCATTTACTCTTAAAATTGCCAGCCAGTCCCCTATGAATAATAAATGTTAGAATTTTCCCTTCAAATCCCCACTGCCAGCTGACTATACTGTGTGACTGAATGCAGCTCCCACAATGGAGCAGCTACTATTGCTTCAAATTAAATCTCCTTGAAGGAGCATCTATTGAACAGTGCACTTTTTCCTAAACTGCAAAAATAGTTTGAGGGAAAGTAGGTACTATCATACAGGAAAACTTTATTATTCTGTAGGAAAAACATGTTGTACCCCTGGATAAAATTTAGTCAACTTAATGGCTATGGTGACTATAGCCAAACTGCATATCAGTTTAATGTACCTGCCTGAAAGCCTAAAAATAGAAATGACACTCCTCCCCTATCCACCATCTTCCCACTCAACTGCTCAGTGCAGTTCATGGGTTATTTCATGGGTTTGGGAAATAACTCAGCAACAATGGAGTTAAACTTGTCAGTGCAATACATACAGATCCTCTGGCAGAGCAAGAATTTAATACATGAAATTAAGATCCTGGACTCTGCAGGGCCTTACTCTAATCACCTCTGCCCTTTATCTTAACTGTTGTGACTAGGTTAATGTACAGACACGTTGGAACTCAGCCCCATACCTCAGTGATACCTGCAACTTGGGGTATGTCTTAATGCTCTTTGTGAAGACTCAGGTTTTGCAATACTTTATTTTTGTCACATTACTAAGGAAAGAGGAGTTCTAGACTTCCCAGCACAACTGAGTTTTTCTACCAGTGCCTCAGCAATTACCAGAGCCACACTAAACATAATCAAGCACCACAACTACTGTGAAGGCCAACTGAAGTTTTTGGTACAGGAATTTAGAGTGGGATTCCAGCCAATGTGAAGAACTGCCTTCTGTCAAGTATTAGTGACTTCTTCAGTTATGAACTGAGGTAAGTTACTCATGTTTTCATACTTGACATTACTTCAGTCCAAATTTGTGTGCACATTTGTTGTTTCCCAGAAGCAGACTTTGACTATGGAACCTAGCTATCACCTAGCAACAAATCATAATGATTTAGACCCAAGTCTTGCAGACACTTACATGTAAAGCTAAAGACCTGCAAAAGTAGTCAAATTATTTCAGCCTACCAAGTACACATGTGCATGAGTGTTTGCAGGAATCAGGGTCTTCATTTGTGCAGTTATCCAAGCTAGGAGTCATACCTGAACCATGAGGGTGCTTGGATTAAAGACCAGTATATACAACTGAAGATAGCCGAAAGGGTGACAAACTAACTTGGACCTTGTAATTAATTTTAAGGTCTCCTGAATTTGCTACAGTTCTTAGAGTGTCTTTCACCATTCATATAATTTACCTGGCACTGGATTGCTTCCACTCAGTAAGGATTGAAGCCCTTTTAGCATTTGCAACAGAGTTGTTTAAAGTAAACCTAAGAAATGTAAATGCTTAGTTACCACTGTGACACTTACATTCAGAAATATTTCCTAGACAGATCCTAAATTTGTGTCATGTCAGATTATTCTTATTAGAGGAAGAGTTCCTCCACTCTACAAACTAGAATATGGATAATAAGGATTTCAGTACATTGTTAGCTACCTTGTTACTTCCAGAAATGCACCACACATAGGTGCTTTCCAATCTGGTTTTTCAGTCTTTACAATGAAAATAGCCATACTTCTGTTCCAAGAACTGTGACAGAGAAAGTTCAGTCATAACCTGCTAGAATACAAGGCACTGAATCAAGTCCCTTTTTATGTTCTTCCATGTGACTGATCCTGGATTTTTAGGGGGTTGCACTACACCAGTATTAGAAAAGAGCTAAACCGCTGTGAGCTTCAGTGGTTACATGATTATGCATAACCATGAAGCGTGGATCTCTATCCCTCATCCTTTTTTAAAGGCAAGAATTTTTCATGAGACCACAGAACTTTTAACTGTAGCAGTGTTTGCCTTGTAATCCTTTAGAAAGAGTGTAAGTCCCTGATTCAGGAATGCTTTTAAGCAGCATGTGCTTAAAACCATTCAGGATAGGATTTAGCCTGTGAATCACTGGCCCTAGTATTTACCTAGAAATCCTATGCTAGAATTGCTAAGTATTTCCTTCACTTGCAGTTAGCATTAAGGTAGTGTGTTGAGACCCTGGTGAGGGAGTTCAGTTACATTTGGAGGTGTCCCCTCCCACCTCCCAAAAATTGGAGTTAAACCAGTGTTCTCAACCTGTAGCCCAGCCAGCACAGAGCTGCGGCCCATGTGACATCCTCAGGGCCATATAGGTAGTATTGAACACAGCCCACAATGGTAAATAGGTTGAGAACCACTGGTGCAGCTTTGATAAGGAGTACTTCATATAAACTGTATCCCAAAGCATTTTAGCAATCACTCAAGAAAGGGAAAGGGAAAGAAACAGGTAGATGCAATAAAAGGTGTTTAGAGTTTGAACGAGCTAGAATAAGATGAAGAAAGACCATTCTAAATAATATCAGATGCCCTAGAGCCGTGGTCTCTAACCTTTTTACGCACAAGATCATTTTTTGAATTTTAGTGTAACCTAGGATCTACACCGCCCCTTCCCCGAGGCCCCGCCTCACTCACTCCATTCCCCCCCCCCATCACTTGCTCTCCCCCACCTTCACTCACTTTCACCAGGCTGGGGCAGGCAGTTGGGGTTCAGGAAGGGGTGAGGGCTCTGGGATGGAGTTTGGGTGCAGGAGGGGGCTCCAGGCTGGGGCAGAGTGTTGGGGTGCAGGAAGGGGTACAGGGTGCTGCCTCCAGGAGGGGGGTCAGGGCTGGGGGTGCAGGAGGGGGCTTGGGGTGCTGGCTCCAGGAGGGGGGTCAGATGCAGGGTCCCGCCAGGCAGCACTTACTGCTGGTGGCTCCTGGTTGGTGGTGTAGTGAGGCTGCCGCTAAGGCAGGCTACTTGCCTGCCCTGGCCCCACATTGCTCTTGGAAGGGGCCAATGCGCCCCTGTGGCTTAAGGAGAGGGTAAGGGATCTCCATGCACTGCTCCTGCTTGCAAGCACTGCCCTCACAGCTCCCATTGGCCACTGTTCCCCATTCCCGGCCAATGGGAGCTGCAGGGGTGGTGCTTGTAAGCAGGAGCAGCATGCAGAAACCTCTGCTCTCCCCCCCACAAAGCCACAGGGTTGCGCTAGCAGCTTCCGGGAGCAGCCTGGGGCCAGGGCAGGCAGGGAGCCTGCCTTAGCAGCAGCCCCACTACACCACTGGAGCTCACAATCAACGGAGAGAGCCTCCAGGATTGACCAGAAGATCGCGATCGACCAGTTGGTGACCACTGCCCTAGAGAATACTAATTGAACAGAAGTAACCAATGCTAAAAAATAAATTAAAAATGGAGTATAAACAGGGAGTGTGGAGCATATAACAGGGAGTGTTATGTAGGCCATCCTGTCCCATCACTATAAGGTCTAATCAAATCCATGAAGGATTTTAAGACTACAGAAGTTATCTGGATCTTAAAATTAAGAGACATTACAGCTGGAGGGTGGTGCTAGTATGGTTGCACTTATGCTTTAAGAGATGCAAGAATGTTCAGGAACATGGATACCATGCTAGTGGAGATCAGAGAGGTAGCCATGTTCAAAAATGAGATTGCTACCAGACCCACTTCTTCCAATCCCACACAACCCATTGCTGCCATCAGCCATAGGAAATTCTCATTAAGCCTGGATTAGATTTTTATTGGTAAATGTCAGTAAATGTTGACTTCACTGTGCACAAGCCAAACAGTTCCATCAACAGAAATTTTAGACAGGCAAAGAAGAGCGTGCTACTTGAGAACTTAGTTTAATTTAAGGATATTCACTTAGTATATCTTGACATGTCATGTTGACAATTTGTGTTTTAATGGATATAAAGCTTTAACTTTGAATCTCAATGTCAATTGTAAATAAAAAGTTAATGACTCCCCTTATAATTTCCTGCAACTATGAATATTTAAATTGAAAAAAATCTATAAATGCTCAAAAATAAACTATTGGTCAAAATGATTTGTGACCACCCTTCATATGACAGTGGCTAGGTAGGTGGAGAACTAACATCCCTTATTCACATCTCAGAGATTATGCCCCTACGCTGTGCAAATACAACCTTGTCCAGTTCCCCCTCCCCTTCCCTCTTGCCCCTGTTCAGCCTGAACATTTCTCCAGCCCCGGCAACGTTTCCAGCTTTTTGTCCAGCGCCGGGCACAGTGGGGTTCACGGCCGCTCCTGCACTGCAGCCATTGGGGCAGCAGCTCCTACCTAGGGGAAACCTCTGTCGGTGATATTGTGCAGCGGGAGCTGGACGGTGCCTGCTAAGGGGCGGAGCCAGGGCTGAGTCTGGGCTGCTGAGCCGGCGGGTCACAGTGGAGGGGAGGAAGGCGGCTCTGCCCTAGCCAGGACCCCGTTTCCCACTCCGTGCACTTCGCAGTGAGCCCTGGTGTAGAGGGAGCCCAGCCCACCTGGAAGGCAGATCTCCGTCTCAGCAGCCCTCCTCCCAGCGGCGCCTTCTAAGTCTCCTCCCACTGCGACAGCTGGGTAGGGGCGGTGGCCTCCGCCTGGCTCCTCTCACTGGGGTCTTCCTCCGGCTGCAGCGCCGCCTGCTCCCCGTCGGCTCCCTCCTTCCTCTCCAGGGCCGTGGGCAGTGCCTCCTGCTCCACCTTAGGCCCGGCCGCCTTGGGCAGGGTGAAGAGGTGCCGGTTCAACCCAGGCGAGTAGATGGCCGGGGCCACCTGGCTGAAGCAGGCCGAGGGGCTCTGTGGGCGGCCGCCCTGCAGTGTTTCGGGGCCCCATCGAGCACTGCACCAAAGCATCCACCCATGGGTTCACCTGCACCCCCACCTCCTTGGTGTTGGCCTTGCAGAGCCGTGGGGTGAGGCCCAGGCTCACTGGGGACAGCAGCCCCTTGAGCTGCACCTGCTTGTAGCTGTCCAGGTAGTCAACGGGCTCCGGAGTGGCTTCTGGGGAGGGGGTTGTCAAGGTTCCTCCCCCACTCTGAACTCTAGGGTACAGATGTGGGGACCTGCATGAAAAAACCCCCTAAGCTTATCTTTACCAGCTTAGGTCAAAACTTCCCCAAGGTACAAAATATTACACCCGTTATCCTTGGAATGGCCGCTACCACCACCAAACTAATACTGGTTACTGGGGAAGAGCTGTTTGGACGCGTCTTTCCCCCCAAAATACTTCCCCAAAACCTTGCACCCCACTTCCTGGACAAGGTTTGGTAAAAAGCCTCACCAATTTGCCTAGGTGACTACAGACCCAGACCCTTGGATCTTAAGAACAATGAACAATCCTCCCAACACTTGCACCCCCCCTTTCCTGGGAAATGTTGGATAAAAAGCCTCACCAATTTGCATAGGTGACCACAGACCCAAACCCTTGGATCTGAGAACAATGAAAAAGCATTCAGTGTTTTACAAGAAGACTTTTAATAAAAATAGCAGTAAATAGAAATAAAGAAATCCCCCCTGTAAAATCAGGATGGTAGATATCTTACAGGGTAATTAGATTCAAAAACATAGAGAACCCCTCTAGGCAAAACCTTAAGTTACAAAAAAGATACACAGACAGAAATAGTTATTCTATTCAGCACAATTCTTTTCTCAGCCATTTAAAGAAATCATAATCTAACACATACCTAGCTAGATTACTTACTAAAAGTTCTAAGACTCCATTCCTGTTCTGTCTCTGGCAAGAGCAGCACACAGACAGACACAGACCCTTTGTCCCTCTCCCTCCTCCCAGCTTTTGAAAGTATCTTGTCTCCTCATTGGTCATTTTGGTCAGGTGCCAGCGAGGTTACCTTTAGCTTCTTAACCCTTTACAGGTGAGAGGAGCTTTCCCCTGGCCAGGAGGGATTTCAAAGGGGTTTACCCTTCCCTTTATTTTTATGACACGCCCCCCAAATCTCAGCTAGGGTGAAACACTGGCTGGGATTTCTTCCTGGAGCTCTAGGAAAAACAGAGTTAATAAGACACATGCATCTCTAAATATACTACCAAGTACATAAAGACTAACAATATTTTCCACATCTCAAGGACGATTTTAACCAGTTGATTCTGGGAAACTTTCACGGGAGAGTGCATCAGCCACTTTGTTAGAAGCTCCTGAGATGTGTTGGACGTCGAAATCAAAATCTTGGAGAGCTAAACTCCACCAAAGAAGTTTTTTGTTAGTTTCCTTGACGGTGTGAAGCCACTTCAGTACAACATGGTCGGTTTGCAGGTGGAAACGCTGTCCCCAAACATATGGGCGTAGCTTTCCCAGAGCGTAGACAATGGCGTAACGTTCTTTTTCAGTGACTGACCAGTTGCTTTCCCTCTCAGACAGTTTTTTGCTGAGAAACACTACAGGGTGGAATTCTTGATCAGGTCCTTTCTGCATTAAAACTGCTCCCACACCACGCTCAGATGCATCTGTGGTTACTAGGAACGGTTTGTCAAAGTCTGGGGCCCTTAGTACAGGGTCAGACATGAGTGTCGCTTTAAGCTTGTTAAAGGCCTTCTGACACTTTCCGGTCCACTGAACAGCATTTGGCTGTCTCTTTTTGGTTAGGTCTGTCAGTGGGGCAGCGATTTGGCTGTAGTGCGGTACAAATCGTCTGTAATAACCGGCCAAGCCTAAGAAGGATTGAACCTGTTTCTTTGACTTTGGGACAGGCCACTTTTGGATAGCATCCACTTTGGCCTGTAGGGGGCTGATAGTTCCTTGACCCACCTGGTGTCCAAGGTAAGTCACTCTGTTTAGGCCTATTTGACACTTCTTAGCCTTAACAGTTAGTCCTGCCTCCCTTATGCGCTCAAGGACTTTTTGTAGATGTTCCAGGTGGTCTGCCCAGGAATCCGAAAATATGGCCACATCGTCAAGGTAGGCGACTGCATATTCTCCTAATCCCGCTAGGAGACCATCTACAAGTCTTTGGAAAGTGGCGGGTGCATTTCGCAGCCCGAAAGGGAGTACATTAAATTCATACAGCCCGAGATGTGTGATGAAGGCTGACCTTTCCTTGGCAGATTCATCTAGCGGTACCTGCCAGTACCCCTTGGTTAAGTCCAAGGTAGAGATGAACTGGGCCCGTCCCAGTTTCTCTAATAGTTCATCTGTGCGTGGCATTGGATAGTTGTCTGGGCGAGTTACAGCATTTAGCTTACGGTAGTCCACGCAAAAACGTATTTCCCCATCTGGTTTGGGAACTAGAACCACTGGAGATGCCCATGCACTTTCAGAGGGGCGGATTACCCCCATCTGTAACATATCCTGGATCTCCCGTTCTATAGCAGTTTTAGCTTGAGGAGACACCCGGTAAGGTTGGACCCTAATTGGGTGAGCATTACCTGTGTCAATGGAGTGGTATGCCCGTTCAGTCAGTCCTGGGGTGGCTGAGAACATTGGCGCGTAGCTAGTGCACAGCTCCTGGATCTGCTGTCGCTGCATACGCCCAAGGGTCATGGAGAGGTTCACCTCTTCCACACCACCAGCACATTTCCCTTCGTAGTAAACACCTTCAGGCCCCTCAGCGTCGTCTCCTCCCTGGGCTGTAAACTGACAAACCTTTAATTCTCTGGAATAAAAGGGCTTTAGAGAATTAATATGGTACACCTTAGGCTTTCGGTTGGAGGTGGGGAATGCTATGAGATAATTAACAGCTCCCAGGCGCTCCTGGACCAGGAATGGCCCTTCCCACGATGCTTCCATTTTATGGGCCTGGAGCGCCTTTAAGACCATGACCTGGTCTCCTACTTTGAAGGAACGCTCTCTGGCATGCTTATCATACCAGGCTTTTTGCTCTTTTTGAGCATCCTGTAAGTTTTCTCTAGCAAGGGCTAAAGAGGTTCGGAGGGTGTTTTGTAGGTTGGTTACGAAGTCCAGAATGTTAGTTCCTGGAGAAGGTGTAAATCCCTCCCATTGCTGCTTCACCAACTGCAATGGCCCCTTAACCTCACGGCCATATACAAGTTCAAATGGGGAAAACCCTAAACTGGGATGTGGTACAGCTCTGTAGGCAAAGAGCAACTGCTGCAACACTAGGTCCCAATCATTGGAGTGCTCATTTACAAATTTACGTATCATGGCCCCCAAAGTTCCATTAAACTTCTCCACCATGCCATTTGTTTGATGGTGGTAAGGAGTGGCAACCAAGTGATTTACCCCATGAGCTTCCCAAAGGTTTTTCATAGTTCCTGCCAGGAAATTAGTCCCTGCATCTGTGAGGATGTCGGAGGGCCAACCTACCCTGGCAAAAATGTCTGCTAGTGCCTGGCACACACTTTTAGCCCGGGTGTTGCTTAGAGCTACTGCTTCTGGCCATCGGGTGGCAAAATCCATGAAAGTCAGTATGTACTGCTTTCCTCTGGGTGTCTTTTTCGGAAAAGGACCCAGAATATCCACAGCTACTCGCTGAAATGGAACTTCAATGATGGGGAGGGGTTGTAGAGGGGCTTTGACCTGGTCTTGGGGTTTTCCCACTCTTTGGCACACCTCACAAGACTGGACATAGGTAGAAACATCCTTGCCCATTCCCTCCCAGTGGAATGACCCCCCCAAACGGTCTTTGGTCCTGTTCACCCCAGCATGGCCACTAGGGTGATCATGGGCTAAGCTCAAGAGCGTGGCCCGGTATTTAGTTGGAACTACCAACTGTCTCTGAGGATGCCAGTCTTCCTGGTGTCCACCAGAAAGAGTTTCCTTGTATAAAAGTCCTCTTTCTATAACAAACCTGGATCGATTAGAAGAGCTGAGAGGCGGTGGGTTGCTCCGTGCCGCCGTCCAAGCTCTCTGGAGGCTTTCATCTGCTTCCTGTTCGGTCTGGAACTGTTCCCTTGATGCTGGAGACATCAGTTCCTCATGGGATTGTGGACCTAGGCTTGGTCCCTCTGGAAGTGATATAGGGGATGGAGCTGTTTCTGTTGACTGTGAACCGCTCTCCGCTGGTGCACTATGTTGGGATTCAGGCTCCGGCTGAGCCTCTTGTGTAGGGTTATCGGCTGCTGCCAGTTCAGGTTCGGTGGGGCCCTCTGTTGTTGAGGTTGCAAGTACTGGATTCAGTTGTGACACGGGGTCTGGTGTTGGTTGTTCGGCTGGTTCCGGTTCTGGGACTGGTTCCGTCTGGGTCTCTGGGACTGGATCCACTACTGCTGTTGCAGACATTGGCCTGGGGTCCAGGTCCATCACCTCTGACTGGGTCCTGATAGAAGTTTCCGGAACAGAGCTAGGCCTCACGGCTTGTTTAGCCTGGCTGCGGGTGACCATTCCCACCCTCTTGGCCTGCTTCACATGATTGGCCAAGTCTTCCCCCAACAGCATGGGGATGGGATAATCATCATAGACTGCAAAAGTCCACATTCCTGACCAGCCCTTGTACTGGACAGGCAACTTGGCTGTAGGCAAATTGAAAGAGTTGGACTTGAAGGGTTGAATCGTCACTTGGATCTCTGGGTTGATTAAATTGGGGTCCACTAAGGAAGCATGGATAGCTGACACTTGTGCTCCGGTGTCCCTCCACGCGGTGACCTTCTTCCCGCCCACACTCACAGTTTCCCTCCGCTCCAAGGGTATCTGGGAGGTATCTGGGCCTGTGGACCTCTGGTGTGATTCCGGTGCAATGAACTGTAATCTGTTGGGGTTCTTGGGGCAGTTGGCCTTTACATGCCCCAGCTCGTTACACTTAAAACATCGTCCAGCTGACGGGTCACTGGGGCGAGGAGGGTTGCTGGAGAACGGGGTGGTGGGACGATAAGGGGTCTGGAGGGTTCTTTGGGAGGTAGGTGGGGCTTTGGGCGGCCCCCGGTAATAGGGTGTGGTCTGGGGTGGTCCCTTCTGGTCTCCGCTCCAACTGCGACCAGTTTTCTTCTTCTCTGCCACCTCCACCCATCTGGCTCCAATCTCTCCTGCCTCAATTACAGTTTTGGGTTTCCCATCTAGGATGTATCTTTCTATTTCCTCAGGAACACCCTCTAAGAATTGTTCCATTTGCATTAGGAAGGGCAAATTTACTGGAGATTCAACACTTGCTCCTGATATCCAGGCATCCCAATGTTTCACAATGTGGTAGGCATGTCGGGTAAATGACATGTCTGGTTTCCACCTTAGGGCTCTGAACCTCCGACGAGACTGCTCGGGTGTTATCCCCATTCTGACTCTCGCCTTGGATTTAAACAGTTCATACTTGTTCATGTGTTCTTTAGGCATTTCAGCTGCCACCTCAGCTAAGGGTCCACTGAGCTGCGGCCTCAGCTCTACCATGTATTGGTCAGTAGAGATGTTGTACCCAAGGCAGGCCCTTTCGAAGTTTTCTAAGAAGGCCTCAGTATCATCACCTGCCTTGTAGGTGGGGAACTTTCTGGGATGGGAAGTGGTACCTGGAGAAGGATTGCTAGGGTTTGTTGGTATATTCTGCTGGGCCTTTATCCTCTCCACCTCCTCCACATGCTTCCTCTCTTTTTCCTTCTCCTCCTCCACATGCTTCCTCTCTTTTTCCTTCTCCTCCTCCACATGCTTCCTTGCCTCCATTTCCCTCTTGTGGGCAGCCTCCTGTACCTCCTTCTCCAGCCGCATGAGTTCTATCTGTCTTTCATGTTCCCTTTGTCTTTCCTCAGCCTGAAATTTGGCTAATTCCAGCTGTAGTTGAGCTGAGGATTTGGTCATTCTAACCTCTCTGTTTTTAACTAACTTTACACCTGAGGTTTAGAAATAAACAAACAAAACTTGGCTGTAAAATTTTGCTGTGCTGCAATAGAATACCTATTCTCTGATAGTGATTGTCAGCCTACAGAAAAAGACAATTCCCTTGTCTCTGCTCTGGGCCCAAATTAAAGCAAAAAACCTCCAACTACTTGGAAACCTGCTTACCCAGCCCAAAGAAAAAGCAAATGGATAGAACACACACCCCCTATTTACTTTTAGGAGAAAGAAAAAAAAAAAAACCTCTGGATTGGAAGATTTCCCTGCAGGAGTTAAGTACCCTGCCTCCAGGCAAAAAAAACCTGCAATTCACAAGATAATCCCCTTTTGTCTCTGCTTGGCCACAAAGCAGAGAGAAACCAAGCTGCTTTCAGTTTCAAAGCTGCTTTCTGGACTTTCTTTCCAAAGAAAAAAAAAATTTCCTTTTTAAAATCTGTATTTCTAGTTCAAAAAATCTCAACTGGATCTCAGATGATTTCAGGTTAATCCCACCACTGTGCCACCATGTCACGGTTCCTCCCCCACTCTGAACTCTAGGGTACAGATGTGGGGACCTGCATGAAAAAACCCCCTAAGCTTATCTTTACCAGCTTAGGTCAAAACTTCCCCAAGGTACAAAATATTACACCCGTTATCCTTGGAATGGCCGCTACCACCACCAAACTAATACTGGTTACTGGGGAAGAGCTGTTTGGACGCATCTTTCCCCCCAAAATACTTCCCCAAAACCTTGCACCCCACTTCCTGGACAAGGTTTGGTAAAAAGGCCTCACCAATTTGCCTAGGTGACTACAGACCCAGACCCTTGGATCTTAAGAACAATGAACAATCCTCCCAACACTTGCACCCCCCCTTTCCTGGGAAATGTTGGATAAAAAGCCTCACCAATTTGCATAGGTGACCACAGACCCAAACCCTTGGATCTGAGAACAATGAAAAAGCATTCAGTGTTTTACAAGAAGACTTTTAATAAAAATAGCAGTAAATAGAAATAAAGAAATCCCCCCTGTAAAATCAGGATGGTAGATATCTTACAGGGTAATTAGATTCAAAAACATAGAGAACCCCTCTAGGCAAAACCTTAAGTTACAAAAAAGATACACAGACAGAAATAGTTATTCTATTCAGCACAATTCTTTTCTCAGCCATTTAAAGAAATCATAATCTAACACATACCTAGCTAGATTACTTACTAAAAGTTCTAAGACTCCATTCCTGTTCTGTCTCTGGCAAGAGCAGCACACAGACAGACACAGACCCTTTGTTTCTCTCCCTCCTCCCAGCTTTTGAAAGTATCTTGTCTCCTCATTGGTCATTTTGGTCAGGTGCCAGCGAGGTTACCTTTAGCTTCTTAACCCTTTACAGGTGAGAGGAGCTTTCCCCTGGCCAGGAGGGATTTCAAAGGGGTTTACCCTTCCCTTTATTTTTATGACAGGGGTGGTGGGGACGCCCAGGAAAGGGCTGCTGCCTTTGCTTTGCTTCCAGTTGGGCTGCTTCTGTTTGGGGCCCACCGAGCCCCTGCTGTGGCTGGACGTGAAGGTGCCGCTGTACCCCTGGTACACACTGTAGGGGGGATAGACAAATCTCTCCATGGCCTGCTAATGCTTCTCCCCTCCCTCTTCATCTAGAGAAAGATAGCCTGGGCCCACAACCCCCACTTTTATCCTGCAAGGAACTGCTGGTAATTAATGCTAACCTATAGGGAAACTGACATTGCTCCTGGGTAATTAGCAGCTCCTTGGATAGTCAGCACAGGCTTGGCTCAATGCCCCCTTCCCACACCCCCTCCTCAATGATTCTGCAAAGGGGGAGGGGATTCAGTGATTAATTAAGAATGAGATTCAACTCACAAAATGAGTGTGATTATTAAATGCACACCCAACAAAATCCCCCTCCCCTCTCCGCAGAGGAATAGGAGAGACTGTAATACAAGGCACATACTCCTCCTTCCCCATCCCCAGAAGGGGAGACTGCAACACACACGGCAAAATCCTACAGTATATTCAGTATTCATCCCAGTCTTTATAAACACTGCCTAAAATCCATTGCCCACTAGGAAGTATGCCTTCCCATCTCCTATCACTCTCAATATACCCAAACATGAGGAAGGCTAGTGGTAGAAGTCTGATTAAATGAATGAGATTTTCTCTTCCAAAAATATACAATTTTAAATGTCCCATTAGCACAGATACATACATTAATCATCACAAGAGGGAAAGACTTTAAACACTGTTATAACATCAATCTCTAGTGAGAGAAAAGTCAGCAGCCAGTCTGTCAAAATCCCCAATCCTGTAAATATGTGCATGCTTACATTTACTTACACTAGTAGTCCCATTATAATCAATTACACTGCTCACATGCTCAAAGTTAAGAATGTATATGTTTGCAGGATTAGGATCTAAATGAGCATGTCTCCATTCTCCAGCTCCAAAAAAAGGGTGATATTTTACGTTACACAGAATAAGCAAAATACTTTACAAAGTTCCACACGTGCAAAAATTCATTATGAGTTTGGTTCTTTTCTTGTAACTAAAGTAATGTTGTGGTGTCTTTGGTGGAAAGGGAAACCCATATTTCACATGTTCAAGTAAACTGTTGATTACTTTATATTCAGACCTTGAATGAAATGTGTTGTATAACAATATGAGTGAAATTCTGGCCCCACTGAGGTCAAAGGCAAGATGTTCATTGACTGCAATAGGCCCTGGATGTCACCTGATAGCTTACCTATAGTTTGTAATATTTGTAAACATGAAAACCTTTATAGCTTAAACCAATATTTTGAATTGCACCTGAGAGACAAGGTGTGTAAGGTAATATCTTGTATTAGACCTGCTTCTATTGGTGAGAGAGGCAAGCTTTCGAGCTGCACAAAGCTCAGACTTGAGGAAGAGGTCTGTGAAGCTTGAAAGGTTGTCTCTCTTGTCAACAGAAATTAGTCCAATAAAAGTTATTACCTCACTCACCTTGTCCTTGTGATATCCTGTGATCTACACAGCTACAGCAGCACTGTATACCTGAATTCTGTGCAGTTCACCTAACACAGGTGTCCTCATACTGACTCATTCCACTAATCAGATAAGCTACAGCATTTTACACTAAATGCATGTAGCTTCCTAATGATCTTCAAGTGTTGCCCAAAGTAGAAAACATTGCAACAAAGGCTTTATAGTTTCAGTAATATCCCCATAATCAACAAGGATTGCAATTGTTTAGCTACCTGCAAATTATAAAAAGCGCTACAAGCCACTCTGAGAATCCAAAATCAGTCAAGGTCTAAAACAGGGGTCTCCAACTCAAATGACCATGAAGGCCACATGAGGACTAGTACATTGGCCCAAGGGCCGCACCACTGACCACCCCCATCCTCACTGCTGCCCTGGCCCCACCCCCACTCCACCCCTTCCGTGAGGCCCCGCCCCTTCCCCACCTCTTCCCACCCCTTCCCTGCCCCCCTTCCAACCCCTTCCCTGGGGGACACCACTATTTACCTATCTCCATTCTGAAAACTGACCATTTATGCCTACCATTTTTCCTATCTTTTAACCAGTTACTGATCCATGAGAGGACCTTCCCCCTTATCCCATGACTGCTTACTTTGCTCAAAAGCCTTTTGTGATGGACCTTGTCAAAGAGGTAGCAAAATTTGTAGAAGACACAAAGTTATTATATTAGTCAGGACCAAAGAGGGCTGAGGAAATGCAGAGAGACTTAACCAAGGTAGGTGAATGGGCAACACGATATCAGCTTAAATTCTATATTGAGAAATACAAAGTTCTGCACATTGGAGGAGAAAAATTTACTATTCAGACACCTTATAGAGTTCTAAATTAACTGTACCAATTCAGGAAAGATGAGGCATCATTGTGGCCACCTCAGTTAAGACCTCTGCTTAATGCGCACAAATTGAAATTAGATTCTGAAGTCATTGCTGCAGGATGTTGAGGCCAAGAATTTAGCAAGATTGGATGCTTTTATGGATAACAAGAATATGCAGAGTTATACTGATTAATACTAACAAAAAGTATTGAAAAGGACACAAACCTTGTGTTTCAGGGCTTAAGACAATGTCTAACTAGTAGGGATTAGGATGAGACCTTTATAGAGGGGCTTATTCTTCTGCCCATTGGTACATCTACTGTAGGGTTTCTTGCATCTTCCTCTGAAGCATCTGGTGTTGGCCATTGCCAGAGACAGGATATTGGACCAGATGGATCCTGATCCAGTATGGCAATTCTTATATTATTACTCTGTGTGTAGGTAAGTGATGGGAAATGGTAATAGTGGCCTGGGTGGGAGGGCTCTGATAAGAGAGATCTCTGGACATAAAGGGCAGTTAGTTACTAGACAGTGGCAAGAGAGAGGGGTTTGCTTTCAAAGGATGTAAACCATTTACTTTCTTTTTTATCTATAATGAAGCTGAGAATACCTTATGTACTCTAGTTTATGAGAAGTAAAAATGTAGATACATTAAGCAAATAATTTTATTTTACTTATATGTTCTTTCTATTTTGAATAAAATTTGTTTTTGTTAAGACTGTTGTTATATGGACAATTTCATGCAATACATCCACAAAGTAAACACTGTAGTCTCTAATGGGAGGTACTGAGAGAAAAGAGTTTCTGGAAGCTAAATCCTCCTTTCAGTTTTGGTCATGTGGACCTGGACAAAGATGTCCTATCCCAGTGAGTTGTGTTGTCAAGAGTAAATAAATGATTCTGCAGTTAGCGTATGGTGGGGACACACATTGAGGGATGAGGATAAACAGAAATATTAAATAGCTGCTCATTCAGTGAGCACCATCCGTAATGTCACTGAATGACATACAGACATGGCTGGAAAAATAGTATGTGATTATGTAGTTAGAGATATGCATACACACAAGTAGCCAAATGAAGATTGCACAGGAATTCTTAACACTAGAATTTCCTAGATTTTGAGTACATGACTTTGCAACTTTAGCTTTCTTTTATCATAGCTTATTTTTTAAAGTGGAAATTTCAAGTTTTTTTTTTCATTTATAACCATATTGACCCTCCTCCTGGGTCATCAGCACATCTGGGACTCTTACATCCACTGTACAGACTTCTACCGCTTGAGCTAATGGAGGAACTGATACTTGTAGTAGGCTATCCTCCTCTCTGTGGACCAGCCACTACAGAGGAATAAGACACACATATTACCAGTGGGATACCTAGATATTTGCAGATGACAGAGAAAAGCTGGGATGCAGGAATCTTGGGTTCTCAGATTGTGGAAGGAAGTGTGTTTAGAGGTCACAGATATTTCTTTCCCTGCCTAACTCCTCCTTTTGACCCTGTCCCCTAACATATACCTGCCTGTCTCTTCCTCTACCCATCCTACAATGTGGTTCTTCCCCTATCCCTGTAGTCCCCCTTCCCCACAGCCAGAATTTACTTCCACTTTTCCTCTAACCCATTCTCAGTTCGCCTATGACCCCCATGTTATGGTCTCTCTCCACAGGGGGGATGTTGTTGTCTGTGTTACTGTCTATCTCGCTAGGGGGGATTTTGCTTTGTATGTTACAGTCTCTCTCCCTAGGAGGATGTATGTCGATGTGTGTTACAGTCTCTTTTTCAGGGGATGTGGCTGCGTGTTACAGCTGCTCCCTCTTTCTCTAGAGGAGTGTTACTGTGTGTGTTACAGTCTTTCTAGAGGGGGTGTTGCTGGGTGTTACTCTCGCTAGCTCGCTCTCTTTAGGGGGTGTTGCTGTGTGTGTTACAGTCTCTCTCTAAGGGGTGTTGCTGGGTGTTACTCTCTCTCTCTAGGGGGTGTTGCTGTGTGTGTTTCAGTCTCTCTCCAGGGGGTGTTGCTGGGTGTTATTCTCTAGGGGGATGTACGGCGCGGTGTGTTTTGATCTGACAATAACCGTTCAATTCCCCTGTCTAAATCCTCCCCTCACGCTTGAACCTGCGTTTCACCCCCCGCCCGTGCAGAGGCGCAGCCCGCATTGGGAGCGGAGCGCGGCGCTGCCGCCCAGCCCCACCCTCCCGCGCTGACTGTAGCGCAGCCGCAGTAGGAAGCCGGCGGTGTGGCGTTAGAAACGGCCTTCGCGGCGCAGGCGCAAGGGGATTTGGCGCCAGCGCTTGTGCGCGGCGAATGAATGTTGTGGAAGCGGCGGCGCTGAGGCAAGTGCGGGGCGCGTCCCGGGCTAGCCCCGCGTCTGCTGGGGGACTCGGCGGGGCTTGATGCTTCCGTGTGCGGGCCCCGGTGGCCACTTCCCGGCGGCGAGTCTGCAGGGGCTCTCTCGGGGGCTGCTCTTGGATGGGGGGGGCATCGCCGGGGGCGGGCAGGGGAGGCGTTGGATTTGATTCCTCTCCCCTTCAGGCACGCATAGGATGGGGGAAGGGATAGCTCAGTGGTTTGAGCATTGGCTTGCTCAACCCAGGGTTGTTAGTTCAAGCCTCGAGGGGGCCATGTAGGGATCTGGGCCAAAAATTGGGGATTGGTCCTGCTTGGAGCAGGGGGTTGGACTAGATGACCTCCTGAGGTCCCTTCCGACTCTGAGATTCTGTGATCCCTGGGAGCCTCCATCTTCCACCCCCAGGGTGGCAGAGGGCGGGGTGG